AAAAAAAAAAAAAAAAAAAAAAAAAAAAAAAAAAAAAAAAAAAAAAAAAAAAAAAAAAAAAAAAAAAAAAAAAAAATAAAAAAAAAAAAAAAAAAAAAAAAAAAAAAAAAAAAAAAAAAAAAAAAAAAAAAAAAAAAAAAAAAGATGCAGATCTTAGCTCCGGTCTTGCCCTTCATTACTGATTGGCTTAGTGATTGTTTTTCAGGCATTCTAATTTATTGTATATTATTTGGTCACTATATGTGGTCATTAGACAGGCTTTCCACCAATGAACTCGCTCCATCTCTTCACCTCTGAAGGAATCACCACCTCCGACTTGGCCTGGTTGGCCAGCAGAGCTGGCAGTTTTTCAGCGAGACACTGAGAGAACAGCAAGGAGGTCTGCGGCTCGTTGAAAAGTGGGATGGCAAAGTCGATTGCGTTTCTCCGCATAACGTAGTCCTCGTCCAACAGACTCTCGGCCCGTTCCTTGGCAAGGTTGAAGACACACTTGATGTCGTACTTCTGGAAAACCTCCCTCAGTTCTCTCTTATTTTCCTTAGGGAATTCAATCACCTCAACAGGAGTGCCAACATACTTGCTCAGGTATTCGGCGACAGAAGGAGAGGCGACGTAGAACTTGTATCCCAGCGGGCTCAGTTTCTTGGCAACATTACCGAGGTTGTCGTTCGACAAGTCTCCTCCAAAGAGAATACCAGCAGGTGGTTTAGGCACGTGGAAGTTCATGGTCGACAGGATGGAGGTCCAGTATGCGTCAACTAGGTTGTCTCCGAAACAGGCCACTTCTCCGGTAGACGCCATTTCGACGCCCAGGAATGGGTCTGCACCAGCCAATCGGGTGAAAGAGAACTGCGGCACTTTGGTAGCAACGTAGTTGTAGGGTTTTTTCATCAGGTCGACCGGAGCAGGGACATTGCTGTCCAGCAATGCCTTGACGGCGACGTCGATGAAGTTGACGCCCAGCACCTTCGAAACGAATGGGAACGATCTCGAGGCACGGATGTTACACTCGATGACTTTGAGGTCTGGCTTTCCGGTGCTTGGGTTCTCGGCCTTGATGATTTGCATGTTGAACGGCCCGGTGATGTTCCATGCAGCAGCAACCTTGTCGGCGATCTCCTTCAGTCTATCCATGGTTTCCTGGTCAAGTCCCTGTGGAGGTAGCACCAGAGTAGCGTCACCAGAGTGGATCCCTGCGTTCTCGACGTGCTCCGAGACGGCGTGCACCAGGACTTTTCCATGGGAGGCCACAGCGTCGATATCGATTTCCTGCGCTCCTTCGATGAATTTCGAAATCACCACGGGATGTTCGGCGGAAACGTCTGCAGCGTTGGTGAGTTTCTGCTCCAGCTCAGATTCCGAGCGAATCACTGACATGGCAGCACCAGAAAGAACGTACGACGGTCTGACAAGAACCGGGTAGCCGACCTCGTTGGCAAATCTCTCGGCCTCCTCGACGGACGTGAGCTCTTTCCAGGCTGGCTGGTCGACGCTGATGGAGTCCAGAATGCTGCTAAACTTGTGTCTGTCCTCGGCCTTGTCGATGTCCTCAGGGTTGGTTCCAAGAACCTTGGCGCCCTGTTGTTGCAGCTTGAGAGCAATGTTCTGCGGAAGCTGGCCGCCAACGGAAACAACCAGGCCCTTAGCGTTCTCCAGCTCGTAGATGTCCATGACTCTCTCGAAGGAGAGCTCTTCGAAGTACAGCCGGTCGACCTCGTCGAAGTCCGTCGAAACGGTCTCTGGGTTGTAGTTGACCATGACGGTCTTCTTGCCTGCCTCTCTCAGAGCACGGGCGGCGGAAACGGCACACCAGTCGAACTCGACAGACGAGCCAATACGGTAGACACCGGATCCCAAGACCATGGTTCCAAACTCGTCAAATTTCACGTCGTGCGACGTGGCGTTGTAAGTAGTGTACAGGTAGTTCGTGTCGGCAGGGAACTCGGCGGCGAGCGTATCGATCTTCTTCACGAACGGAGTGATGCCGAATGACTTCCTTCTGGCGCGCACCTCCAGCTCTGTAGAGCCGACAGCAAGAGCAATCTGCTTGTCGGAGAACCCGAGCTTCTTGGCGCGGCTCATCACGTCCTGGGTCACGCCGAACAGCGAGCCAATAGCCTCCAGCTCTTTCTGCATCTCCACAATGTTGCTGAGCTTGTACAGGAACCATTTGTCAATTTTCGATAGCTCGTGCACTCTGTCAACCGTGTAGTTCTCGTGCAACAACGCTTGGCCGACTGCAAGCCATCTTCTGTCGGTAGGGTGCGACAGAGCGTGGTCAAGGTCGTCAAACTTGGCTCCCTGGAATCCTATGAACGAAGGGTCCACCTGTCTGATGGCCTTCTGGAATGACTCCTCGAAATTACGTCCGATGGCCATCACCTCTCCAACAGACTTCATCGACGAGCCGATGTCTCTCTTGACGTGCTGGAACTTCGACAGGTCCCATCTTGGGATCTTGGTGACCATATAGTCGAGGGAAGGCTCGAAGTTGGCACTCGTCGTCTTGGTGACGGGGTTAGGCAGCTCTGGCAGAGTGTAGCCAAGAGCAATCTTGGCCGCAGTGTAGGCCAAGGGATATCCGGTAGCCTTGGAGGCCAGGGCTGACGATCTGGACAAACGGGCATTCACCTCAATGACTCTGTAGTCAAGTCCGTCCGGCTGCAATGCATATTGCACGTTACACTCTCCAACAACACCGAGGTGACGGATAATCTTGATGGCAGCAGATCTGAGCATGTGGTACTCCTCGTCAGAAAGCGTCTGCGAAGGAGCAACCACGATCGAGTCACCCGTGTGGATTCCCAATGGGTCGAAGTTCTCCATGTTACAGACAGTGATGCAATTTCCAACTCTGTCTCTGACCACCTCGTACTCGACCTCTTTCCATCCTTTCAGCGACTTCTCAACAAGAATCTGAGGAGCCAGGGAAAGCGACTGCGAAGCGAGGTTTCTCAGCTCTGTCTCGTTGGCAGCGAAACCAGACCCAAGACCCCCCAGAGCGTAGGCAGATCTGACAATTATAGGATATCCGATCTTGTCGGCAGCAGCAAGAGCATCGTCAACAGTATCAACAGCAATGGACTCGGCGATTGGGATGTTGATCTCATTAAGCGCCTGAGCAAACAGGTCTCTATCCTCGGACGTCTCCAGAGTCTTGATTGGAGTTCCAAGAACCTTGACACCGTACTTTTTGAAAATACCCATTTTTTCCAGCTGCACACCAACGTTCAAACCAGTTTGGCCTCCGAAAGTGAGCAACACTCCGTCCGGTCTTTCTCTCTCGATAATATAGGTGATGTATTCCGGAGTCACTGGAAGATAGTAGATCTCGTCGGCAAGGGCATGCGAAGTCTGGTTGGTAGCAATATTAGGGTTAATCAAGATCGATTGCTTGTTGGCCTCCTTCAGAGCCTTGATGGCCTGGGAACCGGAATAGTCAAACTCTCCCGCTTGACCAATAGACAATCCTCCAGAGCCAATCACCAAAACACGGGAAACATCCACCAAATGATGAGCGTTTTCTCCGGTGAAACCAGATAGAATGCCTGCGCCCGCATACGTCGATGCTTTCTCGATCTGTGAAGCATATGATCTAGCCAGGCTGGTCTTCAGAGGGGCCAGCTTCGGCATACGCCAATGTCTGGCAAGAATTCTGAGGGACATGATGACTGATTTTCGAAAAATTTTCGACTGAAAATATTTTAGATGAGGAGGGTCGTGTACGAAGAATCCGCGGTTTCCGTACTTACGCGATCTGGATATATCCGGACACTAACTAGAAGGGTATCATCAGGGGGGACTTCTATTTGTAAAAACCTAAAAAAAAACGAAGACTCTGAGTGACTGGCCTAGTCTCTCTTCCATCTCACATGGGAGTACTTTCTAGCATAGTAGATACCACCGACAGCAAGATTGGTGTTCCAGTGGTCAACGTACGAGCACAGAGCGGAGGCAAGAGCCAGCTCCTTCGGGATCTTGGACTCATCAACCTTAACGGTGAATCCAGACGCCCCAGCAGGAATCACCTGCCCTATTCTTTCTCTGACTTCCGATTCCTTTTCGCCCACATTTCTCACTTTCTCCAAAAACTTACCCTCGGTCGTCCACTGGTATGTGGCACCGTCAGCTAACGTGAACATTCTGTACTGGTCTAACGCGTCCACTCGATGGTTGATGATGTGCCATCCAAGCTCGGTCACAGGCACGTCAGGGGCTCTTATAAGAAGAATGTTTGATCTCAAACCGGCTCTCAATGCAGCGCAAGGTTCGTCCTCGCCGTTAGGCCCCGTGCCCAGAATTTCCGAGTTATACATCTTGTATGCACCCTTAACCGCTCTCGATCTCACAAACCAAAAGAGTCTTTTGGAGGCCTCGGTAGGGCCCAAAGGACCAGAGCCCTCGGCCTTAGTATCGTAGACGTCGAAAATCTTGGATCCGGTTCCGAACCGTCTTCTCACAGCGAATTCGGAGCAGTTCTCCTCGTCCAAGTCGATAATATGTGGAACATACCGCGAAGAACGACGGTGAGGGTGGAAGAGAACCGATTTGGCAAGAACCACCGGCCTCATCACTGGCGAGAGCAGAAGTTCAATAGGCATGCTGTACTATCTGTGGATCTTTGTAGCAAAGTAGTCTTCAGATGCGGTATGAAAGAAAAAGGGGGATTTATAGCTCCTCCTAGACGCTGGGGCCAAAATACCCTCCATGCGGTGCACAGGTGCATTGTTGGAAAGTGTTATTTTGTTTTTGGAATTTCTTAAAACCCAGCCATTTGGGTAAACAGATAAAATTGGTGGGTGTGTCAGCTGCTAATTTTCTGTGTTAGCCTGCTGGATTTCCCTACAGAGAAAGCCTAATTTTGATCTTTTGCCACAATGGCATCATCCAATGCGAACCCGCAGGCGCCACCAGGTGCCAATACCTCGTCTAATTTTGCTAGGGCCGATGATCTGGAACAGAGAGTGGTCTCGAAGACGGAGGTGGATACCCTACAATCGGAAAAGCAATCTGTGAACAGATGGCCAACGCTCTTTGAAATCCTCAACCGCAAAACTGAGTCTCCTGTTGATCTGTGGTCGTTTTATGTGTACATGAGAGACGAACAGAGAAACATAGACTATCTAGACTTTTGGATCGACACAGTGCAGCATATGGGTCTTTGTAAAGCCTATGTGAAGGGACTCAAACAGTCGCTGGCTGTAAATGAGCGAATACGGAATGCCGACCAGACTTTTAGCTCCGCCCCAGGACAAAGCACTCCTTTGCGCCAGACTCCGCCTTCTAATAGACAATCTAATACCAGCAGCAGAGACTCGAAATCTTCATCGCTCTTGTTGGAACTGCTCGTGCGCAACAATCTCCTTGAGGACTCCGATTCGCGCAGAATGTCTGCTTTTTTGCGGGGAGAAAGCAGTGTGCGATCGAGCGATCCGTTAGTGAACGCCAAGATCGACGAGCTGAAACGAAAATCACAGACTCCGAGCGATGACAACTCAAAAGATACTTCAAAAGAATCGACTTCGTCCAAGAGAGTGTCTACAATCAGTCCTCAAATGATTGAGACCATGATACAGCAAGATCTGCTTCCTCCTGAGAAGCCGTTCAAGGACAGCCATCTGGCGACGCGCGAGAAACTCAGTGAGTCGGCACAGAATATAGTGCGCACCTATTTCCTCGACAGCTCGCCCAAGAGAATAGTAATACCTCCAGAAATGGTGGAAAATGTGATCCAGGCCGTTCACCGAGACGGACGCGATGACCCAGAGATTTTTGACGAGCCGCGAGAGTTCGTGTTCAAAGCTATGGAACACGAGGCATACCCTAATTTCCTCCGATATCATGCATTGTCAAACGTGACATCCAAATCAGCGGCGTACAGAATGCTGGGCTCGTTTTTGTCTGGATTGGGGGCTTTCTGGACCGGATACACTCTTATTTTTCTTGACTACCAACCAAAACGAGTGCGGTGGGTGGTTGCCGTGCCGTTCTTTTTTGCATTCTACTTGGTGCTAAGCAGCTACTACCGGGTAGACCCCTTGCTCTATTTTGCTGGCTACAGCGAGAGCTACGCCTCGAAAAATGGACTTGTGCTCATCAAAGAGCCTTTCGTGAAGAACTTGCTGCGACGCCGCTCCAGTTTCGTGCTGTTGCTCATCTTGCTGATGACAGCAGTTCTAAGCATCGTATTCGCCCTGGTGCCGGGTAGAAGGCTTTGACAGCAGCTTTTTTTAGTCATTTTATCGATGGTTATATAACGGAAGATCTCATTAGGGTATCGGTCAAACGTAGATGGTAGACGTGTCAACCTGCATAGCAGACTGTTGCGGATATTCGGATGGTTGAACATAGCCTTCCTGGAAGTATGGGTGCATCAGAGCTCTCTTGGCGCTGATTCTTCCAGCAGGATCATACGTCAAGAGCTGTTCCAAAAGATTGACGCCATGAGGGTCCAGATTAGGAACGATGTCGGCCAAATTCTGCTTCGACCATTTAGGGAAGCTAGGCTTGAAGTCGCTCAGATAGGTGACGTCAGGCCAGATCTCCTCGGTTGGTGTTCCCAGAACACGGAAGATCTTGAATATCTGATCAATTTCAGAATCACCTGCGAATAGCGGCTTCCTGTTGGACATCTCGGCAAAGATACAACCGATAGACCACATGTCGACTCCTGTAGAGTACTGTTTTCCACCAAGCAGGATCTCAGGACTTCTGTACCACAATGTGACAACCTCGTGAGTGTATGCACGCAGTGGAACGCCAAAAGCTCTGGCGAGCCCAAAGTCGGCAACCTTCAGGTTGCCTTCTTTGTCGATCAGCAGATTTTGGGGCTTCAGGTCCCTGTGCAAGACTCTGTGCGCGTGGCAATGGTAAAGCCCGCGAACTAGCTGAAGCATGAATTTCTTGACCATGTCTCTTCCCAGTCCTTCACCTTCGGGAATAGATTCCATGTACTTCTTGAGGTCCATATCAAGGAACTCGAAAACAAGATAAATCTTGTTGGAGTTGGAGTGCACAATGTCATACAGAGCAACGATATTGTCGTCGCGAAGCTCCTTCAAAAGCGAAATCTCACGAATAGTGGTGGATGGGACTCCCTCGTCCTCAGACTCCAGCCGGATCTTCTTCAGTGCCACTACGCGGTTATTGTGCTTGGTATCTAATGCCTTGTAGACCACTCCGTAGGTTCCTGGATTGTCAGTATAAAGAACACGTGCCTCTGTAAGCTACATACCTTCTCCAATCTTCTCCAGCTTCTCGAAATCGTTTAGTTCTGCCATGGTGTTTCGTAATCTAATAAACTTTTCCAAAGGGACGTGGGTTGTGTGTGTAGATCTAACAAATGAACTTGTTGTGCCTCAGTGCTCGCTTTGATGATGGTTTCTCTTGCTTTTGGTGGGTCTAGATCTGGGGACGTCGTATATTAGGTAACTTCAATACACTCGATTCCACTTTGATCTAATTCTCGTTTTCGTGATCTGTCTGAAAAGAGAAAAGTTTGTTTACGTTTTGTGCGGTGCACGGATGTTGTGCTTCAGAGGGCCCCCTGTGTCTTCAAGCTATGTAGTCCATACGTAGAGTCAGCGCCCAGCTTCACTCTGCCTTTGCCTCTTTTTGCCTTTGTAGCTTCTTCAGCCTCTTGGCTCTCGTGGCCTTCATTGCCTTGAAGGTAGCGTTGGCAAGGAGCTCGGAATACACACCCACGGTATTGTGTGCAACGTATTGCAGCAAGGCATGGGAGGGGTACGGAGAGCTAGTGGCAAATCTGTCCTGAGCTCCGCCTCTTCTGCCCATGTTCCTCAAAGTTGCAGCCACAAAGTCTTTCGGAGTCGGAATAAAGAACGAGCTTCTTCTGATGGCCGACAGAGCAGTAGTGACGAAGTAGGCCAGAACCAGCTCGACGTCGATCTTCTGGCTCTTGAGCTCAACAGACAAGGCCTGAGAGAAGTTTTGCAAGAACGACTTCGATCCAGAGTAAGTGGCGAGGTACGGGGTTGGAAAAAGACCGGCGAACGATCCAACGTTCACAATGAGACCCCTGCTGGCCTTCTTGGATGCAATCGCCTTGTCAATGACAGGAATGCAAAGTTTGGTCATCTTGACCAGAAATAGGTTGTTGATGGTCAAGATGTTCTCCACTTCCTCGTCGGGTGTCTCAACGAGAGGAACAGGGCCTTCATGCGAGCGGCCGACGTTGTTGATCAGCACCGACACAGGCAGTTCCTCAATCGCCCTGGAGAGCAGGGCATACAGTTCAGGGGTGTTTTTCGAACAATCGGCAGCAACCACCTTGGTCTGCACCTTGTACTTCGTCTCGATGTCTGTGGCGATCTGCTCCAGCTTAGACTGGGTCCTCGAAATCAAGACAATGTTTAGGCCCCTGGAAGCAAGCTGCTTGGCAAACTCCTGTCCGATACCTTCGGATGCTCCGGTGACGACAGCCCATGCGCCCTTTTTCGCTCCGTAAACCTTGAAGTCAACAGGAGGGAGAAGGAATAGGCTTGTGATGAGCGAGAGGAAGCTGTACGTCATTGAGGCAAGCTTGAACAGCCCAATGGCTGTGGCAGCGTAAACAACGCCTGTAATAAGCTTGCAATCAAATGTTGGAAGAGCTGGCATTTGAAAAAAAGACAGAATTTTATTGCCGAATAACTCAGTTGGGAACTTTCTTCCGACATCGACCTCATACAGAATCGTCGCGTTCTCATTATTAAATACATCTACTTTCATACCATACCGTTCAGATGAAGTTGAGCGCCTCCAACTTTTCCTCTGCCAACCTACACCGCACGTCCTCGCTCCTGCCTGCTCTGGAGTACCTTTCCACATCCATTTCCAGATGAAGTCGTTTTATAGCAGACTCTGCTAGCACCTTGTTGATTTTGTCCAGCTCGTCAAATGATTTGCTCAGTGAAGCTTTTGTTTCGCCCGTGACTCTGAGCCGTATCACCCAGTGGTTTTCTTTAGAGCTTTTAAGGTCTGTTTCTGTATCGACAGAGTCCTGTTGTCTTCCATCGTGCTCGCTTCTACCCCCATTTCGCGAGTTTGGCTTCGAATGTGCAAATTCGCTGTTCTCTGTAGACGACCCTGATCCATTTATGGAGTGCGACACATTGCTTCTAGGCCGCGACTCGCCATCACGCTCCACATAACGGTCATATGGCTGGTCGTGATGACTGTCGCTGTATCCACCGAGATAACTACCCCTGCCACGGCCCCGGGGTCTATGTGGTCCCCTATAGGGCCCGCCTCGGCGTGGATAGTCTCCGCGATAGTCTTCGTTGGAGGGCTTAGGATAGGGGTTCGATTCGTAAGGAGCACCGTCATCGTTGTAGGACCGCTTGTATGGGTACGATCCACCCCTCCCGCGTCCCCTGGAGTAGTATGGGTCTCTGTAGCTATATCCATAACCGTACCCGTTGCCTCTAAACCCACTCATAGTGAAACAGAGATGTGCGTCGAAAATTAATGAGGAAGAAAATATAGAACATGCGAATTTACTTCTTGCCATTACCGTGCCACATATTAGTTGTCGCATCGGATTGCCGAGTTTTCCTACCGGGAAGAACGGTATGGGAGACTACTTCATGCCGTCCCTGGGTCGGCATTTACCCCTGTGGTGAGAAGACGTAAGGAGAATGGGCAGTAGGTTCTTGAGAGATGTGCTCTTGTCCGGTCATATTGACGAGCAGCGTAACTGATTCTGAATTCAGCACGTGTAGCTCAGTGGTAGAGCAGCAGATTGCAAATCTGTTGGTCCCCGGTTCGAACCCGGGCACGGGCTTGAATTTTTATTCTCACTTATTTTTTTAGCTGGCAGTTAATTAGCTCTCATCAATTATGAATCTATCCACTAGTTTGGTATTGAATATGGACATCACGACCCAGTTCCACTCTACAATACGGTAATGCTCCCCCTCTGCCAGTTTGCGAAAATGATTCTGCAGTGGCTCATCTTTTGCCTCGCAAAGTAAGTATCTTGTAGCTGCCACCCTTTTTGGCAGTCTCTTGGTTTTCTTGTCGACAGTCAGGCACACCTGGCAACCAAAAGACCTCACAATGCTACTGATTAGATCGGGTCCGCCCGGGATCGTAGCTGACACGCAAAAATCTCCCGATTCAAATAATTTGCAGTTGCTATTTTCAATCAGATTGACGATGTTCTGGGCGCCTAGCGAAGGATCCAGGAATAGCTCCTTCATCTTGGAGTCCTTCTTGAAGTTGATATGTCTAGACAAGTCATATTTGTCAGTACTTGGTTTGACGCGCTCGAAATTGTCCAGTTTATGCGAGTTGATGGTAGCGAGAACGTCTATGAGGAACGTCGGCGTGAGTAAATATTGCGGGCTCTTGCTCAACGACTTGAGAAACTTCTCCGTTCGAAGAATGCCGGGAGCAATGATGCAATTGAGGGAGTTCGTTGGCTGCTCAACAATTTTGATACCCACTTTGCTGAGATTCCGGAGATCAGACGCACTGAGCTCCTTATCGCAACCAGTCAGTATTGCAACGATATCGTACGGCTTGCTGTTTGGCTTGAGCCTCTTGCGTGGCATCTCCAGTGAGCCGGGCACCTCTTGAGAATCCATCCGCGTGTTCTGGCTACTAGGCAATCCTATCTCCAAGCTTGTATGGCCAACAGCATGAGCAACGTCCACCTGGTCACCTAGCCTCAAGTAGCGGGGGTCGGTCTCGTCTTGGAGCTCCCACTTGGCGTAACTTTCTTCAAGCCACAGGTGATTCAAGCATTTGATGTTCCATTCCTGTGCGTATTTGTATTTTTCGCCCGTAGGCTTCGCGACAAGCAGATGCGTGGTGGTGAATTGTCGAAGATTTTTCGTAAATGTTCCGCCCATGATTTCCACCAGCTGCTGCAAATACAGCCGTGAATCGCCGCTGTAATGCGTGACGGAAACCACTACCCTATCCATCCCTTCCAAGGGCTCGCGTGGGTACGGGTAGTGGAGCATTATTTTACCTGGAGGGATCCATTCCTCGTGTAGCAGCATCCAAAATAGCCAGTTCAGGTTTCCAGTAGGCCACTTCTCCTCGTTCGCAAGCTGATACATATCGCCAGCCCGATACTTCCCAATGTACGTGTTTGCTCGATTTTCAGAATCCACCTTGCCCCCGTGCTGTTCAATGAGGGTTTTCAGGCTAGAGCTCACTCGGCTCGAAATATTAAAGTCATCATCCAAAAAAAAAGTCCGTCCTCTGAACAGGGTAGAAGTCATCGGCTCTGCGTATCGCTCCTTAGATCCAACGCCGTATCTGTCTTCGGCAAGCTTGCGTTTGGATATTATATTGTCCAGAAGCCACTCCGGCCTCACAATCGCAATGGCCTTTCGTTCACATGCCTGGTTGAATGCAATGGCCATACGGCAGATGTCGTCGTCCGTGTCAACGGCAATCAGATGGGTTGTTCTTCGGGACAGATGGTCTGTGTGTATCCCGCCAAATGAGCGCACGGCGCTGAAAAGGGCCTCCTTGTCGCCTGTGCAAATTGAAGCTGCGCAACATATGCTCACACTGCTAAGGAAGTATTTGGGATCAGGTGAATACATTCGCAACGTCTCGATCAGGTTTGCAGCAATTGAGTCTACTACCCACGCGTCTCGCACGACCGGGATCATCAATTCCTCTGCGAGCTGGTATTCCACAAAATCCACTGTGTTCGATACTATCAGCGTGACGTTTACCAATTTCTCGTTAGATATTGGAATCAGGTCAGAATTCCTTTTGAGCAAGATGCCCCCCTCCTCATTGTACCCAGTGCCAATGATCTGCTTCTTCAAATACTCCGCCTTGGTCGCAGACAGCTCGCTGGACTGTATAATGAGGAACCGATGGCCCTCAAAAAGAGACATGCGCGTTTGGAAGTAAATATTTCACAAGAAAAAATAGTTTTATATTATTTCTAGATGTCCGAGGAACCCAAGTTTGCTGAGCAGCAGGTCTCGGCGTCTCAGCTGATGGCTGAGGCATACGAGAAGAGACAAAAACCTGTGCAGCCGGCCAAGATCCAGATCCAGGACCTGGAAGAGCTGAGAGAGTACCAAGGCCGGAAAAGGACAGAGTACGAGAAAGCCCTGCGCGTGAAGCGGTTCGACTTTGGCCAGTGGATGCGGTACGCGCAGTTTGAGATCGACCAGAAGGACTATGCGCGCGCACGCTCCATTTTTGAGCGTGCACTCGAAGTCGATCACAAACAGGTACCTTTATGGATCAGATACATCCAGACAGAGCTGAAAGGCAAGAACATCAACCACGCGAGAAACCTTCTTGACAGGGCGACGAGGCTTCTTCCTCGGGTAGACAAATTATGGTACCAGTACGTCACAGTGGAAGAGTCTGTGGGGGATGTTGTTGGAACACGCCAAATATTCGAGAACTGGCTACAATGGAAGCCGGGCCCAGAGGTGTGGGAGCACTATATTCGGTTTGAGACCCGGTACAATGAGTTTGAGAACGCCAGGCTGCTTTTTGAGAAATTTGTGGTGATGCATCCCAGCTCTGCAACCTGGCTCCAATGGGCAGAGTTCGAGAAAGAGCACGGGGATGAAGTCAACGTTCGCAACGTTTACAGGCTTGGAGTCGAAGCTCTTCGACAGAGGGGCGCTTTGGACGCAAAGATAATCTATTCGTGGATACAGTTTGAAATCTCGAAGAAAAACTGGGAGCAGGCGAAGCTGCTTTTCGATTACGGGTTTGAGCATTTATCGGAAGAGGAGAAGGTCGAGCTGCGTGCCGACTACACACAGTTTGAAAAACAGCATGGCCAGAAAGACTCGATTGAGACGTCAGTGGTAGGCAAACGGATGGCTGTCTACGAGCAGGAGCTGGCACGCAAACCGGACGACTACGATACGTGGTGGGTGTATCTAAAGCTTGTGGAGCCAATTTTCGACGAGAAAAAATACGAGCGCAAACTAAAGGAGGCGACAGACACAGTTCCGTCTAGTGCACTGAAAAGCGGATGGCTCAGCTATATCTATCTCTGGATGAAGTATTTGATATGGAGCGAAAAGAGGGACCTTGAAAAAACCAGAGAACTATACCGGAGACTGATCTCGCTCATTCCTCACAAGAAATTCACCTTTTCTCGCATATGGGCGATGTATGCGGAGTTTGAGGTTCGACATGGCCAGCTGGCTGCTGCCCGGAAGGTGCTTGGGCGGTCAATTGGACTCTGCGGCGATGTAAAAGCTATGAAGTACTACATTGAGTTGGAGACGCAGCTTCGCGAATTTGACCGTGTGCGCATGGTGTACACGAAATTGGTGGAACTGCATCCGCGCGACAGTTCCAACTGGATTGACTTTGCTTCGTTGGAGGCAGATTTGGGGGACAGGGCGCGCTGTGTTGCAATTTACGAGTTGGCAGCCGAGGAAGACAGTTTATCTCTAAACGAGAAGAAAAAGGTGCTGGAAGCGTACTATGAGTACGAGATGGAAGAGCGCAACTACGACAACGCCAGGAAGATAAGAGACCGCATAGTACAGCTTAGCGACGGCGACGCGAGAAGCCTTGTGCAACGGTGTCTGATGGAGCTAAAAGTCCCGACGCAGCAACAGGTCGACGAGTTTGTGCGCCAGCTAAAGGAAACAGGAGACGACGAGTTCCAGTTCGAGATCACGCAGGAGGCCAAGGACCGTTGTCGCGACGTTTTCAACAGAACAATCGACACGATTGACACTACAGACGGCGGTGCGAAGAAGAAGCAGATGATAGATGCATTAATATCGTTTGAGCGCAAACACGGTACAGATGCACAAGTGGCTGCCGCAGAGGCGCGACTCCCGCGCATGGAGAGGCGGTTCCGGCAGAATGCTAACGGCGAAGAGGAGGAATACTATGAGTTTGTGTTTGACAGTCCAGAGCCTGCGAGGGCCTCTGGACTCTCACGGTTCGAGGAGTGAATTAAACGTCATGCTTTCTAACGGGCAACTCGAAAATGCAGGTGTTCAGTAGACAGTAAGTTGTGACTGCAATCAATGCAAATGAGTAGATGGTGCTTGTAATTTTGAAGCCGAGCCAGCCAGTTAGCTTGTACACCTCTAACTGGGAAACGGCCATGGTGCCCAGTGGGAACGTTGACGCCCAGAAGGTCTTTGACCAGCTGTGTATGAGGCCGTATTTGAGAACCCCGAAAATAGCCATCACGGTAATGCAGATACCCATTGAGATGAGACACATGGCCACGTAGACGGACCCAAGCTGAAGCAGTGCCGCCACTACTTGCAGGAAGTCTTGGCTGAGCAGAGCTGTGGGCTTGACGAGCGCAGGCTCGTTTTGAAGGAGGTCTGCCAATTGCTGAAAATTCAGCAGCGTAGCAAACGCGCCCTGCCCCAGCACGCCAATAGGGATGAAACACGAGTATATGCCAGCTTTGGAAGGCAGGCCTGATGTGAGCAGTTTGTAAAAGTAGACAGATACTAGCGGGAAAGCAAGCAGAAGAGCGTTGCTTAACAGCATGAATGTGACGATCTCAGACGAAAGCTTCCAGCTGGCAGAGCCGAGCTCGGCGCTCACAATGGAGCCTGTGGAAGAGGCCACGGTGAGGGTGACCACGGGGAGAAGGATGGTGGCGTTGAGATCGCTGGCGTCCAGGTTGTTGAAGGCCATCATTAGAAAAGTGACTCCCCAGGCACAGGACAGACTCAGAGCTACCTGGATCCACCACAGCGCGTAGGTGAAAAGCGTCCATTCTGGCCTCAAGTAGTGCACCATGTTGATCAACGAGCCGAATCCCATGACCTCTGCCCCAAGGAACACGCTGAGTCGGTGGTCTCTGAGCAGCCCCCAAAAGGAGACACCATCGTAGCGGCTGAACAGCACAAAATAGCGCAGGAAAAAAAGCGCGTGAATGATGATGAAGGCAACAAGGTCAATGAAGAAATACACGATTCCCACGTATCTCATGCCCACACGGACCTGCTCGATCGGAAAGTTGTACATCACCAAGCTTGTGATGCCCAGCCCCATATTGATCACGAAGTATATCGGGTGGAAGTTCGCAAGCACGTTGTCCATAAACGTCCCAAGCTGAGACGCCGTCTTGGTCTCAAACAACGAAAGAGAAGACGCCATTGGGAAAACATTGGAGCAGACGCAACATTTATATGAAGCTCGGAGTTTGATACGTCCCCGAGAAAAAAAAAAAATCAAATACCGAATACACGGGGATTGACCTGCGGAAATAGTCACAGGTCATCATGATTCATTAAAAAGTACATGATCACGTATTCTCATAATTTGGGCTTGCGAGCAAGCCGTTTCAGCAGCTCTTCCGGATACAGCTCGGCCGTCACAAGCGGACCCATGTGCCAGAACCCTCCGTCGACTATCTGCACGGTACCGGTGACGTACCGCGCAGCGTCGCTGAATAGGAAGATGGTGGCCTGCGCAATGTCGTCTATGGAGCCCAGCTTCTGTAGCGGGATCTTTTTCTGCATCGGAGACCCCGAAGAAAGCTTTCTGTACCCCTCTGTGTTGCCGATTGCGCCAGGAGCAATAGCGTTCACACGAACCCCGATCGGTCCCAATTCAACGGCCAAAGCGTTGGAGAGAGCGTCAACACCCGCCTTTGCAGCTCCCACATGTGCCTGGAAAGGCACGCCGTAGTAGTGGAAGGTTGCGGACACAAAGAGCACCGCGCCTTTGTTCTTCTTCAGTTCGTTGTAGCACGCCTTCACGGTGTTGAAAGAGCCCAGCAAGTCAATATCTACGACGGTCTTGAACGCGTTGGCACTCAGGGAGTTGAAATCGGCAATGAAGTTCCCAGCCGCCCCACAGATGACAAAGTCAATCCGGCCCAGCTCGTGTACTGTCTTCTCGACCGCGCGCACCAGATCGTCCAGTTTGCGCACGTCGCAGTTGCCGATACCTAGCGCCCGGACCTCCTCTCGTAACTCGTTCAATTCAGAGGCTGCCGCGGTCGCCTTCTCCGTGTTTCTGCCGATTATTGCTACCGAACAGCCCAAAGTGACAAGTGCTTCGGCCTGGCGCTTGCAGATAGTGCCCGAGCCGCCGGTGACAAAGGCGACCTTGTTTTTGAACAGATCTGGCTGCCAAACGCGTAGGAAAGGAGAAGAACTCATAATGGTTTAGGAATGTAGTTATTTCACATGCTTATATTCCCCACAATTTTTTTGTCACGTCTCACCAGCTTCTTCCTCTTCGGTGTAATTATTAATTTGAAATGTTTTTCCAGCCTTGAGAACGACGGTGTTCAGTTTTTTCTTCTTTTCGGGAGTCGCTAGGTCGTCTTCCATCGGTCGAGCGTTTTTCGACGTCAGCGGAGAGTTCTCCTGTTCGACGTCGTCGGGAATGTCCGGAGACGTGGGACTCACCTCTGTGGCTTCGGCCTGCAAAGACTCTTCCCGTTCGTCGTCGCCGGATGCAACTAGTTCAAGACCTATAGGGTCGAGACTCAGTGTGTCTGGATACTTAGCGACCAAGTAGTTGCGCAGGGCCCTGAAGTTCATGAGAACTTTGTTCTGTAGCACAAGATGGAGCACACTCAGACAGGCGGAATTGACCAAGTTGTTCTGCCGAGCTGTCTCCCGCAGCATGCTCATAAACTCACGTAGCACGTCGTTCTCAATAAGGTAGCGAACATAATCCTCGTCGTCCAACATGATAATCGATTTGAGGCAACGCAGGGCACTGAGCCGCAGTTGCAAGGAGTAACATGGGCGGTGGAGATTGCCTATTCCACGAAGCAAATGGTGCTCCAGAATAAACGTCTTGCTCAAGGTTCTGTCGTGCTCTCTTGCGACGAAGTTGAGCAGCTCACACAGGTTGGAGTACGTGATCGTGGTGGACTTGCTTGACGGATTGCAAATGCGCTTCTCAAGTGGTGAGAAGAGCTGTTCCGCGGCTCCTTTGTAAAAACTCTCGAGATAGCTCGATTCCACGAGGCTCGTGTCGACGTTGGCGTCTGCGTTTCCGAGAGTCGACTCAAAGGGCAGGGACGACTGAGCGATGTTGGCAGGGTCCAGAAGAACCTTGATGGCCTCGAACGCTTGCGTTTTCAGTCCAACGTTGGGATCCTGTAGAAGCACTTCTATAAGGATGGAGATCAAAGTGGTGTCGATCTCGGTCTCATTCTTGTTGAATAGAAGCACGTCGTGCTCTATGATGGCTACAATAAGCTCCGTAGCCAGTATTCGGCTCTCTGTGGCGGAGTCCTTGAATGCGAATTGTATGAGCCTGACCAGACCTTGGTCGATCAAGGCTTTGTAGAACTCGGATCGCGGCACAGGTTGGAATTTCTTGGCGATGAGAGTGAACTGGTGGATCAGCTTGATTCCGTCGCGTGCCTTGGGCACGTCGAGGTCGTTTGTGTCGTCGTACAGCTCGAAGAGGGCGGGCAGGAACTCGGGGTCTGTGCGAATGAACTTAAGAATCTGGTCTTCGTTGAGATGGATCATGGTCGAAATGCAGTTGAATGACGCGTCGTCCAGGAGTCTGGCCAGCACGACGTCCTTGAGAAAATATAGCCGGAAGGTTTGCTTCACGAGGTCCTTGATTTCGTCGCTCTTGATCGGGATCACTTCCCGGAAAGTGGTCTTTTCAGCAAGGTACTGTCGGTTGTTGGTCTTGTAGTTGGGGAACTCGGAGTCGTATTCGAGGATCCCGACAATGCCATCGATCGCGTCGTCGTCCACAAATGTTTCCATAATGGCCGATTCACTGTAGAAAACCAGCGTCTTGACAATATCACATAAATAGTAGAGGTTGATCAGATTCTTGTTCCGCTCGTTTCTGTGGAACGTTTCAATCAGCTTAGTCAAAAACCCCTCGCCCTTGATGAAATCCAGCAGAGTCTCCTTGAATCTGTTGGACTTTGCGCCCTGATTCAGGAGCTCCAGAAGCTCGGCCAGGTTCGCGTCGGTGGGGAAACACGGCTCAGGCACAGGGCCGGCAATCACCTCTGTGACTTCGCCGTCCTGACCGTTCGATACCACGGCCACGAGCGATATGTTGGGCTCAATTGTGTGCTGGATGTTGATGAGAAATTCGCATAGCGACAAACATCCGTCTGGCTCCTGGAACGAAAGAGCGTAGTCGTTTCCTTGACTGTCTGTCCAGACGATCAGCGTATCTTGCTGTCGTTGGTACTGCGTAGATCCCTCGATCGTGGCCTTTAGTAGCGTTTGGGAGGTGTCGTTCTCGTTTCGAACAAGGAAATGGGGGCCTCCCTCCAGCATTCCTGAACAGTACCCAGTGCCCCGGTCGACCCACTTGTCGTCTTCGAGCGTGTACACCTTCACGCGCCGCGGCGAGGTTGGCCGTACAGCGTCCATTGAGGATATTAATACAAAGGTCGGAAGCGATATGAACGCGAAATATTGCACAAGGCTAGGAGAGCGTTCAAAAATGTGAGGTTTTTCGACTTCACGTAATCGTCCGCGTTCGACTGGTAAAAAAAAAAAACAGGCGACGCGTCGGTGCAATCTTTTTCTGTGCATTCAAATATACCAACTACTCCTTGTCGTCTCCGGCCACAAAGCTCGTAGTATCCGCCGTAGTGTCCGCAGGCTCCTCCTTGGAAAGCAGCTTCTCCTTCTTTGCCAGCTGCTCTTTCAACAGCTTCTCCCTCTGTTTCAGTTCCATGGCCTTCTTCTCCAGCTCCGCAGCACGCTTAGCCAGTTCTTGCGCAGACTTGCGCTCCAGTTCTTCCAGTTTCTGGTGCTTGCTCATCAGAGTCTCATGCTTGAGCAGATAAGGCACGGTCTCGCTGATCTTACGAAGCTGTCTGGCGTTGATCGACGGCGACCCGGAGTACTGAGACGAGACAGAAGGAGAGTTCGGTAGCCGAGGCGTCGTGGTCGGTGTTGCTGCGTTTGAGCCCGTCAATCCAGCATCCGCAGGCGTCTCTCCCTTGTCATCTACCAACGAGGTGAGCTCGTCGTCTTTCTGGAACGAGTAGTCCGATTCCGGCTTGCCCTTGATGATCTCTGGCGGCTCTGTCAGCGAGGTTGCGCTGAGCTTCGAGGCCACGGAGTCCACCTTGCCGTCCTTGGTGATCTTGGTGGTGCCTGTGGTTCCCGTGGACAGCATGGACGAGACTCTCTGCGAAGGAGCATCGAACTTGGCCATAGACTTGGAGTTCGCAATGTCGGCGAGGTTCGACATCGACGGCGGCTCCACGATTCCTCCGGCCTCCGCAGCACGCAGCTCCTCAAGCTCGGTGACACTCATCAGTTTTTCCGTACGGTAGTTCTCGTACAGGAAGTCGTGCGTAATGTCCTTGAGGTCCTGTAGATGGGAACCGAGTAGAACAGACTTCAGGACCGGGAAGTCTGAGTACTCGGTGTTGTTGATGTCAATGGACCCCCATGGGTAGGTTCTCACGCGGGTCTTGACGCCGTTGATTTCTGCTTCTTCGTCAGAGGTGATCACGGCAAACGGCTGCATCTCGCTCAGATACCGGTTTTCCTCCACGACGTCGTCGTCGTCATCTGCGTCGTACTCAAACTGATAGATCGGAATTTTATGATGGTCTATGTCCTGCATGATGTTTCTCTTGAAATTGAGAAGTTCTGTTTTCGTGAACGAGTCGGCTCTGCCTATGACAGGAATCACGTTCACGAACTTCGACAGCTTCTTCATCGTGTCGACGTCCAGCTCGCGCAGCCCGTGGCCTGTAGGCGTGATGAAGTATAGACAGACGTGCACTCTGGTATCGACAAACCGTGGGTTTCTTCTGACCCTGGTCTCTTCTGCCAGGACGAGATCGAACTGCTGTTCGAGGAAGTTGATGATCTCCGTGGCACACACCTCGTTGTTGATGTTGTCGCCAAAGCCTGGAGTGTCAATGATAGTCAGCAGCAGCTTGGAGTCGTCCTCGTCGAGGATCTCAACAGAGGTCTCTGTGATGGAGATACCAGGCTCCTGACTCGCGACTTCCGGGTCAAAGACTCTCTCGTACTCGGTGGCGTCCGAGACCACGCCGCTCAGGTTGGCAAACGTAATCGTCTTGCGGATCGTCTCCCCGCCGGTTGGCTTGTGGTACTGGTACCTGTGCGGAAGGATGTTTCTCTCGAGAAGTGAGTTGACAAACGAGGTCTTGCCTGTTCCTGCACACCCGCACACCATGACCGTGAACCGGATGCCTCGCTTCAGGTCTTTCTGGCGTCTCAGCACCGCAGAAGAGTTTCTCTTGGACATTTGGCTAGCTGGTGATGAGTGTCCTTTTTGTTGTTTTTTCACGCGTCCAGATATTTAATTTTCTGTCATGCTCACATCGGGCAATCTCATAAAAAGTTCCTGAATTATCTCTCCATGTCCTTTAGAACCATCGACGCAGCCCGCGCAGCACTGCTGGACCAGGAGCTCATGTCCACAATGGGCTTCTCAATTGACCAGCTCATGGAATTGGCAGGTCTGGCCGTCGCTCAGGCCGTCTACAAAGAGTACCCGCCTTCCTCCGCCCAAAGTTGCTTGATCCTTTGCGGCCCAGGAAACAACGGCGGGGATGGCCTCGTGGCCGCCAGACACCTCAAGCTCTTTGGCTACGCCCCAAAAGTGTACTATCCAAAGCCAACAAACAGAGAAATATTCACTGGACTGACCACCCAGCTCCGCAACTTCAACGTTCCATTTGTGTCTGATCTTACGCCAGAGCTCAGGTCATGTGACCTGATCGTCGACGCACTGTTTGGGTTCTCGTTCAAGCCGCCAATCCGCAAACCGTTCGACGCGGTCATCGAGAGTATGCTGCAGGCGCAAAAGAACGGGAAGAAAATCATCGCCGTGGACATCCCGTCCGGCTGGGACGTCGACAAGGGCCCTGTCACCAGAGAAATCTCCGATTACCAACCAGACCTGCTGGTATCTCTCACGGCCCCCAAACCTTGTGCAAAGCTTTTGAAGCAAGGAGCACTACATTACGTGGGTGGGAGATTCATCGACAAGACTTTTGCAGAAAAGTGGAAAATCGACGTGCCTGAATACCCCGGCATCGACCAATGCGCAAAGGTCGATTAGTTACCATACGGACAACGGTGAGCAAAAATATATGCAATTCATACGAGAATGAAATATGGCAAGCAAAAGAACTGAATAAACACACTTAATGATACGGAAAATGTCCCTTATTCGCTGGAAAACCTCGACAGACTTATAACAAGAGCTAGTAATACAATGGAAAATTCATGATCGACAACCAAGCTCATTTCGGATACTGGGAAAGCGGCATCTGTTGATAGGAATACTGTTGGAATCCATTGTACTGACTTCCACCATTCTGTACAGCCGCCCCGGAAACGTTGCCGTTCTGCGTTGTATTATTCTGGGAACTGTAGCTTGGATTATTGGACCCCCTTCTGTTCTGGCCCGGGCCCCTCACACCTAGTGGATTCTTGCTGAAACTCAAGCGGATGCCTCCTTTATTGTTCGAGGTAGATCCATTGGCACGAGGAAGCGTGCGACCATACAGTTCTGCCAATGCCCGTGTAGCGTAAGCAACATCTTCGAACTCAACAAAGCACATTGGTCCATGATGCGAGCTTGATCCGCTACCTGTATTTTGCTTCGTTCGGAAGGATAACCTGCGGAAACCTTTCTGTGGTTGGAACAAAGTACGAAGCTCAAGCTCTGTAGCGTCAGGTGGCAGATTACCAACATACAGTGTGTTGCATGGTGGATTTTGGTCAGCGGGATTCGCGGGTGGAGGCACTCTGGCTAACAATGACAACTCGGGAATATGCTGCTGCTGCTGCTGTTGTTGAGAAGTCTGAACCAACGATTGCTGGAACGGAGGCGACGTGATCGAAGGCGTTGAAGCTCCGTTAGCAAGCATCGATTGCTGTGTTCCGTTAGATTGCGAAGGAGCACTAGTAGCAGGCGTTGATTGGTTTCCATTGAAAAATGCAGATCCTTGTCTTCTTCTATCCCATTCGTTTGTGATCGGGGTGGGCAATCCAGTCGGAAGGGAGGAAGCTAGACCGGTGTTGATGGTCAACGACTCAGAGATGTTCTTAGTCGGCGTATTGTTTGCGGGAGAAGACCCACTCTTAGATGTACTAAGATTTTGCTGCGACGACGGTAGACCATTGCTTCCCGTGGACCACGGTCTGACCATCTGGTCGTACTCATTGTGCGAGTCCATCAGAAGCACACCTTTATTAGTCGATGCCAACAAAGGCGAAGTCAGTTGATCAAAGACGTTCTGCGTGGACGACGTTGAAGCCACAGAAGCAGTGTTCTGTTGCCCTGGTATCAACCCACCCGGCAGGGCAGAAGACGGTTGGGACGGCACAGTTTGAGGTTGCGATGCTGATGATGAAGTTGATGAAGTGGAAGAGCCGGGAGGGATATTTGGATTATTATGACCAGAAAATGGATCGCTGAAAAGAAATCTCGATCTTTGCGTGCTTAGCGGAGGTCTTTTATTCAGTCCAATATTCGATGTCTGAGGTGGGCCTAGCGAGCTAATTACCGGAAAAGCTGATGAGTTGTGAGATGGCGACGTTTGTGCATAAGGCGAACTAGCAAATGACGAAGTTTGATCAAGTTGGTCGTTGACCAATTCCACGTTGACCGGCTGATATGCAGTGCTGAACAAGCATTTGTCGTCGAGAAGCTGCGCAACTTGCTGTGCAGTTTTCAACGAGCTAAACTTGGCGATGATGACGGGGCTCGATGACACAGAACCATGACTAGAAAGCGATGTCGAGATCGGCCCGTTATTCAACGGCACGGGAGACGACCCATGAGTTGGCGAGTCCACTTCATGGACAACATCAACAAAAACAACCTCATCTAGGCACAGTGAAAATATGAGAAAAGCCTCCCGTAGTGTGGTGTCCGATGGCACATTTTTGATTTTCAACACAGCACTCGGTATGAGATTTGATGTCTTCAATGACAAGTTGGACATTTGTTCATTTAGTTTAGGCTCATCGTGGTTATCCTCCCTGGTGCTCGGGGTCAATGTGTCTTCCGACGTATTATTTAGCTTTGTTTCCAATTCTCCGGACATTGTTATGGCGATTATTATATGCACCTAAAATACGCGTTTTTTCGGTATAGCCCTGAAAAAAAAAGTTTTGAGCCAAACAGCCGAATGGAGATAATTGATAAGTCGATCGGTAATAAAACGTTGTGAACACTCGATAACGTCGAGAATCTGAATTTTCGTAACGTAGTGAACTGGAAGTATCTCACGTGGTAATAAAAGATTCTGTAACGACTCTTCCAGTACCCAATCCGATGGGAAAACCTTGCTGTTTGTTGATAGGTGGATTGATGTTTACTATAAATTGGAGCGATAAAAGCGTAACAAAGTCAACAAATTGAGAATTCAAGTTGACTGGCACCTAAAGTTATTAATTTGACCCTTTAAAAGGGATAGAGCATAGTATTATGGCAAGGTATCCGCTAGGTTGAAGATAGAGATAGGTTTAACTTTTTCTTTTGTGGAAATGGGAAAACGTCGATTTTTTTGCCCTTCCAGTCGGCCCAGTTTACGTAATGGCGATTCAAATTCTTATTGGCTGAAAATAACGCAGTTGGGGTCGATTTTATTGAATTTTGGCAGCACTTTCCTAAAACGATAAAATATACTGCCTAGCTCGGCCAGCCTCAAACGGGCTCGGCCGGGTAAGGTTTATCTCTAACAGTATTACCCTGACCATTTTCCACTGCACATGAACAATGCTGATCGATGCCTTCAAGCCAGCGGATTATGTAAGTTCTGTAAGTATATGTATCTAATTTATGCATGTCACAAAATCCATACATCAAGATACCACAACACTGACTTTGCAATTCTTGTGATTTGTCTTGTTTCTCTCCCCTTTAAATAGCAAGTTCGTTCCCTCAAATTACATTTGCTATTTTCTTATGTGTTCATCTTCTTTGCACATGGGAGGACAAGACAGAAGATTTGGCAAGCGCAAGACTCAATTTGCTACCAGACAGAAAAAATCACAGGGGAAAGATACAGTTAAGGTTGCAACTGGAGAAGCAGATTTGGAGAAAGACAAGGAGTCGATCGGGATTAATTATAACGATTTGGCGGTGTGTTGTCTTCCTTTCATCATCCCAGCCAACCATCAGATCAACGAAAGAAAGTATTCCAAAGACATTAACTTGAATTTATTATACAAAGAAACATCTAACCCCAGATCTCTTTCTTACAAGAGCGCAACTGAGATTAGCAGACAACACCTAATGAACGATTTGATTGGATCCATGCAGATGCTGGGACTCATTTCTGATTCGGCAGAGGAAAAACGGTCCAGATTTCCTTTATCTGGCCTGTACTACTCCGATTCTGAGGAACCAGATCTGGACGACGACGTGGATGTCGAAAACCGTCTTGCGCAAACCAGAATCAAGCACAGCAATTTATTTGACCCTATGGGAACTGACATGAAGACACAGAATACAGTGGACCTAGTTACCCACGAAGATCCTTTCAATCTCCAAACGAAGAACATGGGACAGTTAGGTTCAATGGTGCTTTATTGAGCCCGCTTTCATTTGCATTTTCGCTATATTTAATCTCACTCAACGCAATTGCTGTGATTGATGAGCGGAGCTTTGCCATCAGATATTGATAATTCGCAACACTTCGTCATCTCGCCCCTTCGATAAGGATTTTTTCGCATTCTCTTCGAGCGATATGTTGACTTGGATCAACCACTCACTTCTGAGAACTTCATTGGCAGTGAGTCTTCCATCTGGAGCTGGGTTCAGCATCTTTACGACAGTTTGTCTGCTAATTTCCGGCAGTTTCAAGAAAGTCGAGTCTAAGTTTTTGTTTAGTTGGTAGGAGTCTAGCTGATCCAGCGATGCCAACTCAAATTTACTTCTATATTTTTTGAACTCATAGTCCTTGGAAGTTGCAGCTGCCCATGGTTTCTGTAAGATGGCGATGTTAAAGTACAGGATGGCTAGGGCCCAAACGTCGATGGCTCTGTAATTGATTTTCGTTGCGTCGATTTGGTCGTCGGCGACATTTTTGTATTCGTACAGTTCAGGCGATTTGAAGGAGGTGGTCCCGAGCGAGAGGAACTCTGCCGTTACCGTGTAGCTCTCTATGCGGGTCAGGTCCATAGCGTTGCCAAAGTCGCCCAGCTTGAGCTCGCCCTTCTCATCAATCAGAAAATTCTCGGGCTTGATGTCTCTGTGCACTATATTTCTCGAATGAAGGAACTTGATGGCCTGGGCGCACTTGAGGAAAAGGAAGTCTTTGTTCTGAGTTGAAATTTGCAGATTCAGTTTTCGAGCTTTAGATAGCAGCGACAAGAGGTCGCCGTTTTTGCAGTACTGGATCAATATGGAGTAGACGGGCTCGTCTTGGCCGGTTTCCAAAAGAAACTCGTAAACACCCAGCACACTGGCGTGTCCCTGGACGGCTTTCAGTGTGGCAAATTCATTGAGCGAGTTGAACAGGTACGTTCTGACGGACTCTTGTGGTCTGCGCTTGAATCTCTTGAGGACGACTACTTGGTTGCGATCCGAATTCAGACGGCACTTGTAGATCGTCCCGCCCGAGCCCTGGTCGATTTCGCTCTCCTTCGACACGAGCGAGTCGACAGAGGGGACGTTTAGTTCGATGTCCTGCGCCGAGCCGAGCCGTGCAGGCGACGAGAGTTTCTCGAATAGCCGGTCTACCTCGTACATTTGCTGGTTCTGCAATTGCAGTCGAAAACGAGTATGTCTGGTTTCCCAACTGGGACATTCACAGAGGGAGGGAGGTGCAGGAGAAGAAACGAAACCTGGCCCCCACTATTTTTACAATTGGATGGCATATAGCGGCCAGTGCAAAGGTGTGGTATTTTTCTAAATTTTGTAAGCTCTAGAACATCTGCCCATTCCCGCAAATGACGACCGCAGTCCCCGAAGTCTCAGTCTCGGTCGTCACTCCGGCGCAGAGCGCTGCCTCGCCCGACCATCTCAAGTCGCCGTGGCTGGTGAAACGGCTGTTTGATGCGTTTGCAGACGCCGTTGTCGAGCAATCGAACGAGGCAGGGATCCCTGGGAATCGCAGCAAGTCCTTGATCTCGTACTGCATTTCGCCGTTTGCGCTGCTCTGCATGCTGACGGCGACCGTTCTCAACCGCATAGTCATTTTTGCAAGCACAAGAACCAACAAGAGACTGCCGAGAGTGTCCAAGATCCTGCTGCGTCTGACGGCGATCTACCTGCTGATGGAGGGCAGCTACGGGCTTCTTGCGGCGCTCAAACTTTACACGCAGTCGCCGCTGCTCAAAAGGCTGATTCCACGCTACTACGACTTCGACAAGGACACCTTTGCCGGCTACACGTTTCTCGGGCTCAGCTACAGCCCGGAGTATTTCGCGCGAACGACGGTCTTCAAAGACAAAAAGACAACGTTTTACGGCCCCACGCCGGCAATTCTCAAACCGTTTTACTTGGCGCTGTGCCTCAGCCAGGTGCTAGAGACGTTTGTTGCCGTCACGAGCGGGTCTGAGGCCTGCATCGAGAACGGGCTCACGCTGTTCGAGTACTCGCTGGCGTTCCAGGAAGTGCAGACGGCAAACCGGCCGTCGACGGAGCTGTTGCTCATCGGGGCCACCGCGCTCGCGCACCAGCTCAACATCCATCTGCTGGGTCTCTTTGACAAGCAGAAGTACCGGCTTATTTTTTCCACGCTCATCGGCACCTTCACATTGACACTTTACACCAAAACGTTCATATCTGGCAGAATCACGTACATGCCGTTCACCGTTGTGATGGGCTACCTGCCGCAGATGATCACGCTGCTCGTGATCGTGTCCAGTCTGCTCATTTTCCTGCTCGCGGCGCTGTTCAAAGGCTCGTTCTCCGACCTCACTTTCAGCACGCTGACCCAGCACCTCGACTCGATCGACGTCTCCCTTGCAGACGATTTCTACACGGCCCTCATCAACATGGGCACGTTTGTCATCAACGCCGCTTCCAAGCAGAGCTACGTCAAGGAATTCGACACCGTCAAAGTGCCTGCCACCACCTACCTCGAGGCTGCACAGCCCGGGTACGGCAGGAAAATCGACAACCATCCGGAGCTGGCTGCGTACCAGCTGCAGCAGCGGAAAAAACAAACCAGGCTGTGGATGGTGATGCGGCGGGCACAGGATATGCGGCGACTGCTGTTTGGTTTCGCCAAGCTGCTTGGCGGGCTGGTCTGGGGACGACACCCCGTTGCTGACGACGATCGCGTCGTGGACGACGTGCGCGAGGAGGATTGGCGCAAGCTGCGCGAGCGTAACGCCCAGATGCTGCTGGGCGAGCGTGTGGACGTTGACGAGCTCGACGAGCAGCAGCTGCAGCAAAACTACGCACAGCTCTTGCTCAGCTACCAGCTGTCGGACGTCGACTCCTCGGCAGACTACAGTCCTGAATTCTTGGAGAGCGAGAGCGAGCCGGAAGACGAGAATGCCGTCGAGAGTGTCGTCGACAACGAGCTCGGCCAGCTGGTGTCTGCGCATGACCTGGAGTCGTTGGTCGATCCGCGGTCGCCAGAAGAGATCCAGTTCGCCCGCATTCTACAGCAGCACCTCCATTCGTCGTCCACGCTCACGCGGCGCAGGTTCAGCGAGAACTACACGCCCGACCTGCGGCTCATGGACCTCATCAGAGAGAAACGCGTCGTCCGGGACGAAGACCTCGGCAACTGCGTGATATGTCACGTGAACGCGCGTCAGGTGATCCTGTGGCCGTGCAAATGTCTTGCCATCTGCGAGAGCTGCCGCGTGTCGCTGTTTGTGCGCAACTTCAACGAGTGCGTGTGCTGCCGGTCGAAAGTCGACGGGTACAGCAAGGTGTATATTCCATGAGCTCCCTGGTTTTGGAGCCCTGGAAAGATAATGGCTCGGATGTATTTATTACTAAAAAGTAAACAAGGCGTGCGTGGCCCAATACTTTGGCGTTGGGCAAATGTTTTTTTTCAAAAGCAGTAGTTGATTTGTTTACATTTGTTAAAACAAGATACCACGGCCTTTTTATTGGAACCATTAGATTTAAAAAGGTCTTTAAGCTTTAACAACACCGCAAGTTGCAATGAGAGAAATTGTAAGTGTGCCAGGCGTGGGTGTGTGACGCGTATTTCGCGCGGCATCCGCCTAAAATCCACAACCCACCGCACGAAAGTTGCGGTGGGTGTTTGAAGCAAATACTAACTGTCTCAAGATCCATTTGTCTACTGGCCAGTGTGGTAACCAGATTGTAAGTATAGTCGACTCGTCTTAAGAGTGCTAACGTATCAGGGTGCTGCCTTTTGGGAAACCATTTGTGGCGAACACGGTCTAGATGCTGACGGAAACTACCACGGAACAGATGACATCCAAAAGTCTAGGCTCAACGTCTACTACAACGAAGCAAGCAGTGGAAAATACGTGCCAAGAGCAGTTCTCGTTGATTTGGAGCCGGGCACCATCGACACTGTCAAATCGTCGGAGTTTGGTAACTTGTTCAGACCAGATAATCTTATATACGGCCAGTCCTCTGCTGGCAACGTTTGGGCTAAGGGCCACTACACAGAAGGTGCAGAGCTTGTTGACTCTGTTTTGGATGTTGTCAGAAGAGAGGCTGAAGGCTGCGACTCCTTGCAGGGTTTCCAAATCACCCACTCCTTGGGTGGTGGTACCGGCTCTGGCATGGGCACTCTGCTGATTTCCAAGATTAGAGAGGAGTTCCCCGACAGAATGATGGCCACCTTCTCTGTGATGCCTTCTCCAAAAGTCAGCGACACCGTCGTGGAGCCGTACAATGCTACGTTGTCTATCCACCAACTGGTCGAGAACTCGGACGAGACCTTCTGTATCGACAACGAGGCCTTGTACGACATTTGCGTCAGAACTTTGAAATTGAACCAACCATCCTACAACGACTTGAACCACCTCGTGTCCTCAGTTATGTCTGGTGTCACCACTTCGCTCCGTTTCCCAGGACAATTGAACTCCGATCTCAGAAAGCTAGCCGTGAACCTTGTGCCATTCCCAAGGTTGCACTTCTTCATGGTTGGCTATGCTCCGCTGACCTCCATTGGATCGCAATCGTTCAGATCGCTGACTGTCCCGGAACTGACCCAGCAAATGTTCGACTCTAAAAACATGATGGCTGCTTCGGACCCAAGAAAGGGAAGATACCTCACTGTTGCTGCTTTCTTCAGAGGTAAGGTTTCTGTGAAGGAGGTCGAGGACGAGATGCACAAGGTCCAGACCAAGAATTCCGACTACTTTGTTGAGTGGATTCCAAACAACGTTCAGTCTGCCGTTTGTTCTGTTGCTCCTAAGGATCTCGACATGTCCGCCACGTTCATTGGAAACTCGACTTCCATCCAGGAGCTGTTCAGAAGGGTCGGCGACCAGTTCAGCGCCATGTTCAGAAGAAAAGCGTTCTTGCACTGGTACACTTCCGAGGGTATGGACGAGATGGAGTTCACCGAGGCTGAGTCCAACATGAACGACCTTGTCAGCGAGTACCAGCAATACCAGGACTCCAACGACATTGACGAGGAATTGGAATACGCTGATGAGGCTCCATTGGAGGATATGATGGAGTAAGCGCAAGGTATCTAATTTTCCGCTTGGTTGAGTTTCATTTCTTTGGGTTAATGCGAGATTCCCCCCTTGTGCCTTGCTTTTGATAGCCGAACACTTGCAGACGACATACGAATGGGACTCTGCCAGAAATCTGTCTCGACTAGTTTTATTCAATATACCCCCTTAAGTTGTCAAGTAATCTATAATCCTGGTTTTCTGTTCAAGGCTGTGTTGTCGGCATTTTAGTCTTTAAATGTTTTGGCCCAACCTCGTTGTCTTGTGCCAGACGCTCCCCGAGGTCCAGGAATTGGCCGCGCGGCCGGTTTCCAAAGACCGTTCGGCGATGATCACGTACGATCCCACGCCGCACCGCGACCCGATTCTCCAGGTCGTCACCAATGTCCCCAACTTCCCGTACGTTGTGATGACGTATCGATCGCTGTACCTATTCGACTCCCGGACAAATGCTCCCATTGGAGCGCACATACGCTCTAACAACTCGCTGGAGGAGTTTGGGTCCAATTTGAAAATCAAGCGCTCTCCGAGTGGAAAACAGTTTGCGGTGGAGACTTCCAAGAACATACTTCTTATATTTACTCTACGGAGCGAGCTGAGCGACGAGCTGCTCACAATCTTCAACACAGAGGGTAAGGTGATACAGAACGGGCTGCCTGTTTTGACCGAGACGGCCAATGGTGCGAGCGGACCGGACAATCTGGTGAAGAGCTTCATTAACGTGCTTCTTAACGAGAACCAGATGGAGCTGCCGAACTATGACTACGGGCTTCGTCTGAAACTTCTTCTGAATGTTCAGAGCCCACTGGCGGACTATTTCTTCTCTTCCAATGGACACCTCCTGCTGGTGAACTCCGATCCGCATGCTTTCCAGCTGATTCAGCTAGCGTCTTCTCCGTCCCAGTCCGATATCGACGCCAAAGACGAGGGCAAGCACATAAAATTCATTCTGGTCAATGAGCTGGAGTGGTACAAAAGCAACAGCGGGGCAGTGACACGGGAATTGTTCTATAGCTACGAAATGGGCTGTTTCCTGTGGCTGGACCAGAGCGGTGGCTGCTGGATAGTCCAGAAGCGCGGCGGCACCGACAACGTGGACTTCATTGGCGAGCAGGTGCACCGTGCCGATGACGGCAGGGCTGTTAAGTGTCTGGTGAACCATTCTAAAAACCTGGCGTATTTTGGGCTCGAGAACGGGGACCTCGTGGTGGTGCAGCTGCTGCACGACATGACGGTGAAAAAATTAAAGGTGGTCAAGAAACACGTTTCGTCGCACGGGCTGCGGGATCTGGTGCTCAGCCCGGACGGCGACTCGCTGATCGCGCTGTACGAGAACGGCTGGAACGTGTACTCGACGCTGGGGAATTTGAATTTCTCGACGTACGACTACGAGAGCGCGGACTGGCTAAAGCCCGACAACATCGGGTTTCTGAACAATTTCGAGCTGATTCTCTCTGTTGGTAGCAAGCTGTACAAGCTGAACCTGATCACTCTGAACCACTCGCGGTTCCTGAGCTCGGCAACATTCAAACGGCCCGTCCTGATGGCCGCCGACCGGCTCTCGCTGTTTCGCGCGCTCGACAAAAACCTCATGGACCATTTGAAGGGCAAGTCCACAGTGACCAACAAGGAGACGAGTATTTGGCTGGACGTGATGCTGCCGCTCTCGTTCTACATCGGCAACCGCGACATCCGCTGCTGCGCAATGAGCGACGACGGGAACAACGTGTGTCTTGTTGGTAGCAGCGACGTTTTCGTATACAGTCTGCTGACCGACGAGTGGAAGGAGTTAAAACTGACCGAGAAGGGCGACAAGCCGGAGACCAACCCGGTGCGCGTTTGCACGTGGTGGAAGAACCACTTAATTCTAGGGTCCAGGACGTTTGAGACCGAGGCCAAGTCGGAGGTGATCTTATTTTCCAGCAAAATTCTGAGCAAAGGCGTTCCGTTCACGTACGAACAAATTGTGTGGGGGTTCAACTTTGCGGATACCGCGTTCGACGAGAACTTCTTGCATCTCAACATTGACTTAGCGGGCGACGAGCTGCTTGTCATGAGCGACCGGTTGAACTGCTACACGTGGAAAATGAGCTTCAGCAGCCGGGGCCCCGGCTCGAGCTCTATATTGCTGAAAAAATCCAACGTATACCAGCTGCGCAACTGCTTTGAGGGCGACATCGAGTCGGTGGTACGCAACTTCAGGGCTGTCGTGAAAATCAACGAAGAGGACCTCCTGGTGCTGTCGAATTGCGAGCTGGCGTACATCCGCAAAGAAGTTTTGTCTGTGCGCGAAAAGGTGGTTTATCACTCGTATCATGTGAGCTCTACCGTGGAGTATGTGGCGAAGCTCACCCCGACCCTGGTGGCCGTGTTTGACGGCTGCGAGATCTGGCTGTACGACTTTACGAACGAGAAAAATATGATGAAGATCCTGCCGATCGCTGTCCAGACGGGCAACCAGACGCAGGTGAGCACGAACGGCGTGCTGGTGGTGGAGTCGAACGGCACCAACTCCTACCCGCTGACGATGCTGAGCGACAAGAACATGATCTTTGGCATTGAAATTGACTCGGCCCAGGGCTCGAACCTCAAAGTGGAGCCGACGCGCAAAAACTACCTCAACAACGTGCTGGACCACTATATCCGGCTCAATCTCGAGGTGGACCAGGGCAACAACAACAACATTCTGAGCCTGTCGTCGATCTACAAGCGTTTCCACCGGTTCAAGCACTTTGTGTTTGTTCTGGAGCTGCTGCTGATGAACTACATCCAAAAAAGCTACGACGGCCAGGACGACGGGCCGGAGTACTTTGACCGGCTGATCAAGCTCATCAAAATGACGGGGATCGAGTATTCCGTGTACCTGAACTGTCTCAAGAAGATTGAGGTCCACTACTGGTCCACGTTTTTCACACGGTACTCAGAGAGTCCGCGAGACATGCTCTCCAAAATTTACAACGTCGACAAGGACTTCACGCTGTCGGCGCACTACTTCATCATCATGCTGAACTACGAGCAGACAGACGAGAAGATCGACGAGAAGGACGTCCAGCTCATTAACGACATCCTGGTGAAACTGGTGCTGACCAAGGATTTCGAGACGTCGTTCGAGCTCGTGCGCTTCATCAAGCTGATCGACGACAAGATATGCAACCGCATCATCGGCAGCCTCGAGTCGGAACTCCACACTTACTCCAACGGCCGGATAAATAAATAGAAATGAATAGACAGCTATCTAACTAGCGCCCTTGAGGAACTTGTCGATGAAGGAGTCGTTGGCGGTATGGTCGTACGAGCTGAACGGCTCAAAGTACATCATCACGTGGCATTGCTGTTTCCAGAAGTTCACCAGCTCTTGAAACTCCATCTGCGCTTTCATGTACAGCACATTCTGCACGGCCAGGTCGTTCACAAACCGCTGTCTCTCAAACTCCTGACGGATCTTCGTCTTGACCTGGGAAGCAGGCACATCCAGGTCATAGTTGTTCACAAAGTTCCGCGAGTGTCTCAGATACCGTCTATACAGGTTGAGCACGCGGATGCGCATCTCTGCGCTAGACGTGGAAAACCGCGTGGTCTCTGCAAAAGCTGTAGGAAGCGTCATATCAAGGAGAGATAAGTTATTTTTTCTCCGCTTTTTGGGGACTATATATTATTTCTCTCCAAAATAATTATTTTTATTTGTGATGGAGTCCTGTGCTATTTATCGGAACCCGTCCGTATTTGGGTTTTTGATAGGCTCCCTGCTGGCATTGGGCATCTATGTGTCCTACATACCTCAACATGTCAAGATCATCAACCGAAGAACGAGTGAGGGCCTGTCGCCACTGTTTCTGCTGCTGGGGTCCACGTCCGGGTTCTCTTCTCTTGTTAACCTGCTGCTGGTCAGCTCTCCCGCACGCACTTGCTGCTTGAGCGAGCTCAACAAGTTCCAGTGCATCTACTCCCAACTTGGGCTTATACAGGTCGCCGCCCAAGCCATTGGCTACTCGCTCATCCTGATCCTCTGCGCGTACCTCACAAGACCCCCTATAGACGTTCCTGGCTCGAACGAGGAGCAAATAGGCAAGGCGTACCGCGTATTTCTCCTCTACGTGGCTCTCAACGCTGCCCTCGCAACCTACTTCCTTTTTTTCAACGCCGATTTCAAGAGAACAATGGCTTTCGCCAAGATCAGTGGAGTGTTGTCCACTGTCCTCGCTACGGCACAGTACCTGCCGCAGATCCACACCACCTACACGCTCAAACACGCAGGAACTCTTTCCATGTACATGATGCTACTGCAGACCCCAGGCGGGTACCTGTGGAGCTTTTCGCTGTTCATGCAGCCCGGCTCGTCGTGGAGCAGCTGGCTGCCCTACTTCATGGCCGCCAATTTGCAGCTCGTGCTCCTGATCATGTGTCTATACTACAAGGGCCACAACCCAGAAGAAACGCCGTTGTTGCGATGACAGTCTAACTTCACACAGAAATTGTCTTCCAGACATTCAAGCCGTCCGTCCCCGTGCTGACCAAGGCACCGGGAATTTGCTTGTGCCATCTCACGTCCTTAACGTCTTTCTGCCAATGCACGAACAGCAGCTGTGGCGGGATGTCGGACAGCTCCTTGGACTCCTCTTTCTGCTGCATGATCTCCTCGTCGTCGGCCTCCACAGCCAGATCCCATAAGGTCACCGTGTTGTCCTCGGACGAAACAGCAACAATAGACTCGTCCAACGGGTTAAATGCAATGGAAGTGATGGCAGACTTGTGGAAATCGTAAGAGACAACAGGAGAAGGCTGGCTGCCAGGCTGGAAGTTTCTGAGGTCCCAAACGCCCCACGTTCCGTCGTCATGGCCAGATGCTAGCAGATAGTCGAGCTTGTCGCACCACGAGATCACGTTCACGTCCGTCTTGGAGGCCACGACGTTCAGCGCAGGCTTGTGCTTCTTGGATCTGGTATCCCATATCCTGACATAGCCGTCTGTTCCTGCGGTTGCAAAAACAGTCGTTTCGGACCGAGACCATTGGATGTCCTCGATCGATGCGTTACTGGCCTGATAAGCCGTTTTGTCCGTCACCCACTTGCTACCGGTGCCGTTCGTCAGGTGAATTCTGCCTGACATGTCTCCACTCAGCAGTGCACCAGAGTCTACAAGCGGCGACCAGTCGAGTCCATATCCCTCGACGTTCCCGTGGTTCTTGACTATATGCAGCGGCCGCTTGTTCTGTTTCGGGATCATGTACCCAGGAGTGTCGAAGGCCTTCATTTGCGCGCTCAAATCGAAAATCAACACCTCGGCACTCTCAGACATCGTGGCAGTGTAATACTTGCCTGTTTTCTGTGCTAGAGGAAACACACGGAGTCTGTTGGTCGTGTGGCTCAGAGAAATTGTCTCGCTTTCCAGAATAGGGTCGTGCTCGTCCTCATCGTCATCCTCGTCCTCTTCGTCCTCTTCGTCATCGTCTTTCACCAGAGTCTTGGCCAACGACGACAGCTTCATCACGATCATCTCATTGTCTTTGCTTCTTTGAGCCTGCGTGGCGGTGGTCACGTACATCGTGGCCGGGTATCCCCGTCTCTCAGAGCCTAGATTATCCGGCATCACATCCAGGGTGAGACAGGGCCACGGCATGTTCACGTTGTGCAGCATTTCATAGACACTGGGGTCTGGCTCGAGCACCTCATCTGGTCCCAGGGGTCTAGATCGATGAGGCAAATAGAGCTCCTTTTGGCCTTGAGCAGGATCTGTCTCTTCCTCATTTGCCTTTTGCAGCGCCTCCTGCACTTCCTCCATTGGCTGGTCGTTGTCTTCCTCGCCAGAGGTGTCTATCTCGATGATTTCTCCTTCACTCTCATAGTCGTCTCCGGAAAGGTCTTCCATGTCGCCCTCCACCTTCGAGCGGTAGTCGTCGACATCCTCTGCCATGTGTGTTTCTGTGCTGGCATTTGGGTCTCTCTTTGCGGAATTGCCGTCCGCAACGTCCTCCGCTGCTCTTTTGGACATGCTCGAAGATAATCTTTTTTTCAAAAAATTTTTTTTATAGCCAGCCTAAAATGGAAGTAATACATAGATTAAATTTATTTGAATGGAGAGAAAAAGCTTCCTCGATCAGGAGCCGCCGCCAGGTTATATCGCCGGTATAGGCCGTGGAGCCACTGGGTTTACTACACAGGCGGATCTGGGGGGCTCTCGACGGCTTCCTGCGGGCTCGTTTGCACCGGAGGACGACAACAACGAGGACGACGAAGAGAGATTTCTAGACGCGGATGATGACGATACAGGCCGCTTCGGCAGCATCGGCGACGACGACGACGAAGCAGACCGGATATACGATCAAATTGAGGCCAAATTGCATCGGAAAAAGGCCAGGCCCAGGAAAAGAGTGTTGAAGGATGCTCCGAAGGACGAAAACAAGGTCCAACCGCAGGATATCAGTATTGGCCAGTCCATCCGCACAATCGGGGAGGAGTTCAAGGAGTACAAGGAGAAACTTTCGGAGGTTTCCGCCGAGGACTGGCTGAACCTGCCGGACTCTGGGGATTTCACGAAACGGAATAAAAGAGCACGCAAGGAGATGCAGGAGCGCCAAAGATTTTACAGAAACTCGGATTTCGTGACGAGCGGACTACGCGATGTGGGGAGCACAGGGGACCAGGCCCTTCTGGATGAGAAGGACGTGGATCTAACTGGGCTCTCTGTTGCGAAGGAAAAAGTGCTGGCCGGACAGCTAACGAGTCTCCGAGACGACAAGGCCGAGTCTGTGGACGCGGAGACATATTTGAGCCAGCTGCAAGAGGTTCCGGGCGAGATCAGCACGGAAATCGGGGACTACCACAAAACGCGGACACTTTTCGCCAAGATGCGAGAGACTAATCCATACAAGCCAGACGCGTGGATAGCCAGTGCGCGGCTTGAGTACGAGGCGAAAAAATACAAGCGTGCGCGGGAACTGATCCAGCAGGGCTGCGAGAAGTGTCCAAAGTCCGAGGAGGCGTGGCTGGTGAACATCGAGATGAACAAACATGACGTTTCTGTGTGCAAGGTGATCGTCGCCGAGGCGGTGCGATACAACGCCAAGTCGGTGCGCTTGTGGCTCTGTGCTGCTTCTTTGGAAGCGGACAGTATATCTAAAAAGCGGATTTTGCGAAAAGCTCTCGAGTTCCTGCCACGGAGCAGCGAGCTGTGGCTGGAAGTGGTGAAGTATGAAGATGACGAGACAATGGCGCTGCGGATGCTTCAGAAAGCGACAGAGTTGGTTCCTGGCAATGTCTCGCTGTGGCTTGAGTACGCAAAGCGCGGGGACTCCAAGCAGATTCTTGAACAGGCTTTGGAAAAGGTTGACTCTGCCGATGCGCACATCCTCTGGATAGAAATGGCCAAGGAGGAGGAGCAGCGGACTGGCAACGAGGTCAAAATCGGCCGCATTGTGGAATCTTGCTTTGAACACACGTCTTTGGACAGAGAGACGTGGCTGGATATCGCGTCGCAGTGCGAAAAAGATGGCTCTTCGCTGGTAGCCAGAGCCATTGTGTTCAGCAGCATGAACCTGGGCGTTTCTGACGACGACAAACTCGATATTTGGAAAGCTGACGCCTTGGAGAGGCCGCCTGAGATATCCAGATCAATATACATGTTCATCACGTCAAACTTTCCGCATGATATCGAAAGCTGGATGAATTTCATCAAAATGGAGAAAACACTCAAACAGTACGACCAGCTCTATGTTGTTTATCAGATGGCCACTCGCGCAAATCCAAAATACGAGCTGTTCTACCTGATGTACGCCAAAGACAAGTGGAAAGAGGACGGCGATGTTGAGAAAGCAAAGGCAATTATTGCAGAGGCGCTGGAGGTGAACCCGGAATCCGAGGATCTCTGGTTTGCAGCACTAAAGCTGCGGTCTGGAGAAGAAGCAAGAGAGCTGTTTGCCAAGTGCAGAGAACTCCTCGGCGGAAAGACTGCTCGGGTGTGGCATAAAAGTGTCACTTTTGAGAGACAGAACGAGAATCGGGCAGCCGCCAAGAACCTTGCCGAGCAGGGCATCCAGCACCATCCAAAGGAGTCCAAACTGTACCTGCAATGGGGCCAGATTTTAGAGGAAGAAAACGAGCTGGCCGCGGCTGCAGAAATATACCACAAAGGAACGCTGATGTGTCCAAATAGACCGCTACTCTGGGTTCATCTCGTTCGGGCATACGAGAAGCTGGGCAATCTGCTCAAAGCTCGCTCGATTCTGGACCAGGCGGTGATTTCCAATCCGTTCAGTGACCAGATCCAGCTGGAACGTGTGCTGCTGGAAGAAAGAGCACACAATCGGTCCCAAGCCGAGCGCATCCTGGCCACTGCTCTCAAAAAGCTTCCCAACTCTGCACTGCTGTGGCGCCAGAACATCCTCTACGCAAGACCGTCGCACCGCAAGAACTTGTACACCACGGCTCTGAACTGCACCGACGACCACCCGATGATTATTCTCACCATTGCCAAAGATATGTGGCTTTCTGGCAAGATTGCGCGCGCAAAGCAGTTTTTCGATGCCTGCTACGAAAAGGACGCCGCCTATGGCGACTACTACATCCACTACTATGCATTTCTGATGAAACATGGCACGAAGGGTGAGATTCAGGAGCTCGAGGCTCGCTTCACGGAAAACGATCCGCACTCCGGCGAGGAGTGGTGTGCACTAATGAAAGACGTCCATAGGAAGGACACGGACTTGGAGTTGTTGAGAAAGGCAGCAGAGAGGGCAGCAGGGAAGACGTGATTAGACTGCAGTTGCCTGTAGATAGATGTACATTAGTTGTATTATTAATTTGGCAGCAAAATAAATCATAGCCTGTGCTTAGCCGAATATTCAGGCGCAAAAAGAGCCCCTTGTCAGTGTGGCAAGCCTTCGCCGGTGAAGCGTTTGTTAGGTGAGCAGGCGCGGTTGCAAGATGAGCGAAAGAGAAAATTGGCTGCTCATGCGTATCCTGCAACGCGACACAAAAAATGTTGCGTCGCCGCATCGGGTCAAATAATTTCTCATTTATTCTTTATTCTCTGATGAACAGATTAGTTGGCATGCGGCCCGGCTGGCGGGTGACGCCCCGCGCCACCGCACGGACGAACGCGGGACTCCTTTGGGAGGGCAGACTCTATGCGACGGTCAAGACGGACAACATCGACTGGGATCCCATGAAGACCTCAAAGCAGTTGATCAAGGGAAGGGAGTTGCAGTCGAAAACTAGCAGACGAATATTCTTTGGTCTTCTGTGCTTGACCCCCGTAGTGACGTTCTTGCTTGGTTGCTGGCAGTACCGACGTCTGAAATGGAAGAACAAGCTGGTTGCCGACTGCGAAGACAGACTCACGTACAAGCCGCTTCCGTTGCCCAAGTCGGTCACACCAGACCAAGTGGGCGATCTGGAGTACCGCAGAGTGCTTCTCACGGGCAAGTTCGACTACAGCCGCGAGGTGTTTGTGGGCCCTAGACTGGAGAACGGCCAGAAAGGATACTTATTGATCTGTCCCCTGATCCAGTCAAACGGAGCAGGCGAAGTGCTCGTCAACCGTGGCTGGATCAGAGAGGACAGGGTGATTCCCGAGAGCAGACGGCTGCAGCACCTCTCGTGTCCGCAAGGCGAAATCACCATCGAGTGTCTGCTGAGAGTTCCTCCGTCCAAGGGCAGATTCCACATGGAGCACGAACAGGGCTCGAAACTCTACACGTACCTCGATCTGGACGCGATGGCAGAGGAATTGCACTCACGGCCGCTCTACGCCGTCGCCATCCAGAACTTTAAGGACCATCCGGAATGGCTACCGGAGAAAGAGCAAGAGAGCAATTCATGGTGGAAATTCTGGGCCAAACCGCCACCTCCTAAGGAGGTGGTCGCACAGGATCCAGACGCAGAGTTTAGTCCTTTGCAGTTCATGAGCGCAGGCGTGCCTCTGGGAAAAACGCCGACCGTGGACTACACGAACAACCATATGCAGTACATGGTCACGTGGTGGGGTCTGTGCTTCATCTCCACCATTTTGCTGCGCGTGGTGATCAAGAACAGCAAGGTGATCAATCCAAAGATGGAAAAGATGGAGAAGCTCAAGCACGCCAACAAGTACCTGGGCTAGTCTGTACATAATATTACTCGTCTGACATCCGTGCACCGATGCGTAGCGACGCGTATTTGCTTACGAAAAATAAAAAACACAGTATTTCTGTTGATGAGACCGTTGGAAAACGAGGGAACGAGCTCGCGGCTGCCGATAGTGCGGCCGGCCACGCCGAACCAGAACCGACGCAGCATGCGGTCGTCCAACCTGATAGGCACGTCCACGTCGCCGGCGTCCAAACAACAGCACTATCCTCTATCGTCGCCTTATCGTTCGCAGCACAACCCGCCCTCTCTGTCGACTCCGGGGTCTTTAGCGCAGAGCGACTCAACGGAAGCCGCGCAAGACGGAGCCCCAGCATCTGGCGAGTCCGATCTGCCGTTTTTCGACAAGGCCCGACAGTTTGAGTTCATCGACCATCTGGACAGTATCCACATGAAACTGTTGAAGCTGAACGAGATCCACGAGTCGCTGACAAATTTCAACGAGTCGTTTGGCTCGTTTCTGTTCGGTCTCAATATCAACGCATGGTGTGTGAATTTTGAAGAGGCACCAATTCCAAAGACATGGAACCAGAAACAGCAGTTGGACGAGATCCAGACCAAGATCGACTCTCTGCAAGCAGAGGTCGAGAAGCTCGAACGAGAACGCAAAGACAGAACGACTATGCCTCCCCCAGGGCCCGGTAAAAGCGCGCAGACAAGACAAACGCCCGCCAGACGATCGTATCTTCGAGGCAGTAGCCGCGTCGCTCCAAGCTCTACAAGACGCCAGTCGTCGATTCCGAAGCTGGTGAGATCGCATTCGTCGTCGCTGAACCAGACGCCGGTACAGAAACCGGCCGCAACGCCCGGCAGCAGACTCAATCTGTCCTCTGCGAAAAAGTCAAGCGTACGACCGGGAAGCTCGCAGGAGGACGAAAAATGGCAAGTGAAGGGACGCAAACCTTTTAGATGAATACATAATCACGGCTTAGGAATTTTCAAGCTCTTGCTAATCATCAGGCAGCCCTGGACGAAGAACAGCCCGCTGAAAGGGTGCCACTCATAGAATTTGCCCTCCCACAGGAGTCCCCATGGCAGATTGGCGGCGGTCCACTGCTTGTAAACAAGGAACGACATCAAAAACACGAGCCACATGGATGAAGGAATCGGCAGTCCCTCGAAATACTTGGACTTGCCGGTGAAGTCCTTGGGAATATTGGAGACGGTGACGTTGAACCTGGCGAGCCTGCCGAGCCCGCAGAGAACGCAGAAGGTGAGACAAAGGGCGTCGAGAGTCGTTTGGAGCCCTAGGGCAAACGCAATCGAGGCGGGAGCAACTCCGAACGAGATCAGGTCTGCGAGCGAATCGAGCTCCTGGCCAATCAGAGAGGCCTTGTTTCTGAGCCTGGCGACCTTCCCATCAAAGAAGTCGAAAAACAGGCCCAGCAAAATGAAGAAGATGGCTCGTTGCACGTAATGATTCTGATTCGTTAGCGTGAACCTGAGACAGGAAATGATCGAGTAAAAACCACTAAAGCCGTTCAGCATCGTGATGAAGTCGGCCATGTGTAGGTTTCTAATGAACGACAGATGTCTGCTGTCCGAAGTGAATGCTATAATGTCGGTTTCGTTGGGCGGAGGCAGGGGCTCGTCGGTCAGAGAGAAGATTGAGGACATCGACGAGGACCGTCTGGTCTTGATGCTCTCTGTGGCCGCACCTTCAGAATCAGAGGCGTCAGACATCGCCGACTCCGGCGGTGGAATTGAGGCTTTTTTAGCGGTTCGAGACGGCCTTTGGGACATGGAGAGATGAGCAGAAGCAAGCAATAGCGGTGTGTTTATTTTATTTCTTTTAATAACACAACAAGCCGGTGTACGGGTGCTGTAAGGACTACACACTTCTCACCACCTCGTCGATACATTTGGCCACATGCGTGACGTTGCCCTCGTTCAGCCCGGCAATGCTGGCTCTGCCCGAGCTGACCAGGTACACGCCGTGCTTCTTCTCTAGTCTCTCGACCTGCGCCGGCGTCAAACCGGTGAAGGAGAACATGCCCTGTTGCTCGACGATGTGCTTCCAGGAGCCCGGGGTGCCGAGCTTCTCGAGCTCGGCCGTGAGCGTCTGGCGCATCTCGGAGATTCTCGAGCTCATCGTCACCAGGTCGTCCTCCCACTGCTTCATCAGCTCGGGCGTGTTGAGGATCAGAGACACGATCTTGGCTCCGTACGCTGGCGGGTTCGAGATCTCCGCCCGGATGATCTTGGACAGCTGCGAGTGCACCGCCCTGTTGAGCGCTGCGCTGTGTTCTGGCAGCACCACGTGCACGGCGCCGACTCGTTCGCCGTACATGCCGGCGTTCTTGGCGAACGACTGGCACACAATGACCGGGAAGCGGTAGTTCTTGTCGACGGCCTCGCGCACGGCCCACGCGTCCTTGTCGAGCGACCCGGACGAAAAGCCCTGGTACGCGGAGTCGAACAACGCCAGATGCTTGCCTTTCTCGATTGCCTGCAGAATTGTGAGCCACTGGTCCGGCTTAGGGTCGAGCCCGGTCGGGTTGTGGGCGGTCGCGTGGAGCACGAACACAGAGCCCTCTGGAGCCTGTTCTATGGCCGCCACAAAGCCGTCCAGGTCCAGCGACCTGGTCTCGTTGTTCCAGTACGGGTACGAGGCCGTCTTTAGGCCAAGGTACTCGAATATCTGCACATGGTTGGCCCACGTAGGCTTCGAGAGGTAGACGACAGGAGGCTCGCTGGCGGTCTTGGACACGTAAAAGTCCTTCAAGAACTTGCCCGCCACGTGCAGGGCGCCGGTGCCCGACAGCGTCTGGATAGACACGAGTCTGTCCTCAACAATGGCCCTGGACTGCTTTCCGAGGATGATCCGGGCAGCAGCGTCGGTGAACGCCTTGTAGCCGGAAATCGCCAGATACTCGTGGTTGTACTCCTTGGAGTTCTGCAGCAGGTTCTCGGCGAGCCTGACAGAGGGCAGGATCCACGGCTTGCCGTCGTTGTCTCTGTAGGCCCCGATGCCCAGGTCGACCTTGTTGGGGCGCGGGTCCTCGCTGAATCTGGCCTTGAGACCAAACAATGGGTCTGGCGGCAGCTGGGGGATGTTCTCGATGCTGAAGGATCTTGCCATGGTAGAGAAACGGGAGAAGTAATTGTTTCGGATTGTATCCTATATAAGGAATAGGCTACCCGGGGTGGAGAAATGTCGTACTGGGGCGGGGAGTTACCCGGCCATGGGGCTGGAGACGGCGAGGCGCGCGGAGGGCAGCAGCAGCGGCCCGGCGGCGGTGCCAAAATAAATAAATATTTTTCTACAATTATTAATCTACGGCATGGACCTTCTGGGCGACATTGTCGAGCACGACACCGCCACAGAGCCCCAGGCGCCTGGTCCCGCGATGTCTGGGCCCGCCACGGGGTTCCCTGTCGCGGGCAAGAGAAAGCCCGTGCAGCGACGGAGAACGGCAGAGAGCCCCCCTCGCGGACTTTCTGAAAAAGAGCAGATCCACCTCGAAAACATCGAGCGGCTGAGCAGAATGTCGGAGGAGGAGCGCGAGCAGGCAAAGGAGGAACTGGTCAACACGCTGGACCCGAAAATCCTGCAGATGCTGCTGAAAAGAGCAGAACGAGACAGCGACAGCGACACGGCCGCGAGCCCGAGCCTGAAACCCGCGCTGCGCAGGGACAGCGTCTCGTCGGCGGACAAGAAGGTGCGGTTCAACAACGAGGCGTCGGTCAAGTACGTCAAGCCGTCGTCGCCGCTGGCGATGCCGAAGTCGAGCAAGGAGGACGAGGAGTGGGAGGACATCGAGTACCTGGACGACGCGGGGCCGAGCTTCGAGGAGGCGCGGCGGCTGAAGCAGGCGTCGGTGCATTTTCCAAGGCCGACCGGCGAGAAGCTCGAGAAGCTCGACATCAACGACCCGGACTTCAACGACAAGCTGCACGAGAAGTTCTTCCCGGACCTGCCCAAGGACCCCAAGGCACTGGAGTGGATGAGGCCGGCGCCGGAGACGCCGAAGCAGGTGACGTACAGCGCGGTTGCGGAGCTGCGGTTTGACCTGAACGGAGACCTGATCACGTCGGAGAACATACAGAAGCACGCGCAGGCTCCGGAGCTGCACCACCACGCAGCAAACCCCGAGCTGCCCGGGTACACGCTGGCAGAGCTGGCGCACTACCTGCGGTCGGCGTTTCCCGGACAGCGGTGCATTGCGCTGCGCACGCTGGGCCGCGTGCTGTACAAGCTCGGGCAGGCCGCGTACGAGGTGGTGGACGAGGACGAGCAGCAACAGGACGTGGCGCAGTTCGAGCGGCGGTGCTGGGGGCTGGTGCTCGACCTCAAGATCGTCGACATCATCAGCGAGTGCGCGTCGGACCGCCAGCGCAACCTGAGCGTCAGGAACTACGCGATCGAGGCGCTGTATCTGTGGAAGCAGGGCGGCGGCGACCGCAAGATGCAGGCGGTGCTGGACGCGCGGGCGGCGGCTAGTCGTCGAGCTGGCTGATCTGGACCTTGTTGATGGTCGAGTTGAGCCGCTCGTTGCGGATCACCTTGTAGTAGTGGTCGGTGAAGTCGACGGCGTTCATGGCGCGCAGGAACTTCTCGTCGTGCGTGATGACGATGAGCTGGAAGTTGCGCTGCGTCGCGCGCTCCTGGATGATGCTGGCGAGCGCCCTGGCGAGCGACACGATGTTGTCGTCGTCCAGGTTGGTGGTGGGCTCGTCGAGCGCGATCATGCCGAAGTTGAGCCCGAAACACTCGGCCAGCGCGAGCCGGATGATCAGCGCCGCCAGCACGCGCTGGCCCGCCGAGCAGCGCCCGCGCATGTCCAGCTCGGTCCCGTTCTTCACCATGACCACGCGGTAGTTGTACGAGCGCGTTGCTGCCGCCGTGCTCGACTTGACCGGGTCTGCCCGGACCATGATGCTGTCCACGTCGTTGCCCATGTACGTTTTTTTCCATAATTCGTCAACTATCCGGTTGATCTCCTTCATCTTCACCTGGTGGAACTCCATCACCGCCGAGTCGATCGCCCTGTAGTACGTCGTCAGGTCCGTCACCATCGACAGCTTCGTCTGCAGGCTCGCGTACTCCTTTGCGTACCGCTCGTCGATGTCCCTGTAGTCGCGCTGCAGCTCGTGTTTCACCGACTGGATCTGCCGCGCCAGCTGCGTCATCTCGCCCAGCTTCGTCGAATACTCGCTCTGGAGCTGTGTCTGGCGCGCGCGCAGCTCCTTGCTCTGCGCCACGTACTCGCTGCGCCGCGACTCGGCCTGCTGCTGCGCCAGCTCCGCGATCGTCGCCCGCACCTCGCGCTGCTGCTGCTCGAGAGCCAGCAGGTCCAGGTTGTAGCGCAGGTTGCGCTCCGCGTTGTCGGCGTCCTTGAGATCGTTCTCGAGCTGTCGCAGCTGCGCGCCCAGCTGCGCGAGTTCGGCCTCGTCGCGCGCTATCTGCTCGCGCAACCGTGCAGACTCCTGCTCGAACGTCGTCTGGCCGGCATGCTTCTGCTCGAACTCGCTGATTTGCGCGTCCAGCGCCGCGATCTGCGCCTGCGTCTGCCGCAGCTGCTCGAGCTCCGGCCGCAGCCGCGCCAGCTCGTCCTCTCCGCGCCGCTTCACGTCGCCGTAGCGCTCCTGCTGCGCCGCCTGGCTCGCCCGCAGCACTGCAGCAGCCTGCTCCGTCCGGTCCAGCGTCGCGCGCAGCTGCCCGATCTCCGTCTCCAGCTCCTGCAGCGACTTGCGCACGTTCACGTTGTCCAGATCCGACTTCTCCAGCTCGATGATCGCCAGCCGCCGGTCCTTGATCGTGCCCTCCAGCCCGACCACCCTGCGCGAATACTGCTCGCGCTCGGCAACGTGCCGCTCCAGCACCAGCCGCAGCCGCTTCGTCTCGCTGCTCGTCTGCGCCTGCGCCAGCTCCAGCTCCTCCATGGATTGCAGCTGCCCGCCAAACAGAGCCACGTCGTCCTTCAGACCCTGCAACTGCCGTTGCAACGAGGCCTGCTCGTCCCGCAGCCTTGCCACCTCGTCCACCACAGGCAGCAGCGCCGCGAGCTCGGACTTGTGGGCCTGCTGCCCGTCCAAGGCGCGCTGCTCGCTTTCAAGCTGCTGGCGCGCAACTGCTTCACGCTCACGCGCAGCCTCCAGCTGCTTCTGCAGCTGCTCCAGCTCCACAGTTAGCTTCCGGTGCCGCTCAACCTTGCCCGACACCTCCTTGAGCCGGTCCAGCTTGTCCCGCGCAGCGCGCAGCGCGTCTTCCGCTGAACTGTCGCTCTCCAGAACACTCGTCTGCTTAGCGAGCAGCTCCAGCACCCGGCTCTTCTCGTCTGCCGCGCCAAACTCTCGGTGGCACAGCAGACACGCGTTCTTTTGGTCGATGAGGTCGATTGCGCGCTTGTTGAAGCCAATGCAGTACTCGCGCACCTTGAAGCTGCCGTCGCAATCGCTGACCTCGTACTCGGCGTCCTCCAGCAGCTCTTCAAACTGTGCGAGCGGCGCAGCGCCCAGAACCGCGCGAGTATCTTTCTCGAGCGTGGCGAGCTCGTCGCGCGAACTAGCGAGCTGCTGGGCGCAGTTGCGGTGTGCGATCGCCGCCTCATTCAGCCTCTCGCGCAAATCCTGCGCTCGGCCGGCTTTCTCCAGCACGGCGGCCTCGGCCTGTCTGTAGCGAGCCACGAACGCGTCCACATCGCGCGTCTCGAGCCGCGAAAAAGCGCTCTCCAGCTTCTGCTCCACGGCTTCCAGGCTTTTCTGTAGATAATACATCCTGGCCATGCTGTCGGACTGTCTGCCGGCCTGGCTCACCTTCCGCAGCAGATCGTCCTGCTCCAGCTCCAGCTGGCGGATCTGTTTCTCGGTCTGGGCGATTTTCTCGTTGATAGCAGCCAGCGGGCTCGAGTCGCGCATCTGCTGCAACTCCAACTCCGCGGCAGCCAGCTCGGCACGCTCGCGCTCGAGCCGCGCCTGGTTTGAGCTCGAACGAGACAGAATCTGCTGGAACTTGGAGCGCTTCGTTTCCAGCGCGTCCACGTCCTTGCGCACATACTCAGAATGCTGTGCCTCGCGCGCAAGCTCCTCCTTGAGCGTCGTCAGCTCAAACTCCACGTCCTCGAGAGCAGCCTTGTGTGCGGCCTCCTTGGCGGCGTACTCGCCCGCAAGCGCGTCGAGCCGCGCCCGGTCCAGCTGCTGCTCGAGCCGCTGCTTCTCGCTGCGGTTCTGCTCGTGCCGCTCGAACAGGCCGCGCAGACGGCCCTCCTCGCGCACGGACGTGTTGTACTCGTCCCGCGCACGGGCGAGTTGCGCGCTTCGAGACTCGACCTGCGCGCGCAGCTGCTCAGCAGCGGTCCTCTTCTCAACGAGCACGCCGGCAAAGTTGTCGAGCTGCTCGCGGATCTGGCTGTCGGGCAAGTCGACGCGCGTCGTGGTCGAGCGGATCACGTCCATCTGCTGCGCGAGACCGCTCTCCTGCTGCCGCAGGTACTCCAGACGGCTGATCGTCTTCTCGTAGTCCTGGTTCGTCGCAAACAGCCGGTCGGCCTCCTTGTTGACCGCCTCGATCTCGCGCGCAAGCGTCTCGGACTCGGCGTTCAGCCGGTCGACCTGCGCGTTCAGCTCGGCGACCTGCGCCTGCTTGTGGTGCGCGCGCGCGCGGTCGTTGCGCAGGTGCTCCACGGTGTTGTTGATCACGCGGATGTCGACGTTCATCTCCTTCTGGATGGCCCGGAAGGTCTCCAGCACCTTGATAAACTTGACCGAGTCGAAGATCTCGTCGAAGCGCTTCTTCAAACTCGCCGAGTCGCTGATCGGCCACAGACTCTCGTCCTGGTGGCAGAAAATGACGTAGTTGAGCACGGCGCGCGAGACGCCGAGCTGCTGCGGCACGGCCGTCTCCATGTCGGCCATTTTCGACGTGACGGTCTGCTTCTCGCCGTTGTGGATCGCCACAAGCTGGTTCTCGCGCGTTTTGAAGCTCGTGGTCCCCGTGCGCGCGTTCTTGAACGCGGCGAGCGACTTGGTCAGCACCATGCTCGTGCGGTTGACGTTCTGGAACGCGAGCTTGACCTGCGCCTTTGTCTCTGTGGCGCCCGTCATGCTGGGGTCGTTGACAAAGGCGCCGTTTTTCGAGTTGGGAGGGAGATCGCCCGTGGTGGCGTAGCGCAGGGCCTCGATGATGCTGGTTTTGCCCGAGCCGTTGGCGCCGACAATGAGCGTGAGCGGGCGCTCGAACTGGATGGTCTCGTGCGTGTCGCCGCTGAAAGAGCGCACGCCGGACAGAGACAGTTTGTAGATGCTGGCCATGGGAAGGGAGTACTTACATAAGCGGGTGTGGAAAAAAAAAAAACATGAAAATTTGGGCATTTTCTGCGGCAAGAACAAAGCTCCACACACGCTCTTCTTTTGCCCTGTCCAAACTGTTCATGACGACGTGGGTGCAGCCAGAAAAATTGCCGGACGCGCCGCTGGTGCTCTACAACACGCTCACGCGGTCCAAGGTGCCGTTTGTGCCCAGCTCCGGCGACGAGGTCACCTGGTACAGCTGCGGGCCGACCGTGTACAACTCGTCGCACATGGGCCACGCCCGGAACTACGTGACCATAGACATTAATCGCCGCATTTTGCAGGACTATTTTGGGTACAACGTCAAGTTTGTGCAGAATGTGACCGACATCGACGACAAGATCATCATCAAGGCCAGACAGGAGCATCTGTTTGGCGAGTTTGTGCGCAAGCACGGCTCCGTGGACTCCCAGTTGCGCGAGACGGCGCAGCGCGCGCTGGAGGCGTACGTGGCGGCGAACCTGCCGGAGTACGACGGCGCCGTGCCCCTCGACGAGTGGGCGCGCTCGCTCGACCTGGCAGCGCTCGGTCTGCAGAAGCCCAAGCTGCCGATGCACGTGAAGGCGTGCGTGGCCGCCAGCGAGGCCATTGCCCGCGAGACCGACCTGGCGGCGTTCCTGGAGCACACCAAGGACGTGATTGTGCCCGAGCTCGACAGAGAGCTCGGCCACACCGTCACGGACCCGGAGATCTTCAAGGCGTGCTCGTCGTTCTGGGAGCACAAGTACGACGAGGACATGGCCGCGCTGAACGTGCTGCCGCCGACGATCGTGACGCGCGTGTCGGAGTACGTGCCCGAGATCGTGGCGTTTGTGCAGCGGATCATCGACAAGGGCTATGCGTACGCCACGAGCGACGGGTCGGTGTACTTCAACGTGGCGAAGTTCGACAAGGACCCGGCGCACGAGTACGCCAAGCTTCAGCCGTGGTCGAAGGGCAACCTGGAGCTGCTCGAGGACGGCGAAGGGTCGCTGTCGGCGGCGCAGGGCAAGCTGAACGCGTCCGACTTCGCGCTGTGGAAGGCGTCCAAGGCGGGCGAGCCTTCGTGGCCGTCGCCGTGGGGGCCTGGCCGCCCCGGCTGGCACATCGAGTGCTCGGTCATGGCGGCCGATTTCGTCGGCGACAAGCTCGACATCCACTCGGGCGGCATCGACCTTGCGTTCCCGCACCACGACAACGAGCTGGCGCAGAGCGAGGCCCACTACGACTGCAGGCAGTGGGTCAACTACTTCCTGCACACGGGGCATCTGCACATAGAAGGCCAGAAAATGTCCAAGTCGCTGAAGAACTTCATCACCATCGAGGAGGCGCTGGCCCGGTACTCTGCGCGGCAGCTGCGGCTGTGTTTTGCGCTGGTGCAGTGGAACAACGCGCTGGACTTCAAGGAGAGCTTGTTGAACGAGGTGCGGTCGACGGAGTCTACGCTCAGCAAGTTCTTCAAGAACGTGCGGGCGCTCAAGGCCGACACCGACCACCGCCTGCGCGCGGGCGAGGTGATCTCGAAGAAATACGGGGAGCTCGAGAAGCGGCTCGTTGCGGACCTCGCGCAGTGCAAGAAGAACGTGCACGCGGCGTTCTGCGACAACCTGGCCACGCCGCAGGCGCTGCGTGCGCTGCTGGAGCTCGTCAACAGCGCCAACAGCTACATCGGCGCGGTCGGCGCAGATCTGCGCGTCGAGCCGCTCGTCCAGTGCGCGCTGTACATCACGCGGATCCTGCGTGTGCTCGGTTTCGACACGAGAAAGGACGGCCTTGGCTGGGAGGACGAGCAGGCCTCAGCCGGCTCGGGCAACCTGGAGGAGGCGCTCATGCCGTACCTAAAAGTGCTGTCGAACTTCCGGGACCTGGTGCGCAGCTCGGCGATCGCCAAGGCAGACTACAAGGTGTTTTTGGACGCCACCGACACGCTCAGAGACAAGGACTTGCTCCAGCTGAACGTTTCTCTGGACGACCGTGCTGGTCAAGGAGCCCTGATCAAGTTTTTAAACGAGAGCGAAAAACAGGAGCTGCTGAGACAGCAGGCGGAGAAAGAGCAACAGCAGCTGGAGAAGGAGAGGCGGCGGCTGGAACAGCTGCGGCTGAAGGAGGAGAAGGAGAAGGAAAGGCTGGCCAAGGCGAAGATCGACCCGGCAGAGATGTTCAAGACCGGGGAGTACAGAAAGATATACTCCGAATGGGACGAGAACGGGCTGCCAGTGAAGCTTGCGAGCGGGGAAGAGGTGACCAAGAGCGCCAGGAAGAAGCTGGCGAAACAGCAGGAGCAGCAGCGTCGGCTGTTCGAGGCCCATAGGTAAATAGATGGTGTATGCAGTAAGCTATTGTCTGAATCTGTGAGATTCCGATTTTGGCAAAAAACGGCTACAATTCGCAACCTACTCCGGCGCCACTAAATCGCGGGGAGAAGGAACAAAATAATCGCGAGACCGTGGTGGGCAGTACGTCATTTTGAGTGGCTCGGTGCACATGACTCATGAATCACCAAACAAGTGGTGCGATTTATTGACTGGGGGTGCGCACTACATGCAATAACCCTGAGGGTAATAAACCAGGGAAGCTCACCCTTTGCGCATTCCAGCAAGCGCTGTACAAGTTTCGCACACCAGCAGTGTCGGTGGTCCGGTTTGGACACCCTCACGGAGACGTACACTCCGCCGGACTAGGCTCCGAGCTGAAACTTCTGCAACCCGTTTTTTTTTACGGGTTGGCTCCGTAGAAACCCGGGCACAAAATGTCCGCGTGATGATTTCCCTTTAAGTGCCCGCGCTACGGAGCAGCGCGCAGTGCGCATGGGGCCAATCAAACGCATCGGACCACCGCCCAATACAGCGTCATGTCCGCAGCAAACTCGACATGGCATCCAGCCTGGGCCCTGCTTGTCGGGTCCATGTACCCCATCATTTCCCAGTGGCTCATCGCGGGGCATCTTGTTCCCGAACCGGAAACTCTTACACGGTCCGGACTTACGGACATCGGAGTTCCCCCCTCACAGTCCCGCACCCCATAATATGTCCCTCCAGCATTATTGGGTGCATTTCCGTGGAGACTACCCATGAGGTTATTGCATTGTGCTATAAATCGGGCGGATTTCCCCCCAAATCTCAATTTCATGTCTATCCAGAACTACGCCAAGTCCAGAGTCCCCATCACGGACCTCTCCAACTACTCGCTATCGCTCAACGACAACATCCCCACCTACAGTGCACCGCTGCCCAGCGTGCCTCGCATCAGCCCTCCCACGCTGCCCAAACTCTCGCTGCCAAAGCCCGTGCCACAGGCACCAAAGCAACTGGCGCCTAAAAACCCGCCAAAGCCATACTCCAAGCTCGACCTCCTGCTGCAGACAGCAGCCATGCACAGCGTCCAGAGCGAAAAACCAGCCAATCAAACCGCCACGCCTAATTACGTCTTAGATCCGAAAACGACGCACGCCTCGCCCAAACTCGAGATTTCGAATCTCGTCATCCAAACGACGCCTCAGCAGAGCTCCGCGCCCGAGCTCACCTCCATCAAGCTGGCGTCGCCGTCCGCGGCGTCCAAACGGCAACGGTCCGGCCCCTCGTGCGACTGCTGCCGCGCGCGCAAGATCAAGTGCGACTCCGAGATCTTTGTGCTCGCCGAGCTGCCGGAAACGAGGGCCGCAGCGGCCGCCAGCGGCTCCGAAATCGCCAGCTGCAAGTTCCTGTACGAAGACGAGAACAGGTACCAGTATTTCGAGATCGACACGTCGCAGTACCAGCACCAGCGCTTCAACAGCAAGCTCAGCCGGTTCCGGTACCTCAAGTTCAAGCCGTGCTCTGCGTGCCACTCTAAAAAGCTCGTGTGCTGCTTTTCCAAGGGGTTCACCAGAAACGACATAATTAAGTTCAATAAGTCCGAGCGCATGCACCAGACGCCCGAAAAGGACGAGCCCAAGGACGAAGTCGCGCTGCCGATCATGGTGGGCCCCTACGGCAAGCACCCCAAGAAGACCTCGTGCAACACTTGCAGGTTTAAGAAGATCAAATGCATCAAGCTCGAGAACAACCCGTCCTCAGACTGTCTGGGCTGCTCGAAGAAACATTTGGAGTGCGCATATGTGTAGCATAGATACCTTAATGATTATGAAGCATGACCCGATCCTGTAGATGAAGCACGTCAGTCTGCGTCGGACTTTTTCGTGATCGGCAGCTTGAGGTGTTTGGGCATTGGCGGAGGCGCCATCTTGGGCGGCGGACTCATCTTTGGCGGAGGCGGAGCGAAAATCGGCGTGGTGCCCAGCTTCATCCCTGGCGGAGCGGCAATAGCCGGCGCAGACGAGGAAACAGCCGTATCTTCGGCCCTAGGGCCAGCCGTGGGCGCAGCACCAGGCCACTCGATCTGCGTCATCTCCGGCCGCCCGTGGCCTTCGGCCTCTCCCTCCAGGTCGCGCATCATCATCTCTAGGTCTCTGCCGTGTCTTGCCGTCTCCTCCAGGTCCGCCCTACAGTCGCGGGCCAGATGGCCTATGTTGCCGCAGCGAGAACACACCAGCGACTGCGCAAAGCTCTGCTTCCCGAGATTCGGACACTCGTACCGCCTGTGGCCCTTCTCGCCGCAGTTCAGACACAGTTTGTCGTCCGACGCCCGCAGCGTGCCGTTGAGAATCGCAAGCTGCTTGAGCTGGTCCCGCTTGTGCTCGTTCTGGCCCTCGGGCGCGCTGATCGCGCCCTGGATGATCTCGCTGCACAGCTTCCTGGCCTTCAGGATCTTCTCCTCCGAGTCGGCGGTGATGAGGCAGTGCAGGTCGTCGTCCAGATTATTTTGGTCCGGTCGTATAAGGGCCGTGTTCTTGCCTTCTTTCACCGAGCCCTTGCCCCTGATGCCGATCTTGGCGCCGCTTTTCTCCTGGATTTTCTTCAGCGTGTGGCCCCGCGGCCCCATCAGAAGCCCGATGAAGTTGATTTCAGGGTGCTCGCGCGCCGGGATGTACAGCTTGTCGCTCGTCTTGGTCTGTCTGCGGAAGTCTGGCGGAGGCCGGTAGTCGGGGATGTTTCGCAGCGCGTTCTCTATCAGGCGGCCTCTCTCGGTCTCAAAGCGTCTTCTGTAGCGCTGCTCGCGCGTGTTGGTTCTTTTCCCGCTCGCATCGTACACTGGTGGCGGAGACGGAGACCTAGTTCTTGTGGGAGGCACAAACGAGTCTGTCTGAATCATGCGGTTGATTTCCTCGATCCGCACCATCACCTGCACGGCCTCGAGCTGTTCTGGTGTAAGGGAGACATCGAGCAGCGTTGGCACTTCGATCCCGTCCAGTCTCGCGACTCTTTGCGGCTCCCCGGAAAACATGCAAAAATAATTTTTTGTACATTTATTTTATTTGTTCAATCAAATTATCTGCCATGGCTCCTCTTCAGCAAGTCTCAAGACACGGCGGCCCAAACAAGTGTTTTGGTCTTTTCCAGAGCGCGCTGGAGTGCATGACCAGCTCCACCATCGCCGACAGAACAGAATGCCTGCCGTTGCGCCAGGACTACATCGAGTGTCGCAAGCACCGTCTGGAGACGTACAAGATGTTCATCGTGGAGAAGCACCTGGAGGAGCGCGAAGACCTGGACAGAGACGAAGTCGGCGCGCCGTACCTGAAAAGACGGGACTTTCTGACCCCGAAAACGCTCGGCCTCGCGGACGGAGACGACAAGCCGATCCTCACCCACAAGTTCTAGGCCGTGAGGGGAAGCCCAGCACTCTAAGTATTTATTTTATTTTATTTATTCACAGATCTCGTTATAAATCGCCGTCCGTCTCGCTTTCGCCTATACTCTCGTTGAACACCGCCAGATTGTCCTCCTCATTGGAATCGGGCTCCATAATGTTGTAGTCGTAATTCGTCTCCTGCGCCTTGGTGCCTATCACGTTGGCCTGGAATTTCGTCTCGTCGTCCTTTCTCTCGGTCTCGTCTTTCTCGTAGAACTCGATCTTCAGCTCGTGCACTATGTCGAAGCACTCCGCGAGCAGCGCATTCAGCGTCCCCTGGCCCTCGGGTATCTGCCCGTCGATCATAAACTTGCCGTCCTCGCGCAGGTTGTCCACCGACGCCAGCTTCATCTGGTACGGGTACAGCTCGCGGATCGACGAGATGCCGCCCATGCGCTTCAAATCCAGGAGACACCGCCGCACCGTGGTCAGCTGGTTGTGCAGCGGCTGCAGGCTCTCGCTGACGGGCTCAGAGCTCTCCAGAAGCTTGTAAATTATGGCGTAGCACCGTCTGAGCAGGTACAGCAGTACAGCCTGTCCGCGCAGCTCTTTCTTGCCAAAGTAGCCGTCCACACGCAGTTTATCGATCTGGTTGAGCGTCCGCTGGTAATTGAAGATGTCTGTTGTTCGGAGGACCCATCTTCTGGTCACCAGCAGGTTTTCGAGCGTCGACTTGAGCTTTTCCAGCTGATTGTAAATATCTGCGAGCTCGGGACTCACCATGTCCTCGCCGATCTTCATGTCCTGGATGAGATAGTGGCAGTCGTCGATGAGCCCCTTCAGCACGCCCTCGCCCTTGGGGTGCTCCTCTTTGGAGAACTCCAGCTCGCACGCGAGCTGGATCTGCTCCAACTGGTTGGAAAACACCTTGAGGTCGTCTCTGTTGGCGGCATCGTCGCTCGTGATCACCTCCAGAATGCGGTACTTGAGCGTGATCAGCCGGTCCATGATTCTCTGCACGTTTTTGGGCAGCTTGTTGATCTTGTCCTCCAGCACTCTGTACTCTTTGTAGGACTGCTCCAGCTTGCTCTTGAGCAGGCTCAGCTCTTCCGAAGACGTGGTTTCGTCCGAGTTGACGATCTTGGCAATCTCGTCCAGCCGGTCTCTGATCGGGTCCAGGTCCTGGTGCGTGTAGATCTCGTTTTCGTTCAGGTGCTCGAGCAGCCGTTGCACAGTGGACAGCGAGGCGTACGTAGCGGGCGCCGTGTTCTTCAATCCGCACGTGACAAAGCACAGACTGAGCAATTGGAAAATCTCGTCCACCAGGATGTCCACCTTGTTGGGGTACTCGCCCTCGGCGGCCCCTTCTGTGGACCGAATCGCCCGCAGTTGCTCGACTTTGCTCAGTACCTGGTCGTAGATTTCGCCTATGCTCTTGGAATTCATGTATGTCTTGTGGTCGCGCTTGATGAGCGAAAGCCGTTGCCGGATGGCGGTCAGCTCATCGTATACGGCCTTTTCGACAGGCGGGACGGTGGTATGCATTAACAAATAGAATAAAATAACTGGCACTTTTTGAGAGCTGTTTTTTTCTGACCGTCGATCGACGGCGCCCGACGCGGTCGCGCGCCGCCGACTCCCCATTCCTTTTTCACTCCTTTAAAAACTTTTTTAAAACAACAGGCTTCTTCACGCTCAACACATCGCCTGATTCTTTCGTTTTTCAGACTTCGCGTGAGCGCGACACCGGACTTTCGTTACAACATGAAGACAAACCTATATGTTCTCGCTTTGATACCCGCGTCTTCGGCGTTGTCCAGCATCGGTTGCTTTTCCGACATCCCTTCCTCCTATGTGTCCATGGGCACCTACACCTGGCAGTCGAGCTCGCATTGCTCGTCGGAGTGCTCGTCCTACAAATACATCGCCCTGACTAACGGAAACGAGTGCCACTGCGGCGACGACCAGCCGCTGTCGTCAGACTCCTCAAATAGCTGCGACACCGCTTGCGACGGGTATCCGTCTGAGATGTGCGGCGGCAGCAACGCCTACACGGTCTACGGGCTGAGCGACGACGACACGTACGACGACTCGTCGAGTCTGGCCGCGTCGTCGAGCACCGGCTCTTCCGGCACGTCCTTCAGCACGTCGTCTCCGGCCTCGCCGTCTTCCGTCTCCTCGTCGTCCTCGTCGACCATCGCACAAACAACACAATCATCCAGCTCCTCCAGCTCCACACAGGAGTCCACGTCCTCCACAGAAACACCCACAACCAGCTCGCAGAGCTCGAGCTCGTCCACGCCTCCAACCGCGACCGCGGCGGTGCTCACGTCGACGGTGAGCGAGGAGGGCTCGAAACAGACCACGGTGGTGTACATCACGCAGTCCACAAGCCTGGCGTCTGCATCCGCTACAGCAGACTCGAGCCCGCGCTCGGGCTCCAAGTCGTCGAACAAGGGAGCCATCATCGGAGGAGCCGTGGGGGGCGCTGTCGGAGCGTCGATCCTGATCGGCTTGGTGTTCTTCCTGGTCTTCCGAAGACGCCACAACAGCGGCGACGACACCGCCGTGGACGATCTCGCGTACGAGGAGGCCCTCAAGTCCAACCGCGATCCTTTCGCCTCTGCGGAGGACGACCTGTACTCGTCGGACAACGGGTCTGGCTCCGGGCGAATAATGCTCGGCCGCAGACGCCTGAGCGACGGCTCGCTCGCCGACGCGGCCGACTACTACAAAAAAGTGCTCAAAGTCGCGAATCCGGACGACGATAAGAACTAGGCTCAACATTCTGTTTCTATAAGTACTTGTACGGGTTCATAATTCCCTGCGGATCAAACTTGCTTTTGATATCTTTCATCAGCGCAATCTCCACCGCCGACTTGGAGTACCCGATGTAGTTTTTCTTCTGGAAGCCGAGGCCGTGCTCCGCCGAGATCGACCCGTGGTGGTCGCTGATCCACTGGTACACGTACGGCTCCAGACACTTCTCCACCGTCTTGTTGTACTCTCTCACCACCACGTTCACGTGGACGTTGCCGTCGCCGATGTGGCCGTAGCCAACAACGTCGACGACCGGCTTGGAAGCGTCGCTGAGCGAGCGCAGCCCGTGCTCGTCCAGTCTCGCCCGCAGAACCTCGATCAGGTCGTACATCACCGGCAGCGGCAGCGACACGTCGTACTTGTACACCCCGCCGTCCATGTTGGAAGCCTCGCTGATGCCTTCTCTCCAGGTCCACAGCGTTCTGAGCTGCGACTCGTCCTGCGACACCACGCCGTCCGCGACCGTGCCGTCCTCCATGATCGACTCCAGAAACGTCTCCAGCTTGGCGTCGTCGTGCTCTTTGCACGAGCCGGACGTCTCGATCAGCACGTAGAACGGATACTCGGGCACGTCGACGTCCGGGTCGTCCTGGGCGAGCGGGTGCGGCGTCTTGAGGAACCGCTTGGCCTGCCACTGCGACTGCCTGTCCATGAACTCAAACGCGGACAGCACCTCGCACAGCTCCGCCCTGGCTCTTTTGAACGTGCTCTGCACAGCCTCGTACGACTCGAGCCCGAGAAACGCAATGTTGACCGCCTTGGGCCGCGCCGGACACAGGATCGACACGCCCGTGATCACGCCGAGCGTGCCCTCCGAGCCGATAAACAGCTGCTTCAGGTCGTAGCCCGTGTTGTCCTTGCGCAGAGCGTTCATGCTGTCGTAGACGGTGCCGTCTGGCAGCACCACCTCCAGACCGAGCACGGAGCCGTGCAGCGAGCCGTACCTCAGCAGCCGCAGGCCGCCCGCGTTGGCCGCGACGTTGCCGCCGATGTGGCACGAGCCCTTTGCGCCCAGGTCCAGCGGGAAGATGTAGCCGTTCTCGGCCAGAAAGTTGTCGGCATTTTCCAGAATCACGCCTGCGTCCGCTTTCAAAATACCCGACGTGTGGTCGAACGAGCGGATCTTGTTCATCCCGCTCAGCGACAGCACGATCTCGTCGAAAACGGGCACAGACCCGCCCACAAGCCCCGTGTTGCCGCCCTGGGGCACCAGCGCCAGCCGGTGCTCGTGGCAGTACTTCACGATCTCCGACACCTGCTGCGTGGTCTTGGGCTTCACACACAGCGACGACTGGCCGCGGTACTTGCGCATCTGGTCCTCGTTGTAGAACAGCAGGTCGTCCTGGTCGGTCACGACGGCGGCCTCGCCGACCACAGACTTGAAGAAGTCGACGGTCTGCGGCGTGATCTTGCCGAAGTCCAGCCGCTTCACCTGCGGATACGACTCCGCGGTCAGACGGACGGTGGACGAGCGACGCAGCAGCGCGCCAGCGAGCCCGGCAACGCGCGCTTTCGAGACTCTCTGCAGCATCAGCATTGTTTGTTGGAGAAATATTCCAGCGAGCCAGACTTTTCACTCCCCATGACATAAGCAGCGCGTAAGCACAGCGCCGGAGCACTGCCAAAGTCCGGCGCGAGCACCGCCGTCTGGTGCGAGGTGTGCACGAGCGCAGGCAGGGCCACCGTTTCTCCGGGACGTGCTACCTCTTTCTTTTGTCTCTGAGTCATCCCGGCGAAATGGAGCACGCCCGTCTGCCTAGCCATAAAACACGCGGCCCAGCCACCAGCCCGGCCGCAGGATCTCACCGGCCATATTTCTCGCTGCCCCCCGGGCCCCGCAACGTTGCTACAAATCTGCAAAAATCTATTATTCTGCTGCTCGCCAAAAATCCGTGACCCTGTCGGAGTAACAGTGGAAAAAAATTTAGGGGCTAGATAAGAGGGGCTACACAATAAAAAGTTAGCGATCTTGTTGGACCTGTTTATTTCCCGCGTAAAACAAACGATGGACGCCGGCGACACAAGCTTCGGGACTGCCACCGCGGCCAGCTCGCTCACGTCGTCCAAGTTCAACTCCCCGATGATCATGTCGAGGGCCTCGTCCTCGTCCGCGTTGACGTCCGCCATCTCCATCCCTGGGCAGACCATGAATTTGCACGTGGTGAATAGCAACGGATCGGAGCAGAGCCAGCTGAACCTGCTGCCCTCCAAGGGCGACACGGGCAGCGAGGCTCTGAAGCTGGCTATCATCTGCGTGGGGCTTCCAGCCACCGGCAAATCGTACATCACGAGGAAGCTACAGCGATATCTCAACTGGATGCAGTACAACACAAAAATTTTCAACGTGGGCAACACGCGGCGCCAGAGAAACGCCAAGCCCAGCGGGTATCCTGTCCGGGGCCCGACGCTCCACAAGACGAGCCATGACGCCAACTTTTTCGATCATTCCAACAAGGACTCCTTCCTCCAGAGAGAACAGTGGGCCCGCGAGACGCTCGACGACATGATCCAGTTCCTGCTGGTCGACCAGGGCAACGTTGGCATTTTCGACGCTACTAATACAACGAAGGCGCGCAGATCGTGGATCATCGAAACGATCACCAAGCGCACCGAGGGCGCCGTGAAAATTCTGTTTCTGGAGAGCATCTGCACGGACCAGGAGCTGATCGAGAAGAATATCCGTCTGAAGCTGAGTGGGCCAGATTATAAGGACATGGATAGAGACCTGGCGTTAAACGACTTTCGCAATCGACTCAAGAACTACCAGGCCGTGTACGAAACCATCGACGAGGAGGAAGAGCTGGAGAACGAAAAATACGACATCCAGTACGTGAAGATCATAAACGCCGGAAAGAAGGTTGTCTCGTACAACATCAGCGGCTATCTTTCGTCGCAGTGCGTTTTCTTCCTTTTGAACTTCAACTTGTCTGATCGGCAGATCTGGCTGACTGTCAACGGCGAGTCCGAGTTCAATGCGGCCAACAGAAAGGGCGGCGACTCCAAGCTAACCAAGAGAGGCGAGCAATTCGCTAGAGCACTGCCAAAGTTCATTTGCAAGAAGAGACAGGAATTCAAGCTCCGCCACCTTAATAAAGAATACGTGAACGACGAGTTCTCGTTTCACACAAAACCGCAACTAGAGCAGGAATTCAATATCTGGACGTCAAATCTCAAGCGCACGCTGCAGACAGCCTCGTACTTTCCACAGGAGAAGGATGGAGGCGATTTCCATTTCATGTCGTTCCGGATGCTGAACGACCTGGGTTGCGGCTCGCTGGACTCCATCACCGAGGAGGAGTACAGAACCAAGTACGTGGACGAGTACAGGTCGCAAATGGCGGAGAAACTGACCTATAGATATCCAGGGCTCGGGGGAGAGTCGTATCTGGACGTGATATCAAGGCTGCGGCCGATGATCGTGGAGCTGGAGCGCTTGCGCGACAACGTTCTGATCATTTCGCACAGAGTGATTACGAGGGTATTACTTTGCTATTTCATGAATCTGAACAAAGAGATGCTGACCGAGTTGGACGTCCAGCATGGCTACGTATACTGCATAGAGCCCAAGCCGTATGGGCTGGATCTCAAGATATGGCAGTACGACGAGATAACCGACGATTTCTACGAAGTGGACGAGATTGAGCTGATGAAGAAGAAGCGAAAACGGGTGTCCATCTCCATTGGCAGCAATTTCAGACCGATTTTCAAGAAAACTGTCTCGCCAGACTCGTCGATCAGCTCGTCTGAGTGCTCCAGCTCATCGGAAGAGGAAGAAGACGGTGTGCGCCACAGGGAGCCCAATATTTGCCGTGGCACGGACGGCACAGAGCCCGAGTCCTACGAGTTCTCCAAGAATCACTCTGATACAGCATCGGAGGACCTAGACACCGTCATAATGGACGAGAGGTCTCCCCAAGACCAGGATATAGAACGCCAGGTCGACGAGATCCTCAAAAACGAAAAACTGGTCGGGCTCCTTCGGGAGAAGCTGCAGACCCTCGCTTTATAGATTTAATCAATAATTTATTTCATTTAAATTTATTTTGAAATATTGCATTAATTTATTCTTTATGGCACATTGGGTTGACGTGGGAGCCACGCTCTCGCAGCTGGCGGAAGCAGACACCGACAAGCTGCTGGCGTCAAGAGAGAGCAACATTGGCCTAGGAGTGACCCCCAAAGACCAGGTGCGCAAGTTCTACGAGCAGAGTTCAGACAACAAGACACTGGAGTCCAAGGCCTGGCTCAGCGACCCGCATTTCTTCCATACCGTGCACATCAGTAGTCTGGCGCTAATGAAGATGAGTCTCCATGCACGCTCGGGCGGGTCCATCGAGATCATGGGCATGATGACGGGCAAGATCTTCGACGGCAACATCGTTGTGCTGGACAGCTATCCTCTGCCCGTCCAGGGAACCGAGAGCCGCGTGAACCCGCTCAACGAGGCGTACGAGTTCATGTTGCAATTTTTGGAGCAGCAAAAGAAGCAGTGCAATCGGTCGGAGAACATTGTTGGCTGGTACCACTCCCACCCTGGCTTTGGCTGCTGGCTGTCTGGAATAGATGTCAAGACGCAGGAACTGAACCAGGGGTTCCAGGATCCGTACGTTGCCGTCGTGATCGACCCCGAGAAGTCGCGGAAGCAGGGACTTGTGGACATCGGAGCGTTCCGCACGTACTACCCTGAGCATCGTGCGGTATTGGAGACGCAGCAACCGAGATCTGCCAAACGCGACCTAGGCCACCACGGCGACAAGTACTACTCCTTGGACGTGAGCATCTTCAAGTCCGACAAGGACGAGCAGGTTTTCGAGAGCCTAAATTCAAAGTTCTGGTACAAAGATCTGGTGCAGGCGCCGGAGCAGGACCAGGTGCTGGAGATAAATAAAATCAGCAACGTCTCGAAAGAAATCAGTCGACTAAAGCCTGTTCTGAAAAAGAACGCGGGGCCGCCGAACTCGGCGAGCTCGACAGGAGCCCCGGAGACCATGCTGCATCGCTGTGAATCGGAGAAAGTGTCGAAGACCGAGGAGCAGGCCAGGAACATTGGCCTGATGCTCAACTCGCTTGCCATGACCGAATACGATCGCATCTTGAAAACGGAGGTCGCTCGTGTCCGCAGGTAGCCGCTATCCCTGCTCCTCCTGGAACCTGCGGATCTCGTCTTTGCTGATCTGCGCTGCCTTGACGATGTTGTGGAACGTGGCCTGCAGCGTCTCGCTCTTGATCTTCTGCGAGTCCGGCTGCTGCCTCTTGATGTTCATCTTGTCGAAGTTCTCCATCAGCTGCGAGTCGGTCGAGTTGCCATGGAAAATGAAATCCTCCTCTCCCTCCTCGAAGCTCGAGTCGCTCGCCTCGCGCAGCTCGTGCAGTTTCTGGAGCTTGTTGCGGATAAGCACGAGCCGGAACGCTTTGCGCAGCTTGTCCTGAGCGTTGAAGCCCTCGCGGATGTTTCCGATGATGTTGGCCTCGTTCTCGGGCTTCTGCTTGGCCAGATGCGAGAGAATCCACGGGTGCTGCAACAGCTGCGCCGCAGACGGCCTGCGCCGGTTGTCGATGTCCAGGCTCTTGAGAATGAAGTCCTTCGCGCTGTCGGAAATATGCTGCCAGTACTTGTGGTGGAATACCACGAAGTTGTTGCTGCGCACCTCGTCGAGAAACTCCTCCGGCGTCTCGGCCCGGATCGGCGAGTAGCCGCCGATCAGAATGAACGTAACGATCCCCAAAGACCATATGTCGCAGGACCTGGTGTAGCCGCCTTTTCCCAGCCCGTACAGCTCGCCGTAGCCCTCGGACGCGTAGATCTCGGGCGCAATGTACCCGTACGAGCCGGCCACGCCGGTGATTTTCTCCGTCGTTTCCTCTTCCAGCTGTCTCGAGACACCAAAGTCTGCCAGCACCACGGGCGACTGCTCGTCCGGCGTGAGGTACAGCACGTTCTCAGGCTTGATGTCTCTGTGGACAATGCCGTGGCTGTGCAGGTAATCGACCGCCGTGAGCAGCTGGTAGACGATGTTGCAGGCGTCGGACTCGGTGAAGGAAGTCTTCTGGATGAGTCTGTCGAACAGCTCGCCTCCGGTGGCCAGCTGGGTCACGATGTAGAAATTGTGCTTTGTTTCGAACCAGTCCAGCAGCCGGACGATGTGGTCGTGCCGGATCGTCTGGAGAACCTTGATTTCGCGCAGAACGGCGTCCAGATGGCCATTGAGCCTCGACTTGAGAATGATCTTGACGGCGACGGGCTCGCGGGTCTTCTTCACGACGGCTTTTCGCACGGTGCCGAACGAGCCCGCGCCGAGGGTTTCCAGGAACTCGTACTGTCTTTTCTTGTCAGAGTGCGGGAGCTTGTCAAACAGCCTGTCCATACTAAATAACTGCTAATTAAGTATTTTTGGAAACTCCGTAGCACACAAAAAATATCTCGCGTCGTTTGCAGCTCTCAGTCTCGAACCATCGCACCCTTTTGTTGCCATTGAGTGCTCGTGCTTTGTTTGGAACGCTTGCTTGCTAAGCTGCGCCGTCGACTTAGCCCCTGCTCAGCCACGCTCCGAATTTCGCTCGACTTTTTTTTTCCAGCTATGGACCGTCTAGTGTCTGCGTTCCAGTTCGAGCGGCTGCTCAGTTCCGACTCCCAGCTCAAGACCATCGCGCTGCTGGGCACGATAGGCGGCCGCGCCGCGATTTTGCAGCTCGAAAAGTCGCATTTCGACACCGCCAGCCTGCCACGCCTGCCCGTCCAGGAAATTCGCGAAATAGCGTCCAATGACGTCTACCACTGGGCCATGACCACGCTGCAGCAGTCTGCGGACCGCGACCCGGCAGCCAAGCTCAACCTCATCTACCCGGCATCAGAGACCCACATCCGAAAGTACGAGAAGCCGGTCTTGCACATTGTGCGCGAAACCCCAGAGCTGTACCGCAGCGTCGTGCTGCCCTATATAGAGACTATGCGTGGAGACGTCATCAAATGGGTGCGCAACATTCTGTACGAGGGGGCCGAGGCCGACCGTGTCGTCGTCAAGAACGACGATTTCGTGCTTCTTCCAGACATGAAATGGGACGGCACGACGCTCGAGTCGCTGTATCTCTGCTGCATCGTCTACCGCGACGACATCGCGTCGATCAGAGACCTCAACGAGACGCACATCCCGTACCTGGAGCGCATCGCGGGCACGCTGAGGACGGAGATCCCGCGCCGCTACAGCGTCGCGGGCGACCAGCTCCGCATTTTCGTGCACTACCAGCCGTCGTACTACCACTTCCACCTCCACGTCGTCAACACGGCCTACCACGGGCTGGGCGAGTCGATTCTGGCCGGAAGAGCCATTCTGCTCGAGGAGGTGATCGACACGCTGCGGTTTCTGGGGCCTGAGGGCTACCAACGGCGCACGCTCACCTACGCGATCAACGAGTCGCACAAGCTCTGGGAGCTGGGCCTCAACAGGTCTGCTACGTAGAAACTACGAAGGTGTGAGGGTGCTGGTGCAAGATGTACACCACATCCCCAAATTATCTTTTTCCATGTGGCGTAAACACAGAGAGGTGGAAGAATAGCACTTCGGAACCTCTGGCCTAGTAGACACTGTTTTCGCCGCTATCGCACGCCCGGACCTCGAAAAATGGGAAAGAAAGGGTACCAGCAGCCAAGCGTATGTTTTTTTTGGATTTTATTTACGGCTAACCAGAACAGGAAATGTCCCAGGTGAACGATTTCATCTTTGGCACTGAGGGCTACCAGAGTCTGCAGCAGCGGCCGTCGCTGCTCAGGACGCTGACCGGTTTACGAAAGTCGCCGATGGACAACCCGTACGTGAGCGTCGACAGCCAGAAGGTGTTTGGGGCCTCGTTCTCTCATCTGGACCTCGGTGCGCCTGATGCCCTGAAGCGCACCGCGTCGCCGGACTCGCGGTCGGTCCATTCGAACGGCTCGACCAAGTCTCCACGTCCGAGCCTGAACCTGTCCAAGGCTAGGAAAACGAGCGACTCGTCGAACAAGATCGACGACGACGCCGATTGGAACGACGACATCGACGATCTGGCCACTCCCTCGCCCCAGGACGCCAAACCGCAATTTTACCCCGACATCTCGGATCTCAAGCTGCAGGACTCTCCGAGGGACAGCCCCACGGTGCCCACGGAGCCGCCGCTTGCGACACAGCAGCCGGCGCAGTTTCTGCGCCCAGACTACGAACGCATCATGAAAGACCCCTTCGTCATACTCGAAAGGCCCGGCAGCCAGTCCAAATACAGCAAAATCGTCAAGGCCCTCAAAAACCAGCCGTTTGATATGGCCGAGCTCCGCAAGCAAACATGGAGCGGCATTCCCGCTACGCTGCGACCGCTCGTTTGGCCGGTGCTTCTTGGGTACCTCCCGGTCAACAGCGCCACCAGGGAGGCTGTACTGAGGCGGAAACGGAAAGAATACACCAACAGCATGACACAGCTCTTCCGAGTGGAAAAAGACCAGGCCGTGTGGCACCAGATCTCCATCGACATCCCGCGGACGAATCCCACCATCAAACTGTACTCGTTCGAGTCCACACAGCGATCACTAGAAAAAGTCCTGTATCTATGGGCGGTCAGACACCCTGCGAGCGGCTATGTGCAGGGGATCAACGATCTGGCCACCCCGTTCTACCAGATATTTCTCTCTGCGTATTTGTGCGACCACGTTGACATGGAGGCGTTCAACACCAACCAGCTGCCGCAGGAGCTGATCAACTGCATTGAGGCAGACACTTACTGGTGTCTCACAAAGGTGCTGGACACTATTCAGGACAATTACATCCACGAGCAGCCGGGGATAATCCGCCAAGTGTCCGAGCTGCGAGACCTCGTGAAACGAGACGAGCCGTACCTGGCTGAGCATTTCGAGCGGGAAGGAATCGACTTCATCCAGTTCTCGTTCCGCTGGATGAACTGCATGCTGATGCGCGAGCTCCGAATGGACCTGATCGTGCGAATGTGGGACACATATCTATCATGCTATCCGACAGGCTTCAACCAGTTCCATGTCTACGTTTGCTGCGCTTTTCTGCGGCGTTTCAGCGAGCAGCTACTGGAAATGGACTTCCAGGATATCATCATGTTTCTCCAGGACACGTCCAAAACCGACGACTGGACGGAGGCGGACGTCGAGATGATGCTCAGCGAAGCGTTTGTGTGGCAGTCGCTCTACGAGAACGCCACTGCTCATTTCAGAACGTAATATACAGAAGAACCTATTTTCTCTCCATTTTCTCCTTACACCTTCTTGCTGCGCTTGGCGCTCTCCAACAGGTTATCCAGAACCATCGCCACGGTCATGGGCCCGACTCCGCCAGGGACCGGGGTGATTTTCGAGGCCTTTTCTTTGCACGAGGCAAAGTCGACGTCTCCGCACATTCTCTGGCCCGTCTTCCGCGTCGCGTCCGGAACGTAGTTCGTCCCCACGTCTATAATCACACAGCCCTGCTTGACCATGTCGCCGGTGATGAAGCCGGCACGGCCAACTGCGCTGACAATAATATCTGCGTTCGAACAGTAGAACTTGAGCTGCTCTGGGCTCGTTTTCGAGTGGACCACGGTAACGGTTCCGCCCGCCTTCTCCAGCAGCTTCGAGAGCGGACCTCCGACAATGTCCGACCTGCCGCAAACCACCACGTTCTTGCCCGCGATCTCTACCTGCTCGTGCTTCAATAAGTACATGATTCCCTTTGGCGTGCACGGAATGAACTTTGCAGCAGCATTTTTCTTGAAAATGGCCGCCAGATTGAGTTCCGAGAAGCCATCTATGTCCTTTTCCTGCTTCACGGCGTTGGTGATCCGCTCCTCGTCCAAATGAGCAGGAAGCGGGAGCTGCACCAGTATCCCGTGCACAGACGGGTCCTCGTTCAGCTCGTTTATGCGAGCCAACAGGTCTGCTTCTGAAACGTCATCGGGGAGTTTTTGCAACGACCCGTCGATGCCCACCTCCTGGCACGACTTGAGCTTCATCTTGACGTAGGTGGACGAGTCTGGACGGTCTCCAACCTGGATGATCACGAGCCGCGGCGCAAACGACGGATCCTGGGCCTTGAGATCTCTGATCTCAGCCGCAATGGACGCACGCAACTCGCTGCTGATGGCTCTGCCGTCAATGATGGACATGTTTGTACGAGGACATTTTTTTTCCACGTGAATATATTTTTTGCAAAATGTTGGCTCGCGGTGCGCGGCGGGTGGTCGGTGCGCGGTGTGATAGTATATGTGCCCCGCGGTGCGCCTGGGAGACGGGGCCCAGCAAAGCGTTTGGCACGGCCAGCGACAGTTGCCCGCTCGTGTTCCACCGACGGTGTGCCCATTGTGAGGCGAGCCGAAACAGCCGTGCGTCTTGTGGCCTGTTTCAGACGGTATTGTTCCGGGCATTGACGTCGTGGACAGCAGCAATTAGATTCCCGTATTAGGAAGGACCGACCGTCTGGAGCCTGTGCCAGACAATAGACAGATTCCATGTTCGGGCGAATTAAAGAAAAACTAGCGCAGGCGATTTGATCCGTGGCCCTAAAAGTCGACAATTCTCGCCGAATTAAGCAAAATGGGCGCAGATACTGCCAAATTCTTGCCCCTTTGAAAATCACAAAGGCCAAAAAAAGTCGTTCAAAAATTCAAAAGAAATCGGTATATCAAATCTCTCGTGCCTATGATCCTGTGTCATGCAGCAGCAAGACCAGGACAACCCCACGCCGCGCCAGGCGTCTCCGCTGAGGAGAGTGCTCAATAGTACGTCCGACTCCGAACAGCAGCCCGCTCCGAACCAGTCCCAGGAGGTGTTGTCGCAACTGCTGGGCTTCAAAGTGGAATCGTGGCCTCACTCCCAGGAACAGCTGGATTTGGTGATCCAACTCAAGATCGAACAAGAGCGCACCAAGTACGAGCAACAGAAATCCAGGAACCTGGCGATGGCAATGGAATTGCTCAACACAGCGCGACAAACAGGGATTCCTCCGGAATTGATTCCATTTCTGTATGCCAACCTTTCCCCCGAGGAAATCAAGGAACGCATTGACATGGTGCTCAAATATCCGCTTCAGCCACAGGGATACCAGACCCCTGGCCAGCGTGCCGACGAATCGCCCGTGCGAGCATTCTCCCACCGGCGGTCGTATACCGCGTCGTCTGCCGCGTCGTCTGCTGGCGGCGCCACATCTGTGTGGAGGGTGAACCTGCCACAACAACAGCAGTTCCAGTTCCACCACTGGTCCGGGCCCGGCGCTGGCCCCATGCCCTCCAAGGGCTCCTCTGTAGATACCGCGGCGTCCTCGACAGCGGCGTCCTCGAACGCCGCATCTGTCAACCAACAGACATACCCAGACACGCCCTCTGCGCCGTCGACATCGTCGCCGACATCCACCCACAAGCGGAAATATTCCGACCCTGTGGCACCCACGCACCAGCGTCAGCCGTCGTCGCCCACCAAGACGCGCAGCGTATCACTCGACAAGCGACAAGCTGCGCAAAACCCCCTTGCATCGCCCTACGTTTACAGAGACCCGGCCCACGGCGTGCCGTCGTACCCTCCACACCAACCGGGGGTAGCCGGTGTGTCCCGGTTCCCGCAACCAGGCTCGCCGTACCCGTCGCGCCAACACCCCCCACCATACTATTATACTTCGCCGTACCATCAGCAGGCATACCAGTTCCCTGCGTCTAAACCGCAGGAGCCCGTGCTTCCACCGCTAAGGCCGCCGGAGCCAGACGATAAGTTGAAAAGCAAGTTCCTTATCAACACTCCTAGAAATCCGCCCAAGTGATACCCGTGTTCAGCCGCAACACTAGCATATTTATATAATAAATTTACAGCATTTATTAAATCGTGCGGGAATGTCCCGCTTAGAATCTGCTCCCGTCCCACATAAAATCGGAAGTTTGCCGTCTACGTCCTATTCTATCAGAACGTTTTTTTTTTTTTTTTTTGTCACTATATCTACCCACCCCGATGACATGAGAGGTATCAGATTTCTTTGAGAGCCTGGAAAATGACAACTGATTCCGATACAGATGACGTGTCCAATCAGATGCCGCCAGGCGTACCCCACACGATCCTCACTAAGCGCGAAAGAACGTTCATGGTCGGCCTGCTATCTCTGATCGGTATTGCATCTGCGATAAGCATGTCTATTTACTGGGTTGCACTGACAGAAATGAAGCGAAAATTCAGAGTCACTGAGGAGCAGATTAATCTCACCGTGGTGGCGTATTTGATCCTGCAATCTTTGTCACCGGTGGTTTTCTCTTCTGCAACCGATTACGTTGGTAGACGGCCGGTGGTGCTTGTGTGCTTGATCGGCGGTTTCGCAGTGAACATAGCTCTTGCTGTTTCGGACGCATATTGGATGATCATATTTTTCCGCTGTCTGTTGGCCACCTTTGTGTCGCCGCTGATTAGTATCGTCTCCTCCATCGTCAGCGACTTTACCACCAGAAAAGACCGTGGTGGCTACAACGGAACCGTGAACGGGTTTCTGCTGGTGGGCCAAGGCTTCGCGCCCTTTTTCGGTGCTCTGGTGGACAGCGCGTGGGATTGGAGAGCCATATTTTATTTCTGCGCCATAATCGACGGCGTGCTTGTGCTTATCGTGTTTGTCTTTCTTCCAGAAACGAAACGGAGCATTGTCGGAAACATGTCAGTTAAGCCGGACCGCTGGTACCACCGCGCTCCTATACTGCTCTACTTTGGCAAGAGACTGTCCGACACGTCGAAAAGCACTGTTGAGCACATCGAGCTTCCAACATACAACCCGCTTAGAACAGTTCTGATTGCCCGGTACCCCCAAGTGGCCATGGTTCTACTTCCAAGCTCTGTGATGTTTGCCACATTGACCATCTCGCAAGCCTCACTCTCCACACAGCTTTCCGAGTCCTATGGCTACTCGACCCTGAAAGTGGGAATTTGCTTTTTTGCTCCCGGGGTGGCTACAATTCTTGGAGCCATTACTAGCGGCAAGATTTTAGACCGTACCTACAACAACCTCCGCGAGAAGCAACTGAAGTCTGACAGTTCCAAGCCAGTCAACATCATCAGGGCTAGAGTGCAGTATTATTTCATTCCATCGCTCGTTTGTGCAGCTGCTGCTGTGGTGTTTGGGTGGTGCATCCAGAAAAAAGAAAACGTGGCCATCATTCTTGTCATGTCATTTCTGATCCCTTTCTCAACCATGTTTCCAATGAATGCCGTTCCCACGCTGCTGATCGATATGTTTCCAGGACAAGCCGGCTCTGTTGCGTCGCTCAACAATTTAGGACGCTGTGGTATGGCTACCATTTTCATGGCATGTCTGTCCAAGATGATCAATGCCATGAAGCTGGGCGGTACCTACACGCTGATGGCGGGGCTCGTAATGCTTGGAAACATCTCTGTGTACGCTCTTCTTGCAAGGAGCTCGAGAATCCTAGCGGATGTTGAAAGACGCAAACAGGAGCTCGAAAGTAAGTAATACGTACTTCTCGGCTGGAGGAAAAAAGGATGTTGTCAGCTGTAGTAGCCGCCATTGTGCATGTTTATGAATGATGATCACGTCGCCAGTTGTGCCAGTAGCACAGGATAATACCCAACATGCAGCTAATAGTGTGAATTATATGCAAAATAAATAAAAAAAAATAATATTAACCATAAATAAAAAAATACTCCATTAATGTCCAGCCACGCCCACGGCGACTCGATAAAACTGCTGACATTCAACCTATGGGGCCTCAAATACGTCTCAAAGCAGCGCCGTGAACGTCTCACGACGTTTGCAAGTAGGCTTCGGAGCCAGCCCGACTACGACATCGTCGCCCTACAAGAGATCTGGACGGACGAGGACTGGAAATCAATTGTCGATCAGTGTCAGGACGTATACCCTTACACAAGAAGATTCTCCTCCGGGATTATCTCAGGCCCTGGCCTGGCGATTCTTTCCAAAGTGCCAATAAAACGGACGTTTTTGTACCGTTTCCCTGTCAATGGAACGCCCACAGCTGTTCACAGAGGCGACTGGTATGTCGGAAAGTCTGTTGCCGTGACGTTGCTGGAACCGCTCTACGAAGGTGCTTCGCCAGTAGCGCTTCTGAACTCTCACATGCACGCACCTTACGCCCTTACTGGCAGCGCTGCATACGCCTGTGTCAGAGCGTGCCAGGCCTGGGATATCGCGTCTGTTGCTCAGACGTATAGCGAGGCCGGCTACGCAGTGATTCTGGTGGGCGATCTCAACTCGCGACCAGGATCGTTACCTTATAGAATCATGCAGTCTGAAGCAGGCCTCACTGACAGCTGGGAAGAAATCCACGGTCCCACCGATGCTGACAAATTGCGCCAAATGTCGCCGGAGGACCAGATCAAACTTGGAGGAGCCACCTGCGACTCCACGCTCAACACATGGCGCGCAGATAGACGACCAGACGAGGCGTGTCGTTTGGACTACGCCCTCATAGATAACACTCGGCTCCGTGCTCTGGATGCGTCCGTGCAATTTACCGAAAAGATTCCTGGCGTGGGCTCCTACTCGGACCACTTTGCGTACTCGGCGACGTTCAAGGTTCTTGCAAAGTCTGCCACAGTCCCGTCGAGACCCCCAAAGTCCGGGAGGTTGGAAATTTACCAAGAGCTTACAGATTTGGTGGCAGAATATTTGGCCTCCAAAAATTCGTGGCAGAGCTCGCTTCTTCTTTTGCACTTCTGGCTCTCTGCGCTTGCATTCATTGCATTTCTGGCTGTCATCGTGGTCGTGTCGTTCGTTGCTCCTTGGGCGTCGATTGTCTTCCTCTTTTTTGGAGGCCTCGTGCTGGCTACCGGACTGCTGAGCGGCCAGATCGGATTTCTGTTCTGCAGATGTGAGCGCAGAGCCATGACGGAAATCATTCTACAAGTGGCAGACGCTACCCGCTCGCTACAGGACAATTGATATTATGAGCGGGATTATTCTCTCGATTATTTTCGCGTGCCTTGAAACAATATACCGGCTGTCCTGTTTAGGAAATACAATGTCGGAAGCCAAAAAATATCAGATCTTGAGCTCTTTTTCTAAAATGACCATATCGCTCTGGTTAAAATGGTGAAGAAGGAATCGACAACTGAGACAACCGAGTCCCCAAATGACGGCGAGTACGTCCTGACGCCGGAAGAGGAAGCCAGATACGGCCGTTTTTCTAAGAACCAGAAACGGTTATTCATGACCATCATGGCTATAGCCACCTCGCTAGGGCCGTACTCTTCTTCCGCCTACATGCCAGCGTCACAGATGATTGCTGACGAATTCAGCACCACCGGATCCACGGTAAACTTGTCTGGAACCGTTTTCAACATAATGACTGCAATTTCCCCATGTCTCTTCAACCGCTTGTACGAATTCTACGGCTGCCGTCCAATTTTCATTCTCATGGCCACCCTCCTGTTGATACCCTCGATTCTCACCGCCATTTCGGTGAACCTCCCCATGTTTTTCGCGTTTCGCAGTCTCACAGGCCTTTTCTCCTACTCCTTCATCAACATGGCCGCTTCTGTCACCGGCCACATATATCCGCCCACCGAGAGATCCACAGCTCTCAGTTACTGCTTGGCGGGCACCTTGGCAGCCAGTGCTTTTGCCCCCGTCCTTGCTGGAGTCATTATCACGTACGCGTCCTGGAGAATCATTTTCTGGGTCCAGACAGGCATCACTGCTTATGTGCTGGCCATGGCTATTGTCTTCCTCAAGGAAACAACGCCAGAAACTGAGTTTTCCGTGTGGAAACGACAAACGTCTAAAAAGTTCAAGTTCATCGCCGTCAACCCGTTTACGGTTGTCCTTGCATTGCGCATCCCAACGCTCTTTCTCGCCGGCATCACCACTCTCTTGCTATCCTTCAATTATTTCGCATTACTCACCCCAATCAGATACGTTGTCGACCCGCGATTTGGATTTACCAGCCCTATCCAGGGCTCCCTCTTCTACCTCGCTCCTGGCTGCGGGATGGTTATATCTACCCAGTTTGCGGGCAGGTACGCCGATTGGGTGTTGAAGCGAGCAATCAAAAGAAGAGGCGGGCGGCTTGTGAGCGAGGACAGACTGCAGGCGTGTTTGCCGGCGATGCTGGTTATGTTCTCGTCGACTATAATTTACGGCTGGTCTATCCAGGAGAAAAAAGGCGGGCTGGTGCTGCCAATCGTCGTGATGTTCCTCAACGGGCTGTCCCAGACGTTTGTGTACACGCCAGTCAATTCGTATTGCATTGGCAGTTTGCCCGAAATAGGGTCGCCGATTTCGCTGGGCTCAAACTATTTCATCCGCAACATAGGTGCTGCTATTGGGTCGGGCGTCACCTTGCCCCTGTTCGACGCCATCGGCATCGGATGGTCCAGCGTTATCAACGGGGCCCTCATTACCGTAGCCTTTGGCTGCACACTGCTTTGCTACAAGGTGGGCCAGAACTGGCGCACAAGGTGGCTGAAAAAAAACGGCTATCGCTCTGGAGACGGGTACGACCGAGAAGGATAGAATTAATATATATTTGGTTCTTTTGACAGCCTAAATAATATATCTTGCTTTCGCGTGAAACACAAGATCCTCCCAATTATAAATTCACTGGATCAGTCATGTCTGGCACCGAGTCGACTGAGGAGCCTTGCAACAGCATGGCAGAGTCGCAGACTCTGTCGGCTTTGGAGTCTGAAGAGCGGCTGACTCGCAAGGATTCTGGCTCGCAATCGCAAAGCCCTGCTAAACGACCCTTCGCCTTTTCGCCCCACAGACTAATCACATCGATATCGCGACATACGTCGCCTCACAAGCCGCGACCGAAATCTCAGTCAAGGGTGCCCACCCCGAAAGCGCATCCTCTACCGCCACACCGCCTAGTCAGTCCTGAGAGAGATAAGCCCTCCATAGAAGGCATCTCAAAATCGTTTGTGAGTTTCCTCACCGCTGCCAGCGTTTATGCTGGGTTCCAGGATTTAGAAGGAGAAGACCAACAGGTATCGCTTGACGACGTTTCTGCGGGCGAATCAGAGGACCAGCAAGATAACGAATCGTCTGATGAACAGGACGACGACGATCAGGACGACAGAACTTTTTACGCCACAGACCCTTCGCCCACCGAGCTGACGATTAATGAGAACACAGTATTGCCAGAGCCCGAACCACCACGTCGGACGCTCCGCAAAGCCAGGTCTCGGTTCGAATTTTCTGTGGTAAAGAGACTCTCCGAGAATGAGAATGATCAGCTGGCCCAGAAGAGAGCTGTCGCCCTATCGAACAAGCTGAAGAGAACGTTTGACATTTCCGACACAGATGAGTTCATCAGCGATTATCCGTGCTGGCTGATGGGAGAAGTTCTGCTGCAAGGCCATCTCTATATCACCAAGCACCACATCTTGTTCTTTGCATTTTTGCCCAAAAAACAGGGTTCCATCTCGAAATCGGGCGCGCTGACCACAAAATCGTATCCGTCTCTTAGGGAGCACCGCAGATGGGCTGTCTTACGCAACAACACCTTCAGCGTGTATTCCAACTCGACAGCTCTCTATTTTCCACTACTGGTGATCGATCTCCGTACTGCGCTGCGGGCGGAAATTCTCCAAAGCAGTAGCACGCAACAGAATCCAAGCAAGCCCGTGTGGATTCGAATAATCACAGAGTCAAGAACGCACTGGTTCCTAGCCGACAATTTAGCTTCGGCTAGATCCTGGGTTTCGAGTCTGAAGAAGCACATTTTCTCATCAAAAAATAAAGGCGACCAGGTGGCGATCAAGATCCCTTTGCAGAATGTGGTTGACTTGGAGCTGACCTCTGTCATAGGAGTCACCAAGAATTTGAGAATCAAAGTCATCGAAAGTGCAGACACTTTTGCCATCGATGACTACTTCCTCATGTTCTTTTCAAGAGGAGAAAGAGCCGTCGAGGATATCAAGAAAGTTATTCACGATGCAGGCATGGAGATCTCAGAGGGGACAAGCACTGAGAGTGAGGAGGAGCCGGGAATGGAAAACAATCTTCTGAAATCTAAGATTGAGCTGCTAAAAAAATCTCCGTCCATGGTGCAGACCTCTCGTAAGTCGGGCATCCCTGCCATCCGAACGGAGGAGTCTGCTGACGACCTCAGCCAGGAGGAAGGGTCCGTGCAAAGCTCAAAGTTTGTGTCTGATGATGACATTGAGGCGGCAGACGATAACGAAATGCTGGAAGACACGCAACCAGAAGACAATCTGAAAGATGCTGAGAAGGAGAGCCAGGAAAAGATGTCTAGAACTAGTAGTCGTCGTGCATGGTCGACAAGGTCTTTAGTACAGGGCCTAAGTGCTATTACTCAAGGGTGGATGTCGCCATCTCCCATGGCTCATTTCGACGAGAAATACGCGATGGTGCGAGGAGAGGAGGACTCATACTTTGTCAAGGATTCGGAGCAGCGTAAATCAGCTACGGAGCGGTTCAGAAAGCACTTTTCTCTCACGGAGAGTGAAAAGCTTATTGCCACATACCATGCGTACTTGGTCAAGGGACTTCCTGCCTACGGCAAAATATATCTTGGGTCCAACGAGATGTGTTTCCGCTCCACATTGCCCGGCACAGGAACAATAATGATCCTTCCCTTTTTAGATATCGAAAACGTGAACAAGGAGAAGGGTTTTCGATTTGGATACTCTGGGCTAGTGGTCGTCATTCATGGCCACGAGGAATTGTTTTTCGAGTTTGCCAGCGACCAGGCTCGTGACGATTGCGAGTTCATGCTTTTGAAGCAGATGGATATGTTCAAGAAAGGAAGCACCGATAGCAGTCCTCCAAATGCGAGCGAAGGTTCGAGCGATGAGAGCTGCAACCTGGCGGAGTCGAATACAAGTTTAGCATCTGCCAGATTGAGGATGTTTGAGAACCGTATCCATGATGCGATAGGCTTGGATGTGCCGATTATCATAGAAGAGCATCCATTGACAAAAACCAAAGTTCGGCCACAGAAATCTTACAAATTCACACTTTTGACGATTGGATCGCGAGGAGACGTTCAGCCATACATTGCGTTGGGAAAGGCTTTGATAAAAGAAGGCCACCAGGTTCGTATTGTCACCCATGCTGAGTTTGAGCCCTGGATTAAGGCACACGGTATCAAGTTTGCTTCGATAGCGGGGGATCCATCTGAACTCATGGCACTGATGGTCACCCATCCAACCATAAACTACAACTTTATAAAGGAGGCAAAGTCGAAGTTCCGAAGCTGGATCGACGACCTATTGGTCACATCCTGGAAAGCGTGTCAGGACACAGATATTCTGATTGAGTCTCCTTCTTCAATATGTGGGATCCACATTGCTGAGAAGCTGCAAATTCCTTACTTTCGTGCTTTTACCATGCCATGGACACGTACAAGAGCGTATCCTCACGCTTTCATGGTTCCTGATCAAAAACTGGGCGGCGCCTACAACTATATGACCCATGTGGCTTTTGAAAACGGATACTGGCGAGGAACCGCTCATCAGGTGAATAAATGGCGTGTTGAGACGTTAGGACTGCCAAAAACGTCTTTAGCCGAGATGAAGCAGAATAGCGTTCCTTTCCTCTACAACATCTCGCCAACAGTCTTCCCTCCTTCTGTGGATTTTGTTGAGTGGGTCAAAGTGACCGGTTACTGGTTTTTGGATGAAAGCGAGACATACCAGCCACCCGAAGCTCTAAGTAAGTTCATTGAGCAGGCGAGAAAAGATGGCAAAAAACTGGTTTACATAGGATTTGGGTCCATCGTGGTCTCCAAGCCGTCAGAACTTACCCAAGCCGTCGTGGATGCCGTTCTCGAGGCCGATGTCAGGTGCATACTGAACAAAGGGTGGTCGGATCGTCTGGGAGCTAAGACGGAGATTGAGGTCATGCTTCCGCCTGAGATATTCAATGCTGGAAGCGTGCCCCATGATTGGTTATTTCCCCAAATCGACGCTGCCGTTCATCATGGAGGCTCTGGAACCACAGGGGCTTCGTTGCGATTTGGCCTGCCGACAATCATCAAGCCGTTTTTTGGCGACCAGAAGTTTTACGCGGGAAGAGTCGAAGATCTTGGATGCGGGCTTAGTTTGAAGGATTTGAACTACAAAAGTCTTGCGCGGGCACTCAAGGAGGTGACCACCAACACAAGGATTATCGAGAAGGCCAAACTTGTCGGAGCCAGAATCCGGTCCGAAACAGGCGTTCAAACTGCCATTGAAACAATTTACAACGAGATGGAGTACGCTCGAAGCCTATCTATCAGCAAAGTGAAACAGGTTTCTGTTGTCAAGAGCGACGAGGAGTTTGACGACGACAAAGACGAGGAAGTCGAAGGCTCGTGGCTACTTGTTTGAGATATTTGTCTGTTAATATTATCCTTTGTTGTATACTCTATTACCAATTTGCAACGTCCTCGGCCTCACCAAAAACGCTTTCTTTTTGCTCTGTGTTGTCGTCCTGCCAGTCTGGATTATTGCCGTCATGGTCCATAATCTCCTTGATATGGGCTTTCTCGAAATTCAGTATCAGGTCATTGATTTCCTTGAATTCTAGCAGGAACGCATCGTGTCCTTCTGGAGAGTTGATTTTCTTGAGCGTTGAGTTTGGCATGTTTTTGGCGATGAAAATTTGCTCGCTGAGTGTAAAGAGCGCGTCCGAGTCGATACCAATAATCAAGGCCGGCTGCTTCAGGCTCTGCAGTGCTTTTGCGGCGTCATTGTCGAACTCTGGGCGGTCGCGGCCGACATCGTGCGTATCGAGCTTCCTTGTGATGGATATGTAGCAATTGGCGTCGAATCTATGGTGAAACTTTTGTGCTTGGTACCTGAGATAGCTTTGTGCCGAGAAGTAGTGTTGCGGTCTGCGTCTTGGTCTGCCTCTAGCCGAGGTGGCAGAGTTTAGGCTCTCTGTGTCCGCCGAGGAAGCTGACGAGTCCATTGAGTTTGAGCGACTAGCGTGCCTCGACTCAAACGATTTCCTGTGCACAGATGCGCCGTGGTTGTGAATTTGCCAGTGTTCTTCTTTTGCCGAGGGAGAATCTTCGATCGCATTGGACTCCTCGGGGCCAGGGGCATTCTGCTGGCTCTTATTCCTCTGCTGCTCTGTTGGCTGTCCGCGGCCAAATCTGCTCTCGAACGAGTTGCGCGATCTGTATGTGAGCAATGCTGCCATCCGCGCAGCCCCAAGACCGTTCACAGGCGGATCCTCCAGACTGTAGTAGCCGTCGTCGTACTTCGGATCGGAGTAGATGCACTGTCTCTGAGCTTCGCCCCATGAGATGCACCACGCTGAGTGTCTCGCGCTGGTTGCCAGTGCCACCAGATTCTTCACAAACCGTCCCCCGTCGACAAAACACCATTCTAGAGCGAGCATGCCTCCCATGGATCCACCCACGCACAAGGCAATCTGCGTCACTCCAAGAGAGTCCAGAACCAGCTTATGGATACGCACGTCGTCGCGCACGGTGCAGATCGGAAATTCTGGGCCGTACAGCTGGTTATACTCGGGGTCCATGGTCACAGGCGAGGCAGATCCGTACGGAGACCCTAGCGAGTTCAGACAGATGATGAAGTACTTGGTAGGGTCGAACGCGCGGTTGCGTCCAATCAATGGTCCCCACCAGTCCTTCACGTCGGCCGAGCCGGTCAGCGCGTGTGCTATAAGCATGCAGTTGTCTCCTTTGTCATTGAGCTTCCCCCACGTCTTGTACGCCACCGGCACTTTGTAGAGCACGTCGCCGGACTCGAGCTCAAACTCTGGAATCTCCACAATTGTTTGGCCACTCACCAGTTTCGAAAATGGGTTTTCAGTCTGCTCTTGGACGATCTTGTACCCCATGTTGGTGTGCAAGGCTAACTATAGCTGACTCTTTTTTTTCTAATTTTTTTCTTGTAGTTGCACTGCCTCTCATTCTAATGATAAAACCCCCGAAGGTCAGAGTACGCACCGGTTCGTGGACAGAGTGCCGCGACGAGGTAGTCAGGCTGGTCGAGAAGCAGAACTTCCCGAACCGGATCGATTTTTTGGTGCCGAAAAACGTGTTTGTGAGCAAAAACATCGAGGCCAGACTCGCAGATCTGGAGTACGACTACGGCATTGTAGACTGCTCGCTGCACACAATACTGCAGAGCTTTCTGAAACAGGCCTCGGAAATTGACATAGAAAATATCCAGCTCGTCTCTGTTGGCCAGCACGCTGAGCATGAGGACACTGTTTCTCTGATAAGAGGCATTTTGACGCTTCGCCTGACCGCAGAATCCTACTACAGGTCTGGACTGAAAGGCGTTCGCTCGGTCCTTTCCCAAGGAAATAAAAACACCAGACAGCAGTTGTTTGTGGTGCAGCTCGATCTGAGCCAGCTGGCGACGGAAGACAGAAATTCGCTTCGACTCTTTTGGTTTGCGGAAAAATACCAGAAACCGCTCCGCTTCGCGGTGGTTGGAGAGTTGCGGGTCGACGGGCTGCGTAGGGTCGTTGTCCAGCCGACTGTAAGTAGACTGGGCCGGCTGTGCACGCCCAGCCTGGTTCCGCTGGACGACGAGGAGTGGCTATCCACGACGCTCGAATGGCTAGCATACGCGTCCGTCAACGGTCCGCAACTCTCGCCGTTCGACAGAACCGACGCCAACGTCTCGATATACCGCGAAACTGTGGACCTATGCAATGAGGAGGAAATGTACAGAGTGTCTGTGAACGGGCTGGTGTCTACGTCTACGGCGGAGCAGCTGCTGCAACTGATCGCCACCAGCTGGATAGCCATGCTGAAATACGGCGTACAGGACTCCAACGTGGGTTTTGGCCGGGCCGAACACGTTCCAGGGCCAAACGTTCAGGCGCTGCTGAAAAATGGCGACACGTTTGCTCTGTGGCATCAGTCGCGTTGATAATTGTACATTAGAATTATATTCACTCGTCCTTCTCCTCGGTCTCCTCGCCGCTCTCGCTCTTCGAAAGCAGTCTGTTGAGCTCGCTCTTAGGGTCCGAATACAGCTTGTCGAAGTTGTCGTACTCGACGATCACACCCTTGTGGTTGAACACGACGATTTTGTCGCTGGTCTTGATGGTGCTCAGCCGATGGGCAATGCTGATAGTGGTCAGACCGGCCTGCTGTCTGAGCTTGAGTGTGCGCTTGATGGCCTCCTCCGACTTGGCATCTAGTGCAGACGTGGCCTCATCCAGAACCAGAATGCTTGGCCCAAGCAGCAGTTCTCCACGCGAGCTGTACGCTTCGGGAACAGACACCTCTTTGTCGGGACGATGGCCTAAAAGTAGCGTTCTTGCGAGAGCTATCCTCTGTTTCTGTCCTCCACTTAGCTGGGCGCCCCTGGAGCCAACCACAGTTTCGAGTTTGTCCGGGAAATTGTTGATGAAGCCAGTGCAGTTGGCCAGGTCGCACACTTTCTGGATCTCTTCGTCCGTAGCGTCCATCTTTCCGTACGTGATATTCTCCCTCAGAGTGCCAGAGAATAGCATGGGCTCCTGCTGAACAACTCCCGTCTGCTCCCTGAAGCTGGCCAGACTGACCTCCGTCAGAGGCTGGCCGTCGATGAGGATGCTTCCGGAGAGTGGCTCGTAGTGGCGCAGCAGCAGCTGTGCCACAGTGCTTTTTCCGCACCCGCTCGGCCCAACGAGACAGACATGGTCGCCCTTGTTGATCTTTAGGTTCAGGGATCCAAACACCTGGTGGGTCGGACGCGTCGGGTACTTGAAAGCGACGTTTCTAAACTCAATGTTGCCCAGGACGTTGATTTTCTTTCCCTCGGAAGGCACAATGGCTGGTTGGAGCCTGATGAGCTCGAACACACGTTCTGACGCTCCCACGCCCTTCATCAGCTCCGAATAGAAGTTTGACAACGAATACACGCTGGATGCGCTAAACGTCGTGTACAGCATGTACGAGGAAAGCTCTCCAATGGAGAGTTCGCCTTGACGCACCATCTGGACACCCAGTGACAGCAGCCCTATGAGGAAAACGTTACCGACAAAACCGTTACCGGCAAAAAAGTAGCCATTGAGCCGTCCCTCATAGACAGACAGGTTGTACAGTTTTTGGACCTCCTTGCGGAACTTGCCCACCTCGTACTCCTCATTGTTGAAGCTCTGGATAGTCTTTGTGAAGTTGAACTGCTCCTCAGACACCTTGGTGAGGTTTCCAAGCTGTTTCTGGATATCTTTCGACAGAGCCTTGATTTTTCTTCCAAACACCAGCGACATGAAAATTAGAACAGGGAAGATCAGCGTCATGTAGCCTGTAAGCTTCACCGAGATGGTCACCATCATGATAATTCCAACTAGCCCGCTGATTGACGAGCGCAGCCCGTCACTGATATTCTGGGTGACAGAGCGCGCCACAATGGTCGAGTCATTAACCAGACGTGAGATCAAATCGCCGGACTTGTGGTAATCCCAGAATTTGGCATCCTGGTAGAATATTTTTCGCAATATATCGAGTCTCAGCTTGGCCATGATCCGCTCGCCGACCTTGCGCAAAAGAATAATCCTGCCAAAGTTAGCAGAGGCTCCCAGGAAAAACAGGAGCCCCACCGCGGCGTAGAATTGGCTAGCAGGCACTTCATAGGACAATATGCTAATGGTAGTCTTCCGATCCTCGGCTTTCGCCATGTCTATCACTTTCCCCATGATCATAGGAAAAATCATCGAAACAGAAGAGGAAACAAACAGAAGGAATATGGCCACTGTCATTGTAGGGATCTCTGTTTTAGTGAGTTTGAGCAATTCCCATATTTCTTTGAACGAGGACTTTTTCTTTTGGCCACCATCGGCGCCATCCTTGGGCTCCTCTTTGAACGCTTCTTGAGACTCAAATTTCTGGCGGGTCGAGCTGAATCTTCTGGCAAGCTGCAACGGAGTCATGCCCACAGCAGGCCTCACAATGCCCGGATTGCTGAACGGAGACCAGGTCCGGCTGATCAACCTCACGCTTGAAAGCGGAGTAATGGCCGGACTGCGCAGAACACGATGTGTCAATGGCCTTCCGAGTAGTCTTGGAGTCAACAGCATGTATTAAATAGGATTCGAGACTATTAACTGAGATACTAGTGGAATATTTTGCTCATCAAGAAATTCCGCGACTTGAAATATTTTGTATTTATTATTATTGTGTAATTAATTTCTCTGTCTAGCTGGACCATTGCAAACCATATTTGTTGCCAAAAGATAACCAGCGGAATTCCACCTAGTCAAATTATCTGGAGTCATGGCTCCCTTCACGTCAGGAGACTGGAAATGTGAATGTTGGCAGCCAATTTTGGTCTATTCTGTGAGACATGGCTCCAGAGCTCCTGGGGACACGCCTTGAGTGGCCTCGTTTGATGAAATGGGTTGCCGCCTAGCAATGCTCTTTGTAATAGGGAGGTGCACTCTGCCGCTCTCTAAGCGCGGCTCCCCTTGCACTCACGGGCAATGCACCTTAGCGCAGTCTCTCGTCCGGCTCCCATGGTTTCAATGATTCATCCAAAACGACAACCTTGTGTAACGAAGGCCGTTCCAATTTGGCTTCACTATCCAAAGTATTCACGATGCCTCCAGTCAGCATCTGGCGTCTTGACTTGTCTGTCAAAAACATCGTAAGACTGAAAATCACGAATCGGCTATAGCCACTTTTTCTTCGTCTCTGCAGGAGCATTGATCCCCAAGAATTGACTGATGCAAAATCTCCCACATCTTCAGACCCCGGTTGTACAGGTGCTCCACCATCAAGGTGCCTGCACTCCACATGCTGTGGATTATCATACCGCTGTACGTCTCCAGAAGCTGGTGTTTTGTGATATCCTCTCCAATTAGCATAACCGTATATGCTACTTAGACGAGACGCGCTTCACGAACATAGCGCACCCAGGTCCTTTGAGGCAGTTTCTGGCGGTATACTGCTCACAGTGTTGCTGCGATGAATGAAAACCAGCACCGTATGGTATTCTAGTGCCAGTCAAGCAGGGGAGAGATTAGGAGGAATGTTTCTGTGGCGAAATCCAACCTCAGCATTTCTGGCAGTTTTCAGAGCCATTCGTAGAGCAACTCAGTTTAGGCAGGAAAACTTCTTATCCGGTTCAACTGAAACTGTTTGGTAGTGGTGAGACGAGCTATAAATGTCCCCGATGAGCATGGCCCACCACAGTCGCTTGTACAACTTATTTTTCATAATAGATCATTCTGGCCGCTGACTTCAGCTATCCACCTTGTCACTGCTTCGTGCTTCATTGTGAAAAGTACAGATTTCTCATGAACGCTTCTGGAACATTTTTCCGGATAGTTCAGCGTAACGGCGCAATTGACTTTTCTCTCACGGCAAAGCAGCAAGCAGGAGCAGACTGCCGCCTTTTCTTGAAGTCGTAGATCGCAGGTCGACCAGGGACTTGACATTTTGAGAAGTGAGTAGAATTTAGACCCACTTTTAATGTAAGAGATGTGGTGCTTCATTTTGGCTTAGCACAGGTTTTCTTTAGCTGATCAAGGCGGGTCATTAATGACTAAAAGAGTCCCACATAGGTATGTCTCCCGAGTATAGACAATTCTAAGTTGAAAACGTACCCCTCTCTTGTTAGTCAAGCCGACTCTTGGCAAGCCTATAAAGCTGGGGAAATATTATATCTGACGTCTCACCTCCAACTTTCTCGTACACTCCTCGGGACTGGTAGAATCGCTTGATCGGTTCCAATTGCTCATAGTAGGTATTCAGTCTTTTGCGAACAGTCTCCGGATTGTCGTCTGGCCGCTGAAATAGTGGCTCCCCGGTCACATCGTCCTTAAACGGAACCTTAGGGGGATTGTACTCTAAATTGTAAACTCTTCCCGAAGAATGCATCCACCGGTTTGCGATTCTCCCGACAATGACATCGGGCGGGACATCTAGCTCAACAACCAGATTTATGTTATTGTCTTGAAGCCGGCGTTCAAGTTCCAACGCCTGGCTGGGAGTTCGCGGAAATCCATCCAGCAGAAACGACTTGTCTATGATGTCTCTCTTTGCAAGCTCTGTCTCCACCATCCCGGCCATCAATTCGTCTGGAAGCAGTTTCCCCTCCTTGATGTACGCATCAGCAAGCTTTCCTATTGGGGTTGAGTTTTGAATTTCAGCCCGCAAGAGATCGCCCGTGGATATAGAGTTGAGACGAGGCATCTGTTTCAGTAGCCTCGATGTGAGCGTGCCTTTGCCTGATCCAGGTGCTCCTAGAAGAACAAGTCGAAGCGGCATAACGGAATAAATATATTTTTGACGGGGAAAGATTTCTTAGATAGCCCTAATCTTTCAGAGGGCGCGGCGCGGCTGGCGGGAAACAGGTAGACACTTGGTTTTTCCAGAAATACTGGAAACATCCTCAGGGTAATGCCGTTATCAAAAATGTCCTCGTTGGCCCAGCAAAATGTTCGCAGGTGGGCTTCCTGGAGGGGAAGTTTCTGTCTTACCCCGTTTCGCTTATCAAGATCGTCGTGTATGCGAATTAAAAAAAAATTTTTTTGGAAATAAATTTGATTCAATTCAAGACCTTAGCAATGGAGTTAGCAGTTTCTGACGCAGATAAGAGCATCCTGCTCGAGAAGAAGAACGTCCTGAATCCAAGCGTGCTAGATAAATATAGACTAGCAGGCCAAATCACCCAAACTTGTATGGCTTACTTGGCTGAGCTTATCAACGACTCGTACCATCTTGGAAAACATGAGCCTTATTCTATTGCCGAACTTTGTCTGCTTGGAGACTCACACATGAAGGTTGCACTTGATAATGCATACAAGAACCAGGTTAGGGAAAAAGGGATAGCTCAACCCGTTACTATCGACGTGAACGATGTCGTAGTTGGATACTCACCTGAAGTTGATGATGAGACGAACTTCAAATTCAAAGCTGGAGACATTGTCACCATCAACATGGGGTGCCATATTGATGGATACACCTCTAACCTATCGCACACAATGGTGATATACCCCCCAGGAGCGTCTGTGGGCCCCTTGCTTGGCTCCAGCGCAGACGCAATCTGTGCTTCCTATATTGCATCTGAAACTGTGATCGCATTACTTGCATTGTCTTTGACACCAGAGAAGATTCCTCAGTCTTTGGCCGATGGCTCGGGCCTGATCAAAGGATCTACCATAAGACAGATAGTGGACTCCATTGCCGAGAGTTTCAACTGCGTGGTTGTGCCAACGTCCAAAGTTAGAAGAATAAGGCGGTTTTTGGCAGGTCAGGCAGAAGGTATCGTTGCTGAGAGAGACTTCAAAGGCGTTGTCTGGTCCGAGGCTGATCAGGAGCTCAAGCTTTTGAAAAAATCGCCAAAGTACAACGGTAGCCAGGAGCTCGCGACCTACGACAAGACCAAGAGTGCCAGAGTGACAGCTTCTTCTGCAGTTCCAACCGACGACTTTGTTGTGTCTCCTGGCGAAGTCTACACAGTTGACATCAAGATGGCACCTTTGCAGGAAACTGAGGGACCAGGCTTGATCACATTGCAAGCCGTCGATAATGTGACTGGTGCAAATCACTCTAAAGACACCTTCAGACCTAGACCAAGTATATTTGTGCGCGACGTTGCCATCTCACACCAATTGAAACTGAAAACCTCAAGGAAACTGCTCTCGACCGTTGACAACAAGTTGTCTGTCTACCCCTTCAAACTCGCGCATCTGACATCTGGCTTCCCATTCAACCTTTCGGGAGACATTGAGCAACAGCTCAGAGCTATTCAGCAGGAAATGAAGCCAGCTCGGTTGGGGCTTGTAGAGCTCGTTAACAAACACCTCGTTGTCGCTAAGCCTATTCTGAGAGCCAGGTTCGTGCCCCTGCAGGTTATCTTGAATGCTTCAACCTCCACTGGTGTCAATGGATACGACGCCGAAAACCCTGTTTTGCCGGGCCTGGAGCTGCCCCTGCCCAGACTGGGTCTGACCTCTTTGAAGCTGAAATCGTTGCTGAAGGCTTCAAGGGAAATCCCTGTCGCTCGTGAACAGTCCACCGTCGTTCTGAACGGGGATAACAATGAACTCATACGCCTGAGCGGGGGTCTTTCGACCTCGAAACCAAGCTGGGTACACTCCAAGTTCCAGCTTTCTGGAGACGTAGCACAAGCCGTCAACGATCTTGTGCAATTGACGCAGGACCAGAGATTTGGACTGAAAATCAAGGAATGTCAGCCAATGAAAAGCAGTAATTAGAGTATAGATTAGCGAACAAAGACGTATCCTTTTTCCAGTGAAAAGGGCCAAAAAGTAGGGAATCCTGTACACCTTTGCACCGGACAGGGTAACGTGGTCATTTCATTTATGGAGGGGAGTGTGAATAGAAATTTTGCTGCGGCTCTCTTCGCCAGGCGGCGGCGCCTGCAAACCGGAATTTGTACTGGCTCCTTTGTGATTTATTTACTCTATATTATTTTGAATATACTATCGTCAATTTTATACCGGCTCTTGTGTTAGTCAAAAGTGGCAAAACATCCTGTGATAAAGTCATACTCAGTCATATTTGTAAGTATCGGTAAAACGTTTTGTGCAAGTCGGAAGCAAATTGTGGCAATCGGTTATCATCAGCATCACAGCGGACAAGATTAGTTTCACGGGGTCAGTATCGCGTCACGAACGGGTGAACGAAACGTCGACTTTGCTATGAGAGACTCTTCGGCCACGAGGATTCGCCGGCGATGGACAGCCTGATCGAAATAACGCCATCCAAATACTCAACTCACGGAAGACGACAAAGTCGGGCTTAGGTACGGGTTTCGATTTGTGGCACCCATATTCCACGCCGCTACAGGCAAAGGTAGTCGTTTGGAGTCTTGGGATCATTGCCTGTGGTTATGGAACGTGCTGGAGAGCCCATCAGAAGTCGTGGAAAACGCAACATAACCAAATGACTGTTACGGTGTAGAGTTGTTCCCGATTCAGGTGAGATGTTTTTTTTTTTTTCATTGCTGAGAGACGGTGCTCGCAACCGATTAACACGTATTTGGTGGAAAAAAGTGAAAACAAGTGAGGAAATCAAAGGGATACCCGTTGTCTACTTTAATTGCTACCGACTTGTAAGCATTAGGTTGAAGTCCTCAATACTAACAGTTTTTGCAGATTCGCAATGCCAGCTTCCCGTGAAGATTCTGTTTATCTAGCCAAGTTGGCCGAACAGGCCGAGAGATATGAGGAGATGGTCGAGAACATGAAGGCCGTCGCCTCCTCTGGCCAAGAATTGTCTGTTGAAGAAAGAAATCTACTGTCTGTCGCCTACAAGAACGTGATCGGTGCCAGAAGAGCCTCGTGGAGAATTGTGTCCTCCATTGAGCAAAAGGAAGAGGCCAAGGGCAACGAGACCCAAGTTGCTCTCATAAGAGAATATAGAGCCAAGATCGAGGAGGAGCTTTCAAATATCTGTGAGGACATTCTGACAGTGTTGACTCAACACCTAATTCCAACCGCTCAGAGCGGCGAGTCCAAGGTGTTCTACTACAAGATGAAGGGAGACTACCACAGATATTTGGCCGAGTTCGCCGTGACAGAGAAGCGTAAAGAGGCTGCCGACCTTTCGTTGGAAGCTTACAAGGCTGCTTCCGAGGTTGCTGTGACCGAGCTGCCACCAACCCACCCAATCAGATTGGGTCTGGCGTTGAACTTTTCCGTTTTCTACTACGAGATTCTCAACTCTCCAGACAGAGCTTGCCATTTGGCCAAGCAAGCTTTCGATGACGCCATTGCCGAATTGGATACACTATCAGAAGAGTCTTACAAAGACTCGACTTTAATCATGCAACTCCTGAGAGACAACTTGACATTGTGGACCTCCGACATGTCTGAGGCTGGCCAAGACGAGCCAGCTCCTGAGAAAGCTGCTGAAAAACCAGATGATGAGTAAGTTTGCTAACTGTTTTCTGTATAAAAGTGCCTTCCATCTCAGGTTATGTTGTCGTTGCTTTATGATTTATAGTTATTAGTTAGCTAGACCCCTTTCTCTTCTAAATGGTACAAATTCAAACATGTTCCATTTTTTTTTGTAAGATATAAAGACCTGAAAGAAATGGAGGGCATCGATTTTGAGAACACAGGTTCTGACTTTAGCGCCGTCTTTAAGGTCGTCAATTTGGCTGTGGCCGCTATTTCGGTAAGTGGGATTGTTTCTTTGGCTAACGTATCAGGTCATTACCGGTGTCACTGAGTTGTTTAGCGGTTTCGCGTATTTCTTCCAAGGTCTATACATTTTGGGCCTGGGAGGTGTTGTTGGCTACTTGGAGTTTAAAAATCCACCTCAGCTATATGCCTACGCATCATCCTTCTTCTCCTTTCTGGGAAGAGGGCTTATATATGTGCTTATCGCAATTCTGAATTTCCACGGGTCAGTTTTCAGAGTGCTGGCAGCAGTGCTTGTGCTTTTGGCGGGAGTCGTTTACATTGTGCTCGAATTTATTCCTAGCATCCAAGCACCTGAAAACATGCAGGGAGAACGTGGATTATCTACAGATGAGCTAGAGGACGTAATTTAAAAGAACTCCATCTTATTTGTGTATCAAAAAAAATCGACAACAGCAGGACTCGAACCTGCGCGCGAAAATCGCAAAAGATTTCTAATCTTTCTCCTTAACCGCTCGGACATGTTGCCAGATGTTGGAAGTTTTGGCTTTGTGACCAACACATTGTTGCAGGAACATAGAACATAGCATATGAAGCATCTGCAACTGGTTCGTGGCCTATTGTTTCACAGAGGGCTTCTACTGCCTACTATTTTATCAGATTTTCCGTGCATATCTAAAAGAGACAAAATACAGGTAAACCGAAATTCTGGATCTCTTCTGGGGATACTGATAGCCCCATCGGAAACAGTTGATTGATCGATCCTTCGGTACAACATGTACCGTGATTAGAGTCATGTGACGAAAAGATTTGGGTCCTCGCTTGGTATCATTTGCACTCAGGATTGTGCTGTAATTTACTTTCTACAGAGTAGAATCGAACCGGCACTGAAACACGGTGACAGGTGCATTTATTTGTTTCATTGGCGTTACAATACGCCTTTGACAAGATACAAAATAGGTGTAGCTCTCTTTCTCAGTGACCCGATCTGAAAGCAAGCCTGACCACAGTTCTTTCCGAGCCACAAATCCATATCTGGTTGTTTAAATCATGGTACACTTTTTACCGGATTGCTCTATTGTTTCCGACGGTGAAATTCAATATTTCCGGTTTTACCTCTTATATAAAAATTAGATGCTTCCCATATCTTCCAACACAGCGCATCGCACAGCGGTGTTTTCGCTATACAGGCTTATACTGCGAAACACTCTCCGGTGCCAGAACCTCAACGATACACTAAAGCTCAAATGGATATCCAAACTGCAACGGTTGTTTCGAGGAAGAGCCAAGTTAGAGAGCGCTTTTCAAATCCAAAGTGCACTGGACGAAGCGATTAAATACAACGAAAAGATCACTGGCCTCAGCAATGGCGACCAGAATTGTTTCAGGGAGATCATCAGCAGACTGCAACACAACAAAAGCCCCCGGTCCAGCCTTGCCGTTCTGCAGCAGATCGCTGAGGCCGAGGCTCCCAAAGTGGATCAGGAAGAGAAAAAACAGCGTCGCCAGCTCGCTAGCTGGATGAAATTGTACATAGAAAGACGCCAAAAATCACACACACTCCCTCGAAAGGCCGCGCTGGACCCAAAATACGTCGACACTGTGCTGAAGTCAAGGATGCTGTACGAACGGGCAGAAAAAGCTGTCAAGCGACTGGCACAAAAATATTCAAGACCCTCAACTGCTCGCGTGAAGTCCGTGACAGGCACCATGAACAGACTGTCGGTGATTAGCACTCCTTGGAACGAGAACATCCACGTGACGGGGAGACGAGGCGTATTTCTACAACGAAATAGGCATCAGCAGTACATTGATGAACTGAACCAGATGAGAAACTGGGAAAGAGAGTGGATGTTCTGGCTTGAAAAAGAACAGGAGTGGGAGAACTTGGTTTCGGGGAAGAATGCAGACGACTGGCTCTTGCCGGTAGAGGATTACAAGCGCGACTTGGCGACCCGCGGAAGGGAGGTTGAGGAGAAAACGTTCTGGCACAACAAGATGCACTATGCGTATTTCGAAAAGCTGAAGCCCGAGTTCGACGAGATGTGGCTCAAAAGCGGCCACAACCTGGCCAGAATGCGCCAGGTCATGGTCCTTGAGCAGATGGGTCCGTTCACGGACTGTGTAGACGGGTCGCTGGGGAAACTGATGCGAGAACACGGTTTCCGGTCGCCGACACGGCTGTCTAAGTTGGGTATAGAGTGATAAGAGTTCATGTCATTAATCGTTATTCAATGTCCTTTTCCCGGATCACAATGTTGTTGAACTGATCGATCAGGTTGTCGGTCTCTAAATGCGGGTCGCTGATGCTCATCTCCCGCAGGAGAAGCATGATATCGTCCGGATTCGCCTTGCCCTCCGGATCGAAGATGTCGTCGAGCAGGATAATCGACGACTCGGGCGCCCTCGGATGGAACTGGGGCAGGTCAAGCTTCGTGCGGGCAAAAAGAGCGTCCGTGCTGAGCTGCTGCTTGTAGAACTCCGAGCACTGGTAATGTTTTTTGCAGCAGTACTTGTGGTTGTACGAGCGAGGCAGCTTGAGTTTCGATACAAGCTTGTTGATCTGCACTTCCCTGATCCGGCCTGGATCTCGGAAATCGCACAGCGGATACCCGCAGTAGTGGTTGATGATTCTTTCTGTGACTAGTTCCTCGTAGCTTTGTTTTGACAAGTACCTGGCCAGCAACTTCAGGGTGGTCTTGTCGCACGAATGCTCCATCAGTCTCTCTATCAGCTGGTACGTCAGCATATTTGCTTCTTTGGGAATGAGAAGGCCTTTGCCCTCGTACGGGGCCAAAATCGGGTCCAGAGTGTTCACTGAGGGCATCAAGATGTTGGAGAAAAAGTTTACCAGGAGTGATCAATGTAGCGACGCGCTGTATGCACAAGTGTAGAGGCTGGCGGTTTTCAGGGGCGTGGGCCTGTCGGAATGTGTCAGGAGGCTCAAAAGTAGCTAAAATGATGTTGTTGCTGTCCCAAACAATGTGCTTTAATTGTCTGTCCTGACGTAAATAAAGCTTGGCTGAAATCCTAGAATATTTTAAAACCATTTCTTGTTCATGAGAAGACGACTTGGGAGCTCTCCAAGCGCCAAGCCGCCCTCTGCAGACCACCTCCAGCAACCGGCATGCGAGACACAGCTGGGAAGCGGAACCGAGTTCCATAAACCGTCCAATTTCACGCTATGGCGATTGCTGCTCACGGAGTTGAACATATACAAAGACGACCAGACAGACAAGCCAAAAATACCCGATGCAGAGGACGCGGCAGTGAATTCAGAGCTGCTTCTGAATTTCGTGAAGCTGCCTGTGTTTCTGGAAAAGTTCATGTGTTTTGGACTGGTCTACTGCGTGATTGTCTTCCTCAAACAGATAACGGTGGTGCCCTTGCGCTTTGCGCTTCATACGTACCATCTGATCAGGTCGTGCTTCACAAACAGAAACAGCTTGACGCTGCGTTCGGACCGAACCAAGAACGACTTTGTGTCGATGGTGCTCATCCTGTCCAGTCTGGTTCTGCTGCGGAATTTGGACTCCAGCAAGATGTACCACAACATTCGTGCCGGAACCGCTGTGAAACTGTATTTCATGGTGGGAGTTCTTGAAATCGCCGACAAGCTGCTTAGCGCAATCGGCCAAGACATCATCAAGGTAGTATACTTCATTCCGGTCGCCACGTCGCGAAATACGCTCTCCAGGTTCCTTGGGATCAGTGCAGTCAGTGTCTGCTACTTGACCCTGCACTCCTACGTTTTGGCGTACCAGGTGATGGCCCTCAACGTCGCCATCAACTCGTACTCTAACGCGCTTCTCACGCTAATTTTGTCCAACCAGTTTGCTGAGCTGAAAAGCTCCGTTTTCAAGAGATCTGAAAGAGAAGGCCTGTTTCAGGTTTCGTGCGCAGATTTGAACGAAAGGTTTCAGATGTTGGTGATGCTATTTATTATCTCGTCGCGCAACTTGTACCAGCTCTACACAAACACGTCGGCCACCGCTCTATTTGATAACCTGAGACCCAACTCGTGGTACAGCCATGTCACGTTCTCTACCACCCTCAACAACTGGATCGGCTTGCTGATGGGCCCTATGTTCACTGTGATCGGCTCCGAACTGCTCGTGGACTGGCTCAAACACGCCTACATTACCAAGTTCAACAGGATAAAACCTGCCATCTACAACAAGTACACCCGAGTGTTTGCGGGTGACTACGTCAGCAGCTTTCGGTCCAACCTGACAGCGTTGGACGAGTACCCGGAAACGCTGATCAAGAGAACCGGACTGCCTGTGTACACCCTCGCGATCGTGTTCATCAAGATGTGCGTGTATCCGTGGATGAAACGTTTCATATACAACGAGAGCACCGAGTCCTTCAGCTTTATAGGACTGCTTCTGTCCATTCTAATTTTTTCCCTCCTCACAGTTGTTCGCTTGGTCCTATCGCTGGGCCTGCTTCGCTGGTCCAATCGTATACTTCGTGCGAAGCCTGCAAAACAGGACTTTGTCAAAGGCGACCCGAACGTGACCCTCACAGACGTCAAGGGCCAGCGGACGCAGCTCTACGACTCACATGAACAGATGCCGCCTTCTCTTGAAGAAGTGAGGTCGACAAAAAAAGAACGGCTCGATTCCGTTGTCAGATTCGAAATGGTCGATAAGAGAATCTGGTGAAATAGATCGCTGGCCGAATTATTTTTTTGCACACTATTTTTCAATGGAGATCGCGCGCAAGGTCCCGGATTACGGGGCTACAGAAAACGAAAGCCCGCAAGAACAGTCTCCCACGAAATTTGATTATGTTTTTGAGCTCAAACTGATATGGAAGGACAGCATGCCGCTTATCGTCGCGTTTTTTCTGCAATACTTCCTTAGCGTGAGCCCGTTGCTGATTGTTAGCCGTATATCGGCACAGGCATTGGGTGCAGCTACTTTGGCCACAATGTACATGAACATCGCGTACCTGGGTGTTATACAAGGCGCAGTCACAGCTGTGGACTCGTTTGCTCCGCACGCTTTTGGGGCAGGTAACTATGCTATGGTTGGCGAAGTGGTGCAGAAAAATCTCGCTGTGAACACCATTCTGCTGGTTCCGATGGTTGCTCTCTGCTGGTTCAGCGGCACAGTGCTGAGTGCCCTTCAGCCGGATCCGGAGCTGGCATCTCTAGCCCAAACGTACCTGCGGATCGTCACCTTGGGGATCCCGGGTCTCTTGATTTTCGAGGTCGGCAAACGATACTTACAGGCCCAAAACATATTCCATGCCTCCACGTACGTGCTTCTACTAGTATCTCCGCTGAGTTTGGTTTTGACTTATGTGTTCGTGTTTCCTTTTGGCTGGGGATATGTCGGAGCACCGGCGGTGGTGGTTCTGTCGTACTGGTTGATGGCGCTGCTCCTAGTAGCCTACGCGGTCTTTGTTGACGGCAGCAGGTGTTGGGGTGGGTTTAGCTACAGAGCGATGTGCAGCGGCTTGTACGACCAGATATATCTGGCCCTATTCTCACTGGTTTCCGTGGAGGCAGAATATTTCGCGTTCGAAGTCATGGCGCTGGCTGCCGCGTATTTTGGGGAAACGGCCCTGGCCTCGCAGTCCATCTGTGCAGCCGTCGGTTCTCTCATTTTCCAAGTCCCGTTTGCCTTGAGCTGCTCGATTTCCACCAGAGTCGGATCGTTCATTGGGGCCGGCAACCTGGAATTTGCCCGAAAGTCGACCAACATGTGCATCAGGGCCACTGTTGTTTTGGGAATCTGTGTCAGCATGCTTCTATTGATCACGATGAGGCCGATCACTAGGGTATTCACAGACGACTCGGTTGTTGCAGCAGAGTGCTACAAGATACTGCCTGTCCTTTTTTTCACGCAGTGTTACGACATGGTCAACGTGACGTGTCAGGGGCTGCTGAGAAGCCAACGGCGCCAAGATGTTGGCTCGGTCTTTAGTTTGTGTTCATACTACATCTTCGGCTGTCCTCTCGCATACATTCTAGCGTTCAGACTCAATTTGCAGGTGCGTGGTCTGTGGATCGGACTCAGCACGGCTGTGTTGCTGCTCACGTTGGCAGAGGTTGTACTTTTAGCGCGCACGAATTGGCCAAATATTATGGAGCTGGCCAAGCAGGAAGAACACGAGCCACGTTTATAGAGAAAAAATCGAAAACCGATTCTATGCAACCTTAATGCTTTATGTACCCCACGAGGAAATCGTTTGGCAGCTCATATACACCATCATCACCAGTCCAATAACCAGCACCAGGCCATTCGCCAGCTTTGAGCTCCATCTCAGCTCTTCAAAGCTGGTAATATAAAGCAGCGGTGGGTAGACGTAAATCAAAGGAATACACGTGAAACTTCCTATAAGCGACACAAAGCGGTCGAGATCGCTTGAGCCCAGGTATGCGATCGCACACATAGCCAGGACAATAAACACGCGTACCACGTTTTTGAGCCATTTGATGATGAAATCACTTTTGCCAGACATCACGCCCTGGTCGTCCACTGCGTCCTCCGGCATGCTCTGGATCAGCTGGCGCAAATCGCGCGACGTCGCGTCGTAAAGAGGGACGCCAGGAAACAGCTGCTGTGTTTCGCTCCGCATTTTGTTTTCCGAGTCCTTCCTTATTTTATTTCTCCACGTAGCTCTATCTCGGTGGAAAAGGTACGACTCAAAAATTTTGATAGCCGGGAACAGTTGCAAAGGCGTCGACAGCAAGATGGCGAGTGCATAGCATGTCTGAATGATGAGCGTGAGATTGTTCTGCGGGAAGTTCATCAAGATCACCATCTTGACGTCGTCTCCATAACTTAGATACGATATCGTTGACAGAGTCACGAAAATGACGGTCACTACCACCATCACCAAGATAAGCAGTTTCGGGAACTGCTCCGGGTGCTTCATAGACTCCTTGATTGGGATCAACAGCCCTATACCCTCGTACGCAAACACTGCGGTTCCCATAAACAGAGTCCACGTCTTTGGTTGGAAAAGAGACACTTTTGATGAAACGCCGTTGTCCAGTAGGTGTGCCCCCGAACAGGAGTAAATGTAAAGCAATCCCAGCAAAATGAACCCGTCGGCAATCAAAGCAATGAGACCGAGCTTACTGATATTTCTAGTCAGCGAAAGCGGGACGAAAATAGCCAGTTGGACAACCACGAACACGCCGACGCCGTAGTCACACGAAAAGAAGGTATTGACGACCGCCCTGAAATTTTCCGCAACAAACACAACGTAACTGCTCGAAAAGCCAAGCTGGGACAACGCCAGCGACAACAGAATAGAGAACTGGAGCTTTGGTCCAAACAGCTTGAGACCCAGGTCACCGTACCCAGACACCCGCCAGCGCTCGGTACACCAGATTAGGGTCATGAAGCAGTAGTAGGAAATAATGGAGAAGACCACAATCATCACATTGCAGAACAGAAGACCTCCATTCGAGAACGATTTGGGCAGAAACACCACTCCTGTTCCGACAAACGCCTTGAGGAGCAGCAAAAAGGCTTTCTGGTTCGATGTCTTATGGTGCGACGAATAGCTGCGAGCACGAGACCTGGTGGCGATTCTGCCTCTTGTTAGCCTTCTATTGGGGTCCCCCACAGAGATGTTAGACGATCTCGCACGTCGGTCGCTTCTGTGTGTAGGGCCCGGAGAAATGGACGACGCCAGCAACAAGTCGGCTTCATCAGCTGCTTCGTCTCCCTCTTCCAAGTCGCTCGCGTCACTGATGTCACTGATATCGCTCTGCACAAACTCCTGCTCGTCTCCTGTCTCCTCTTCTAAATTTTCACCGGCGAAATGGCCGTATAAAGACAGGAACTCGATGAAATTGCGCGTCACAAAGTTGGCCCTCGGCCGTCTCACACGTCTCCGAGAGTGCTCGCTGACTAGATCTGCAGCAACGGGCGTTTCGCCGTCGGCATCAGAAGCTCTGTGCACAATAAACTCACGACGAAACGCTCCGGGCATTCGCAGCTCTGACGACGTTCCATTCGATTGCAGTGAGCCAGAGCTAGCAACCCTCCGTAAAGGCGTGCCAGAGGCCTTCTGATCGCCCACCCAGTTGTATATGTCTCTAGTAATGTCTCCGCCCTCGCGTTTGAGAGAGTCGAAACGGGTACCAGCTGGCGAGTTCATGTCCCGAACGGGAGAGTGGTTCAAATGTCTCTCCACAATTTCCACCGCCTGTGGTATCGGGGAAGCGCTGCCGCGTACAGACGACCGCTGTTTGTCGGTGTACGTGCTGGCCATCAGGCTTGAAAGCATGCTGGGTCTTCTATTGCGAGGCCCCACACTGCTGATCGGCGTGGTGACCGGGTGCAACTCGCGAAACCCGCCAGTTATCGTGACAGGGTTTGAGACGTTGGTGTCTGGCTCCTCTTGCGACGTCAAGCTGCTGAGCTCTTGTTTTGTATCCTGGGAAATATACTTGGCAGAAAAATTGCCGTCTTCAAAGACTGTAGACGACACCTGGTTCTGGCTCTCATTGGGTCCTAGTTTCGACCCAAGATGTCTGACTTGCTCAGAGAGCCTTACTGACTCCTCGGAGTCGGTGTCTCTGCCTTGCGGAGCCGACTGAATGTTCACGGGTAAGCTCATCGAGTATGATGAAATTAGTTTTCATCAAAAAAAAATTGTACGGCTGTGCTAAATGCTCGACTGTTGTATAAGCTGCTCCAGTTCCGAGTTCTTGTGGAGCGGGAAGGCGAGATTGTGGCGGTGAACAACGTACTCGGAATCAAAGTACTCGATGGCCGACGGGATCTCGTGCGTATGCAGGCCTTTGATTTTGTCAATTTCGTACGACGAGTAGTTGCAACGTCCGCGTCCGACGCTAACGGCGCCTTTGGACCTGTCCCACCTGCCCGTCGCGCTGTCTCTGATTCCAACCCTGATGTCCACACACTCAAGCTGTCCAAACTCTCCTTCAACACCGATAACCCCCACAGGCAGCAGCCCTGCCCGGTTCCGGCGAGTAATGGCCTCGTAGCAGCCGGGATCGATGATCAGAGCACCGGCAGGTTTGAGACCGTGCAAGAGCCAGAATTCCTTGTTTTTGACGGCGTTTCTCGGCTGGCCAATGAACCGCGTGTGCAGCGGGATGTTGTGGTGTTGCAACTGAGAGAACTCTGTTGCATTCGTGATCTGGAACTGCTCGTGCGACTCTGCAGAAATGACCTCCCTCGATTCTCTGAGCTGAGCGTCCGTCTCGCAGATATAGTTGGCGATCCGGATCATGTCATGCGGCCGCTGCGAATTGCAAATCACAGTGGTGACACCCGCGTTGGTGGCCAGGTCAGCGGCAATCAGCTTGGTCTCCATTCCTCCAGTGCCGATGCTGGATCCCGACGATTTAGTGTTCACCTCCAGACTGTTCATGTTCTTCACCAGAACCACTGGCTTTGCGTTCGGGTTCAGACGCGGGTTTTCGGTGTAGAGACAGTCCACGTCGGTGAGCAGGAAAAGGAAGTCCGCGTTGCACATTCCAGCAGTGATGGCAGAAAGCGTATCGTTGTCACCGAATTTGATCTCCTGCGTGGAAACTGTGTCGTTCTCGTTGACAATGGGGACCACGCCCATGTCCAGCAATTCGATCAGGGTGTTCTCGGCGTTTCTAAACTGAGAAAAATCGGTAATGTCGTTTCTGGTGAGCAAGATCTGAGCAGTCTTTTGGTTCCGGTAGCTGAACATGCTGTCCCACAAGGCTTGCAGCTTTCCCTGACCCAATGCGGCAAGAGCCTGCACGGCAGACAAACGCTTTGGCTTCCTGTCGAGGCCCATGCGATGAAGTCCTATAGCGATGGCCCCGGACGAAACCAGCACGATACGGTGGCCCTGTCGTCTAAGGGCAACCAGCGTCTCCACAATCGTCGACACATTAGCGATCCGTGGCTCATGGGTCACTTCGTCGACAATCGACGAGGACCCGACCTTCACCACGATGGTGAACTTCTTATGATCAGTCATAGTGGAAAAAAGAGATTTGGAAAAATCTACGCCACATCCGTGCACCAAACTCTTCCCAGATCCGCAGCGAGACACCGTCTGTTAGTCTCCTCCAGAGAGGTCCTGAACGGACATTGCGTCCGTGGTCTGTGTTTCCAGCATGTCTGCGAGAAACTCTTCGTTTGTTGCTGTGGCCAACCGGCTGGCTTCCGGCAAACTGACGCCCTTGTTGACGTCCTTGTCCTTGTCCATGGTGAACGGCTGCCGGCACATTGGACACAAGCCTTTGGCGGTCTCTGTCTCTAGCCACTTCCAGATGCAGTGCATGTGAAAAGCGTGTTGACATTCGCCAATGACTGGATGTTAGCGAGATACGGGACTTTTTGTACTTACCTAGTGGGCAATCGTCTCCTGGGTATTTGCAAGTTGTGCACGTCCCATCAAAGGATACACGGCAGATACCGCAAACCTCGTCCTCGGGGATGTCCCAGTGCCACGAATATATGGCGTAGCAGCTGTTAAGTTTGATTTGCATGCTCTGCCTTGGAATTGTTCTATTCAAGATCAGATAAAATAAATAAACGTCGCGTCTCCGAGTCGCTGTGCGGCGTAAAAAAATTTATCAGTCCAAATTATTCTTTTCTCAGCATGTCCAAGAGGTGGATCGATAAAAAGACGGCACAGAGCTATGCGCTCTTGCACCGTGCGCACGAGGATCCGCTTTACTACAACGAGGAGGCTGGGGAGCGTGTGCTTGTGCCGATTGAGAAGAGGAAGAGAAATGCGAGAGAGCGGCTGGAGACGAAGCAGGACCTCCAAAAAGAGCTGGATTCACAAATTGCCCAAGGAGAAATTAGGAAAAATGAGGGAGAGGCCGCCCTGTATGGGATCACGTACGACGACTCTCAGTACGACTATATGCAGCATTTGAAGCCTATTGGCGAGGACAAGACGGGAATCTTCATAGCTAGAGAGGACAAACCAAAGAAGGTGGAGCTGCCCGCAGAGCTCCTGCCCTCCAAGGAGACAGTCAAATACGATTACCAGCGTCAGCAGAACATCCAGGACGACATCGCTGGATTCAAGCCTGATATGAATCCTGATCTTCGGGAAGTGCTGGAGGCTTTGGAGGACGAGGCATACATAGATCCCGACCAGGACGAGGATAATGTGGACGTTTTTGGCACGCTCCTGGGCGGAAAGCCCGAAGTTGTGAAGGACTCGGAGTACGAGGAGGAGGATGAGTGGGATATGGACAACTATGAGGACGAGTACGGCGACTACGACTCGAACGGCGAGGGAGAAAACTTCGACTGGGAAAAAGATTTCAGTCGGTTCAAAAAAGCGCAGAGTCGCAGCAAAGTGGCCAACGATTGGGACAGTGAAGACGAGTTTGACGGCGAAGACGAGGACGAAGACGAAGTCGGCAGTCTGCCGGATCTTGGGGCCACCACGATGAGGAGCAAGAGCTCGAAGAAAAAAGAGAGACGTCGTAAAGGTGCTAAGACAGATACCTCGTCGTATTCCATGTCGTCGTCTGCTCTGTGCCGGACAGAGCAGATGACGATTATTGATGACAAATTCGACGTGATGAAGGAGCGGTACGAACAGGAGGAGGAGGAAGAGTACGAGCCATTTGCATTTGAAAATGAGCGTCAAGATCTGGCTGCGTTGGTGGACGATTTCCTGGATAATTACACACTGGAAAAAGGTGGCAGGAGAATAGTGAAGAAGGACCAAGAGCTCGAGAAAATACAGCGCGCAGCCGACAGCGTGTCTCGGAGCAAGCTTGCTCTTCGCCGCAAGAAAGGCAGCAGCGGAGGCGATACGTCTGCGTTCAAAGGTTTGGCTGATGATATGAAGAAGCTGCGTATGTAATCTGGGGAAGGTAGTGCGAAGATCTTGTAAAAAAATTTAATCAGTGTCTAAAAATTTATTTTAGTAGACATGGCTAGAAAGACTAGGACAGTGGCCGAGGAGATAGCCAAGGAGCTTTCGAAGCCAGTATTCAAGGATGTGGATATTGAAAATGAGCCAGATAGCTCCTCGGAAGGAAGTGATGAGGAGGTGTCGCGCGAACACTACGTTCAGAACCGCAGCAGGTTAAGAGGAGTCGAACTGGGCGAGAACTACCGGGGAAAGAAGGTGAGTCGCGGTGACCTGTACGATGGTGACGAAGCGCAAAGCGAGGGCAGTGAATCTGAGGAGGCAGAGTCCAACGATTCTGATATTCTAGCAGATGTGACTGATAGTGAGAATGAAGAGGATACCCATAATAGTGACGAAAGCGAGGCAAGTGAGGAGGGCGAGGGCGACCAGGAGAGTGAAAACGACGACTCAGACGCATCGTCAGTCGCTGATTCATACAAACGGGAGAGGTTATCGCAGCTGCTGGCTGAAGAGAAAAAGCAAATCATTTCGAGGCTATCTGCCACCGCCAAGAGCGACGCTATCAAGGGATACGCTATTCTGAGCCAGCATCGAATATTCGATCTGATTTTAGACAGTCGAATCAAATTGCAAAAGGCCATTGTGTCTGCCAATCAACTACCGCTGAACACAGAGATATACGACTCGCTATCCAAGAAGGAAAAGAAAGAGGTTGAAAAAGTGCAGGACAAGGTCCTTGAGCTATTAGGAAAGACAATCAGTGTGCGGAGAAGATTATATGCCAAAGACAAGATTGAGGCTCCCGCTGCCAGCACCAACAAGAGATCTTTGGCCTCTCTGTACGAAGAGACTAACGAATTTGATTCTGTCTTGGAACCGTTCAAAAAGAATGTGTTGGTGAAGTGGTCTGCAAAAGTGCAAGCTGCATCTGGCTCGTCTGCTCTTCAATCCGGCAAGTTCCAGACCATCAACCAAGACGCATACTCTCAAGTGCAAAGCAACCTTCAGGACATGGAGAGACTGGTGAAGAGAACGAAGCTGAATCGCCGCGGGGTGACTCCGCTGGGCATGGAAAAGGACCAAGAGCCGATTTTATTCGACGACGACGATTTCTACAGAGTCTTGCTGAACGACATGGTGGATAAGAAGATCTCTGACAAAGCGGCTTCGTCTGCTGCGATTGTGACGATGAGCTCGAATAGAATACACAAGAACTATGACCGCAGGGCTACAAAGGGCCGCAAATTAAAATACACCGTGCAGGAGCCGTTGCAACAGTTTGAGGTTCCCAAGAAGAGCGGGTGGGCATGGAACGACGACCAAATCGATGAGTTCTTTGCGTCATTGCTTGGTAGGAAAATAGACATGGGAGAAGAGGCCGAGGAAAACGAGCCGGAGGAGGGCGAGGCTATACTGAAGTCCGACCTCAAACTGTTTGGATAAATAAATTGAAAAATAAATCGAATACTTTAATTTATCAATTTATCGCTCTTTGCAATTACATGCGCAATTCTTGCGAGCCATTGAATGACAACCCCGCCGTCTTCACCGTACTCACTAGCGGATTTAGTACATGATGTACCGTTGACTAATGAGGAGATTGCGCCCGAGCCTGGCCAGATTTCTGCGGTTGAGACGTACGATCTCAATTTGTATGTTGGTACGAGTCAAGGAGAGCTGATCCACATGTTTTGGATCGACGACGATACCGGATACATGGCGGTGTCGAGACAGCAGTTCAGCAGTAAGAACAAGCCCATAGATAAAATTCTGCTTCTTCCCCAGGTAGCGAAGGTGCTCGTACTCAGTGGAGGAACCGTCCAAGCGTATATTCTTCCAGAACTGTCCCCGGCCAACATAGGAAAAATCAAGGATGTCAATGACATGTGCATAGATCTGGACGACAGGAAGCTGGACGCTAAAGAGGAAAACTACGTTGGAAGCGTGAGTAATATAGACTGGCATGTGTATACCGATGTCACGGTTTTCACCGGCAAGAGCATCCGATTGGTCCGCATATTTGACGATAGCATCAAGCTGGCCAAAGATTTCAGCTATCCAGGTACCATGCGAGGTGTCAGACGGTCCAACTATGTTGCCGTTGGCTCACAGACGAGCTACGATTTGATTGATCTACTTCAAGGACAGAAAATTCCTCTTTTTCCCTCGCCCGAGTACCGTCCACAAATACTGGCCCTTGGAACGAACGAGTTCCTCATGGCCTGCGGGTCGTCTGACGGCCCTGCAATGGGAATGGTGGTCAATATCTCCGGAGAAATCTCCAGAGGCACATTCACCTGGCCGGAGTACCCCAGCTCTCTGGAAGTCGATTATCCGTACCTGATTGGTGCTTTTGGCAAGTCTCTCAAGATCTACTCGCTTCACGATCAACAGCTTGTGCAGACGCTCGATTTTGAGTCTGAGGTGGAGGTCACGAGTGTCAGTCATCTTTTCAAATCCGATGACGATGGTCTCAAGTCATTACTGGAACGGACGCCGATAATATATCAGTCCACAGCAGAAGAGGTGCAGAAAATTGCAGAGGAATCTGATCAGCACTACGGCACCATGTCGACCACTCTGGTATACGATAGAGATGGAAAAAATATCCGATTGATTAAGCTTCAAGCCAAGCCTTTGCGTCTGTTTCAGGTGTACCAGGCTGCCGGAAAGGACAATTGTTTGGAAGTGTTTGACGAGATACTGGATGAATACAGAAACCCAGACGTGTGCAACGAAGTCGAGAAACTGTTTATTCTGCATCTGCTGGCTCTTTTTGGCCTCAAGTACGAGATTTTCGACCAGTGCTACGATATATGGGCCAGCAATGTCGACAAGCTTGACCCGCGTCTGCTGCTGTATGCGTTGGGAATCCCAAAAAGCGAGATATTTGGGTCGGTTTGGATTTTCAGAGGACTGGCAGACGAGCTCGAAGACATTAGGAACAAGTACAGCGCCAGCGCTCGGGCCGAGGAGTTTCTTCATTTGTACTTGTCCACCTGTATTCTAGCGGCGAAAGACCGCGATCTCTTGAAAACCATCGAATTCAACCTGGCCAGACGGAATTTGGAGTCGCCTGAATTTCTGACACAGTTGAATAACATCAAGTACAGCAAGAACGAAATTATTGAGATGCTGCTTGAGACAAAAAATTACTACTATCTTGCAAGGTTCTATGAGAAGCTTGAAGACAAAAGCCAGACGCTCTATTACTGGAGAAAACTAGTCGAGGGCGAACTCATAGACCCCAGGTTCAAGGTAGATGACCCCTTGGAATATGTGGTTCAATATCTGCTCACTTGCGACGAGCCATTGATCGAGACGCACGGCCAATGGCTGCTCGAAAAATACCCTGAATACGGGCTCCAGCTATTTATGCACCCCAAGCTGAAAGACCATACCTTCAAGGACGTCAAGATATTGCAGATGTTGTCGGAACAGCACAGAAGAACGTATTTGCACTATATGGTGACGGCCAAGGGAGAAAAGCAATTCACGGGAGACCTCATTTTGTCACTGCTCAAAGAACTCATAGAAATGAACGGTATGCAACAAATCGTCGAAAAATATGCATCACTGCCGGTTCCGAAACTTCAATTTTACGAGTTCTTGGAGCTGGAGTCGGCTAGGGAACACTCCCGTGCAATTGAATTGCATGATCAAGTTTACCACTATTTGCTGCAGATAAGCAAAGACACCATATCGATATTGGATCGCAAAAATGTAGCCGAGCAGTGTCTTGAAGTAGTGGGGGCTCATGAAGGCCTTTATCCACTTTTGGAGGCAGCCATATACTACAAACAGGCACAGCATGAAAAAGTGGTGGCAGAGTTTCTGAAACTGGAGGATTACGAAGCATGTGAGAATTTTGCTCGCACATTAAAACTCCCAGCAGACTCGCTAACCGACAGCCGCGGGAGTCCACCATCCACGGCATCGTCCATCTCTAGGACAGATTCTTTGCAGATGCTACTCTTCGAAAAGTATTTGCAATTGGAACGCCCGGAGTTGATCGAGCGATTCCTGAATAACAACAATGTATTTCAGGACGTTGACGACGAGGCCAACATTGCAGCTAAGATGGACAAATTTGTCAGTTTGCTCAACAGGATCCCAGACACTTTCCCCATCTGTAAATTGGACTCGTTTCTGGTAACCAACCTGATCAGCTTCCAGGACCAAGTGGACGAAACAACGCTCTACAAAAACCTGAGCCGCGCATTATATACGAACTTGAAGGGACTGAAGAATTAGAACCGCGATCTATCTGACGGACAAAAGAGAAGACCCACGTTGCCGTGCTGCCACGGGTTCTCGAAAAAATACATTTACTAAAAAATTAGGCGATGTAGTCGATACGAGGTTCGAACTCGTGACCTTCCCCGTGTGAAGGGGACGTCGTAACCACTAGACCAAACGACTTACTCACGTCCTGTTTGGTCACATGGCGGTACATACCGTTTGTAGAGAATAGTCTAAGGAATGTAGTTGAACACACTAGCGCCAGCGCATGCCACAATGCACCGGCTTGTTGCGGAATGGGCCTATAAAGGGTTTATCCACAGCACAGGCAGGAAAAACAGTGGGCGCAAAAAAATACTCCCTAAGCCGGTTCCGCACTCAATGACCTGTTTTGTCAGATTTAGTCATTATCGGTGAAAAATTTTTAGATTTAACGGCTATCGTGCGCACTTTTCTCCATCAACATGGCACAAACCAACCCGTACGGACCCAATCCCAGCGATTATCTCTCGAATGTGTCCAAGTTCCAGATTATCGACAGCACCCTGAGAGAGGGAGAGCAGTTTGCAAACGCATTTTTCACGTTGGACATGAAACTAAAAATCGCCAAAGCACTCGACGAGTTCGGCGTCGACTACATCGAATTGACGTCGCCAGTGGCGTCCGAGCAGGCGCGCGAGGAGGTCGAGGCCATCTGCAAGCTCGGACTGAAGAGATCCAAGGTCCTCACGCACATCAGATGCCACATGCACGACGCCAAAGTGGCCGTGGAGACCGGGGTGGATGGAGTGAACATCTTCATCGGAACGTCCAGCTTTTTGAGACAGCACTCCCACGGCAAGGACATGTCGTACATCACCAAGTCCGCCATCGAGGTGATTGAGTTTGTCAAGTCCAAGGGCGTCGAGGTGCGGTTCAGTACCGAAGATTCGTTCCGATCCGACATTGTGGATCTGCTCAACATTTACAGCACGGTCGACAAGCTCGGCGTGGATAGAATTGGTATTGCCGACACCGTTGGCGGCGCCAATCCGAGACAGGTTTACGAGCTCATCAGAACGATCAAGTCGGTTGTTTCCTGCGATATCGAGACGCACTTCCACAACGACACCGGTTGCGCCATCGCCAACGCTTACACCGCTCTCGAGGCCGGAGCCAAGTACATCGACACGTGTGTGCTGGGTATTGGAGAGAGAAACGGAATTGTGCCGCTGGGTGGATTTATGGCCAGAATGATCGTTGCAGACCCAGACTACGTCAAGTCCAAGTACCAGCTGAAAAAAATCAGAGACCTTGAAAATCTGGTGGCAGACATTGTGCAGGTGAACATCCCATTCAACAACCCGATTACCGGTTTCTGCGCATTCACCCACAAGGCGGGCATACACGCGAAGGCCATTCTGGCCAATCCATCCACCTACGAGATCTTGAACCCTGAAGATTTCGGCCTCTCGAGATACATCCACTTCGCCAACAGACTGACCGGGTGGAACGCTATCAAGAGCCGTGTGGAACAGCTGAACCTGACGCTGTCGGACGACCAGATCAAAGAGGTGACCACCAAGATCAAGCTCATGGGAGACGTGAGGCCGCTGAACATCGAGGACGTGGATTCCATTATCAAGGACTACCACGCGGACGTGAGCGAGGAGCAGGCGAACAAAAGACAGAGAACGGCCTAGGCCGGGGACGTGGGTAGATAGAGTAGATAAGTGGCGATTACAAGGGACTACTCGACGGTAGAGAGCGCGTGCTTGGCTTTATGTTCTAATTTGCTGCACGTGACTTCCACGTGATGTGGTTTTGCACGTCGCACCTTTTTAAAATAATTTTTCACGAAAATATTTCTTCATCCAACACCATGCCAAGTAAGTATGAGAAACATGACCGGACGTTTTCCGGTCGAGGTTTCGGGACCTCAGCTCTTTCAAACACTCCATGAGAAACTTGCACTGAACCCCCGACACTTCAGTGCAAGAACCTGGCCCTCTGGCCGGGCTCTCCATGTTGTATTTGAAGTAGCGTAAATCCCTGTTTCTCGATTCTCTAACACCCGTAGGAGCTCCAAGAACCCACTCCAAGACCTACTCGGTCCCAAAGAGACCATACGAGTCCGCTAGATTGGATGCCGAACTGAAACTCGCCGGTGAATACGGTCTGAAGAACAAGCACGAGATCTACAGAATTGGTTTCCAATTGTCCAAGATCAGAAGAGCTGCCAGAGACTTGCTTACCAGAGACGAGAAGGACGAGAAGAGACTCTTCGAGGGTAATGCCTTGATTAGAAGACTGGTCAGAGTTGGTATCTTGCCAGAGGACAAGATGAAGTTGGATTACGTTCTGTCCTTGAAGATTGAGGACTTCCTTGAGAGAAGACTGCAGACCCAGGTCTTCAAACTTGGTCTTGCCAAGTCCATTCACCACGCTAGAGTCTTGATCACCCAAAGACACATTGCTGTTGGAAAGCAGATCGTGAACATCCCATCCTTCATGGTCAGACTGGACTCCCAAAAGCACATTGACTTCGCTCCAACTTCTCCATACGGTGGAGGAAGACCAGGTAGAAACAAGAGAAAATCTCAGGCTTCTGCTGGTGGTAACGCCGAGGAGGGAGAGGAAGACGACGAGTAAGTAGATAATTGGAAAATACAGATTAGCAGGAAGCAGAGTAGGGTGGTGCTAGCTAGCCGGCTGGCGAGCAGGCTGGGCCAGATTTTCTACATTAATTCACGTGATCTCGCACTGGGCTCGGCAGCACGAATTTCACGCATCCCTGCACCGGTCTTGATATGAAAAATTTTAAATTCGCATCCATTTATCACTCTATAATTAATTCAAGATGGGTAAAAGGTAAGTGGCCAGCACGCCCGACTCCCGCAGCACTAACACGCAGTCATGGTTTGAGATCCAGAACTCGTTACGCGTTCAGTCGTGACTTCAAGCAGCACGGAACGCTGCCTATGTCCGTCTACCTCAAGACCTACAAGGTCGGAGACATCGTCGACATCAAGGTCAACGGATCCATCCAGCAGGGTATGCCATACAAATACTACCACGGAAAGACCGGTATTGTCTTCAACGTGACCAAGAGCTCCGTTGGTGTGATTGTCTACAAGGTTGTGGGAAACAGATACATTGAGAAAAGATTGAACGTCAGAATCGAGCACGTCAAGCACTCCAAGTGCAGACAGGAGTTCCTGAACAGAGTCAAGGAGAACGCTGCCAAGAAGGCCGCTGCCAAGGCTTCTGGCGAGCCAGTGTTGCTCAAGAGACAGCCAGCTCCACCAAGACCATCCAAGGTCGTCTCGGGTGTCCCAACCAACCTTGCTCCAATTGCCTACGAGACCTACATTTAGTGAGTAATGGATTAGTAGAGTGAAAATGCCTGACTTGTAACACTGTCTCCAGAGAAAGCCTCTCCTATATTGGCTTGGCTGTGCTGAAAAATAAATTTTTTATAATGAATAACAGCATCGGGCGATTAGAGAAGGAGATCGAGGAGAGTGTACCGTACTTTGCGAGCGACGAGACGTCGTCCGTCCGCAAGGAGGCGCCCGAGCTCTCTGCGCCGCCCCGCGAGGTCAAGCCGTGGGTCCATTTCGTTGCTGGCGGCCTGGGGGGCATGTGCGGTGCAGTATTCACGTCTCCCTTCGATGTTGTCAAGACCAGGCTGCAGTCCAGCGTCTTCCGCGACGCCTACAAGAGCGGGCTGCGCAACGGCGGGATGCTGAGCGGCGCGGCGCTGCATTTCAAGGAAACGCTGATTATTTTACGCAACGTTTACACGGTCGAAGGACCTCGAGCGCTATTCAAAGGACTGGGGCCGAACCTCGTGGGCGTGATACCCGCACGGTCGATCAACTTCTTTACGTACGGCTACTCGAAAGACCTGATCAAGAACTCGGTTGCGTTCAAGGGCGAGGAAAGCTCGCTTGTGCATCTTCTGGCCGGCATCAGCGCCGGGTTCGTGACCAGCACGGCGACCAACCCGATCTGGCTCGTCAAGACGCGTCTGCAGCTCGACCGTGCCACCACAAAGGCGTATAAAAACTCGTTTGACTGTCTGGTGAAGATCGTCAGACACGAGGGAGTCTTTGCTCTGTACAGAGGACTGACGGCGTCGTATCTGGGATCTGCAGAGAGCACGCTCCAATGGGTGCTGTACGAGCAGATGAAGGCGGTTATCCGCCGCCGGTCGGAGCGGTTGCAGCAAGAGGGCAGGAAACCGAGTGAGATGATGGACTGGTTTGCGCGGTCCGGGTCTGCCGGTGTGGCCAAGTTCGTGGCCAGTCTGATCACGTATCCGCACGAGGTGGTCAGAACTCGGCTCAGACAGGCGCCGTCGCTAGACGGCAGGCCAAAATACACCGGTCTGATCCAGTGCTTCAAGTTGGTCATCAAAGAGGAGGGTCTGGCGTCGATGTACGGCGGCCTGACGCCGCATCTGATGCGGACGGTGCCCAACAGCATGATTATGTTCGGCACCTGGGAGCTGTTTACGAGCGTTTTGTCTAAACTCTAATGTACATAGCAGACGGAATAATTTAAATGGCTACGGTTTTTTTAGCTACCATGTCGTTCAAGTACGAGTTTGCCAAGTACATCCGAGACCCGGGCTCGTGTCCGGGGCTGCTTTTTCACGACGACAACGCACTTATCATCAGGGATTTGTACCCGAAGAGTCTCGTGCACTTTCTCGTGATTCCCACAGAAAAGACTCTCGAGAGGCCTCAGCAGGCCTTTGCAGACGACGAGTTCCGCAAAAAAATGGACAAGTACGTCGACAAGGCGCGCGAGATGGTGGTGTCCAGCTGGCCAGCGCACTACGCTGTTCCTGGCGGCCAAATAGCGGATTACATCCAGGTTTGCTGCCACTCCATCCCGTCAATGGCCAACTTGCACATCCACGTGATGACCAAGGACCTGTGCAGCGAGCGGGTGAAAAATAAAAAACACTACAACAGCTTTGCTACGTCGTTCGCGATCAGGTGGGACGAGTTCCCCCTGGCAGCAGACGACCCGCGCTGGAACGAGGCGTACTGCAAGTCGCTGCTCAGACAGGACCTGGTGCACGGAGGAATTAACTACGGCAGCTCTTTCAAACGGCTGCGGGAGGAATTGGACCGCAAACGGGCCCGCATCGTCTACGGGAAAAAACGCACGTCGTCGCGCTAGTTGTATCATCGCTCGCTACTTGGCACCGCCGCCAAACATGTACTTGTACACGTCCACGCCCGGCGGCTCTGGCTTGTCAGATCCTTGGAGCGGCGTGTCGTCGTCGAATGAAAACTCGCCCAGCAGCTCCTCCGACAGCCTCAGGTACTCTGCGGCGACCTGGTCGTCCTTGGCCAGGCGCTCGCGCGAAACGTCGGTCATGTTGCTCTCTATCCACTCTGCCACCTCGGGCAGGTGTTTTTTCCGCAGCAGGGTGGTCAGAAGACCCTCGAATTGCGTGGTGTCAAACTCGGTGTTGGGATACACGTTGGTGTGCTTGAGAACGTCCTTGTTGAGGTCCATCGTCCGGCTGAAGGACGTCAGCTGCGACAGGATCACGTTGTACTGGTTCTGGAGGTTCGACCAGTTTGGCAGTGTCGCGCTCGCCGCCATGCTGTCCTCCAGCTTGCGAAGGGAATGCGTGAGCTGCGTCAGCCGCGGCCGCAGCTGCTCCAAATTTTGCACGGGAACGTCGTCAAAATTGAGAGACATGACGAAATTAAAAGAAATATTTAATTTCATGGCTAAAAAACAGTCGAAATTAGAGCAGCTGATCGAGCGGTACGGCAGGCGCGCGAACCTCGAGCGCCGCATACGAAATCTGGACGCGCGCACTAACAAGACGATTTCCGACCGCAAGCACATAGAAAAGCTCAGAGCAGACCTCAGCTACTGGCAGGCCCAGGAGACCAAGGACGAGCGTGAAGAGCGTCCGAAACGGGACATCAAGCTGTTCAAAAACTCGCTCTACTACGACGAGGAGCTCAACCCGGCAGGAATCACGCCGTCGGGCGGGCTGGAACAGAAAGGCGGGCCCAGAGTGCCGGGCAACGTCCAGCTTGAGTACCCGCTTCCGCAGGAGGAAAGGCCGCGGTTCTGGCGCATCCACCAGGTGGGGGCTTACGAGGCGGGCGAAAAACGCACTCAGCTCGTCCCCACGGTGCTACGGCGATAGTGTGTACACATAGTTCAGTATGATGAATGTCATTCTAAGAATGGTAGTTCTATCTGCCTATTTCTCCTTAGCAAAAAGCTTCTCCACCTCCTCAACAGCCTGGTTAAGAACCTTGTCCTGGAATTTGGCGTTCTGCAGCTCGGATTGCACCTTGGAAATAACAGTGGATGCCAGTTGTTCCTGCTCGTGCTGTCTGACCTGGGCCTCGTATCTGACCCACGAGTCCAAAACAGACTTGGCCTCGGACGCAACAGCAACCTTTTGTTTCAGCTCGAAGGCCTCTGCCTCCAGAGCAGCAGTCTCCTTGGACATCTCGAAAAGGGCCTTGGTCGTGGAAACGACGTCCTTCAGGTTGGCAACCTGGTCAATTCTGGTCTTGACCGCGTTCACGTGGTCCGCTCTGGCTTGGTTCAGCAGGCTAACAACGTGGTCGGTTCTGTTTTTCGCCATTTCCCCGTACAGTGGAGCCACGGCCTTGGAAATCAGTGCAATGAACCCAATGAAGGTCACGAGCAAGATCGACTCGTCGTTGACAACGTACAACTCGGACGAAATGGCGTAAATAGAGGCGGCGGCAGTGGTGGCCAGAATACCCGTCTTGGATAGGAACGAGTTACCTGGAAGCGAGTCAATCAGAGCGTTGGCCTTGGCCTTAGGGTCAACAGGGGTCGACAGGCATCTGATGCCGACGGCTCTGTGGCCGATCGTGGCCATTGGTCTTGCGGAAGCTGGGGCGTTAGTCAATGGCGCGCGCGAGTACCTACCTCTAGCTGCTAGTCTTGCCAACATGGTGTTTTCGGTACAGTTGTTTAAAAAAATTTGGCTCAATCTCGTTGGTCAGATTTGGGCGGGCACATAACACGAGCGACGGGCTTTCGCACCCGTGCACCGGCTACAGATAAGTGGCACCGCATTCGATCATTACCGCTACACACCGGCCACTACGCGTACGTGGCGTCCATAAACTCGTCCAGTTCCTGCTGGTCCTGCTGGCTCACACGCTTCAGCACCTCCGACGCGCTGCTCTCCTGGATCACGCCGTCGATCACGAGCTCGTCGATCACGTGATACGCCACCTGGAAGTTGAAGATGATGTCGAGCTCGCACACGCTGCCGTACGCCTTGTCCATGATCTCGACGTAGCGTTGGATGAGGTCGAGCGTGAAGAGTTCGTTGTCGTCGTTTTCGACGCACGCGATGAAAAACAGGCTGGCGTACCTGCGGTATACGAGCTTCGAGTCCTTGTGTTCGAGCACGTTGCACATCTTTGGCTTGCGCAGCGGGATGATGGCGGTCAATTCCCTTATTATGCGTTGCTTCTCCTTCTGGCTAACGGCGATGTACCATTTGGAGAGTCGGACTTTGCCCTGCTTGGACAGCAGGATCAGGTACTTAACGGCCATGGGGAAAAATAAGAAAATAAAATAAAATAAATAGCAGGCAAAAATTGACTTCAGAGCACGCACCGACGCCGCTGTTGCCGTGAATACCGCCGTTGTTGGAGTTGTCAAATTTGCACCACCGAGTCCCACTCATAGCAGCGCGTCCATGGACCAGTTTGTGAGCTACGTTATGGCCACGGGTGCCGACCGCGCAGAGCTGCTGCGGCTGCTCCGTGAAAAACACAAGGAGTACGAAATGCCCGCCGAGGAGCGCCCGGGCTCGGACAGGGCGTCCAGCACCGAGTCGCTGCCGGTGAAACAAGAGAGCGAGGACCATCTGCACCCGCTTTTCCGCGAAAACATGGCCGACAGGTTCCAGGAGCCGGATCTGCACACCAAGCTGCAAAATCACAACATCGACCTGCCGTCGATGGACGACGCGCACGTGAAGGAGCTCAAGTCGCAGGTTGCCAAGGAGTACGAGGCGCTGGCAAGGCAGTTTGTGGCGGCCCGAATAGCCAACATCGACCGGCTCGTCGACAAGATCGACGATGCCATCAGCTCGACCAAGGAGGATTTCGTGTACCTGCAGCGGCAGATGAGCGCCTTGGACGCAGACGGGTTTGCGAGCCGGCCGGTGGTGGAGTCGCCGGCGTCCGACCCGGATCTTTTCTACAGCTACTTCGCAACCAGCTACGCAGACAAGATGCAGCTTCTGGCCCAGATCGCGGCGCTGACGGCGCACCGGCTGGACGCGATCGACCGCGAGACCGACACAAACGTCGAGCTGGTGCACAGACAGTACAGGGCGGCCCTGTTGGAGAACAGGGAAGCGTTGCAGCAGCAGATCCAGGCGAAGATCGACGAGCTGAACGCCGAGCACCCTGTGCAGACAGGCGACCCTGCGGGCGCGGGCGGGGCGCCCGAGAACGAGCTCAAGTCGCGCAAAAAACGCTCCAGCTCGCTCATAAATCTGGCCGACATCGCCCAGGTCTACGGCGACGACAAACCTTGACCAGCCCGGATTATATAATCCTGAAAAAAATCCTGTCTAGTAATAAAGTACACATCTTTTGCCCTTGCTCCATGGACAGCTCAGTTCCTTTGTTTTTGGAGATCACGAGCACAGACGATGTTGGTGTGGCGCAGAGCTTTTTGGAGATGGCCGGCGGCGACCTGGACACTGCGGTGAGTCTGTATTTCGAGCACGGGACGGGCGTCGGGCCAAGCAGGCCTGGCGACGACGCCGAGGTGGCGGGCAGACTGCAGCAGGAGATGTACGCAGAGCCCGACAGCGCGGACGAGGGCGTGAGGCGACCGCTCGAGCCGGTGCGCGACCAGCTTGTGGCGGACTACGCCAGGGTGGATCCGCACAGGGGCATGTTTGGGCGGACGCAGGTGGGCATTTTCAACCAATTGGACGACGACGACGCCGTGGACGGTGTGGAAGTCGTGGATCTAGACGACGACGACGATGACGACGACGAGTTCCAGATGCTGGACGACGACGACCCGGTCCGTCAGCAGAACAACCGACGCGCTCGCCGACGCAGAGAGTTCCGCACAAGCACACAGAGACGGCTCGCCAACATATTCCGGCCCCCCTGGGACATCGTTCAGAAGCTAGACCTGGACGGCGCGAAGGTGGTGGCGCGACAGGAGAAAAAATGGATCCTGGTCAACATCCAGGACATGACCGACTTCCGGTGCCAGTGTCTCAACAGAGACTTCTGGTCGAACACAGAGATCAAAGATATAGTGCGGGAGAACTTCATCTTCCTGCAGTACCACCACGACTCGCCGAACGGCGAGTACTACATCAACATGTATCCGTTTTCGGAGTATCCGCACATCGCGATCCTGGACCCGATGACGGGCGAGCGGCTCAAGATGTGGAGCGGCGTGCCCGATGTGCGCGTGTGGGTGGAGCAGGTGGTGGACTTCATGGACCGGTTCTCGCTGGACAAGAACAAAAAGAACCCGATAGTGCAGCATAGCGTGCGGCCGGACGTGAACAGTCTGAGCGAGGAGCAGCAGATCAAGATGGCCGTGGAGCACTCGCTGAACCCTGGCGCGGCGCAGCAACAGGACAGTGTGGACATCGTGGATCTGGGCGACGGCGAGGGCACGAAAGAGCGGCCATTGGAGCTGGACAGCGACGGGCCCGTGATCGACGCCGTGGACGTGCCGGACCCACAGGGCACCGACGTGACGCGGATCCAGATCCGGTCCGGCGACGGGCGCCGCGTGGTGAAGAAGTTTGCGCTGCAGGACCCCGTGCTGCGCGTGTTCCAGTTTGTCAAGTACTACTTTGGCATCGGCAACAGACCGTTCCAGCTGACGATGCAGCGCGAGAACCTGATCGACAAGCTCGGCCAGACCGTCCAGGAGTGCGGTCTGCGCAACGCGTCGCTGCTACTGGAGGTGGAGGAGTGAGGCGCAGGAAATATAGGAGTCGTAGCTTCGTTAATTTAATGTTCTAGGAAATCGCTGACGGGCACGCCGATGTGGTCGAGCGCGAGCAGGAACGTGTCGTGGCCATAGAGACTGTCCTCCTTGCTGAGCTCGACGTGGCGGATGTTGGACCCGTCGCCGCCGCGCTCGCGGGCGCCCTGGCGGAGCAGGTCGGCCATCTCGCGCTGCTGCCACGCCGGAAACAGGATATCGGACTCGACGCCGATCACCAGCACGTCCTTGGCGGCCAGCGTCGCCAGCCCGCGCTTCAGGTCCTCGGCAGCCTCCTCGGGCGTCATTCTTCGCGTGCGCTTGTTCTCGCGCATCGGCTCGTCGAACGAGCACTGGCCCACGGGTCTGTACTCGAGCTCTGAATCCGGCACGTACTCGCCGTTGTACCGCGCCTCGGTCTGCCGGCGGCTTCTGGCAGCCTTTGCCCGCGCAGACAGCGACATATCGAAGAGGTCCATCGCCTTGGAGATGTACAGAAACGAGTTGGGGTCGTACTCCAGACACCATTTTTCTCCCGCGTGGTCGAGGTAGGTCTCGATCAGAAAATCCGGACACAGGGCAGGCTGTTTCGACGGGTCTGCGCGCTCGACGCCGAAGCGCGACTCCCACTCGGGACCGGACCGGTACGTGATCGTGGCGATCTCGCGGGCCAGCTTCATGCCCGTGTGTGGGGGCAGCGAGCCGTAGTAGAAGCCTTTATTCCAGTTCGGGTCGGTCATCAAAACTTGTCGCTGGCAGTGGCGCATGGCAATCGAGTAGGGGTGCGAGCGGGCGCAGCCAGAGATGCTCACGACCTTGGCGACCTCGTCGGTGAACTCGTGCGCGTACGCGAGACACTGCATGCCGCCCATGGAGGACCCCATCACGGCGTGCAGCCTGTCGATCTTGAAGTGCTGTTTCACGAGGCGGTGCTGCGCACGCACCATGTCGCTGATGGAGATGATCGGGAACCGCGTGGCGTACACCTGGCCGTCGGACGGGTCGACCGAGGACGGCCCTGTCGAGCCAAAACAGCCGCCAATCACGTTGGTGCAGATCACAAAGTACTTATCGGTGTCGAGATACTTGCCGGGACCGATGAAGTCCTCCCACCAGCCCCTGGCCGGGTTTTTTGCGGTCGAGTGCGCGTGTGACGAGGCAGACAGGCCGGTCTGCAGCAGAACGGCGTTCGAACGGCTGGCGTCCAGCGTGCCCCACGTCTCGTAGGCCACCTGGAACTGCGGCAGGTATCCGCCGTAGTCGAGGAAGATCGGGTCCGTGGAGCGGAATATGTCCACCTTGTCCTCGGTGATCTTCGCGTACGCGGGCTCTGGCCCGTTTTCCACCAGCGACTGCGACCTCTGCTCGAGTTTCTCAAGACAGGGGAATGACAACTGTGGATTCGACGGTCTGGGATGGGGGGTCGACATGGCGGCCGCACGGGCGGCGCTGGCGCGCGGCTTGAGCGCCACCGCGCACCGCGAGAAGTGTCTTGCAAGTCCCACAGAGAACAGACGCTGGGCCATCGGATGGGAAGAATAATTGGGAGAGTCTGTTTGTCTGGTAGCAGCAAGCTATGGCTTGTGTGCTTTCACGTGACCAGAAATGCTTGGAAAAAAATAATGAAAAAAAAAGACAAATAGGGAAAAAGGGCACGAAAAGGGGATAGACGAGGATACGCAGGATGGACTACAGCACTGCGCTAAAGGAGTGCGCAGTACCCGAGAGGATCGGGAAGCTCTACTTCCGCAAAGCTCCCGACGCCTACATTCTCCAGCTGTCCACGTTTGCTGCTCCAAAGAAGCGAAGCACCGAGGAGAGGCCTTCGCGGTGCACCGCAGACACTCTGGAGGCCATCTGTCAGAACTCCAAATTCGAAACGCCGACGTTCCTTTCGTCCCGCAGCAGCAACATCATGTTTCCCAGCGAAGACACCACAACGCTCACGGCAGAGTGCTTGTATCCGTCGTCGCCGTACTGGGAGGGAGAAACGCAGGCGAAGCCGCACGAGATCAAGAACGAGGACTCGGACGCGTGTGAGTTTTGCGAGAGCTCTGTATTCGAAAGTATAGACTCGGAGAGATATTAGCACTACAGGTCACTCTGTCTGGCCCATTTCACGTTGACTTCGATGGCCTCCAGCGACTGGCCCACTCCCTTGTCGAAGCCGGTTAGGTCTTTCCCGGCAAAAAAGGTCTTGGCATCGGCGTAGAGTGTTTCGGAGCCAAAGTTCGGCAGAAAGTTTCTGAGCACTCTGTCCAGAGTCCACGTCGACGTCTCTTTGTGGAAGCGCTCGAAATTGGCCTTGAAGAAGTTCCAGAACGGTTCTTGGGCAACGGGGTTCGAACATAGCGAGCCGCAAAGAAAGATGTAGTCCATCTCCGGAAGATGCTCGGTGAAAAAGAGGGCAAAGATATCGTCCAGATACGCCCTGTTGCTCACGGATCCGAGAGCACAGAGTGCGATCTCGCGCGCGTCCACGGAGGACGGCTTTTTCACCTCCTCGATCGCCTGCAAAAGCTCTCCGCGGGTGCATTCTTTGGACGCCATTAGAGTGGTGAGTTTGGCGCGGCGCAACGAAGGGTCTGTGGTGGAGCGAGCGTACTCCAAGGCAAGGGAGGACTGGGATAGTCCGCATTGCTCAAACACCAGCGAGCGCAAGTTGGATTCTTGAAAGCTGAGCTCTTTTTTCTCCATCAGTTTCCTCAGAATCGGCTCGTACACCTTCTTGCTAAAACTGACCAGAGTGTCCAGCTTTGGCGAGCCAAAATAGAGTCTCTTCAGCGCACCCAGCCGTTTGGCTATCTCCGCCCAGACGGAGTACTCTTCTTCGTGTTTGAACCGCTCCACGAGCTCCAGGCAAGCCTTCGTGGAGCTGAGGCCAGCTTGTGCTGCGGCAAAGGTATCTGCCACGAGTCCGATTTTGTCTCTGGCGTTCAAATCAACAAAAATGCGGTCGAAGAGCGATGGATCATAGACAACACGATAGAATCCAGTGGTGGATTTGTTGAGCTTGCTGAACTGCTCCAGAGGAACTGTCCTGCTTTTCTCCGTCATATTGAGCTCGGGTATCCACCAAACTGTCTCGTCCGTCTTCCCAGAAAGCAGGAACCTCTGCTGCGTGATTTCTACCTGGTCGCCTGCTATTTTGGCGTGAAGATAGGGGAAACCAACGGCTCTTATCCAAGGAGAAACCAGCCCCGTAATATCCTTGCCGGTAGTGGCGCTGACGGCATCCCAGAGATCGTCGGAGCGCGCGTTTCCAAAACTGTGCTCTTTCAAATACTTAGACACACCGCTCAGGAACAAATCAACTCCTACACTCTCAGCAACCATGCGCACAACGGAACCTCCCTTCAGATACGAAATATAATCGAAGATCTGGTCGATGTCGCGTCCGTTAAGAACTTGGACCTCCACAGGATGCGAGCTGGACAGAGAGTCCAGATCCAAGGCCGCCTGGACAGAAGACGACACAAAATCTGTGAACACGTCCCACTCTGGATGCATGTTGTCGACGCAGAGCCAGCCAATATAGGTTGCAAACGACTCGTTGAGCCAGAGATCTGACCACCAATTCATTGTGCAATAATTGCCAAACCACGAATGGGCCACCTCGTGCGAAACAACGTATGCCACCTTGGACTTGTACGCCAGATCCGATTTGGCTGGGTCAAACAGCAGCGCAGTGGCTCGGAAAACGACAAGACCCCAGTTTTCCATTGCGTTGGCTCCAAAGGCAGGCACCGCAATCAGGTCCAGCTTCGGCAGCGGATACGCAATGTCAAACACCTTGGAAAGATAAGAAACAGCTTTTTCCGCCACCGACAGCGCATACTTGCCATTCTCTGATTGCCCAGGGACTGTGTAAACGCGGATTGGCAATCCCTTCGAATTGGACTCCACGTACTCAAACTTGCCAATACACCAGGCTACCAGGTAGGTGGACATCTTCGGCGAGGGCAAGAACGTGACCGTCTTCGTCAGGCCGTGTGGCTCGACTTTGTCGACTGGCATATTAGAAAGCGCGTCGAACTGACTGTCAACTGTCAAACTTAGTCTGAAAGTTGCCTTGAATGCAGGCTCGTCGCTACAAGGGAACGCAGACCGTGCGTCTGTCGACTCAAACTGCGTGCACAGCAGGGTGTGCAGCTCGCCACCGTCCCTATAGCTCGAGTCGTAGAAACCGCCCATATCCGTGCGAATTGGGCCAGTATACTCAATGGAAAGACTCAACGGACCGGTTTTCAACGGCTCTGCAAATTTGAACTCCACAGTTTCATCTTTGTTGTTGGCAACGGTTTCCAAGACAGCAATGGGCTTGTCGTTGGCGCTCGCAGCAGCTTGGCCTATTTGCAACAGTTTTTGGTTCAGGATCACAGACTTAGCGGTTTCCTGAACATGGAAATCAATCTTACAAAGTCCGTGAAACGTCTTCTTGGCAACGTCAATGTTGAAGATGCGAACATCATAGTTCACAGGTTTGACTGTTTCTGGCAACCCATGGTGAAAGGACGTGTCTGGATAATGCATTGATAGGCGTCTGGAAATTAATAATGGTCTAAATCTGAAAATCGCTAGCCCAGACAGAAATCGCATTCTACTTTTTTTTATGGCAGGGTATTTTATTAAGTGAAAATAGAAAACAAAGCAGACTCGAGCTTTTCGCAGACGAAGCTGAACTCACTCAACGGTGACCGACTTGGCAAGGTTCCTTGGGCGATCGGGATTGTTTCCGGCAGCAACAGACAAGTAGTAGCTCATCAACTGCACCGGAATGATGTTCAACAGTCCTTGCAAGCAGTCCACAGATTTTGGAACCTCGATCACAGCCGAGGCCTTCGAGCGGTCTATAAGCCTGTCTCCCTCGGTTGCAATAATTATAGGACGGCCGTCTCTGGCAGTGATCTGTTGGATGGCAGAGTTCAGTTTTGCCGAAAACGAGTCCTGCGTAGCAAAGGCCACAATCGGCAGCTTGTCGTCAACAAGAGCCAAAACTCCGTGCTTCAATTCTCCTGCCTGAATACCTTCCGAATGAATATAGGAAATTTCTTTGATCTTCAAAGCACCTTCCAAAGCAGAGGCATATTGGTAGCCTCGGCCAACAACCAAGATAGACTGCTTGTTGTGCAAATACTTCTCGGAGATCTCCTTGATCTTTTTGCTTTGTTGTAGAACCTTCTCGATTTGGGTAGGGATTTCTTCCAGTCCCTCGATGATCTCCTGGTGGCGCTTGGCATTGGTGATCACATGGTTGGAAATCTGCAGGGCAAGCATGACCAATGCAATATACTGAGACGTGTATGCTTTAGTAGAAGCAACGCCGATCTCAGGACCGGCGTTTATGTGGACACCGCAGTCGGTTTCTCTGGAAATGCTCGAACCAACAGAGTTGACCACACCAACGGTTAGCGCACCTGCAGCGCGGCATCTCTTGAGAGCCATCATGGAGTCTGCTGTCTCACCTGATTGAGAAACAAAGATACACGTATCGTCTCTAAAAATAGGCGGAGATCTGTCTAGGAAGTCAGAGGCGAGATCTACGGAGACTGGCACCTCTGTCAGCTCTTCGAATAAGGACCTCACAGCCAAACACGAATGATAGGAAGTTCCGCATGCAATCATTTGGAACCTTCTTGAACGTCTGATACTGGTCAAAAACTCCTTGATACCTCCAAGCGTGATGCTTTTGTTCTTGAAGTCGATTCTACCTCTCATGGTGTTGAACGTGGAATCTGGCTGCTCAAAGATCTCTTTAAGCATGAAATGGTCGTATCCGCCTCTCATGATCTCTGCCAGTTGCATCTCCAGAGTGTGAACGGGTCTGGTGGTAGACATTCCTGCTGCCTTGGCCGCTCTGTGGATGTGCAATTCTCCGTTGTCGATGTGGGCGATGTCATCGTCTTCTAGAAAGAGCACCTTCTTGGTGTGCTCAATGACCGACGAGGCGTCGGAAGACACTAAAAACTCGATAGGCTTGTTGTAGTCGGGCAAGATAGCTCTCGACTCGGACTTTCTCAGTGTCATCTCACTGTTAGTAGGCAGAGTCAGGAACGAGTTGGAGTAGCTGGATCCGTTGGCGCCCTGAATTGCAGTGGCAGGGTCAGAAATGAACTCGACGTCCACGAAGTCCACCTTGAGCTTCTGTTCGCTCTTGACGCCAATCAGCAGCGGAGAACCCTTTCTGGTGGCCACCAATTCATTAGGATAGTGGATCGATTTGACCATCAGACCGTAGGAGCCCTGCAGCTGGTACAGAACCTCCTTTGCCAGCTGGTAGAACTCGAGGTCGTTGTCCTTGTCGAAATAGTATTTGAACAGCTTGGCAATAACTTCGGTATCAGTGTCCGATCTGAAGGTGTGGCCCTTGCCTTTTAGGAAAGTTTTGAGCTCTCTATAGTTGGTGATGATACCGTTGTGGACCACAACAAACTCGTTTCTATCGTCGGAGGGTTGTGGATGGCAGTTTGTCTGGGTCACAACTCCGTGGGTGGCCCATCTGGTGTGCGCGATGCCCACATGGTTGGCAAACGTCTCAGAGGTGTTCACGTTGTGCGACTTGATCTCGTTCTTGAGGTTCGCAACCTTTCCCACCTGTTTGTACACGGCAATCTCCCTGGCGGACGTGGACTCGTCGAACTCCTTCTCACCATCGATACCGATACCCGCCGAGTCGTAGCCCCTGTACTCGAGCTTCGAAAGCCCTTCGACAAGCGTGTCGATGATCTGGCCTCGAGATTTGCCGACGTTGTAGTTGGCGTAGCCGAAAATGCCACTGCTCTGTTAGCACTCGTGTCTTGTGCCTTGTACTTACCACATGGTTTATCAACAGCGAAAATAACTAGGCGCCAAAGAATATATCCGGGATCTATGTGCAGAGAATTCACAGACTCTATAAACCGCCGAAAAAAGCACTCTTGTCAGCTGATCAATGCTATTAGAACGCTGAATTTCGTCCTATCCCCCGAATGAAACAAAAGATTATTTTAACTTTTTTTTTATGTCTGTAGACTTGTTTACGTGTTGCCCCATGTAGAATTAGTGCGCACACGAATCGCAGAAAAAACTCTTGTTTGTGCCTATAAAAAGAGGCTCTTCCTCAGCTCTTTCTCTTTATTTTGCCCTCGAAGCCGGCTCTTTTAGGGACCCGCGTGGCGCCTTTGAACGAGCGCAGCTGTTTGGTCTGGTGCTTGCGGCTCTTGCCCTTGTTTTCGCGGCGGATCCGCAGGTTCTCCTCCCTTCTGTCCTGCTTGGCCTTGATCTGGTCTGCGACGAACTGCTTCCGCTCCGCCCACTCGCGCTCACTCTTTCTCTTCTTGGCCTCCTTGCGCTTGAGGGCCTTTTTCAAGAGCTTCACGTCGTCCTTCACTTTGATCCCCTGCGCGCCGGCAAGCGCCTTGTTCCACCTGTGCTTCTCTTCCACAGCCTGCGCCTGCTCCTTGTCCATGGCTGCCAGCTTCGCCTTCTCCTGCTCCGCCTTCTTCAGGTGCGACTTCACGTCGTTGTTCGATGGGCCCTTCCGACGCCCCACCTTGCGCACCCCGCTCAAATCAGACGTGGCTCTCTCGCCCTGGTTAAACTCGATATTATTGTACATCACCACGTCTTCCCTGTCGTCCTTGTCCTCCATGTCCTCGTCCTCGCTACTCGACTTGTCGTCGTCGTCGTCTTTTTCTTCCTTGGTCTTTTTCTGCTGTCTTCTGAGAGCCTCTTTCTTGCGTCTCTCCTCCAATATCTGCTGTCGAGACGTCACCGTGGCGAACTTGGTGCCTGGCGCCTTGCGCTTCTCCTTCAGTGTGTTGATTTTCTCCGCCAGTTTCGCCCGCAGCCTAGCCAGGTTCTCGGCTTTCTCCTTCTTCTTCTCCGGCGTAAGCTGCTGCTTGGACTTACGTGGGGGTGGCGGTGCGGTGTCGCCCTCGCCGTCGCCGTCGTCGTCAAATACTATCGTAGCGTCGTCAAGTTTCAGTTCTGTGTCGGTGGCTGTGCTTTCAGGCTCCTGAGCCTCCACAGCCGCAGGCTCCTCCACCGGCGCGGACTCCTGCTTCTTGCCCGGTATTATCACCGGCTTCGCCTCAAGCGCGTGTCTGTCCTTCTCTTCCTTTGCACTCACATCTCTGGTGGCCTCTGGATCCAGCTTGGCCTTCTTGTTCTCCTTGGCCTGGCTCTTGCTTTGCTTCTTCCGCTGCCACTGATTGGACGTGTCCTCATCGTAGTAGTACTTTGCCGGAATCAGGGACAGGAGTCCGTCAAATGCATTGGCGTGCTCTTTCAGGCGATCCTGGCCGTTAGCGAGAAATATGGGGCCGCTAGACACTTACCTCTAAAGAGTTATTCCCCATCGTGGTGAAAATAGAGCTTGAAAATTTTCAAATAAATGAATTTTTTTGAGCCGCACATTTATTTCGAGCACAAATGCACGAAGTTATCACGATCTCGGTCGGCCCCCACGCAAACAACATTGTGACGCATTTCAATAATCTCCAGGAAGACAAGCTGTACTTGGCGCCGTCGCTGGCGCAGAACCCAATCGACCCCAACGTACACATGGAGCCTGTAGCAGAGGGCTCCAGTTATACGTTCTACCCACGCACCATCCATTGGGAGTACCAGAACGGGTATGGTGCCTTGGCGCAGTTTGGCGTCGAGGACGTCGAAAAGACAGGCTACGAGGTTATTGAGCAGCCACGTGTGGAGAAAAACAAGTACCAGGAACTGCTGGACTCTGCGCAGCCCACACAAAGAGTGCTGGAAACCGACAAAGTGCGGTACTGGACGGATTTCACGAGGGTGTTGTACAAGCCTCGTGGGCTTCTGAGTATTAGGAACTGGGAGTACGATTACAAGAGCCAGACGGGCTATCTGAAGATGCACCCAGAGAGAAAGTTTGAAGGTTATGACGTGGGGGCAGCGGAGTATAAAAACCAGCCCGACTTTGTTGACGAGACGTTACGGCAGACCATAGAAAGATGCGACTTGGTTAACGGCATGAACCTCGTCACAGAGGTTGACTCTGCGTGGGGTGGGTTCTCTAACGAGTTATTGGCCGACATCAGAGACGAGTACGCAAAGACAAGCGTGCTCACGTGGAGCCTCACGAGGGACAACGAGCGATTGAGCTTTGAAAAGCTCGTCAGCCGTGTCCGCGCAAGCGTGGGGCTGATGCGCAGCTCGTCGCTGTACCTGCCGCTGAGCGCGACGCCTCCGCTTCCCCAGTGGGCGGACCCGGCAGACCTGTGGCACGTGTCAGCGCTCCAGTGCATTCCGCTGGAGTTTGTCAACGATCTGTTTGCCGCAAAGCCGGCGCTCCTCATGGCCGATTTTGTGAACGGTTTGAGCCCGACGAGCGGCCAAAATATGGTGTGGGACATAACAGCTGCACCCCATATTTTTAGCTGTCGCCAGGCGTACGGAAACAAGGGAGACCATTTTTTCGCGCAGACTGCAATCACACGAGGGGCAGCAAACAAGGTGGACTTTTCCAGTCTTATGGACAACGGCACCTCGGCCAGACACTGTGTCGAGTACCGATCGTCCGTCGCATTCAACAGCCGTCTTGACAGCTTTCCTACAGCCTTCAGCGAAAAAGAGAGCCGCACCCCTAGTTTATGCACCTTGGGGGTGACCAACGCACCACGCGGCTGGTTCAAGCAGATGGCCGGGCTGGTGTCGCGGCACTACAAAGGAGACGAGCGCGAGGAGCTGAAGAATGAGCTCGAGACAATGGGCGACCAGTACGTGTGGGGGTACGAGTCAGATGACGACTATTGAATACAATTGTGTACATAATTAATGAATACTGTCTATCTGCAAGCTGCAACTAAGTTAGTCGTTAGTCAAGTCCCTGCCCAACAAGGACACCTTCAGCCAGTCGGCAGCCACCAAGGCTCTCATTCTGGCGGAGATGCACATGGCGATGTACGAGGATCTCCAGATCAGGTAGGTGAAAGCACCACCGGTGGAGGTGGAGGAGAAGGACCCCCACACCAAGTCGGCAACGGCCTTTTCTCCACCCACGTACGACAACGATCCCAAGTGGTTGTACTTGAAAGGCTTGATTTGGGACAAGGCGGCGTCCAGTCGGGCCTGGACCTTGGTTCTCTCATCGGAGTTGGAGGCTCTGGCAAGCTCGGACTGCAGGTCGTCGATGGCGGCCATCTTGGCAAACGTGGAGGCAAGGTAGTGGCCCTCCTGGTGGGCGACTTGTCCCGTAGGTGGGTGGCCCGTGAAGGCACAGTCACCAATGGCATACACGTTCTCGGTGCCCTTGACTCTGAGGTTCTCGTCCACAAGCAGACCTCTTCTGGCGCCGGCCTGGGCCTCGATCTTGCTGATCAGGTGGTTGGTGAAGTTGGCAGGGCGGATACCGGCGGCCCACACAAGCATGCCGTATGGGATCTCTTTCTGCTCCACGGAACCGTCCTTCTTTTTCGTCGAGGCTGTGATCGTGGTTGGGGTCACTTTGTTCACGGCTGTGTTGAGGATCAGCTCGATGCTGTTCTCGGCAAAAGTGTTCTGGGCGTACGTCCACAGGCTCTTGGAGAACGAGTTCAGCACGTTAGGCAGCGCCTCGATCAGGGTGACCTGGACCTCTTTGGCGATGGATGGCATCCACTTGTTGAGGTCCTCGTCCACGTAATCCTTGAGTTCTCCGGCAAACTCGACACCGGTAGGGCCTCCTCCCACAACGACAAAGTGCAGCAGTCTCTTTCTCTCCTCGCTTCCCTCAGGATACAACGAGGCCTTCTCGACACACTCCAAGAGCCGCTTTCTGACCTGGATCGCGTCCGGCAGCTCTTTCAAGAAACAGGCGTGCTCGGCAACTCCAGGGATGTTGAACGTGGACGGCTGGGCACCGACCGCAACAACCAGGTAGTCGTACTTGATCTCCTTGAGGAGACCCTTGCTTTCGGCGTCGGGCTCGGGGAATTTAATTTTCAGAGTGTTTTTCGTCACGTCGACGTCTGTAGCGTCGGCCTCGATGTAGGTCACCTCTGCCGGGGTTCTCTTGGCGATCGATCTGATTGGCTCGACGATGGACCTGGTCTCGATGGTTCCGGTAGGCGCCGAAGGCAGCAGAGGCGTGAACAGGAAGTAGTTTCTAGGAGAAACAACAGTCACATTGTACAGACTGGTATCGAGATCTTTGAGCATCGAGGCGGCACCCCATCCACTCCCAAGAATGACAATGCTCTTTTTCTCGGCCCCGGCAGCAGTGAGCGCGGTCTGGGGCTTCTGGTTTCTAGGATTGGCCTCTCTGTAGATGGAGGCGCCCATCCAGGTGGTGGCCAAAACAGTGCCGATGGCACCCACGTCAAGAGGGATCCTGAACAGCTTGTGGAAAAGAGTCTTGCGCTGGGCGGACGTTGCCACGACGGACGAGCTGAAGGCTCTGGTGGCGACAGTGTTGAGGCGCACGGCCCGTCTTGCTGCCAACATTATCTTAGGTGGTAAAATGTTCAGGAGGAAGTTGGTTGTTTTATACAAATTTTTTTCATGGAACGTGAGTGGATGTTTGCGGACAATAGAGCACAATAAGCCCGGTTGCCTAAAACAGGAGGGGAAACGTTTCTTGTTATGCGGTTCCCACGTATGAGGTACGCCGAATGATTAATGGGGGTGCGCGCGCGTGCACGAAAATGCGTTTGGGCCAATCGGACGGCCGCTATTTTCGCTGTAGGGAAAAATCCGGCTACTGGTTTCCACAAATTCCGAGTCGGAAAACTTAGGGATGCGTACATATTGTCAGTTGGCTACTCCGACCAGCACCTGCATCTCCGGAAACCGCGGGGTTTCACCCCGTGTTTTTCAGGCCTTGTCGTACTTCTCAAAGTAGTCCTGGAAGAAGCCTCTATAGTGGAGCTTTCTGCCCGTCGCAGAGATCTTCTCCACGTCGCTAGGCTCCAGCTCAAACTCCCACACCTTCATAATGTCTCTAAGCCGCTCCTTATTGGTCGACGTCGTGATCGGCAGAACGCCTGTCTGGTACACCCATCTGAGCAGCAGCAGCGTGTCGGTGACGCCGTATTTTGCCTCCAGCTCTCTCAAAACCGGATCCAAAGGTCCCTCCGTGACCTTCGTCGGGACGATCGGCGTCAGCGGCGAAAAAGCCTCCACCAGGATCTCGTTCCGCTTGCAGAAGTCCACAATCCCGGGCGACTGCTCCTGTAGATAAGGATTGTACTCTATCTGGTTGACCTGCGGCTTGTACTTGCAAACAGCGAGGATTTTTTGCAGCATCGGCTCGTCGAAATTCGACACCCCGATGTTTCTCGCCTTGCCCTCGTCGACCAGCCGTTCCATCTGCCTCCAGGCCTCCTCCACGGTGACCTCGTTGGCGTCTGCGCCGAAAAACGGCGCATGAATCAGAAACAGGTCCACGTAGTCGATCTTCATGAGCTCCAGGCCCTTGACCAGCGACTCGTACGGCCCCGACGGAGTCGTCGACCGGTGCCTGCCTCCCCAGCCTTGGTTCCACTTGTCGGTGATCCAGAGCTTGCTGCGTGGCACGCCCGACTCCGCGATCGCCATGCCGACCTCAATGCGGGTCGTGTACACCTCGGCCGTGTCGAGGTGGGTGAATTTGCCCTCTGTGAGCGCAAACTTGATGATGTCGACGAGCGACTCGTCCACGGAGTCCTTGAGGACGGGGTCGCCCTTCTTCTTTTTCTGGTGCTTGGTGCCGCTGCCGAACGCAATGGCAGGGATTTTGTCGCCGGTGCGTGCGAGAGTAAACGAAGGTGTGGACATAATGTTACAGGGATAAGATTTTCAGCGTGCTGATAAGCGGGCTTTATTTGGGTCGCAAGATGCGCCACAAGAGAAAAACCGTATTTGCTCGTGCACGGGTTTTTCGTTTATTTATTACAAATGGTTAGCTGTCTCAAGATCGTCAAACTCGTCGGCATCGGCTCGCTGGGCCTGGCCACGTCCAGCTTCGGCCTCGCAGCGTACCACGCCGTGCCTGATCTGATCAATGGCGCCAAGCTGAGCGTCCTCGACTCGGGCGAGCTGCGCAACAAGTTCCGTGGCCTGCTCGTGCAAGTGCGCTCGATCCTCGCGGTCTTCGGCACCGCGGCGTCCGTGCTCTTCGCCCTGGCCTACACGCGGTCCCCCGTCACGGGCAAACACCCCTACCTGATCTACGCCGCCCTGGGGGCACCGCTGTGTGCGGCCTACTACTGTTGCGGCGTTTTGCCACTGGAGCTCCAAATTTTGCAATCCCCGCAGAAACGCGACTCGCGCGCTCTGCCGGCCAAGACCAGCAAGACGGACGATTTGACGTCGCCGCTCGACAACAGCGTCTACAACGACCTGGGAACCGAGGCCGACGCCGTCCGGGAGGAGCCGGCCGCAGACGAGCAGTTCCAGGAGCTCGAGCTCAAGACAGAAACCATCGCGAGCCTGCAGTCGCTCAAGCTCGGCTACGCGTACTCGTCGCTCATCTCCGGAGCCGCCCTCCTGCTCGCCACAATCGGTTATCTAGGCGACCCTCTATAATCTAATACACATATCCTTGCCAGCTGTGGCTTATCACGTCAAAAGTGCTGGAACCTTCCGATAAGGGTAACTTGCCCAACAGAGCCAAAAAAGTTACCCGGACACCGGCTGCATGCCCTTGACACCTGTGACCCACCCCCCGCCTCCAGATATAAAGGCTTATCTATCTCCATTTTAATTCCACTCTGTCATCCATCTTCCTTATAGAACCAGTGGCATTTTTATATACATGACATCGACGGTCCTCTCAGACAAGGTGGACTCTCAGCTCAAGCTGCTGTCGCAGGACCTGCAGGCAACCATGGACGAGTATCTTGCGTACGAGAAAGGCTCGTACCTCAAGAGCAAGTACCGGTTTGTGTCGTACTTGCAGAACGGCTCGTTTGGCCAGGTCACGTGTGCGCTCAACATGGTCGACAACACCAAGGTGGCCGTCAAGGCGTTGAAGAAAACGATCCCCGGTATTTCCTTCATGGCCAGACACGAGATCTCCATCATGCGCAAGCTGGGGTACCATCCGAACGTTTGCCAGCTCCTGGAGAGCTTTGAGACCAAGAAGTACATTGTTCTGGTTCTGGAGTACGTTCCGGGCGGTGACCTGTACGACGCCATCCACACACAGTCGCCTCTGGGGGTGGAGTACCAGACCAACCCGCGGATGTTTCTGAGTCTTGTGAATCAGCTGGCTGATGTTATGCGTTACGCCTACTCCCGTGGAGTGTATCACAGGGACATCAAGCCCGAGAACGTTTTGTTGACGAGGGACGGCAGCATCAAGCTGTGCGACTGGGGGCTTGCCACCTACGCAGGCAAATGCAGAGACTTCAACGTTGGCACGGAGAAGTACATGGCCCCAGAGGCTCTTCGTCAGAAGGGCGAGTGGTACGACGCCAAGGGTGCCGACGCGTGGTCTCTGGCCATCACGTTGCTGTTCACGCTGTTCGGCAAGTGTCCGTTCCGCAAAGCAGACACCAACGACGTGAACTTTGTGAACTTCCTGAAATCGAAGGAGTTTCTCTACGACTACTACCCAGGCATCAACCAGGTCTCGTTCAAGGCCATTGTGGAGTGTTTTATGGTTGAGAGAGACCTGGACGGCGGTCTGGAGTTGCTCAACAGAGAAGGCCCTGCCAAGGGCTTCACCCTTGACCAAGAGTACAAGCTGGAGCTTACTAGACGTCAGCAGGAGTTTGCCGTCCAGTCCGATCCGGCTGTTGCATCTGTGCGCGACGACGATGTTTTGGGAGGCGAGTTCTTCATGTTCGACACCGAGCCCGAATACCGCGTCGACATGCTGGACGATCAGAAGCAGGCTTCTTACGTGGGCGCCCCGCTACGTGCTGTGGACATCCGTCCTATTCCCGACTCCGTCGGAACAGCTTCCTCTATCTTCGACACACAGGCGCCTCCTTCGCTCACTTTTTCGTATGAGACCAACGACGGGTTGGTTGGATCCTGGTGCGACGAGTTTGATGAAATGTGCGGCATGAAGAATGCAAGGCGAGGACTATGTAACGCTAATGAATGACGACAATGACACTAAGCCAGGCTTTTCCTGCGCCGTAGCTTCCGCTCTTTTTCTGCTCTCTCTATGGCGATGTCGGCCATTATGCGTGCAACGTACTTTCTTGAATAATTCGCTTTCTTGAAGATGTCGCGCCACATCACCAGTAGAATCAGCACGCACGTGAACGGAATGGTCACCTTCCAGTAGAACCCGACTCCTTCCTTCAGGTTGCCGAACTTCTCGAAATTCATGCCAAAGTATCCTGCCCAGAAGCTCAGCGGAAGGAAGACAACCGTCACCAGAGACAGCTGTTTCATGGAGTTGTTGGTCTCCACCGACAGCGTGTTGAAGATCAGGTTCACCAGGTTCTCGATCGTCCGCGACATCGACTCGATGTCGTCCACGTACGACACCAGATGGTCGTATATATCGTTCATGTACAGAACGCTGTTTTCGGACATGAACTTGCGGAAATTGGTCACCTCTCGCATCTGGTGGATGAGGTTGCAGGCGGGCGTGATGCGCGACTTGAGGTTGGCCAGCTCGTTGATCATTAGATGCAGTTCCTGCGTGTGCGAGATGGTCGGGTTCGTGAGAATGTCCAGCTCGATCTCGTTCAAGCGTTGGCCGTAGGCGGACGTCACGGGGTAGACGAGGTCGACTATTGCGTCGAGAATGGAGTGGAGGAGGATCGACGCCTCGTCGCTGGTGCGCAGCAGCGTGTCCCTGGCCGCCAGCCGGGCCAGAATGGCCCTGGTGATGTCGCCTGCCGAATGCTCAAAAAATGTGATTACCGTGTTGTCGTCCGTGAGGAAAATCGAGACCTGTTCTATTCCAACAGCCAGACCCTTGCTTTTCAGCGGTCTGCGGATCTCGAGGTTGCGCATCTTGCGGCTTTTCTTGCGCTCTTCGCCAAAAGAGCTGAAATCGAGGTCGGACAGCTTTCGCATCTTTCGCTCGTCGCTGATCCGCTCAGAAAGCGTCATGTCCACCGTGTTGAGAGACGAGGCTCTTGAGTTCAGCGATTTCGAGTCGTCAGCCGACGCGTGGCGGTTTCCAGCGGCATCTCGCGGACGGTTCGTTCTGACCACCTTGATCAGAGGAAGCACGGTAAACAGGTGGTTCGGGTACAAGTCGACCTTCGTTCGCTGCGGAATGTCAATCATGTCCTCAATGGACAGTCTGTGCAGGTTGTAGTGCTTGCCTATCGTCGAAATGGCCTCCCACGAGAGCCCGTTGACGTTGATCCATCTGACGTGCGACCACAGAGGCCGGGTTTTGACTCCGCGCTCAAACGCCAGCTGCGTCTGCGCCGCGCGCTTTCTGTACTCCTTCAATTGCGCCTCCACGGCCTGCGGATCGAGCTCATGGCCGCCCTCAGCGTACAACAGCTGGAGATCCAGAGCGTCGTCGTCGGCGCCTGTTTCGGAGACAACCTCGTAGTGCGTCACTCTGTATCTGTCCGGCGAGTAGTCTGTCACCACGACCCACGACCCGGGCGTGTTCATGACCACGTTTGTTGTCCGGACATCGATTCCTGGCTCCCAGCCAGTGCGTTCCTTTTTTGTGCCGCTGCCGGCGTATTTGCGCGACCTGGCCTTGTGTTTGCGTCTGTAGCTGCTCTTTGGCACCTTTACATGCGGGCCTGCGGCCTTCTGGTGTTCCTGAGTGGGCTGCGAGACCGCGGGAGGAGAGTCGCTGTCCGACTTCTGAGTGATGTCTAGCTGGTCCGTCCCGCTCGAAAACGGCACGGACTCTGCGCTGGGCCCAGATCCGTCGTCACTCGGATAGTCCGAGTCCGACCAATGGGCGGACTCTGGCAAATTCGGCAGCTCAGGATCTGCCGAATCGTACACAAGTGACATGAGAAATAAATAATAAAAGTGCCAAAAATTAATTTAATTCAGTTAATTGGTATTTATTCTTTTATCTGGATGATTAATAGCGTCTCTGTTTAAATGAGAATATTTGCGCCTTTTCGCTCCGGTCAGCTCAACTTCCTGGCCAGCCGCCAGCTGAGGTTTCCTGTCCCCGACAGCCCGCGCAAAGCCAACCTGGGAACTATCATTCAAATGCTCCAGCTCAAGGTGCCCCATCTTTTGCAACACAACCTGCCGCAAGAATTTCTGACCCAGGATATCGTTCTGCGGCTGCTTCCCACTCAGAAACGGCATATACCCGTGGTCCGGGGAGTGCTGCTCTACAACACCACGTTCAAGACGCTGCAATTACTGGTTACCTCGTTTTTCCTGAACCCTGAAGCAAAATTGCACATTACACATATGAACATCAAGGAGGCGAGACAGTCGCTGTCCCACACAGACCTCGTCAATCTCTCGATCAACAACAACCTGCTGGATTTCGAACAGTCTCCCGAGCTGTCCCCCTACACCACGAAAATCACCATCAAATGGCGCACCTGTCTCAACGGGTGTCTCCATCTGCACGATAACAAGACCGCCGACGCCAGGCTCGGCGCGTACAACCTGGACACCAACAGCCTGCTGCACCTGAAGCTGCCCCTCCAAAATCTAACCAAGCTCAACGACAACTCCATCGAACGGGTGCTTACAGGCATCTTCGTGTTCGAGTTAAACGACAAAAATGACAAGATCGCTGTACATACCATCGACGACTGTGAAATCATCGAAAACGAACAGCCGTCGCCAGGCACAAACAACATCGGGTTTGCCCCGGGAGCATAGCCTCTGTATATAGCCTAGGGCTCCGCGATGCGTCTCAGAAGCTGCACGTTGAGCTCGATGCTCTCCGCCACCTTCTCGCTCAGACACTTCATCCGGTACAGGAAATATAGCTGCAACAGCAGAATAAAGGTCACTAGCACTGCGAGCCAGTTGCCGGCCAGTTGCTCCAGAAGGAGAACGAATCCCGCAGGCTGCTTTGGGGCCGGCTCCGTAGAGATGTCCTCTTTCTGCTCTGTCTCCTCGCTCTCCGTCGGCCTGCCCGTCTGGATCTCTGGAAGAATCTTGTCGAGCTCTTCGCCGATCAGGTCGGCCGTTTTCTGCTGTCCCGACTTGGTGCTTTTCTCGATAACTCCCTTGATCCAGCTCGACCCGGTCCATACTATCTTGTAGCTTATTTTCAGCCGTGTGTGGCTATTCTCGGCCCACGTGAAAATGTACCTCGTGACAACGTGGAACGCAGTCCCGCTGGGGACATTTGGCGTGCACGCAGTGCTCACCACCTCCACGTACCCGTTGAAGTCCTTGTGCTGAATGAGCTCTGTGGTCTCGACCTTGGCCGACTTCGGGCCAATCGAGTTGTTGAGCTTTTTCTCGTACTCGAACTTGCGCACCAGCTCCTCGTTCTCGTTCTCTTTGAACGCGCCATAGTCGCTGAAATTGTACCCGTCGCTCAACTCCATGACGTGCTTATGGAAAGTGATTTTCTCGCCAAAAAGAACGTTGAACACCACGCCCATCGGCGCAGCGAAAACTTTGTCCAGGATGATCGACTCGCCGTGCGCCTCGGGCTCGTAGCTGCACTCTGTGGCGCTGTGGTTGTCGGGGCCCTCGTTTCTGTACACGGGAGCCGCGGTCACCTCCTCTTCCGTCTCTCCATCCATCAACGGACCGTTCTCGTCGATGGTGAAGACGTCGTCCTCCGAGAGCTGCTGGATCGCCGGCGCAGCCAGATTGCTCTCGATCTGCTCCAGAGCGCGCGACTGCTCGTTCTTGGCCTTGCTCAGGGCCACAGATTTCGACCACACGGTCTCTAAGAAGTTCAACGTCGAGTCGCGCGAGATAAAGCTCGCAAAGGTGTGCTTGCCGTCTCTTGTCTCGATCACTATCCCGTTCGGAAACAGCCCTGCCGTCGACTTGCGCTCAAAGTGAACCACCTCGTCGTGGGAAATGACCAAACTGGTCACCCAGCCGAGCAGGTTGGAGTTGAAGCAGAGATAGTGCTCGGAAACGTAAAGCCGGCCTTGCAGGAGGATTTCGCGGCTCAGTGCGCAGCTGAAGTCGTCTAGAAGCCGCTCGCTGTCCGGGATGTTTTTGAAGAGCTCGTGGAACTCGACGTTCCGCGTCAACGACGCGTAGCGGTACTGTGTGTCCAGATACTTCTCGTCGGTGTAGAGCTTGCTGGAGAACTCTGCTGGCGACCGCTCAAAGCTGTCGTTCGAGGCCTCGGTGAGCGGCGTTTTAGGAAGAGACGAGATGCTGCTGCTTTTTGCTCTGCGAGAGGACCGCCGGTAGCTGAGCATCTCGGTGTGGCCGTTGACCACGTGCTCGAGCTTGCCTTCGTCCTCGACGTCCCCTTTCGTGTCGTCCTCCGACCGGCTGCGCATCGGAGTGCCCAGCGTGGAAACTGTGTCGGCCGTTGTGTCTACCTCCTGCTGTCTGGACATGGACGCCAGGCTCTTGATGCTGGACATGAAAGTGGCGTTCTGCGGCGGCGCGGGCACGGTAGGCTGCTCGGCGGCCGACTCCTGGCTCCCCTGGTCTCCGTCGCCGTTCATCGACCCGTCTGTGTCTGCTAGACCGTCGCCCTGGTTGAACGACAAAGAAACGGCGTCCGTCCTTGTTGTCTCTGGGTTTGCGGGCGTGGACTTCTTAATTCGAAGCGGGATCGAGGCTGTGGACGATGTGGTGCTCGTGGACAAGTTGGACGCCCCAGAAGGCCGCGGCCGCTCGGGAATGGCCATTGCGGAGGTGCGCAGGGACGAGGTGTTGCTGATCACCTCGTACGCGTTATCGTCCGGGAGGCGGGGGATGTCGACCGAGATTCTGCGTTTGGGGAGCGGCGTGGACACGGACGAGACCGAAGAGGCGTGGCTGCGGGCGCTGTGGGGGGGCTCGAACGAGGGCGAGGCCTTGTTTGTGGGGGCTGGGCTTGTGGACTCGTGTGCGCCATCCGTCTCGACAAAAGCCCCTAGTTCCATGGCAATTGGTTGCAGGTGTATTAGTGCCACAAACTGAGTGTCGTGAGAGAAAGATTCCAAGGGTTACGTTCCTTCTGTAACGGTGAATATTAAATTTAAGGATTATTTATTTTCAGCCGAAAAATCGATTTGCAAGATGACGTAATCGGTTGCTGTGCAAGTGTGCAGGACGGGGGTGCGACGAAGAGCCGCGTTTAGAGAGCGCTAGGCAGATACCACGTGCTACTTAGTTACTGCAGTCGTGCAGTGAGCCGCCCCTTCAGCTGGCGTTATTGCGGTAAGTGCACTAGCGCCCCGAGCCAGTTCAGGCGTCAGATAGTGGACCTCCAGCGGCTCTCTCTTGCGGCACCGTTTTCGGCGCTTCCAGCACTATAAAAGCCTAGCCAAGGGTCCATATATTTAGCTTCCTTTGCTATGTTCTTTTCTCTACCACAATCGTGAAAGATATCCTCGAATTTAGGAAGCTCAGATACCCATGTCCAGCATTGAGATGGTATTAGTCACACCGACGCAACAGTTAGAGCTTCTGCCTCTAGCACAGAAGTTTGTGTCCGGCTGATGGCCCCACTCTCTGAGACACACCCATATTCCTGTTCATATACTGCCACCGATCAATTTGCTGCTCTTGGCTGACGGATGCTCGGCGCTAATTTTGGGAGCTTTGGCTCCAACCTGGTTTCTGCATTGCTTCAGGGCATAGAAACCAGATTTCAACGCTCTGCTTCAGATAACTCTCGGAGATATCTGAAGCAAAGCGATTTATATCCTCCCGGCGAAGATAGTAGCGCCGGTTTTCCTAATGGGAGGATACGTCGACGCAGCCCTTGCTGCGGAGGGGAGATATACGACTTTCTTAGATCTAAAGACTAACTTTAAACGTACCTGCCCCTACATGGGAAGGGAGAGCGCATCCCCCCTATAGAAGGGGAGAAGTATATCCCCCCTTCAGATAGGGAGAAATATAAAATGCGTTCCCCCTATAGAAGGGGAGAAATGCATCCCCCCTTTCAAATAGAGGGAAGGCAAATTATATGCCCTCCCTGTTTGGGGTGGGTAGCCTCTCCCCCTCCCCTATGGTCAGGAGAGCCGCATCCCACCCCTGGTTTCAAAAGTATACTTCCCGTCTTTCCAGTACAAGGCGGTGGTGGAACCTAGTACCGGACGACCTATGGCAGTATACTTTCCCGGGCCTACCCCGTCGGTAATAATATGTCAATGTGCAGTATAACTGGAAATGCATCGTTTTCGAAATTGAAAAAACGTGACTTGGTAGCAGAATAAAATACGATAGCTAATTGTAGCAAGAGTAATAATAGCCTGATGAAAAGCACGATGTGGTAATGTCCAGTTGCTCTATTTTCTAGCGAACGCGGCACACGCTCCACGCCGAAGGGGGCGCCTCCAGCAGAACGCGCCGAACGAACGGTTTTACTGCCGCGTTCTTTTTGCTAGCTGCTAACAACATCGTCAGCCAATTGCAAGGCAATTCTTCAGGGGAATTCGATATCTAGTGACCTCGATTCAAGCTTCCAGGCCGTACTTCGTGCCAAGTTCACACAGAGCGCCGCTCTGCACTCACATTGACAGGTTCCTGGTCGTTTCAGTACCCCCGGATGCGGTTATAGAACCTATCCCGTTTCTTGCAAGCCAAGTGGACGCCCCACAGTCCAGTATCCACGTGAAGGCACAGCAGACGCCAGACTGCTATCCACCCATCTTGCAAAATCCGGTTAATCAACGCAACGGTCCCAAAGTATATCTCTAGGCCTCCAATGCGAGGAAAACGGAGTCCTCCCAGACCAGCCAATCTGAGAGTATCGTCCGTGGCGGACAGAGAGCTTCCTGAAGAGGGCACATCTGATGTACCAATAATGAGCAATCTGCTGTCCACGAGTCGTTTTCTGGGGCGCCAGCCCTATATATACTCTCTACGCGGGCGTCTAACGGGGTGCATGTTTATCGATTAGGTAATCGATATCGAAGTTTCGAATTATTTGTTGGAACCATGAATGGAGGCTCTTCAGGGCCGTCTCAGTCTCCGAAGAGCATGAAACAGCAGCGGTTCTGTCTTTCTCCGCGGCAGACACGCGGTCCTGGCGGCGAGGGCGCCGCGCGGGAGATCAGTTTTGGCCGCGGCCCCGGCGACTCGGAAGGGTCGTCGGACGAGGATATATTCAATGTGCGGAAAAAAGCCAGGACAGAGCGCAAGGCGACGCCCAAAGCCGTTAAAGAAACCAGCTCGATCACGTCTCTTCTGTCTACGGCCGTGCAGGCGCGGTCAAAGGACAAGCTGAGCAAGGATCTGGGATTTGACCTGGATGCTGCCCTAAAAGTGACGTCGATCAGCAAAAAGCACGAGAAGGTGATGCAGCTAAGGCGGGAGGAGGACGAAATAGACCGCATGGTGGCGGAGAACGAGGCAGAGCTGCGCCACGAGCAGCAGGCCGCCGAGCAACTGGATAGACAGATCAGTGCGCGGGTGGACCCGTCGCACAAGGGTTATATAGAGCAGCTCCGAGAACGCATGCTGAACGGCGACACCGCCGTCACAGACGTGTGTTTTCTGGACACCCCAGGTTTATATGGCCAGAGGCCCACGACGAGGCTCGAGCTGCTGCCGGAGACCCTGCTAGGAGACGGACGCTGGTACCTGGGCCGCAAAACGCTGGACTCGGACGTGATTAGCGACGTCATGCAGCTGCCGGCGACGAGCGTGTGGCGAATGCTGCAGACGGATCTCAGCAACGAGATGGTGGCCGACGAGGGCCTTATTCGCGACTTTATGCTGGCCGACGGGATGGCGGGCCACAGAGCACGGTTCGAGATCGAGTCGAAAAAACGGTCCCCCCACGTAACGGCACAGGTGCTGAAGTTGCAGCTTCTGCTGTCGCTGGTGCGCTCGTCCAAGACGAAGACGGCAGGTCTGCCCGAGCTGCGCGTGTTTGTCACCATCGTCGTCCGGCTGCTCGTCGACGCGCGCGTCAACGACCCCAACGTCGACGACTACATCTGTATGGGCCAGGGAAGCGTGCACGCCATTCAGCTGCTCAACGAGATACTTGTGAGTCTCGGGCGATGGTATTTCGAGCTCTTCGAGCGGCCGTTTCCCGAGCTTGCCCGCGACTGGCTCCAGCTGGTGTGCGAAATCGTCGACGATGAGCTTGGCGAGCACCTAACGCTCGTCCACCGCCTAGTTTGCAACCTGCAGCAGCTGACGGTGCCGATTCTGCGCTACCTCAAACTCTGGCTGATATTCAAGTTTCTGATCGAGAAAAACGCAAACGACGAGTCCGGCCTCGACTCTGCCGGGCTGCAGGGCCTGGCGCGGCAGCTGCTGACGTATGCGTTTGAGAAAGAGGACCTGGTGGCTGCGCTGTACCATTTCAGCCGCGTTTTCAGCCGGTGCTCGCTAAAACTGGCCGCCGAAACCCGCACTCGCCCGACGCTGCACGCCGCGCTTGCCCGGCTCAAGCTGTACCAGATGGCAGTGTTCATGACGCTGGGGTGGCTCAAAGCCTCGCTGCTCAACAAAAGACTCGGCTTCTCGCTCAACGAGTCCACGTACTACTCGGCCGACTACCACGAGCGGCTGCAACTGGACCTCTCCGGGGTGCCCGAAAACGAGTATCTATTACACCACATCAAGTTCTATATCAACATGGTCAAGAACAGGTACCTCCGCAACTATAGCGGCGCAATTCTGCCGACGGTGACCGAGTGCGTGGCCGTTCTGACCAACGTGCTGGCGCGCATCGAGCGCGAGCTCACAATGCCCGAGATCTTCACGGACTGAGCAGCTCGGGACACACGTTCTCGAGCTCCAGGATGTCCCGGATCACAATAATGCCCTCGCGCTCGGCCGGCGAGCCAGCGGCCAGCTCCTGCATGTCCTCGTCGCGCTCGACAAACTGGATGACCTTGCCCCAGCCGTACTTTTTCGCGGCCACCACGTTCAGCCCCGAGTCGTCAACGAAGTACGCGTTCCTGGGATCGGCCACGCCGGCCTGGCGCAAAGCCAGGTCGAAACTCTCCTTCATCGGCTTGCACGTGAGCGGGAACTTGCCGTAGTCGCAGAAGGTAATGCCGTCAAACAGATCTCCGATGCCCAGTAGCCTCACCACGCGCAGCCCGTGGTTCTTGTACGCGTTCGTGAACAGCCACAGCCGGCCGACCTTGCCCGCCCGCTTGATCCGCAGCAGCATCTCGCGCAGCTTCGGGTTCGGCCGCAGGATCTTGTCCAGAGGAAGCGCGTCGTCCACCACCTTGTTGTACTCCAGGGCGTCGATCTTGTGCAGCCGCACCAGCCCCTCGATCGCCAGCCCGTACTCCTTGTAGTACTTCATGTGCAGCGCGTGCGCGTCCTCGTCGTTCAGGTGCAAGTGCTCCTTGAAAAACCGGTGGATATACACCTGCATCAGGTCGTGGATCTTGGTGGAGCGCTTGTACAGACAATTGTCGATGTCGAAGAAAAACACCTTCTTGTTGTCCGGCGGAACCGGGCCCGCGCCGTAGCGCAGGCTCACCTCGGGCAGGTCCCTTGCCAGCCGGTCCGCCTCCAGCTGATCCTCGCCCAGGTTCGCCTGCGACTGCGAGTGGCGGCTCAGGATCTCGGCCTCCGCCGGCGACAGCGCCGCGCTGCCGTCGTGCACCGTCTTCTCCAGTCTCCGGACCTCGTCCAGTCCGTTCATTCGCGCGGCCATGGTCAACACTTATTTTTCTCCGGCAGAGGCCCGGAGACATAGCAGGGGACACCCGTACACCACACACACACGCGCCGCGTGCGGCTATTCTTCGCAGCGGCTGTGCAGCCCACACTTATCAGCGTAAACAATCATCAAACCGCCGTGTGCTGCTGCCCTTGTAAGCCACAAATATCTGTCCCGCAAAAAATATATATTGCCTTCATGAAGTTCCACACACACACGCTGGCCCTTGCGCTCCAGCTGGTCTCGCTGGCGTTTCTAATCCTGGCCCTGGTGTCGGTGCCCATCTCCGCCAAGCTCCCCCTGTCGCGGACACAGCACTACGCCTTTGGCTCGTTTGGGTACTGCGACACCCGTTCCAACAGGTGCAAGTACTCCTTTGCGGACGGCAAGTATCTGGGGCTCGGGTCGGGCTGGAAGATGAGCAACGAGTCCAGGAAGACCCTGTGCAAGCTTATTTTGGCCACGCCAGCCGCCGTGGGTCTGACCCTTGTGAGCAGCGTCCTTGTTTTCTGGGGCCACTTCCGGTGGGCGGGCCGTTCTGCGGTTTTCTGGGCATTTTGCACGCTGCTGGCCGTGCTGTCGTTCGCAGGAGCTGTGCTTGTTTGTGTTTCTGTGGTCTTGTTGTTCTTCCCGCATCTCACGTGGACGGGCTGGCTGCTTGTTCCCGCCGCAGTACTCAACTTGGTGAGCCTCGTGCTGATCATTGTCGCGCTCAAGGTCGGCCCGCAGAGCTATGCGGACGACGACGATGACGATAAGCTGAGCATGTTTGGCGAAAAGGCCGTCAGCGACTCCACCGCGTCGTTGCTGCAAAAACCGTACACCGGGGGTTTCACTGGGCCGACAGGGCTCGCCACACGCTCGTCGCTGGACGAGGAGCCGGAAAAGCTGCGAGACTTCACTGTCACACAGCACGAGTCAGGCTCGCAGGAGTTTGGCAGCAGCGTTTTTAACGACAAGCCGGCCGACACGCCTGTTTCCGCGACCGCGATCAACTCTGGCACGCCCGAGCTCAGGTTGCCCGATATCTCGAAACTATACCTCCCGAGCTTGGACAACTCCGACTCGCGTTCCGGGCTGAGCAACAATCTGAACGGGACCGACAGGGATATGTCGTCGCCTGTTGCGTCGAGCATCTATTCGCGCGACGAGCGTCTCAAGCTGTCGAGCGACAACTTGCCCGGCCATTCGGGCAACTCGAACGAGATGAGCTCGAGCGCCGCGTCAGACTTCACGAGTGTCTCTCAGCGAGAAGTCAACCCCAAATATTACAAAGGAGCGCCCCAGAGAGCCAAGCTGCCCGGCCAGTACATGCCGGCTCCTAATGCGCCTCCGCTGCCGTACGGCGGACAGTACTATCCGCAGCAGGCGCCTGTGATGATGCCGCCTCCGCAGCACCAGCCGTACTATGCTCCGTCGTACAACCCCCCAAAGCCCAAGACCAGAGCGGATATTCTCTTCAACAACAATCCAGACTTTGCCCTTGAAGGTGGCGGACCGCGTCGCATGGGATACAAGAAGTTCGGCGGAGCCTCGCGGCAAGGCATGCACCCGGGCATGATTGGCAGAGACGCCGTTCCGCAGCACATGGCGTCGGGCAGCTACAAGAACAGGCCGCGGCCCAACTTCCCGGCGGCCTCGTTATCCAAAGACAGTCCCTACGGAAGACTGTAGTGTACATTAGAGTTCGAGGTATCGATCGATAGAGCGTGCTTCGATTATCTGGTTATTTATTGCTTCTCCATTTCTGAAATATATCCGTTGCAGACTATCCGCTTTCTGCAAGCAGGGAGTCGTAGTCGTCGTTGGGCGTGTTTGGTGACGCTGGCTGGTCTGCCAGCTGGCCTGGCTGTGCAGGTTTGGGCTCGTAGTAATGTTCCTCTCTTTTGGGCTTCACTATGAGAATCATGAGGAACAGCAGAATCAGCAGCACCAGGAAAAACACCAGCTTGCACTTGGCAGTGGCCTTCTGGTATTTTTCGGCCTTTTTCATCTGCTTGTCCGCTCCTTTCACGTCGGTAACCGTCTTGCTCAGATTGTAGTCAATTCTGTCCAGCACAGTCCCCTGGTCTACCACCAGGTTTTCGAGCTCTTTGAAAATCGTGGAGATTTCTATCACGCCCTGTGCGATCTTGTAGATCTCCTCTTCGCGCTGGTGGAGATACTCGTCGCTGATGGTTTCCTGCTGCGACATGAGCTGCTGCGACGACTCCTGCAGCGCCTGGCGCGAGTACGACTCGATGTTCTCGCTGGACTCGGTCTGGACAAACTTGTCGCCGCCCTTGGTGTCTATGATAGGCACCTCGAAGTCGTCTTGTTTGAGGTAGCGGATATAGCTGTTCTGGAGACTGCGGAACTGCGTGGACAGATCCTGCGTGCGGATGGCCAGACTCTTCTTGAGGTTGTCCACCATTTCTGTCTCGGCCGCCTTGTGGAAATGCAGCCGCGAGTCGTCCAGCGTTTTGATTTCGGAGTACATTAGCTGGAAGCTCTTTGTGATCTTGAAGGACAGTTCTTTGATTTTGGCGTCGTCCTCGGTGGTGTCGCTGAACCCAGGGAGCAGGTTTTTCTTATACAGCTTGCCCAATTCCGTGATTTTGGTCTGTATGTCTGCCAGCATGAGCTCTGAGTTGTGCTGCAGCTCGACAATGCTGGGGGGCAACTCCACCATCTCTGTTTCGCCGGCGTCCGAGTACGGCTGGATAAGGCCCTCTTCCTCGTCCTTGAGCCCGTCGAAGCGGTCCGCCTTGCCCGAGAACACGCCGCGGTGGTGCGGGAAGGTCCGGCGGTACGAGATGTACAGGTTTGTGCGGTCTCTAAACATGCGAGAAATTTAAATAATTATTTATTTATGTGACTTATTATTTTTCCAACCGGTAGCTGCCCAACGCGCCTCACGTGCTGGTGTAGAACGGCCCCGGCGCCATCAGAATGTACCGCTCCATCGCCTCGCGGAACCGGTTCTTATACTGTTTCGGCGTGATCACCGTCGGCTCCTTGCCAACGCCGGTACCGCCTACCAGGCCCTTTTCCTTGACCCAGCTCTCCAGCTTCTTGTCCCAGGTGAACGTGCGGATACAGTCGATAATGCCCACCACCAGCTCCTTGTTTTCCGAGTCTATGCCCACCACCAGCGAGTAGTCCATCACGTTCATCTTGGCGAGAAACAGCGTGTCGTTCCACAACGACGCGCGCAGCAGCCGTTTGGCGTTCTCGCGCACAAACAGCGGCGACTCGTAGATGTACTCCACCATGTTTTCGTCCAGCAGCACCTCGTTCTCCTTGCCGGTCTGTTCGACGTGTCTGTTGCGCATCGAGCCCTTCAGGTCGAATATCCGCGTCATCTTGCGGTTGTAGAAGAGATTCTCCATGATGAGCACGTTCATCGTGTACGAGCGCGCTCCCGGCATGTTGGTCTTGACCTGGATCTGGTAGAATCCGAAGATCTTGACGAGCACCGTGGGCAGGCTGTGGAACAGCGCCTGAGCAAAGTACTCGAAGTAGCTCGGCGCAAACTGCACAAACGCCTCCAGCTCCGACCGGCTCAGCTCTTTGATGATGAACCGGTCGTCGAGCGTCTTGAGAAACGCCGACCCGGACTTGCCTCCCGTCGAGTCCCATTTCACGCACCGCGACAGGCTCTCGACGAACTTGGTGCTCACGCCGCACTGCCTGCGGAACGCGTCGAACTGCTCGGCAAAGAAGATTTTGCACGATATCGTCGAGTACCCTTCCTCAAACTGGTACTTCAGATGGAAGCCTTTTTTCAGCATGATTTTCTCGAGGTCGGGCGAGCACGCGGTGCCGGCGCCCGTGTGGCTGCTGGGCGCGCTCTGCTTGGTCTCCTGTTCCGACCGCGCCGACGCAGAGTCGCCGTCGTCGGTCTCGTCCTGCTGCTGCTGCTTTTCCTGGTAGTACAGCTTGGAGCCGTAATCTGCCGTGTTCAAGCAGAACGCGATAATCGAGCTTGGCTCGTCCTCGCGGACAATCACGTCCGAGTCGACAAAGATGTGCTCTGTCGGGCCCAGCGGGAACGACAACGGCTCCCACAGGGTCGCCGACCGGTCGGCCCAGAAATGCGTCAGCGACTTGAGCAGCGACGATTTTTCCGGCTGCGTCTGCGGCTGCTGCGGCTGCGCCGGCTGCTGTTTCGGCTCCTCCCGCCTGTCCGACTCGGCGCGCTCCTCCTCCACCGCGTCCTTCACGTTCTTGTACACCTCCACCGTCGGGCGCGACGCCACCAGTTTGTGCCGGTAGCTGTTCTCCTGCAGTTTGCGTTTCTCCTCCTCGCGCTGCCGGAAAAACTCCTGTGCGTCGAAATACTCCGCCAGCTTCTTGACCTTGCCCTCGCTGTTCAGCTCCGCCAGCCGCGGCAGCACCCGGTCGCCGGTCTCCAGAATGTGGTTCTGCAGCTCGCTGCTGCCCTGCTGCAGCTCCTGGATTTTTTCCAGCACCAGATTGCCGCGTCGCCGCGTGCCTGCTCCCTCCTCCTCCTTCTCCTCCTTCTCCTCCTCCTTCTCCTTCTCGGCCAGCTCGCCCGGCTTGTCGCCGCCCACCTTGAACAGCCGGTCCAGCTGGAACGCCGTGATTTTCTTGATTTCCTTCTCTGTCGGCAGAAAATCCTTATCGAACTCTTGGAACTCGAAATTCCACTCGTTCGACAGCTCCTGCACCTCGCGGATCACCCCCGTCAGCCGCAGGTGGCCCGAAACCGGCGTCGTGCGGTAGATGTCCTCGGCCAGCTGGAGCATCGCCGTCTGCTGCTGGTCGACGCGCTTCTTCAGCTCCAGCACCCGCTGCTGCGCTGCCTCGATCCGGTCCTCCGTCATGCTGTCCAGCTTCAGCCGGTTCAGCCGGCTCCGCACGCTCTCGAAAAACACCGTCGTCCGCTTCACCACCTGCTTGTACGTCTGCACCTTGATGTGCAGGTCGTACTCGGGCTTCCAGAAAAGCTGGAACTTGGGCGGCACCAGCTCCAGGATTTCCACCTCCGAGTACTCAACGCGCACAGCCAGGTTCTGGAAACTGAAGTAGTGGATCTGGTCGCGGTAGAAATCGTGCGCGCACGCGGCGCCCTTCACCTTCATCCCGCGACACCAGAACGACAGCTCCAGGTACTTGCCAAACGAGTACTTCCACGCGTTGTCGCTCAGCGGAAGCACCGGCGTCGTGTTCTGGCAGCTCTTGCACAGACTCCACGCCATGATCATGTTCTCGCAGCCCTGCAACGGCTTCGGGTTCGTCTCCACCACGACATCCACCTTGCCGCTGCCGTGCACGTACGACCGGAAGTGCTCCTTCATCGTCAGCCCGCACCCTTCTGTGCACATCTGGGACGCGTTCACACAGAGGTGCTCGATGTACTGGCCCAGACAGAAGTCGTTGTCCCAGTAGTAGTCGGTGACCTGGATCTCCGGGCCCACGCACGGCGTCGCGTTTTTGGTCGACACCATGCTGTACAGCGTGACGATGTTCTGGTGGTAGTTTGGGTCGAAGAAGATGAACCGGCGCGGGTGCCAGAACTGCTCCCATTGCTTCTCGGCCAGCGCGATCTCGTACCGGTTGTGCTTGTCGACGTAGTCCTCGTGCTGCTCGACGAGCTTGGCGAGGTCGGCGTCGCGCTGCGGCAGCTCGTCGGCGTCGACGCGCACGTTCCACTGCTGCAGCAGCTCGCCCACGGCTTCGCTGGCGCCGGCGCCGGCCAGCTCGGCAAACCGCCGGCGCAGCTCCGCGTTCCTGTCCAGCCGCGCCTGGTACAGCGCCAGCCGCTCGAGCACAAACGGCCGCTCAAACCGCACCCACGGCGACGACGACAGGATCCGCACGTCGAACGCGCGCTCCACGTCCCGGTAGCTGCCCAGGCTCATGCTGTGCAGCGGCTCCACCGCCGGGTGGAAGTCGTAGTCGCCCGCCTGCAGACACTGGTCGCGCATCAGCCCGGACTCCAGCTTCACGTTGAAAAACACGTACGCCATCAGCGTTGCGCACTCCTTCACCTTTGCCAGCTCTTCTCTGCTGCCGCCGCGCAGCACCACCGTGAACCCTGCCTCCGGGTTGCAGCCTGTCAGAAACACGTACGTCCGGCGCACCGAATCGTGCACGTACGAGCGCACCTCGAACTTGCCGCAGCGGCCCAGCACCGGGTTGGTGGCCAGCTTGTCGATCGAGTTGACGACGTCTGCCTTGGTCATGCGCGCTATTTTGCGCAGCAGCTGCGGCTTGAGGTTGAACGCGACCGTGATGCCCGCGTCCGCCAGCAGCTTCAGCGCGTAGCCGTTCACCGTGCTCTCGGCCAGCACCACGCTCGGCCGCAGCGCCACGATCCGCGCCACCAGCTTCTCCAGATACTCGTCCTGCTGCGCGATGAGCGGTTCCAGGCTCGAGAACCGCGTGTCGGCCTCCTGCTCGTACTCGATCTGGAACGTCACCAGCATGATGCGCGGGCTCTGGATGCTGTCGGCCATCGTCTTGAGCGGCAGACACTTGGAGAACACGACGCCGTCCAGCACGCCCGAGTCCTCGATCGAGGAGCCGGGGATCCGTTTCAGCTTGAGGTAGTTCGAGATGTCGAAGCTCTCGCCGTTCGCCAGCTCCACGGGCACGCTGGAAATCCGCTTGAGACACTTGATGAGCGTCCGTGTCCAGACCTCGATGTGCTCCACCCGGCGGTCGGTCAGCAGCTGCGTGAGCAGCTGCCGCGCATGGTTTTCGCCCGCGCGCAGGAAGTCGTCCATGAACTCGAACTCCTCGAACCCGAGCCCGAACCCGCCGGACACCGCCCGCCCAAACGGCGGGCTCGAGCTCGCGTCGCTGGCCACGCGCGTCCCGCTGCGACTCATGCGCCGGTGCTTGAGCCGGTGGAAGTTGGTCGGCCGCCGCGCCCTGTTGGTGCGGAACACCTTGCGCCCCGTCATGCTGCCCGCGTCCTCGAGCTTGAACATGCCGGCGTTCGGACTGTGGTACGTCCAGTTGAACTCGTGGTTGTTGAGCGGGTTCGAGTGCACGGAAGTGAACGCCAGCAGTCCCGGCTCGTCCTCGTCGTCGGACAGCTCCGACGGCGAGCTCAGCAGCGTGTGCGAGGCCGACAGCGCGTACTCCTCGTCGTGGCGCGAGTCGGCGGACGGCTGGTGGTTGCCCGGCAGGATCGCCGTGCCGAAGTTGAAGATCGAGGACGCGGCGTCGGCGGCCGCGTTCGCCGCCGCCGCCGTGAAGTTGAGCGGCGTCAGCGTCTTCTTGTCCTGGTCTGCGCCGCCGTTGCCCGCGTGGAACGGCCTGCCCGCCAGCAGCGTGTTGCCGCGGCTGCGACGGCTGACCGAGTTCGAGCGCGGGATGTCGATCTCGATCGCCTCGCCCTTGCGCGTCGTCGGGATCGCCATCATCGGCGGCGGCGTCGGCGCAGAGCGCGGCACAAACTGCTCGTCCGCCGTCGCCGCCAGCGACTGCGTGTCGCGGCTCTCAGAGTCCGCGCGCACGGGCGAGAGCGTCTCCGAAACCTGTGTCGAGCTGTTCGACTCGTCGCCCACCGACTCGTCCTCGCTCGAGGCGTACTCCTGGTACCGATCGGCCAGTTTCAGACACAAAAGACACACCCGCATCTTGCCCGGATGGTTGAACTTGTCGCCGTCGATGAACGTAGTACAGCTGCTGCAGAAGATCTTGCCGCAGATCCGACAGTGGTGCTTGCGGCGGAACGTCGTGAACGTGCGGTCGCAGGCCCGGCACTTCGTCGCCGACGAGTCGTCGAGCCAGTAGTCGCGCCCCAGGCCCTGGGTCTCTGTCTTGTGCTTGTTCCGTAGCGTGCTCATCAGGTTCAGCGTCAAGTCGTTGTAGCCGTCGTTCGCAACCGCCCGGTGCACGCTCGCGTGCGACGGCAGCACATGGTCGCTCAGCTGCGTGGTCGAATGCGCCGACCCTGAGAGGCCAAGCTTGAACGACATCGGTGCGAGGGTGAGATAATATTATGTGCTTAATTATTTCAGACGATTGATTTATTAGTTTATTTATACGCTTCGCTGCATTTTGGCGCGCTTTTTATTCTGCCGGTTTCGGCTGCTTTCCTCCGCCTTGTGCTACTAGCGCAAACCAAACGGGCCCGTCAGAGTCACTCCGCGCTCTTCTCCTTCTTGCTTTTCTTCGCCTTCTTGTCCTTCTTGTCCTTCTTGTCTCTCTTGTCCTTCTTCTCCAGTTTGCGCTTCTTCTGCCGTTCCTCGCCGTTCTCGTCGCTCACCACCGTCTCGTCGGCCTCTGCTGTCTCGTCCCCCGCTGTCTCAGCCCCCTGCGGCTCTTCGTCAAACACAATCTTTTTCGGCTTCTCCCCAACGTCCTCGAAAACAGTCTTCTTCGGCACCTTCTCGCTCTTCTCCTTGGCCTGGCCCTCCAGCAGCAGCGGCGGCAGACCCCTCAGTTCTCTCTGCAGCCGCTTCAGCTGGCTCAGAGTGGTCGAATCGGGCCCATGGTAGCTCTTATCCAAGGCGGTGGCCTCGAGACGGTCGCACTCGCTAATGAACTGGTCAAGCAGCTGCTGGGTCTCTTCTGAGGACAGAGAAGCGGTCGCGTAAACGCTGGCAACAACGGGCGAGTTCACAGCCGACGCCGTGACTCTCTTGCGAAATGACATGGGACAAATACTTTTTATTTTTTCTTATTTTTCATATTTTTTTTCGACATGAACTTTGGTCTCTGGTGCCAGTCGATCAGACAGTTTTCCGTTGCGGCCACTCGTCCTGTGCGGCCGGCCTCGCTCGCGCTGACGTCTGCCGCGCTCGGCCAGCCCGCGGGCGCCTCGTCGCTCTTCGGTTTTCTCCAGAGAAGATGGGCCACAAGAGGTGGTTTTAGAGGAGGAAACCTCGGTAACACATACCAGCCTAACACGCTCAAAAGAAAAAGACGGCTGGGATTTCTTGCCAGGGCGTGCTCGCGCACCGGACGCAAGATCCTCAAGAGAAGAAAGGAGAAAGGAAGATGGTTCTTGACCCACTGATTTACTTCTCCAGATAGTACACTCCATAGCCGTCCTCAACCCCCGGAACACGATACACGCGGAACCGGTCCACCGCGTGGACCAGGAAGTCGTTCAGAAGACTGCTTTCGCGCAGTTGGACCGCGACCAGTATGCCTGTTTGCGGACCCGCCAGCGTCTCGGCCGCCCGCACCAGATGCGGTATCAGGTACGGATTGTATATAGTATCACAGGTAATGATAAAATCCGGGTATTCCTGAACGAGCTCCAGGACCGCCTCGGGCGACGAATGCTCCCAGTCGAACGGCACAGCGTCGATTCGCGGCACGTTGCGCCGTCTGGACGTATTTTTGGTAGCAATGGTGGACGACTCGAAAGCGCCGCCGTTGCGACTTATGTTCTTCTTGAGCAGCTTCATCACCCCCTGCTGGTCTGTGCACACGTAATGACTGCATTTTTGGCCCACCGAGCACGCCAGCAGCCCCGACACACCGGACCCCAGCTCCACTACGCGAGAATTCCTCATCGCGTCGAAGACGGCGTTACTCGGCTGTAGAAGCCACTCAGCCACCATTTTCGACGTCGACCACGCCACGAACCCCGTCGTGCCGTCCCTGTTGCTGCTATTGAAGGCAGAAACCGATTGCTGGACCAAATACTCGTCGTCTCCGACTGCGACCCGCACCTCGTCCATCCGCGACAAATACCCCAGTCCAGCGCTTTCCGGCGGCGCGTGTTCAACATACATCTCAAACACATGGTCCTCGACATCTCTGCGGCCGATAGGCTCGAAAAGACGAGTGTCCAACGCCATGTGACTGGGAGAATCTACGTGCGGCTGTGCAAATAAATTTATTTCATTATTTCTCGTTATGCTCTATGCCTATTTTTCGTCGCCAGCATCCTCCAAAGACAGGTTCTGCAGCATCTGCTTAGCGTTTATAAATGTCCCCGTGGCGTTTTTCGTGTCAACGTTTAGGTTCGCGAGGCTCTTGGGGCTCGCGATGCCGAATGAGGGGTTAAGGATCCGGTTGGGGCTGGAAACGTACTCGGGAGCTTCGTGGTCCACCAGTCGGTCGTCGAGCAGCTCCCCGTCCAGTTCTTCATCAACATCGTCGTCGCCACCGTCCTCATCTAAATCATCCGCATCGACATCATCGACATCATCGAGATCCTCCTCATACTCCTCGTCGTAGTCGTCCTCCAGATCGTCGTCCAGATCTTCGTCCTCGTACACGTAGTCCGGGTCCAGATTCTCGTCCTCGTCCTGCTCGTCAAACGAATACTCTGCCCGGGGCTCTTCCTCAGGCCCCGTGCTCCTGGAAACAGGCGACCGCGAGAAAAATCCGCCCAGACGCTGTGAGCCTGTTCCCGCGCTTGTAAGCTCGTCTCTGCTCCTCGGCTGGTCCGTCTCGCTCTCGCTCTCGTCGTCGGAAAGATCGTCGACACTCAAAACCGGATTCCGCCAGAAATTCACGTCGCTGAACTGGTGAATGGGGTCCGCAATGCCCAGGGCGCCCTGGCGCGTCCGCGAGACGTTCACCGGCGGAAAGAACTGGTCCACCAACTCTCCGATCGAGACGTACGACGACTTGTATCCGGCCATCTCGAGAAGCTCCATGTGCACGTCGCCGTCAGGGTTGATGGTAAAGATGCGCGATGAGGGAATGCCGACATTTCTATAGGACAGGGCGTCGGTGATTCTATTTCCAAAGCCAGCGTAGAACGGAGTGTACGGGTTGTCGGCAGCGGTCTGTCTGGATGATGATCCGTCCGTTTGGGGAGTCTCTGCGTTACGGGGTTGTTTCTTGTCGTAAAGTGCCTTGATGTCGTTCAGACAGGCCATCTTGAACACCTCTGGTTTTTTCAGCACAATCTCGCGCTTCAGCGCAGCAATAGTGCGGTCAGGCGAGAGGATCACCGGCCCCACAGGCAATTTAATGCCATCCTGCACGATTCCATTCAAGTATGACCGGGTGGAATCGGCCAGACCAACAGAACGGGCAGTCAAATACAAAATGTTGTATCCGTTGAACTGGATGTCTGCAAATAATTTGGCGACGCCAACATGCGTCCAGTCTCTGCCCAGCATGGTCAGGACGTGGCCCAGGGCGTCCGACTTGGTGATGGTGCCGTCGATGTCCGAGATTACGATCGGAACATTGTGCTTCCAGAGAAACAGCTTCGCAGAGACCATGGCCCTGCCCTTATTGACGCTGAACTGCAGGTCGTTCTCGCCCGGCCTCAGCGACAGACACTTGAGCTGCTCGGACGTGAGCCGGAGCGTCTTGAAATGGTTGTCCCGCTGCGTCTTCACGGTATCTGTGTCAATATCTGAAATGATGGAGGACGCGGTGGAGGCCGACGACTGCGGCTCTGTGCGTGTCTCGAGCGACGCAGACTCGTCGTCTGCCAAGTCGTCCGAGCTCAGGATCCGGATGTTGCCGTGTAGGTCCTTGTCGACGAGCGCGTTGATGTCGACGTCCTCGCCAAACTCGTCGATCAGCAGTTGTCGGATCATGGCATCGGAGTCGTGAATATTCTGGTCGTTGCTCTTGTACCCCTGCATGTCCAGCATGATGTCACCGTTGGCCTCCACCTTGGACGGGATGTTCTTTTTTGTCAGCTTGCTGGAGATCTTCTTTGCGCGGTCGAACGACGAGGCAGTGCCCGCTTTCCGGATAGTGGTGGGCGAGTGCTCGAGCAGCGCAGTGTCCGACCGTACGGACGGCAGCGACGCGCTGAAACTGTCGTTTGCGCCCTCGCCAATGTCCAGATACTCCGGCTCCTCGGCCGGATACGCAATAGCGGGCTCACTGGACTTGGGACTGCTGCCTGGCGAGCTGACCGGGCTGATCACGGGCGACGTCTGGAGGTCTGGTGGGATGTATCCATCCGTTTCGAACACAAAAAACGCCTCGCCGCCGTCGCCCAGCTTCATCGGCAGGTCGGTGATCTCGCCATTCACAATGAAATCCACCTTCTTCTGCGAGGGTCTCAGGAGCTGAAACTTGCCAAACCGAACATGGAACGGCGAGCACGCGAGCTCTCCGTCCGGTTGCTCCACAACAATCACGTCAATTGCTCCCGACAGTGTGGCTGGGTTGATCGAGCTCCATGTCTTGGAGACAGAGCCGATGGCTCTTCCAACGTACTGCATGGGGAAAAAAGAGATGGGAATAATGTTTTATTTTTTGGTCGTGCAAATATATAATGCACGGAAAATAATCGTGGCAGCAAAGCGCACCACGAGAGCCTGCCAGGGCGGCGACAGCTACATACGCCATAAGCTATAGTTCTCATGCATTAGTTATACTCCTCGATACCCGCAATCTTGACCTGCTCGATCGAGCAGTCGGTCTCGAGGCTGTTGCAGTAGCTATTTATCAGCCCGCTCGTCACCAGGTTGTCGTATTTGGACGGCTGGACAGGCAGTCTGAAGTGTCTGTGCCAGTCGTTCTCTGTCTCTGTGAGTTTTGCATTCGGATCTGTCTTGATTTTCTCCTCGTTCTGCTGTCTTATCTGCTGTTTCCACTGGTTGATCTTCACAAGCTCTCTGGACAGGTTGCGCTGGTAGTAGTTGAGATTTCCCAAAGTGTGGTTGAAGTTATCGACGGCCTCGGCCAGGTTGTCGACGGTCAGGTTCATCGACGCCAATGTTGCGCCCGTCAGCTCCAAACACGAGTCCTCCTCAAACTCAGGGCTCAGCTCCTGCAACTTCAGGTTGGACAGGTGGTTGTTCTTGATTTTCAGAGGCACCTCCTCAAAAATGTTTCTGTAGGTAAGTCTGTTTTCGTACAGGTTTTTCGAAACAAATCTCTCGTCCGACTTCCATGCTCTGACAAACGACTCGCTCAGCTTGAACGCTCTCAAGCTCAGCAGGCCGTCCATCGACTTGAGGGTGTCAAAAACCAGCACCACCACCGGCGTTGAGTCTCTGTTTTCTGTGAGGTTCTCATTCTGCTGGTTAATTATCGCTTCAATGAGCGACTGGCCCACGAACCTACCACCGTTCGTCGTCAAAAACCACCCTAAATGTTTCACCCCCACCTTTGTGTCTTTGAGCTTCGCAAGCAGGTCGTTCTGGTATTTGACGTTCGACGCCCTGAGACTGAAAATCTCGTCGTTGGTGTAGGACGGAGGGAATTGGAACGCATGGGAAACCTTTATTGTGGTGTGTCTTTTCTCCTCGCTTGGCTCGCTGACAACATCCAATCCAAACAGTGATCCCGCCTCTGTTGCTGGGTACGTGTCTTCGCCAACTTTGCTGATTTTCAGGGCCACGCTGGCGCTGATCTCCACGTTGATCGTCATGGCGTACAAATTGGGTTTTTAGAATGGAAAATTTTCTTGAGGCCAGTGTGCAATACTCACCCAAGTGCGACGAAAAAGAACTAAAAAAAAAAAAAACTATCCAGCTAAAACGTCGACCGTTATGTCTGACAAAGTTGAGGAAGTGACAGAATCATTGCAGAAGACCTATTTGGACGAGGTCACTGGTGAACAGGTGTCCAAGTCGGAGCTGAAGAAGAGACAGAAGCTGCGTGCTCTGGAGGCCAAGAAGGCTGAAAAGGCCAAGAAAGCTGCCGAGACCGCACCGAAAGTCACCAAGAAGAAGGACGACATGGCCAACCTCAACCCTAACCAGTATTTCGAAATTAGATCGGCACAGATCAACGAGCTGAGACAGCCCCACAGCGAAAAAAACCCTTACCCTCACAAGTTCCACGTTTCGCTGAGACTCGACCAGTTTAGAGAGAAGTATGCCCATCTCAAGAAAGGTGAGACTTTGCCAGATGTCAAGGTCAGCGTCGCCGGTAGAATCATGGTCAAGAGAGAGTCCGGATCGAAGCTCAAGTTCTACAACCTGGCCGGAGAGGGCACCAACGTCCAGATCATGGCCCAAGCCCAGGACGCCGACGGCGACTTCCAGGACATGCACGACATACTCAGAAGAGGAGACATTATCGGCGTGGAGGGCTACCCGGGAAGAACGAACCCAGCCAAAGGCGGTGAGGGCGAGCTTTCTGTGTTCGCTACCAAGGTCAAGCTTCTAACGCCATGTCTGCACATGCTGCCAACTGAGCACTACGGATTCAAGGACCAGGAGGCCAGGTACAGAAAAAGATACCTGGACCTGATCATGAACAAGTCCACCAAGGACACGTTCGTTACGAGATCCAAGATTATTTCTTACATCAGAAAGTTTTTGGACAGCAGGAACTTCATCGAGGTCGAGACGCCGATGATGAACGTCATTGCTGGAGGAGCCACGGCAAAGCCTTTCATCACCCACCACAACGACCTGGACATGGACATGTACATGAGAATTGCTCCTGAGCTGTTTTTGAAGGAGCTGGTCGTTGGCGGTCTGGAGAGAGTTTACGAGATCGGTAGACAGTTCAGAAACGAGGGAATCGACATGACCCATAACCCGGAGTTCACCACGTGCGAGTTCTACGAGGCCTACGCCGACGTGTACGACCTGATGGACACCACGGAGCTGCTGTTCTCGGAGATGGTTAAGGAGATCACTGGAGACTACAAGATCAAGTACCATCCAGACGGTCCAGACGGCAAGGAGCTGACCCTGGACTTCTCGAGGCCATGGAAGAGAATCAACATGATAGAGGAGCTGGAGAAGCTTTTCGACGTCAAATTCCCTCCGGGAGACCAGCTGCACACCAAAGAGACCGGCGAGTTCCTCAAGAGCATCCTGGTCAAGCACAAGCTGGATTGTCCTCCGCCTCTCACCAACGCCAGAATGCTGGACAAGCTTGTTGGAGAGCTCGAGGACACGTGTATCAACCCTACGTTCATCTTTGGCCACCCGCAGATGATGTCTCCGCTGGCCAAGTACGACAGATCCAAGCCGGGTCTGTGTGAGCGGTTCGAGGTTTTCGTTGCCACCAAGGAGATCTGCAACGCCTACACGGAGCTGAACGACCCATTTGACCAGAGACAGAGATTTGAGGAGCAGGCCAGACAGAAAGCCCAGGGAGACGACGAAGCCCAGCTGATTGACGAGACGTTCTGCAACGCTTTAGAGTACGGTCTGCCACCGACCGCCGGATGGGGCTGTGGTATCGACAGACTGGCCATGTTCTTGACCGACTCCAACACCATCAGAGAGGTGCTGCTGTTCCCTACCTTGAAACCCGACCAGGTGACCAAGGCCGAGGAAAAGAAGGAGGACAAGCACGAGTAATTAATTAGATTACAGAATTACTGTAGGCTAGAGGTTTCTGTTGTTATTTGCCACGCAGCCGGCCCTGGCGTTTCATCTCCAACGCGCGCTTGTACGGCGGGTCCGTGGGCATTTGCACAGGGTCTAGGCTGTGCTTGACCGCGGTGTCCAGCGAGTAAGAGGCATCCGAGTCGTAGCTGGTTTTGAGGTCCCCACAGGCCACAAACGGTGCTACCTTGCGCTCTTCGTAGTCTACGCGCAGGTCCTCGTGCAACCTGGCGCGGCCGATGTTCATGTTCTGGAAGTATTCCTCGGTGGACAGCTCTGGTTGCAGATCAGGCTTCCATCCTTCTCTCGGCTTGTAGCCGATGCAGACGATGAACGACTCGAGTGACGTGCCCCGCGAGGCCCGCGGCTTGGCACAGACCACTTTTTCAAACAGAAACCCGAGCTGACTGTACAGGAGATCGATATCTCTGCCTCTGAAGATCTTCGCCACAAATGTGCCTCCTTCCTTCAACAAGCAGGTAGCAAGACGCAGCGCGCACAGAACTAGCTGTGCCTGGATGTACTCGTCCAGATCGTGCAGTCCAGTCACATCTGGAGCGCCGTCAGAGCAGACAAAGTCGGCTTTCTCTCCGCCAAAGATGCCGAGGATTTTGTCCAGTGTGCGAGGATCGGTGATGTCTGCCTGCAGTGTGACGACGTTGTCAATCGGTGCCATTGGCTGGAGGTCCACGGCGACTATCTGGGCGTCAGAACGCTCGTCTTTGAAGATTTCACGGCTCAGCACTTGCGACCACGACCCTGGAGCAGCACACAGATCCACCACGCGGTGGATGTCGTTGAAAAGCCCAAACTGCTCGTTCAGCTGCAGCAGCTTGTACGCGGAACGCGCTCGCCAGCCCTCCTCCTTGGCCTTTCTGTAGTAGACGTCTCTTTTATCCTTACTGCTTTTTCCCATATAATATTTCTCAAAGGAAAAAAAGTGTTGAAAATTTTTATCACCATGTTCAAGACGGCGGCTTGCTTGCGCGCAGCGCGTCGCCTCTTTTCGTCGACCGCATGTGAACGCAATCTGAATCGCGAGCTAGACGAGCTTGCCGCCTTGAAACTTCAGTTGACCGAGCTCCCAAAAGTGAGCGACGAGAAGTTGCAAAAGTCGCAATTAGTGGACACATTCAAGAAATACAACCCCCAAGTCGCCACGAAGGAAGAGGAACTGCCCGGAACAGACAGACCGTTGCCCATTAATGCTGAGCTCAACTATTACGCTCCTCTGAAGCACGAGGTCAAGTACGGCCATCTCAAGGCAGAGATCGTGTTCAAGTCCTTTGAACCCCAAAACCTCGAGTTCATCGCAGACTTTGCGCTCAGAGTCGCCTACTATTTGGGGTTGCCAGCCACAGGACCGCTTCCGATGCCTAAAAGAACAGAAAGATGGACAGTGATCAAATCTCCATTCGTACACGCCAAAGTCAAAGAGAATTTCGAAAGACACACGCATGGCCGTGTTATAAAAATCTGGGACTCCGACAACGAGGTTGTGGATATCATGTTGAGCGTGCTCCAGAAGCATTCTATGTGGGGAGTCGGTATGAAGTGCAATATGTACGTCCAGGAGCCGTTGGGAATGGGCAACACCATGGCTAAGCTGCCGGACGGTGCCAAACAGGTGTCGGACCTTGCCTCGACCCTCGAAACGCTGGAGGGCGAGTCCCAGTCTCCAGTCGCCCAGAAGGTGGCAGAGCTGCTGCAGGACCCGATTTTCGCCCGGCACCTGGACTCCGAACAGCAAGAGACCGTGAGAGAGAAGCTGGGCAAGAGCGAAGATTGATGTACATAGAACGAAAAGTCCATTCGTATATTTAGCCGTACATGAGATCCTGTTCCTCCTCGCTATCGGAGATCTCAATCTTCTTTTTCTGCGTAACGTCCACTCTGCATAGGGGACACGTCCTATTGAGCTTCAGCCAAGGCCCGATGCAGTCGAGATCAAAATAATGCTTAGGATTGCATGGCAGCTGCACTATCAACGGATATTCTTCCTGGTGGAACTCGTTGGTGCAGATCGGACAGCATTTGTCCTTTGGAATGCTGGAGATTTTGACTCTTTCGAATGTGTCCAGTAGATCGTCGTCTATGCCTTTGTTCTCGTCGTGTAGCGGCGCTCCATTGGGGTCCAGTATTGCTCTCACCAACGCCTCCATCATTTCCGGGCTATGTTCCTGCTGCCTCAGACTTTCCAGATACTCGCTGATTATGGACGACTGGTTTTCGGTGCGACCACCGGTTAAAAACGTGTCTAGCACATCTCTCAACGTAGGCTGGCGGGACATTGATAAAAAAAAAAATGAGGGTTGAAAAAAATGTTATCTTTGAAAATGTTCGACGATAGAGAAGGAATGAGAATTGCCTACGAGGAAGCCCTCAAAGGTATGTAGACGCTAAAGTGGTTTTCTAACATCAGGCTATGAGGAGGGGGGAATTCCAATTGGCTCTTGTCTGATCCACGAGGATGGAACCGTTCTGGGACGCGGCCATAACATGCGGATTCAGAAGGGCTCGCCAACCCTTCACGGAGAGATCTCTTGTCTTGAAAACTGTGGAAGACTCAAGGCCGAGGTGTATGCCAAGTGCACGGTAAGTTAAAATGGAAGCTCGTCTAACGACATAGCTCTACACAACACTGTCTCCATGCTCCATGTGTAGCGGCTCAGCTCTGCTCTTCAAGATCCCGAGACTAGTTATGGGTGAGAACGTCAATTTTCAGGGTGCCGAGGACTGGCTGGAGAAGAATGGAGTTGAAGTGATCAATTTAAAGAGCGAAGAATGTGAAAAATTGATGGCCAAGTTTATTAAAGAGCGGCCTGGAGATTGGTACGAGGACATCGGAGAGAGTGAAAAATAGTTGTAAAATAATTTTTTACTTAATGTCTAAACGCACCGCAGAGCCCCCTGAGCGGAGTTCCAAACGCGCCAAGACACCCAGACACAAGGCGAACTATACTCTGTACATTAAGAATCTCAATGATAAACTTCCTGCTGCAAAACTAAAACAAAACCTCTACATTCTCTTTAGTACTTATGGAGACGTGATAGCCATTAATTGCACTAATCGAGGGAAGTTCAGAGGACAGGCCTGGGTCGCACTGAGCTCGATCGAAGAAGCCCAGGCAGCCTTATCCAGCTTGAACGGCCAGCTGTTTTTTGGAAAACAGCTGGTGATACAATACAGCAATACCAAGAGCCATATTATAGAACAGCTCGAACAAGATGAAAATGTATTATAGAATCAACGCCGGCCCTTGCTGAGTCTCCAAGTTTCCTTCGGATCATTTCTATTAAACAAGGGCTGCAGTTTCTCCGTTTTCTTCTTGGTGCTCAGTTGCGACGGATCGGCAGTCCTAAAAAACCGCGGAGCGTACATCACCAGCCATTTTGGATCGATTTTGGTGATACAATGCATGTATTCCTTATTAGTCAGCACAAGCGTGTGGTAAATCACATAGTCTACCCCGTGTTTCCTGAAAAGCGAGGACGAAGGATGAATGTGCACGGGGGTGTTCTCGACCAGTGTCCGATAGGACCCTTCTTCTGGATCGTGTGTCGCTGCGCGTTTGGCTGAATTTTTGAAATATCCAGAAACAAAAGCTTTACGAATCAGATCCCAGTTTCCACGGCAGCTGATCACAGACGATTCCGTGTGACGCCCTCGCTTGTCAAGATTGTCGAAGATTTTCAGAAGCTGCCTGCGCACCTCTCTGGCTCTTCGCATCGACTTTTCATGAACAAAGTTGTTTTGACACCAAAGTCTCTGGTTTTCCGCGTCGGACCATTTGTTATAGACATTCAAGAGAGTTAGATGGTCTCCGTTATAATCGTGGAATTTAGCTTTTATGCGATCTGCCTCGTCTCGTTTCTCTTTGGGACGGTAAAAAACGTCTGGCACGGAAAGCATGGCAATGATGGTGATGACCTCATCCGAACATTTGAACTCAATTGACTGGATCAGAGTTTTGGATAGCAGTGGTTCCATTGGGAAGAACGCCATCCGTTGCCCAAAGTCTGTCAAAACTCCATTTTCGTCCAACGCATCTAATATATAAAGCTCTTCTAGCGCTGTGAGAATGAGCTGCTCTTTCGGTCTATCCATGAAGTTGAAGCCAAGGACATCGTCGATCCCCATCGCCTTCAGCATCAAAATCGTGTAGGACAGATTTTGACGCTGAATCTCGGGAACAGTATTGGCTGGCATCTCGTTCAGGTATGCGTTCTTTGTATATAAACGGTAGCAAATACCAGGGCCCGTTCTTCCTGCTCTTCCAGACCGTTGATCTGCCTGTGCTCGAGAGATCGGCTGCACAATTAATGTGTCCATTCCCAGCTTGGGATCATAAGCGTTGACTTTGACATAGCCCGGATCAATAACGTAGTAAATTCCGTCGATCGTGACAGATGTCTCGGCAATATTCGTAGCGAGCACAACTTTGCGTTTTCCTGGGGGAGTTGGCTCAAAGATACGGCTTTGCATTTCTGATGGTAGAGAGGAATAGATTGGCAAAACAATCAGTTCCGAGACAGTAGGTTTTTCTGCACGTAGCAGACTCATTTTCTCGACCAAGGTTTCGCAACAAGTATCAATCTCCTCTTTGCCGGTCAGAAACACGAGGATGTCGCCCGGTGGATTATTTGTGTGCACGTCTATAACTGTTTCGATGGTTGACTGGATATAATCGAGTTCTGGCTCCTTCGTGTAGAAAATCTTGACCGGAAACGTGCGGCCCTCGATGTGGAACACGGGACAGTTCTCAAAGTATTTGGAGAACTTTTGAGAATCTAAAGTAGCAGATGTGACTATGAGCTTGAGACCCCCTTTGCGTCTTATCACAGCCTCCCGTAAAAGCGCAAAAAGCACGTCTGTCGCAATCGTCCGCTCGTGAGCTTCGTCCAACATGATCACGGAGTACTTCGTTAAGTCTGGATCAACCAGAACTTCTCGCTGCAACATACCATCGGTCATGTATTTGATTATGGTCTTGTTACTCGTACAGTCCTCAAAACGAATTGTGTAGCCAACTTCTTCGCCCACTCTACAGCCGACTTCCTGCGCAACTCGTTTCGCCACACTGGTCGCAGCCACTCTCCTTGGCTGGGTACAAGCAATGACCCCTTTGGTCGAGTAGCCCTCCTCTGCCAAATATTGAGTAATCTGTGTAGTTTTTCCGGAACCTGTTTCACCAACGACGATAAGGAAATCGTTCTGCTGCACTAACTGGAGAAGTGCATCTCTTTTTTGATACACTGGTAGAGATTCTCGCTGTTCCTTAATAGTCATGCTGGAACGGATCCCGTAGGACTGGTTTCTGGATTGGCGCTGCCATTCCTTGTATGCAGAATCTTTGATCTCGTTTTCGCTGGACCTCGACATTTGGTTCAAAGGGTCACCATTCATCCTAATCTTCTCCTCTAATCTCTTGGCGCGATCTTCCTCGTTTTTTTGCTCCAACTTCCTCATCTTGGCCTCGCTCATGAACTTCGATCCATACTGGGCAACTTTTGTCATGGAGCCTTCTGGATTTTTGGTGCCAGTGAGATCTGATTCATTTACGTCCAATCTGAAATTCTTCCCCTTCAAGAAAGACGGCACCCTTTTTGACACCTCGATCTCCACTTCTTCTTCTTCTGATTCCTGTTCTCGAGCTTCTTCAACTTCGGCATATGGATCATCGCCACCGTTGCCCATCAAGGCAATCTTCTTAACACCGAATGCACTGTTCATCTGTGTCAGCTCCCAGAGATCCGGGTCCTGTTTCCGTTTCTGTGCCCGTGGCTCTACAGGTCCTGTCTCCAGTACCTCAGCTCCTTTACTCTGGTCAATGTTTCTCATAGAAAGGGAGATCTTGCCATCATTCTGGACTTTTATCACCTTGACAAAAACCTCCTGTCCGGTCTTCAAGATTTCAGAAGGGGATTCCAATCGTCGAGTGGAAATCTGTGAGATGTGACAAAGTCCATCTTTGGGTTTTTCATCGCTCCGTATAGAGATGAATGCTCCAAAAGGCTTAATGCTTCGCACGCGCCCTGAGTATATTTGACCCTCCTGGATCATGGTAAAGAAATATTGAATGCACGAATTTAATTTTTTTTCACAGCCTTGCTTTCCTCCTTAGGATCCTTGGTAGCCAGAACTCATAAGACAGCATATTAAGAGATCCATAGAGGCAGATATACATACCAGTCCAATTATAAGCGGATTTTTGGTTGAATCATGCTTGTTCCATTTGCGTTGGCTCAACTCGCGGTAGTTGAACGGAAGCGAGCCAGTTACTGTGGTCTGGAAATTTCTTCCTGCACTAATAAACGGTACAATTCGTGCTATATGTAAGATAAGTCCAGCAGAAAACAGCCCCATGATTCAGTGTTTATGGCCCTGAATAGTTCTATTTTGTTACTTCACTCTTGTCCAAGACAAAGAGAAAATTCTCATTGCTCACGTCCAATTTACCCTAAGCTATAACCGTATATTCCCATAATTCATCTACGCATAGGCGCTGGCGTAACTCACGCTGCTGTCGTGCACTGAAGTGACAGAGCTGCTCTGTTTGTATCCGAGCCACTCAAGGCTTTTCTCCGAGCTTTGTTCCATTAAAAGAAGTAGCACACTCAATGGCTTAGCTCCACAGATGGTGTTCTCTGTCGCAGCCAAGTAATCTTTAAAGGCCTTGTAGGAGGTTTTCGAAACAATTTTCATCGCCTCCTTGTCCAAAGCCTCAATACTCTTGTAGATTGGCAAAGCATCGGATTTTTTGAGTACGCTTGTTCCATACCTCAAATCCTGAATATCGCCAATCTTCCCAGAAGGCGTATATGATGTGTAGCCAAACCTGGATCCCCAATGGCAAAAATCTGTACTAACGACAAACGCGTTTTCATGGTCTTGGAAGTATGGAGTCAAGTGCTCCGCCAGTTTTCTCTCAACCTTTTCGTCAGTGGCGCTGATCATGATAGGTATAATTTTGGGAACATTGCCTATGGCTTTACTTGTCACACGATACAAAAAAGGCATGTGCATTTCAAAACTGTGCTCCTCCTCGTCCATTTCCTCGGACATCAATCTGAACATTTTGGAATCCTTGGCAACTAAATCCTTGACGGTTTGCTTGTCCACGGGGACATTGCCCAGAGGCGTCTCATAATAGTCGAAATTACTTGTCATCACACATCCTCTAAAGTAGACATGGTGGGAGGGACCCATCACAAATATTCTTTTGATTCCGGAAGCATCTAGAGCGCTGTAAGTTTGCGCAAGCGTTTCCCCAGCATAGGCGTAACCCGCATGAGGGCCCACCAGAAGACGGGCGCCAGCAACAGGGCCTGACGCTTGTGAAAGCCATTTATCTAATTGTGACTCGAGACGCAATGCTGATCCCGTATACCAGGAGCCTGCGTGGGTTGCGGGTCTGACTGACATGTTAAAAAAAGAGATTAGAAAGTACTGCAATTTTTATTTTTTTTAGCTCTTGCTATCGTCAGCTGCCACTTCATACGTGAGCTCTGAGTACGGCTTTGAGAATAGAGGCGGAGGATAAGGGTCCTTGTTCACATATTCCATTTCCCGCCAACTGTCAAATAGGTACTGCTGGCACTCTTTGCTGAATTCGATGACATCCTTTTGGTCAAAAGTCTCTCCCTTCTTGTAAGCATCCCACAATTTTTTGCGCTTGTCAGCAAGAACTCGCTCAAGCTGCCTGAATCGAAAATCAAACCACTCCGTATAGAATTCGTCGTGAAGAGAACGAGGAAGAATGCTAGGTCGAACACTAGTTAAACAACTGTTGTCCAAAATCGGAGCTGCCGGATAATAGCCAGCCACGGTAGCTATTCTATTGGAGTTTGTGTTTGGTTTCGTTGCAATGTGTTTGATGACCCTTGCCTGCAAAAGCGTACAGTATCCGGGGCGAGCAATGTTTGGAATAACCAGTGGAGTCTCGTCACCCCTGATGATGACAGTCTCGCCGCCCTTATCTTGGGGACATTCCCACATGATCACACATGCAATTGACGTTGAGTCATAGTGCTGCCCCAGAATCGATCCCACATCTTCTGCCTTGAAAATGGTATTCCCGTCCTCCCCCTTTTCAGGTTCAGGATAAAGTGGTGCGTCTAGAGGCAAGTCGAAATCTGCCAGGGCAACGTTCACATGGTTGACGTCATACCCGTATGTGGTTGTCACATCCATCCCGATCAACTTGGAAAAAATCTCTCTGAGTCTGGGGTGTGCATAGACAGATTGGGTGAACGGAGCATGACCCTCTTCTGGATATCCGGCTATGTGGAAATCATGCCGGTTAGTCTTCAAGCTGAAATCTGGGTTTGTCAACCGTGCATACTTTTTCACAACTTGGGGCTGAAATGCTTCCCATTTCATAATATCGATAGCTTCCTCGGTCAACAGTGGGAACGGATAGGTAGCACCGAAATTATTGATCGGTTTCGTGTGAGTTTTAGTGATTCCCAGGTCTTGAAGAGTGAAAGTTTTCGTGTTCTCAAAGTACTCGTCTTTCCAAGCAAGATGCTTTTCGGGATCAAAAAGCTGGTTGGGGTTGAAATTGGGTTTACTCTTGATCTTATCTAAAATAGCCTGAACCTCCTTATCCAATGTTTCCTGGGGCACATCCATCGAATGTGCCCCTGTCAGATAATCTTCGCAAATCATAGACTGCTCGTCGAAGCGTAGAACTTGCAGATTTTTATATCTCGTCAGCCAGCATGGAATCTTGATATCATATGCTCAAAATAGGAAATGCCGATTTGGACCGCAGAACCAATTTGGTAATGATAAATTTATTTGATTTATTTTTTTTTCAGAATAGGTACACCACCGAGCTTCTCCGGATATGATTCCGGATGTGGAATTCACCATCGTTTCGCGAAGAAACAAACCGATAGCCAAAGACAGAGCTCTTGAAAGAGCAAAGAGCAGGCTAAGGCAACGCTCTGAGCTTATTAGATCCAGCGAATTGTTTATGGATATTGTCGAGACACTGGAATCGTGGAAAGCAAGCTCGACTAGCCCCTGGAGCAAAGTGCGCTGTTTAGCTCTAGGGTCTCCTATTGAAGAAGAGCAAGCTAATTTTCAGTTAGCACTTCTGTGCGAAATTGGTAGACATTTGAATATTAACATGGTGTCCGTGTATGATCCCGCTTTCACGACGGAGGACAAGCATTTTTTGTCGTCAGAATGTAACTTCCGGATCGAGCAATCTTTCGATCCGCAGGGTCTGGACGATGTTCTGTTTTTTGTTCCACATGCGCCGATTATCCTGCTGGAATCGCTTTTATCCAAGAAACCCAAGTATATCTTGACTAATGATGTCTCCATTTACACTAACAAATTCACACATAAAGAGTTCTTTGAAAAATTTCCAGTTTGTGCCACAGTTTGCAACTCTATCGGGACTAAGGTAGACGATGGTTTTACGGTAGTGAAGAGAAGGAACAAACACACCACCACTGACCCCCAAATCCGACCTCCAAAAATGGCTGTCCTGTGTCACAAAATTAATCCTCACTCTACACGTCCTTGGGCCCATTCATTCAGCGATCTTTGTCTATATGCATTCAACTCATAATAATACAGAAGTTGTTTCGCTTCGTTCCTTTATGAAGCTCTTTTTTGGGAAACTTCAGCTTGTCGCTGACCATTCGTTCCCATTGGTAGAGGTAGTATGCTAGTTTTTGTGACTTGTGATGTCTTATACACTCGAATCCAAGTGCTCCCATTAGCTCAGATAATCTATCTTCGTCGAAATAGCGGGAATTGATAACGCATGGTAATGGTAGCACAAAAAATAAATAGGGCTTCTGCGAGTATGGCTTTAAAAAATGGATTATACGGCGCATCATTTGACCCCTTAGATGTGGATCCGGCACAAAATTCACAACTAGCGAACATGAAATCAGATCAAATTGCTCAGCTGCACTCTTGGGAAGAGGACGCTCCATAAAATCTTGCTCCAATATTTCCGGCTCTTGTGAGTGAAGATCTATTTTCACTACTTTTGAAAAAAGTCCGCATGTCGATATGAGATTTCTCGAGTTCAAACATCCAATCTCAAGAGCCACGGCATTTTTCTTGTTGTATCCTAATTCTTTAAGCCACTCCACCAGCTTTTTAGACGAATCTCCACCTCTTTGAGAACTCTGGCCCTGGACAGATGCAGCTTGATAAACTTCCAAACCCCCTCGCTTCTCTATCTCTCCCTCTATTCTTCCTAGCTCCTGGCAAATCTCATCTAGTTGTAGAGAGTCTGTGTTAATGACCGTTTCCGGTGGGGACTTGTTGACTAATAATGTCTCGATGGTATGAAGTCTTGCTTGCTCAAATAGTTCGAACAACCGATGGTTGCGTTCTTTTATATATTTGGCTGGATCAGATTCAATATTGCACTTCCATATCTTTTCCAACTTCTTGGTTAATTGACTTTTGTATTTTAGTAAGACATGAAACCTGCGAATCAGTTGGCGAGCTCTCAGGGGTTTCAGTACTTTTGGCCTTTTCTGAGAGGACAAGGCTCGCTTGCCTGCCAATAAGCCTTTCTTCTTATTTCTCAGTATCATTTGAAAAATAAATATGCATCCTAAAAAAAATTCAAAAAAATTGAATTTTCAAATCAGAGTTCTTGGCTTTAGTTAAATGGTGACTGCCGCACAGAAACTCATCTTGAAGCGAAGGAAGGCACAGAAACAGCGTCAGAAAAGACGAAGGCTTGGTTGTGGTAAGGCCATACCCAAGAATTTCCAAGCAGTGGGTGCCAACGAGCTGAGATGGAAACCTGTGGAGATACCTGATACGCTGGACGATTACGAGGGATTTTATGGACTCGAGGAAATCGATGGTGTTGATGTCAAAATGGAAGGTGGACAGGTTAAGTTTGTTGTAAAAGATGAGAATAAACTAGTCAAGGAAGGAGAAAAGAACGAGGATAATAATAGCCACGAAGAGGTTGCAGATGAATCGGAAAGTGAGGACAGTGGCAATGAGCAGCAAACAGATCATTCTGAGGAGAATGGAGAAGAAGAACTTGTTGAGGATGAAAAGGAATTGAAGTCAAACGTATTTGCTGCTTTGAAGGATGACCTGCCAGAAGATGTTGATCTGCCCGAATGGAGTTCGCTCAACCTTTCTGCTAGCACGCTGCAAGGATTACAAAAGTTGGGATTCCAAAGGCCTACGGAAATTCAAAAAGCTGCTATTCCACTTGCTTTGGATGGAAAGGATGTTATTGGTAAAGCCATCACCGGTTCGGGTAAGACATTGGCGTATGGTATTCCAATCCTTGAAAGAGCTTTGAGCAGCAAGCAAGAACATCTTAACGGTATCATCTTCACTCCAACAAGAGAGCTAGCTAGCCAAGTGATGAAACATTTGCAGGAATTATTCAAATACACTCCGTTCCCTGACAAAGCTGTCATTTCTCTCACTGGTGGCCTATCTATCCAAAAACAGGAGAGATTATTGGGATACAAACCACGAGTTGTGGTTGCCACTCCAGGACGCTTTCTGGAGATCTTGGAGAAGAAAACCGAAAATGCAGTGCAACTTGCATCTGCTGATATTTTAGTGTGCGACGAAGCTGACAGATTACTGCAAGACGGGCACTTTGATGAATTAGATAAAATCCTGGAAATACTTCACAACCACCGGCCAAAAGTGTATGGCCATAAGTTTCAGTCTCTGGTTTTCTCGGCTACCTTTTCTCAGGATCTTTTCGGAAAACTGGAGAAGGCTAAGAAGCATGTTTTTGACAGCGAACAAGCGATCGTCAAGATGCTTTCGAAGCATCTGAAATTCCGGTCCAAACCGGAATATGTGGACGTTAATCCTTCGGAGATTGTGGCTAATAGCATCACAGAAGCGATGATTCCGTGTGGAGCCCAAGAGAGGGATCTCATGCTGTATTATTTCCTCACCATGTTCCCGGGGGTCACATTGGTGTTTGCCAACGCTATTGATTCAGTCAAGAGACTAGCCCCGATGCTAAACAACTTGGGAATCCCCACCGTGTCTCTTCATTCTTCAATGATACAAAAACAGCGTCTAAGGTCTTTGGAACGTTTCAAGGCTAATTCTGAAAAGGCTATCAAAGAAAAGAAATCATCCGTGCTGATTGCATCGGACGTTGCTGCCAGAGGGTTAGATATTCCGGGCATTCACCACGTGGTACATTACCACATACCTCGAACAGCAGACACTTACATTCACCGCTCTGGAAGAACAGCGAGAGCTGGACGCGAAGGTGTCTCGATCATACTTTGCTCTCCGAATGAGGCTTCTGGTCCATTAAAGCAGCTCAGGAAGACAGTGGCTAATAAGGAAGTTGACGATCTAAAAACCTTACCGCTTGAAATGGACATTTTGGACCAGTTGCGTGAAAGACTCGAGTTGAGTGCTAAATTGGCGCAGGCAGAGCTCAGCAGTCAGATTGTGAACAAAGAGAAAACGTGGATCGAAAAAGCTGCTGACGATCTGGGAATCGAGGACCTGAGCGATCTCGAGGAGGATGATTTCCTGAAGAGAGATAGAAAGCGGAAGGAGGGCAAGCAGTTGACGAAACAGGACGCAAAAAGCTACAGAGCACAACTGAAACACCTGCTGAGCCAGCCTCTGAGAAAAGGTGGAAGACGATCGTATATTGCAGGAGGCCTAACTAATATTGCGGATATCCTTGCCAGAGGAGGAGACTCCAATATTTTGGGATACAATCAGAAGGATGCGCTACAGGTGTTGAAGAAAAAGAAGAAATAAAAGTGCATATAATAATCAATTACAACCCTGCATCATTAGTCACTATAGAATTCGTCCTCGTCGTCAGAAACTAGTTGTTCGAAATTGACCTTATATCTCAGCAATGCACCAATTCCACCAAAGCCCTTCACGAACTGCGCTCCTTCGGAAGATCTATCGGTCACAAATTCAAGCGTAGCACCGTAGTTCTTGTAGTTCTCAGCCAGCCACTCGAGGAATGGCATCTCGTCAACAATCTCCATCTCCTGGCCCGATTTATCAAACATGTAACTTTTGTCTTCCTGCGAAGGAGAAGCATGTGCAATAACCTCATTTCCCTCGGAGTCTTTGAGTGTGTACCTGACGGTGTCGAGACCTTCGTAGACAATGACAATTTCACATGCTCCCAGATCGAGTGCCTTGAGAGTATCCTCAATTCCGTAACAGAATTTACCAGTATCTTGCGAAATTTCGTCAAAGTACTGTGTGATCAGCTTCTTCTCCTGAACGAATTTGACGTTAGATAGAGTTTCAGCAGAAAGCTCGATTGCCTGATTGAACCCATTTTCTCCTCCGTAGGATATATCGACCAGTTTCAAGATCTTGGCTTGCAGTCTCTGGTCAAACATGTCGGATCTGCTCAGTTCAGTCTTGAAGTCCGCACTACCTGCCAAAATCAATCCGGCAACGTTTACCTTGTCTCCAGTAATGAAATTCTGAACAGCCACCTCGGCCACTTTTCTAACATAATTGTGTCTTTTTTCGTCTCTCAATCTCGAGAAACGCAATGCAGATTGACCACCTCTTCCGTGCTTCTTTGGAAGGTCGACTGTGAATTTGTGCAAAACTTCTCTGGTGTTACCACAGAGCGTACCAAACAAAGCTCCGTTACCGTCCATGACGATGAATCCGAATCTATCGTCACTCTCCAACAATTCAGAGAGCGCCTCGGTGTGGAACTTGTTGTCACACAAGTACAATGACGTATTGATCGGCTTGAAAGGCTCGAAACCGATGGTTAATTTTTTCTCTTTGCCTTGTTCAGTGATAACTTCACCGCAGTAGATAACCAGTCCGTTTTTAGGGACAGAGCTGTAGAGCTTCAATTTTTGCTGAGTCGACGTGATGGCAGAGAGCACAGAAAGTCTGTTGACACGCGATTTAATGTTGGAAGCCGTACCGTATTCATCGGTCAACATCTTTTGAATCATAGGGATTTGGCCCTTGGGAGGAATAATCAAAGAAATCATAGAAGTACCGTTACCTCTTGCTTTCTCAAGAGACTTGATCAGTTTCTTGACCTTCCACATTTGGACGTTCTTCTCGGCTTCATCTTCCGTGATTGCTGGCGCCATGTTGGAATAAAAAGTACGATACTAGTTTTGCTTAACGAAAATTTTTCATCTGCGTCGATCGTTTGGTAGATTTGAGCCAAACGCCATGGTAGGCATTGCGCGGCTCTTTGAAATGCAAGAAAAGACACATGATGGATAATTGGGTTCCTGGGCTGCCACTCTCCATCCCAACTGTTTCTGTGAATCGGTGCTTGCGTGCATCCCACATGGCTGCTCTGCGTCGATCGACCCTAAAAGCTTTGTTTCCTAAATCTTTTTTCATTAATGTCTGAACTTGCTCCTGCCCCTGTGTCTGCTTCTGAAGATAAAAAGCTTTCTAATAAGGAGCTCAAGGAGCTCAAAAAGAAAGAAAAGGCTGCGAAGCGTGCGGCTGCCAAAGGTGGCTCCTCCGGCGCTGAGGCTGCGTCGACGAAACAGAAAGAGTCAAAAGATTCTAATGGTAAACCTCCAACAGCCACACACATCAAAAAGCAGCTGCATTCCGCCAAAATCATTGAGTCCGAGCGTAAAGTTCCTACGATGTTTGGGCATCTGGAAACCAGAGAACAGCGTATTTCCTCATCTCCCCAGATAGCTAGTATCGTTCATCCGAGAATCATAGCACTCACGCTTAAAATCTCTACCTACAAAATCGTTGGTTCAACAGCCCGCTGCCAGGCAATGCTTGAGGCATTTAAGGACGTCATTTTATCTTATCAAACTCCAAACAACGCTTCGTTGCAGAGAAATCTCACGTCTCACCTGTCTCATCAAATTGAGTACTTGAAAACAGGTAGACCTCTCAGTATTTCGATGGGAAATGCAATCAGATGGCTCAAGCAGCGAATCTCCATAATACCAATTGACCTGAGCGATGAGTCTGCAAAGAAGCAGGTAATAGAAGAAATAGATCTCTACATCCAGGAAAAAATTCTGTACTCGGATAGGGTTATCACTCAATTTGCATCTACCCACATTCAGGACGGGTCAAAACTTCTTACATATGGACATTCGGAAGTGTTAAAGAAGCTGTTCAAGTACTGTGCTGTGGAGGAGAACAAATCCTTTGATATCTACATCATCGACTCAAAACCTTTATTCGAAGGTAAGAAACTGGCCAGAGAATTATCTGCTGTTCCAAATATCAAATGCCATTATAATCTTATCAACTCACTATCTACGATACTAGAAAGGTCTGATATTGACTTTTGTTTCTTGGGTGCTCACTCGATGCTCTCCAACGGCAGACTTTATTCACGCGTTGGAACTGCTATGATTGCGATGGCTTCTAAGAATAAGAACATTCCAGTGTTAGTGTGTTGCGAATCCATGAAGTTCAGCGATAAGGTTCAGTTGGATTCTGTAACTCTCAATGAGCTCGGTGATTCTGAAGATGTCATTAATACCAAACCATTCGTGAAAACGGGGTCCAACCTGAATCAATTTTTGATCTCCTTGGAGAACAAGGAACCGAAGAAGACACAGCAGCAAGGTACCAAAAAGGACAAAAAGGAACTTCAAATAGCAGAAAGTGAACCGCATGTGTTGAATAACTGGAAAGAGCTCAATCCCCTCAATATATTGAATGTTTTATACGATCTGACTCCTCCGGAATATATTCAGAAGGTCATTACCGAGCTTGGCGCACTACCACCATCCTCTGTGCCAGTCATTTTGAGAGAATATAAGACAAATGCATGATCATTGTGTAATAAATATTAATTGAGTCACTTTATCTGAACACTCTTCAGTTCTTCGTCCTCCCCTAGCTTCAACTTCTCCACGTATGTTTCTAGCTTCTTCCAATGCTGTTGCCTCAAATCCTTCTGGTTCTTCTCCTCCTTGGTTTGCTCCTCATATAATATACAACATCTATCATAAACGATCGGGTTAGTATCCATGAAAATCTTCAGAGCATTGTAGGCAAGGGATGAAATCGTACGATTCCAGTTGTTGGGTTCGTCGTAATTGAAGTCCATAGATGGTTGTTGTTGTTGTTGCTCGATAGCATCCAATTCTGGTTGAGCCAGATCAAATAAGGCAGGGAAGATGATGGGCAGAATATTCTCTGCATTTTCCGTAACAAGCGAAACGAAGTACTCGTTATTAAAATAACAGAGAACCTTTTCGCTGACCTGAAAGTGGGGCGATGATATGCATTTTGCTAGTTGAGCGAAAAGAGGGATTTCAATCCTCTGGAACTCCTGAGAATCGATTATTTCAAAAATGTCTTCGATTTCGTTCAGAAACATCAACTCCTTAGGCGAGTTAATCTTCGGCCAATAGCGTAACAATCCCATGATCACTTCCTCTGTCAAACTAGGGTCTTTCTCCAGAAACTGCAAAATACAATAAGCCAGCTGTGGGTGGTATAAAGACAAACACCTGGCCTTATGCAAAGGTATTAAAACTCTAATCAAAAAAACTTTGTGTTCTTCTTTTAATGGAAGCGCAAAACCATTGATGATAGAGCCTAAAATCTCCAGCAACTCAGATATTCCATTGAATCTGCCGGTCTCGTAAACAAAGTTGAGGAATATGTTGCTTATAGACTTTCTGATAAATGATCTGAGGCTCAGAAACTTTCCATAAATTCTGTGTAAGGTGGTCTTGAGGCAGTCTCTTTCTCTATTGTCCTCGCTATCAAACAACTCCAGTAAAGTGAGCACAAACTTGTGATCAATGTAAGGTTTAGCAACTGAGTTGTTGAAATCTGGACTTTCCACGAATCTAAGGAAGAACTCATACACCATCTGCATATGAGGCCACGCAAGTTCATACACGGGTTCGTCTTCGTCGGGGTCGTATATCTCTCCGACTGGGTTCACCGGAGGAGGGATAGGCCTAAAAATGTTCACTTTAAACATGTCGACAACATGTTCGTACATCTCTGGCGTGAATGTCATTCTCGTGGTACTTATGAAAGAGGTTAATTCGTGTAACGTAACTCTTTTCAATTCTTTGCCTTGAATATCGGAAGAAGGATCGTAGAAGTCAAACATAATCTTACACTGGTCTACTTTTTGAATGAAGAGTTCGACATGGTACTCTGGATCAACTTCATCAAAACTTGCCAACTTCTCAAAAGGTCGTTGATCATTGGTTGGCTCAAATCTCGAAGAGGAATGTCTTTGAGGAGTCTTAGGTTTCAAACCGATATCATCTTTCGGAATCTTGTCAAAAGCCAGGGAATGGTGCGAGGTATGCAATTTGGATATTTCTATGTCTGGCGATACAACATCATCGCCTCTAGTCGATCCAGAGGCCGTCACCGGTGTTGGGGTTTGTATCTGCGGAGCCTGGGATTGGAGGACAGACTTGCTGGATGATGTTGAAGATGGCGAACCTGCTAAAGAGTTGTCCACTGCTGGGTGTATCGACGACTGTTCTGAAGACCCGGATTGTGACTTTTTCACTGGAATTGCTCCTGTGCTGGAAGACGTGGAACTTGACAGTGAACTTGAGGACTTTTGTTTTTCCGGCTTCTTATTGATATCTTCCTTTTTATCCTTCTTTTTCTCTCCCTTGGAAGATCCGGCTTTAGACCTGAATCTTTGTTTGAATCCTTTCATCATTTTGAAAACCTGGTATATCGTAAATTGCGATTAAACAAGATGAGGCTTTTTGTTATATACAACCAAATAAGAGTAACTTCAAGCTGGAACCGGTTTAATGAGGGCAATTCTTACAAAAGATGCACTAATGGCCAGCCTCTTTGTGAAATGTGCTGAGGTTAATGACTGTGCCTTATTTATCTGAAACGAATCGCTCTTGTTAGATGTGGGAAAAAGAGAACAATTCGTTCACTCGCCACAAGTGGCCAGCAGTCAAAAAAAAACTACAAGAATCTATGCATCGCCACACGACATCAGTTATGTTGTATTAGCAACTCAATCTTCACTGTGCTCTACCTTGGCGTTGGACAGTTGGTTCTTGATGCTGAGATAGCAATTCCATACTATGCTAATGATGTTGACCGCCAACAAACGGTATCTAACGGGGGTGAACCAAAAGTTGAATGCCTGAAAGAGAGGCCAGACTTTCCAATTATTGATTAGCGTATCAAGGTAAACTTCGCGTAATTTAGCCTTGATTTCGGGGATTCCGTATCCCTCCATGAAAGTAATAGAAGTGTAATAAAGTGGAATACCAACTGGGGCCCAAACTAATTGATCAAACGAAACTCTTGCCATGGTATCGTATAGTCTTTTTGGCTGCCATGAGAGCGGGAACTTTATGGTATCCATGAACTTGTATAGCTTGTTTCCAATTGGAGCAAACACAAGACCCCCATATATGACTGCCCTTATAGTTCGAAGGTAGTCATATTCTGCTCTTCTCTCTAGGGGAAAACATATTTGGGCAAGTACATCACCGGTACCAAATAAGATCTGCTGTTAGTCGTGCTTAGAGTACGGTTTCTCTACTTACTCCTGTAGATATCATATTCGCCATTAATGGCCGCCGAGCAAAGAAGGTTTTGAATCCAGAGATCATATATGATTGCCTTAGGCAAAAATTTTCTTATCTGGCGAATTTAAATTATAGAGTTTTATTAAATGAGCATTAAAGCAACAATTACCTTAAGGTAAACTCACAAGTCTTAACGCCATGCTCATGTGACGCAAAAGAATCAAGCTTATAATGTGATGGGCTTTAGCTGAAAACACACTTCTTGTCTGTTTCTGCTATCTGAATAATTTCCTCATTTGGAATACAGCATATATATATTTGATTTAGGACAAAGCACGAAGTCGTAAAAAGTCAGACACCTATTCCACTGCGCTTCAAAACAGAAAGAGAATGTAAGCTTGATGAGCTAAACGCGCTTTTGAAGAACAAGTACACGGTATTGCGAATCCCCCCATCACTGGAGGTGTCTGTAACCGGTAGTGCTGAAAATCTGTGTTAAGCATACCCAGCTCACCTTCAAGGTCATACTGCATACCGTTCTGTAGCCTTAAGATAGTTTACCGTCCATGTATCATGGCTGTGTCTTGGAAGTCCTTTATTTCCCAGACTGTTTACGCTTCCTGATTAGTACATGACAAATTTCCTTTTTGAGAAAAATAAGATGGGAGAAAACTTGATTTTTTTGCGATCTTTCAATGTCAATTGCAAGAATGAACCACTTGCTACGTTCGTGGCACACTACAGGAATTCCTTTTACTAAATAGAACGGTAATCGAATGGCTGTTTCCTGTAAATAAGCAGTTCGGGCCCATTTTCTGGTCGTGCACTTAGCCCCAAAAAAGAGTTAGAGTAATAGGATGGCAGCCAGGGGATATCCGTCCTCAAGCTGCCAGGGAGTCTACAAGGTCAGATTGTACACCTAAGAGTCTGACGTATCTGTGTAGTCTTGACGAAAAATCGTGATACCCGGAATCATCTAGCAACTTGCCCGATTTAGGCCATTTTACTGAGCAAACATGGTCGATTCTAAAATTCCCAGAACGGCAATGTCGCCAGCTATTTAAAGACTTAAATTTCAGCATAAGAAAAAAAAGCTGCCTAGCTAAAGTATTTTCGAACATGCACAGAACCTACTCTCTGAGATCGAGCAGGGCTCCAACAGCCTCTGACTTGCAAAATCCAATCCCTGTTCCACCATCCACCACCAAGACCAACAGATTTTTTGGTAAGGGTTCCATTACCAATACCATCAGAAGATCTACTGCTGGTTCGTTTGGTCCTGAACTCGCCAAAAAACTTGCCCAGCTTGTCAAAATGGAGAAAAATGTCATGAGAGCCATTGAATTATCTTCCAAGGAGAGAAAATCTGCCGCCAAGCAGCTTTCCCTTTGGGGTGCTGATAACGAGGACGACGTCAGTGATATCACTGACAAATTGGGTGTCCTGATTTATGAAATTGGTGAATTGGATGACCAATTCATTGACAGATACGATCAATATAGAATTACCCTCAAAAGCATCAGAGACATTGAAGGCTCTGTTCAGCCATCGAGAGACCGGAAACAAAAGATCACTGACCAAATTGCCTATCTGAAATACAAAGATCCACAGTCCCCAAAGATTGTGATCTTGGAACAGGAATTAGTGAGAGCCGAGGCAGAATCGCTTGTTGCTGAGGCACAACTTTCCAATATCACCAGAGAGAAATTGAAGGCTTCCTTTTCGTACCACTTCGACTCAATCAGAGAACACTCCGAGAAATTGGCTCTGATTGCTGGATACGGTAAAGCTCTTCTGGAATTGCTTGACGACTCTCCAGTGACCCCAGGTGAGACCAGACCATCTTACGACGGTTACGAAGCATCCAAGCAAATCATTATTGATTGCGAAAATGCCCTTGCTTCATGGACTTACGAGACCGCCCAAGTGAAGCCAACTTTGAGCTTCAAGGCTACTGATGGCGAGATATACGATGACGATTTGGCCGAGGATGTTCAAAACATGCACGTGACTGAGCAAGAATGGGCCGAGCCTGAAAAGCAGGCCGCCTAGGTAAGTTTGTGTGGGATTTATTTCTGTCTGTATTGCTAAAATGATTTTGAAGCGTGCTAATTGATTTGTTCATTTCGTAGTTGCGTGAACGTAGATGCTAAGGGGAATAGGAATGATCTGAGGGTTTCGGTACTTGATTATTGACGATTTGCTATCTTCCTCTTCAGCCAATAATGGATCAGCCATTTCCTCCCTTTTGAACACGGCATCTTTGATTAGAAGCCAGGGTTGGCTCAGATTATGCCCCAAAACCTCGTACCGCAAATATTGACGCAGCTCTTCGATCTCTCCAACTGTGATTTCCAGATAACATTCCCAATCGTCAGTTGTCAGTGGAATGCGACACTTGCCACTGCTGGTAGGTTTAGATATGGACCTTATGTGATCTGGTGAATACTCAAGTAATATAGACAGAAGAATGGGTTTGATATCCTGATATAGTCTTCGGAGGTCTTTGTTTGATAAAGTAATCCGCATTACTCTCGAGAGGTTGAGAGTTGTCTGGTGCATGGTGAGTTTACTGATGTTCTTCTGTATCTCCTTGCGATTCACATAAGTTTTAATAGGCACCGCCATTCGCGGGCTCAAATTTATGTACGATGTTATTGGTGCCATAATAGAGACATAAAATTAAATTTATGAATTAATTCAGCATGTCTAGTGATGGATTTACGTCCATAATATCCATGTTTTACGCCGTTTTTCATCCCACAGAGGGAACGAAGGTTGTCTGTCAGGTTCCTAGTGGCTCAATTGTGCCTGCAGATAAAAGCAAAGACTCGTCCACGTTGGCCGTTCCCTTGTTCGATTTTGATTCTATCAAAAACTACGTGATCCCTAAACCAGCACTCTGCAACAAATTAGTGACTTTCAAAATTAGCAGTTACCGTGTGGTGGGTTTTCCTGTCAACATATATGCGTCTCATTACGCTCGAAACTCTTTCAGCTTCAACCTGTGTTTTGTTTTTAAATACGAAGATGATACCACCCCCTATGAAGGACATGTCAAAAGATTAGGACGGATGTTCCGCGCGCTGGAGGAACAATCGCAAATGTTGTCCAAGGCAGATAAGAACCATGAAGACTTCTTCAAGCCTCAAAAGGATCTGGAGCCCAAGACCTGGTCCCAGACTTCGAATTATATTCGAATAATACAAGATGAAGATGTCGGCGACGAAGTGACATTCCCCAATCAAAATATAAAGCATTCTGAGTCCAGCGATCCAATACTTGCATCTATTGAAAGTCTAGTCCAGCAAATCTACCAGGACTTGAATAACTACTCTGAATGCCTCATTCCTATAGACTCTGCGAACTCTGTGGACATCAAGCTGTTCCCCATTTTGCCCCCGCCTCCAGAACTGAATGCCTACGATGTTCCTATAGCGACAGTGAAACTAGAAACAATGGTGGATCCGCTCTGGGACCCGACGATGGTGAGAATCCTACCTTTTATCAATGGTGTCAACTCTATAAAAAAAATTAGCATTCTAGCAGATGCAGATTACGAACTAACAAAGCAGTGTATTCAGCACCTGATCCACTTCAGGTCCGTTGCAGTTCTAGATGTATTTCAATTTTCCAACTGTTACGCTCCCACTTCGGAGATATGCAACTTCTTGCGCGATCCAATGATGGCTTCTGAATGTCAAGGATACGTAATTTCATCCACAGGAACATTTGACAACTTGCCTCTCCAGAGAGGTCATGATGTAGCATCAAATGCAGACATGGAAAACTCTAGCACACATTCTTCTTTATTGGGGAATGAAAGGTCACAGATGCACGAGAGTCAGTCTTTTTCTCCCAAAACCAACTCTTACCCAAATCATAAGTCTGCTCAAAAGACTACATTCGTTCCCTTGCCATCCAAGGCGACTCTGTTTTTTCTTTATCGATCGATGAATCAAAATCTCACTCTGCGTCAATGGTATTCAGAGAATAGCAAGCTCCTGACTCATATCGATATCAGGAGGTTCGTTACCTTTGGCGTCCTAAGGGGAATTATTTACAGAGTGCGAACTTATCCTGTGTCCAGCAAATTTTCGACATCCATAGACTTGGACACAACATATACAAATTACAATGACGGTGCACACCCCAAGAAACCCAATTATAATGTATCTGTGCTGCCTGTCACTAACAACATTGGAAAAGTCAGCAACGGTCTTGATAATGACGATAAGCTGATCGAAGCAGCAGAGAGCAATGACAAGTTTTTGGATCTGACAGGCCTCAAATCAGAGCGTCTTAAGAAGCAACAAGAAATGAAACTTTCTCGCTTGCTGAAGAAATGCCGGGATTTCGATATGATATGCACGGATATGAACATTCCCAAAAAAGAGGTTGTCGAAATCCTTACGAGGATGGGTGATTGGAGCGTTATTAATTCGTAAGTAAGTACATTATAAGCGGTCAATGTCTTCATCCACTTTTGTTTTGTACAACTCACGAAGTTTTTGGTCTCTCTCGTAGCAGGCTATTCTAATCTTCATAAGTGTATCTTCTACAAGTTCCGATTTCTGAATCGTAGCTCCACACTCAGGGCAATCGGTCGAGTTGTAATTAGCAAGTGAAGCTTTATCATATGTATGTCCACATTTCTTGTTCTTAACAGGATTCTTCATTATCAAGCGGGAGATTGGACAAGTCAAATTCACTTTACCACCACCTACTTCTATTTCATCGTCATCCTCTTGATCATTAAAAGGTATAGGCTCGGTTGGATTGATGGCCACGAAAAGTTTCTTATCAATCTCAGTTGTTTCAGTCTTCACAAGCAGTTCATTGGCAGAAGCTGACTCAGTCACATTCGCAGACAAAACTTCTTGGTACAGATCGTGCACTTGTGACGGTATGTCTTCCATATGTGCATAACGTTCAAGGTCTTCTAGGCTCAGCTCCAGATCACGGCGGTCTAGTATTTCTGTACGTGCTTTTTGGAAGGCAGCGAGATAGGTGGCCTGGCGTCTTCGAGTTTGATTCAACTTTTCTAAAACACGCTTACCTCGCAACAGAACGGGATCTTCTTTGTATTTTAATTTCTTGGTTTTCTCATAGGCCTCCGCTGCTATGTTACCCTTTGAGACCTGCTCAATTCCTTGCTGTGCCTGGTTATCAATATATTCGAAAAGTGTTTCCATCAATGCGCTGCGTGTCTCCTTAATGACTGAATCTATCGTCTTAGCAGGATTTAGCTGACGCAATTCAGATTTGAACTTTTTGGTCAATGGGTAGTAAGCTGGTAATTGGAAAAGTCCTTCAGGAGATTCGGAAGGAGAGTTTTGTCGTAATTCATTTCCTTGCTCTCTTTTCATTGAAAGTAAAAAAAAAACTTGAACAACAATATCTATATTTTTTCCAGTAATGTCTCAGGAGTCGGAGTCGGCAGCTCATGTAACTGCTTTGCAGAAGATAGTCACTCTGCAGCACATCCATTCCCTATACCTTGCAGCTCAGCAGTCTCAACCTCCTCGCAAAGATATCTCATTTAATATTTTACAGCTTCAAGCGATGATAAACAATAATCCATTGATAAACCCAGATTTTGACATCTTGAACATTAAAGGGTCTTTGGACGCAATGAAACAAAAGAGACAAAATGGAGAAGCATTCCAAGACATTCTAACTCCTGGACAAATCGTGCAAGTGATATCAGAGAGTCTTTCTGTGGATAGTGTCAGTGAACAAGTGATATCTCAAATCCCCAAAAGTACAATATTTCGTCTTTCGAACAAGATTGACATTTCATTGGTGAAAGACAGATTGATAAAGATACTGAATAGCTACAAAAACTCCACCCTGGAGGAAATCACGAGCTTGGAGTTGAAATATAAGAACAAAAAAAAGGAGATAGAGCAGATTGAAACCGGGAGGATCGAAGATTTAAAGCTCATTGGTGAGTTTTCTCAAGAGTCTGTGATTGAAAAATCGAAAGATGCTCTTGAGGAGGCTGAAGACGCGCAGGAAGCCAGTCAGCAGGAACTTGTCAATATCGTGAAGGAAAAACTTGAGTCAGACGGGGGTAAGGAAATCACAAAGGTTCTTCAAGATCTTTCGGATAACCAGAAGAAGGACGGTAAAATTGTTTTGGATGAAGAACAGCTAGAAAAGACTTTAGAAATGGCCAAAGGTGATGCACTAGGAGCAGAAGAAAAAGTGGGTGATAATGATGACGCAGACAAAGAGATGGATGAAGGGGGCGAGCCCGAGGCCGAATCATCGGCCCAATTCCACTCAGTCGCTCATTTGAAAGAAAATAAGAGTGAGCCACTGGACACCCCCTCCGAACCTCAGGAAGAGCCAGTGCCCAATGCCATATTGAGTGCTGACTCCGAACCCCAAACGAAACTGGAATCCAAGTCGGCTTCCAAAGAAATACCATCGCCAACTCCAGAACCTGCTACGCCCGCAACACCGGCAATTGGAGAAGAAGAACTTGGGAGCAAGCGTCGCGGATCAGATAGCGTGCCTCCTGGTTGTACCAAGCGCTTCAATGCTCTTTCTGCACAATTTCTTACACAGATATCATCCAACCGGTTTGCCTCAATGTTCATGCAACCAGTGAATGAAAACGAAGAGCCCAATTACTACAAGCTAATACGGCATCCTGTGGACATTAAAAGTTTGGGTAAAGCTATTCGGACGGGTGAAATTAAAACATTCGACGAGTTAGAATTTGAGCTTCAACTGATGTTCAGCAACGCAATTATGTACAACGATATGCATCAGACAGAAACTTACAAATGGACGATTGAAATGATGGAAGAAGCGCAGAACTTGTTGAGCCTTTTCCGTGAATCATCCAGCAATTGAAGGCGTTCAATTGCCGCCTCTCATCTGGTTCATCAACATCTGGTTCTGTTCCTGGAATCTTGAACCGACTCTTTCAGAGTGCTTGAGAAACTTTTCAGCGCATTTGTTCAAGCATGATTCTTCTCTAGAGCTAAGCTTGTTGGAGGTGAAATCGTTGACGCAGTCATTGAAACATCTGTCCACCAGGCTGGTGTAGAGCTGCAAAGTTAGTTCTCAGAGGGGTTAACTTACTCTCATGAAGTCGTTCATTTGCTTTTGCTCCACAATTTTCTGGAACTCTTGTTGTTCTTTATAGTTAAGTTGATCCATGGTGTATAATAAGAAATAATTGTTCAACTATTTATCGAAAAATTTTCAATATTTTCAAATATATCCATCCCTAAATATAATCAATATGTACAAAACATATGGAGAAAGGGCAAAGGTTCACCCATCGAAGGTGGCCAGTAGACTACTTAACTTAATGGAGGCCAAGCAGACTAATCTGTGCGCTTCAGTGGATGTGACTGAAACTAAGGAGTTATTGGAGCTTATAGATAAATTGGGCCCTTACATCTGCCTTGTCAAAACGCACATCGACATAGTAGAGGACTTTTCTTATGAACGCACTATTATACCTTTACAAGGACTTGCAAAGAAACACAACTTCATGATCTTCGAGGACAGAAAGTTTGCTGATATAGGAAACACGGTCAAGCTACAGTATAAGGGTGGAATTTATCGAACAGCCAAATGGGCCGATATCACAAATGCACACGGAGTGACTGGCGCAGGAATTGTTGCAGGTCTTAAGCAGGCTGCAGAGGAAAGCACAAATGAACCCCGTGGGATTTTGATGCTTGCTGAGCTCTCCTCGAAAGGATCTTTAGCTTGCGGTGAGTATACTCAAAAAACTGTGGAGATTGCGAAAAGCGATAAAGAATTTGTCATTGGATTCATTGCACAGAGATACATGGGAGGCCACGAAGAAGGCTATGACTGGCTGATTATGACTCCTGGAGTCGGCTTAGACGATAAAGGTGATTCTCTGGGCCAACAGTACAGGACTGTCGATGAAGTGATAGAAACAGGAACAGATGTCATTATCGTTGGAAGAGGCTTGTTTGGTCAGGGAAGAGATCCTGTAGTGGAAGGGGAAAGATACAGAAAAGCTGGATGGGAAGCTTACAAGCGGCGCAGTGCCTAACTGCATTGTCTTTCTATATACATCATCAAAATTGGCTTTCGCTAAAATGCTGACGGGATATTTCAAAAACAAAAAGCCCAACAGATGTCGCAGGGATACTAGTGAAGGATGATCGAAAAAAGCCTCTATAGCAGAAGCCAAAGAGAGAAAGGTGGGATTTTCGCCATCGTTGTAGAATAATATCGAATGTTTCAATGTAAGAGTTATAGTATAGTTTAAAAAAGCGACGCCGATTCAATTGATGTGCTTCATTGTAGAGATCTAAAGACTCTAGTCTAGTCAGGTGGACCTTTTGAATTTTATTGAGTGGGTATTGGATTGCCAGCAGTGTAGTTGCGGCAGATGCTCCGGCAAGAAGGATAAACGTTAAATTTAAAGCTCTGAAAAATCTATGATTCTTTTCCCGGTTTTCTTCACTATGGAAAAGTCTTGAACGCCAATATTGATACCGCTGTATAACTGCTTCTGTCTTGTGGAACCCCTGGTTTTTCACAAGCTCGAATACTGAAAAGTAAAATGCGAATCCAAGGCTTTCCTTTACAAAGTTTAAGCTAAAACCTGCAAATATTCCAACCAGGCCAATCTGTTTTAGTTTGTACAATCCATACTCCCACATGCTCTTCTGTTTACCGCTTACGAGCTCCGAGTAATTTGACCGGGCGTAAAGCGCATCTATCGGTGATGCAGCCACGCTAGCAGCAGCCCCCGCAATAAAACCGGCTTTGAAGGTGTCAACAGGGCTAGGATCATCAATGGAGTTCAGATTTCTCTTATTGAAGCGTTGTAATAATGTGAGATAAGTCGAATAAAGTATCACCCCGATTGCGCTGTTTGCCACTATTGGAGGAAGCACTTGCCGTGGAATAAAATTCCATCCTTCTTTCTTGATTGATTGGTATAAAAGAGCTACTCCTGAATGGGTTCGTAAGCTCCAAGGTTTGGACGCAAGCTCTCCATGCATCAATGCTCTTGCTGTTGTGAGGTAGTCGAATCGAGAAGGCCTGAATAGTTTTGCAGGGTTTCTCATATACAAAGACGTTATTTGGTAAATAACGGCTCTGATACCTGCTGAAGAAGCAGAGACAACTTGTGTATTTCTTTGAGATAGCTGCTGTGCTGTATAGCTTGCCTCATCCTTTATCGGAGCTGAGTTACCATCAATAGGCCAATCGGGCTCCTTCGCTCGCTCCATAAAAAGGGAAAAAATTAGCTTTTTCTTTGAGATCCAGGAGCACAGCCAAATGGAATTTTTTAGTCGCCGAGCAGCAGCACTCTGAAAGTCTCTTTACTAATGACAATATATAGTTTTAGAATTAGAATTAAAGTTATTTGCCTATTTGAATCTTGGCAGCGTGGTCCTTATTCTTTTCGACAACCTGTTGACAGACCTTTCAGTTGTCTAGTCTATTCTTGTGTACTGCTTTTGAGGTTCTCTTTCCCATCTGTATCCTCCGCTTCCCTTATTCCGTCGATCATCTGCTTCAAGGATTTATCAATTTGTAGCTTCTCTAAATTTTCCAAAGACACTTGCTCTTTCTTAACAAGTAACATATTTTTCAGAAATTCAAGCACCTCATCCTTAAAGTTCTGACGATGACGATTTTTGACAATGAACTTAGAAGAAATAGCCAGAACTTTACTGATGACCGCATTAACGTCTGTGAATTTGTAGATTAGGATCACCTTGCAAGTTAAATTGAGCACATCGTGTTGTGTTTTGATCATTCCCTCTGCATCTGTGCCTTCCACATCTGGCTTTAGCAACTCAAGTAACAAACGTATACAACCCGCATCCAAGACCAACTCAGGAGAGAGAGAATCCAGCGGTAAATCGGAAGAAATAAGCAATGTTGTCAGTGCTTTCAAAGCGTGAGATCTCAGCTCTCTGCATGGGTTGTAGCACTGATGAGCAATCGCTTCAATCAAAGGATACCAAATAGATGAACTATCGGTATCATTCGGGACTGTGGATCTAAAGTCGCTTGAATCGAACAGCTTTGTTAATCCTAAGGTCAACGTGATTGACTTTGTAGCCGTTGCCACCAACTCCTGGAATGGATTTTTGTTTTTCTCTACCTTATGGCCACTTGCAATGAGTTTATCATATTCTTGCTCCCATTGTGCTCCATACGCGCCAACTGCCGAAATTTCGTCAAGCAGACCCAAAACATCCATATAATTTTGATATGTGATTATCTCAGGGAGGGTTTCCACAAGATTGCGCATGAACTGATAAACGAGCTCCGTATTTTTTGGGGAAGAAGCAAATATGCGGATCAGAGACCAGTACTTGCTATTCCTTGCCAAAATTTTTTGACACCATGTGCCTTTCACTAGAATCAACATTTGTAGCGGATGCAGAATTACTGATCCGTACTTCATCAGAGCGTCTCGATTTTTGTCAGCAATATCATAGAACTTGTCAATAGTACTATTGAGAAGATCGACATTCGAGTCGTCTCCGTTGTGCAACAACAGAAGTTTGTAAGCATTCACCCTGACTAGGCAGCCCATCCTAAAGTCTTCTGCGGGACTGAAAATCTCGTCACATAGATTCAGTATTTCAACGACAAGCTTCGAGTCTCCAGTCAATAACAGATAGCAAACACAAATCTCCAGAATAAATAGAGTCTCGGGTATGAAAAGCCGAGGATCGGTCTTTTCTTTCTTTGGAATTGATTTCAGCAAAATTGATACCAGAGCATTAATATTTTCAGGTGACGTTTTGCTAACGCTTCTGAACAGAGAACTGATGTTGCTTGTCTTAATACACTCCATGGCTGAAAGAGTACACTCAATCTCTTCGTCTGTAGGTTCGGGAGTATCATCAGAAAGGCCTTTCAGGTAAGAAGAGAAAGTGGAAAATAAACCGTTGTCTTTCAGGGCCTTAGTGCGACTAAATTGAAATTCTGGTTTTGGTTTTGACAGTTTACCCAAACCAATCCTTTTCTGGAATTCAGGAAACAGATTTGGCTCAATCAGTCCGTTCTCGAAAAGAGTTAATACAATTTTCACAAGAAAATCCCAGTGCTTTGACACTCTAAAATTGGATTTCTTCAAAATGCGGAAAAGCACAAGGGTGCTCAATTGAGCACGAAAATCTCGTCCAAAGAGAACCGATAAATAACTGACAGTGATTGTCTCATTTTCTTTTTCAAGCCTGAGCTCAGTGATAGGAAGAGATTCTCTGGATTCCAAAGCAAACTCAGAAGGTTTGACGCCGGTAAGAGTTGTCAAATGTGCAACAATTTCAATAATGTGATCAACTAAGTCCCTCATATCAAAGTATGACGCAATTGCAGCACATTTTTCGACGGTTGAGATCATTCTTGTAACAACGCTGTCATGAGTAGCATCATCAAACATTGTGACCAGTGTGCTGACGATATATTTGCTTGTCTTTTCAAACAATACCTTGTCGAATTGGAGAGAATCTTCTAAGTTATCATCTTCCCGAACAATGACGTCGTCACTTAGCATCTTGGTAGCCTGCTCCGCAATGAGAGAATGCCAGACAGTTTCATACCATTTTGAAGTCCCCCGATGCTCTTCCGGCATGATGATTTCTTTTTCTCTAATGGAGTGATAGATTTTTTCAGTATACCATTCGGGAAAATCTTTTCCCTTGTAGCACCCTCTGAGGTTGCGTTGATAATCTTCCAGAGTCATTGGCTTTTTCACATTTGGGTTATGAAGATCTGTGTTCAGCATGATGATTGAGAAAGAAAGGACCAACAGCGAGTCCTGGTCTGGGGTGACTTTCTCGTCGCCATCTTCTGCAGTTGGTGATATAGCTTCCGAATCCTGACATGCAATGTATCTTTCGTTGAACGCTTCAATAATTCTTTCAATTTGCTGTGCTTCTCCTGGCAATCTAAAATTGTTCAACAACATTCTCAGCGCCTCATCTGGTCTTAAGTTTCGGAAATCAAGTAATTTGACGAATTCCTTCAGCAGCTCAGTATTCGAGGGCTTGGCTAGCAGTTCGCCCAGCTTCTTTTTGTCAATTCTTCCGGATTTCTCAAAAAGGAATCTGGAGACCTCGCTCACATCATTTATATCATGAATGAATCCTTTTTCCTGAAGCATCTCAAGTCCCTTTTGCGGCTTTTCGTTCCACTTTTTGGTACATTCAATAAAGTCAGATTTCTTAATTTGTTGCAGAACCAGTTGGTTTGGTTGAAGTTTTTCAAACTCAATGTTAGCTTTGGAAGCTGTTCTGGTGCGCTCGTAGACACCGTCCACAAACGAAACAACACCTTCCATACAGATGGAAGGTACATTGGAAGTAGTAAACAGCGTGACTTCAGATGCCGACAACCGACAGAGTAATTTCAGCAGCGATTCTGCCATGTCAGATCTATCAAAGTCGCAATCATATGACTGGAATAATGAATTGAAGAATAAAGGTGAGCGTACCCATAATACACTCAAAGTTTCCGCCAATATCTCTTTGATCACGGGGAGTTTTCCTGTATGAAATTCAGCTCCAAGTTCCTCGATCTCTTTTGCACTCAATGGTTCGACCTCGAAAGTTCCTTTTTGTCCCATTTCAAAGATCCTCTCAACATTTCTATCCAAATCATTGACCAACATCTTCGAATCGGCCACCATACATTGAAATATTGTAGTCATAAGAAGTTCAATCTGTATCTTCAGATAATGGTTCATAGTGAGAGTCAAATTCAGGAAGAGCTTCATTGCGAGAGTAAGCAAGTAGGGAGAGTCCGCAGTTTGAACGAGCTGTACCAGATGATGACAAGCTCTATCCGAGATTAATTGGAAAAGAGAAGGATGATGGACTATGACACCACCAGAGACCTCCACAATGGTGTTAAGTATGTTCAGTGCCAACACCCTAGAACTTTCGGTAAATCTGAACTGATTATCTGGGGATAATATTTCAATCGTGTGGTTCATATATTCCTTCATACAAGGAATTCCAAATGGAAGTTGATCATCATCGGCAATCGGAAGATTTGTTTTTCCCGCGGTTGAATAACTTTGATCGTCGCCATAACTTTTATGATCTTGAGAACCATCATGATCTAACTGTGCACTAGAGTTGCTGCTCTCCTGGCTATTTCTGACTTGTATTCCAGTCTCAGCCAGTTCGTCTGCACTCACTTTATCCTTGACAGCGCAATCATGACTTTCACCATACTCGGTACCTCCTATGATATCGTTAGGTAGTTCTCCAGTTTCTGTCGTGGCAGTTAGTTCAACCTCAGTTGTTTTGACATTGTGGTCAATCCCAGAATCGATTTGGATGTATCTCAATTTGGTGAATATTTTCTCGGTTATACCAATAAGAGAGGTCTCTGCGGCGCTTCTGAGGATTTCACGTCTCCTGGTATTAATTGCTAAGGAAAAACATGTCGAAACAGATTCATACATTGAGTCATCGGTTAGGAGGTCACCCAGATTAGACGTAACTATCAACTCCAATAGCTGAATTATCTTGATCAGCAAAATGTCATCTTGTGTTTGGTCGGACCCCTCAAAACGACAGTGTGACAGCGCGGAAACTATTTGACCCAAGCATTGAAAAATGTTCGCACAATTCTCGTTCACAATTCCATACCTGACAAACTTAGACAAAGAACTTACCGCAATGTCCGTTATGTAGCCAGATGTGATAGGTGATTTGATCAGAAGAAGGAACGGTTGGAGGAGTGTCAACATATCAATGTCATTGATTGTTTTCAGTTCGCTCAGCATAGATCGCAACTCGATGAATCCACTTAGAAAGTGATCATCCTCTTTGATCTTGTTTCCAGACTTCAAAAAGGCTGAGAGACGTGTTGATCCCTCGTCCTCACCATATGGTGTACTCTCTTTGCCAAATTGTGTCCCAAGAAGTGTAGATAATGGCCCACTGGATGCCGACTTTGTGGACTTCCTCATAACAGAAGTAATGAATGTACATTCTTCAATTGCTAAAGAGAGCGGATCAACCGTCGAAAGTCGCTTGTCACTCATGATACGTGATTTAACGCGAATCAGTGTCTTAATTTGCCTTAATAATTGAATTTACAATTGATCGCCGCACAACAGTATTGTAACTCAGTCTATAGGAGGAATCGAGTCGTTCTCAAATGGTAGCAGTACTTTGGATGCTTGTACATTCGATTCGTTCAACGCTATTTGATTCTATCTAACACTTCTGTTTTTCTTCGTAAAGTCCACGCTAATTTAGAAAAAATGTGATCGGTTAGGAGCACCGAAACGAGACGATAAGACGCAATACCTTTAAATAACCCTATTGCTATAAGACCTGTATGTTTTCCAAGCAAGCCTCCAGTCTTTGATACTGAGGTTAGGATTTCGGATTTCAAAATCGTACTTTTCAAGTTTCTCGAGAAAGCAAATTGTGGGGAGCCCATTCATCATCGGGAGGAACATAGCATCGGGAACTCCATGGTTCAACTGCTCCCATCCTAGTTTTAGTTCCAGGCTCCCTTCCTTGTCAACCAAATCATGTATTTCACCTTTGAGATCGTTGAACTTTGTTCGAGCAGTCAACAAATGATCATTAGCAACAGTAGCAACGTCGAATACAATTTCTCTTACTTCTTCGTCTATCTCTTGGTCTGGGTCTTCAGACTGTAAATATCTAAGTACGTCCTCCTGTGATATATTACGTTTTGCAATTGACTCAAGAGGTAGTAGGACTTGAGATCTTGAAGTTGCATAATATCTGGATCCAAGCAAAAATGACGCAATGGCTGTAGATTGTCCAATATGAGCATAAATGTCATTCAAAAGAATTTCTACCCTTTCTCTCCCACTACAGTCCATTAGTTCCAAAGAAAATCTTGAAGTTTCAGGGAATTTTGGAGAAAATAGAGCATCTCGAAGAGCATAGTTCATTTGTGAAAATATTCCTTCACCAAATGAACAAATTGAGTATGTGTCTTTGAAGCCTCGAACTCCCTCATCTGTACAAAAGTGCTGGTAGCTGGCAATCATTTGACGTAAGTTTTCAAAATTTACTCTAATTCCCTTTCTAAGACATTCTCTCGCTAATGTAACAACTGGTTCCCCCATATTTCTTGGAAGAATACTATTGGAGGAGTCTGAAATATCCATATCCCGCTCACAACGATCAAGTTGTTCCTGCCAGAATCCAAATTTCAATTTGGTAAACTGGTAGCTTTCAATACTCGAGCCCAGTGCGATCTTTGCTAGGTTCGAATTGAAAGCTTTTACTACAAGAAATATGTCTTGAAACTCCTTGGGGTAGAATTTGGAGAGGAGATACGAGGAAACATCATGTTTTTGTAGCAAATCCATGCAATCATTCCTGGCTCTACTGAGTTTCTCTTCGTGCCAGAATATTCCGTGATCTTGTTTTGAATATCCGAGATTCGATAGGTGTCTTTTAATATAACCCACTGTTGGTCTATCCAGAACTCTTGAGGAGACTAACATGAGCCGAGCTAAGGATGGATGGTCAACTATCAAAAATTCCAATCCCCACATTTCGCATTTCGAAGTAAGCAATGCAAAGGTGTTTATGCCGAAAGTTTACCAAAAATCGGATAATCCAATATGATTATTTTTAAGTACAATGAAGACTTTTGCGTATCTTGACATTCGCATAGGAACCTGGGATGTTGGACGGATAGTCATTGAGCTTGACTTTGAGAGTGCTCCAAAAGCTTCTGAGAATTTTTTGCGACTATGCGAGAATAAATCTTACAAAGATACCTGCTTCCACAGAGTAATCAAGAATTTCATGATTCAGGGCGGAGATACAGATCACAAGATAACCCAGCTAGAAGAATATCCTCCCGATAGTTTAGGGACAGGTGGAACATCAATCAACACAGCAGATTTCTATGAAGCTGAAAATTTAAAGGCCATAGACGAACCGTTTTTAGTTTGTATGTCGAATAAGGGCGCTGTCAATTCTACTAGCTCACAATTTTTCATCAACACATTAGCAGCTCCTCACTTGACAGGGAAATACACAGTTTTTGGGAAAGTAAGGAATGGAAAGTCAGTTGTCAGAGAAATTGAAAGAGTATCCGTCATGGGTAGCAAACATGGCGATTCACAATCTTGGTTACCAGTCAAAGAAGAAATGGTTCTCATTGTCGATTGTGGAAAGTGGGACCATGGGGATCCTGTTCCGTGCTATAATGCATGCTATGACTCTCTTGGAGGAGACATTTATGAAGAGTATCCTGATGACAATGAAATCGAGGCTTTTGATCTGGACAATCCTGAAATAACCTACAAGATTAGCACAGTCATAAAAGAATCGGCATCATTACTATTAAAGCAAAAGAGATTGCGAGATGCTTTCCTCAAATATAAGAAGGCTTTGCGGTATTGTAATGAGCTGATTCCGGATCCAGATTCAAACCCTGAATATCATGAGAGATTTCTAAATCTTAAAAAAACGATATACCTCAATCTGGCATTGGTGGCACTTCAAATGAACGACTATCAGACTACAATAGACTATTGTGGGTACCTATTAGAAATTGATAAAGATGTCCCAATGACACAAACGCAAACATCAAAGACATTGTATCGCTTAGGTATGGCCTATCGAGGGCTCAAGAATTTTGAAGCTGCTTTGGAATTTCTCCAAAAAGCAAGTATACTGTGTCCCAATGATCAGGGGATAAAGAGCGAGCTGTGCATGCTTCAAAAGCTTGTAGAAGACGAGAAGAAAAGTAAGAGACAAAAGTTTGCCAAATTTTTCAGCTAGATATTTATACATCTTTTTAATATAGTGTAGATTTTGCTGTACGACGATGACGATTGAAAATTCGCGAATAATATATATAATTGTTTTCAACTTCAACAAGTCAATTTTTCTGATGACCGATATTGCATCTGTATCACAATTATTGGCACAGTCGTTGTCACCGTCTACCGCAAAACTTGCGGAGAAAAGTTTAAGAAGCGTTGAAGATCAACAGGGGTTTCCGTCCACACTTTTACACGTAGTGGCGGCCAATGATCTAAGTTCTTCTGTGAGGTTGGCAGGTTCATTGTACTTCAAAAACTTGATTAAGAGGAAATGGATCGATGAGACAGGTGTGTATCGGCTTCATCCAGAGGACGTGAAGATGATTAAAGCAGAGATCATCTCACTTATGATTCAGTTGCCTGATTCTCTTCAAATCCAAATTGGCGAGGCAGTCTCCCTCATTGCAGAATCGGAATTTCCTGAATTGTGGCCGGACCTCATAGAGGAACTTGTGAAAAAATTGTCTCCGGACGACATGCACACTAATAAGGGGGTTTTGAAAGTTGCTCATTCAATTTTCAAAAGATGGAGACCTCTCTTTGGCTCCAATGAGCTCTATATTGAAATCAATCTTGTGCTCTCACATTTTGCCCAACCATTTTTGGAGCTCCTAAAGATGGTCGATCAACTTATCGATCAAAATATCTCAAACAAAGAGAATCTTAAACTTTTGCTTGATAACATGTTGTTGTTGGTTAAAATTTATTACGATCTGAATTGTCAGGATATTCCAGAGTTCTTCGAAGATCATCTACAGGAAGGTATGGCAGTTATACACAAATACTTGAAATATTCAAACCCATTACTTGAAGACCCCAATGAAGCAGAACAGATAGATATTGTTACTCAAGTGAAAACAAGCTGTTGCGAGCTAATCCAATTATACACTACAAGATACCAAGAGGAGCTGGGCAGTATAATCACAGAATTTATTAGGACAATTTGGGATTTGCTTAGTTCCATTGGAACACAGCCAAAATATGACATTCTGGCCTCAAAAGCCTTACAGTTTCTCACCATTATTGCTTCCCTGGAGCAATACAATAGCACGTTGAAGTCAGAAAAAGCATTGGAGGAAATTACTGAAAAGATTATTTTACCAAACGTGATGATAAGAGAGTCTGATGAGGAGCTGTTTGAAGACGATCCTATCGAGTATACAAGAAGAGACCTCGAAGGCTCCGACTCCGACACAAGAAGAAGAGCCTCCACAGATTTTTTGAGAGCTTTAAAAGAAAATAAGGAGCAGGACGTCACTCAAGTGGTTATGAACTACGTTAACCACTATTTGGCAAGCTTCCAGTCCAATCCGACAAATTGGAAGTCCAAAGATTTGGCGATATGTTTGTTTAGCTCCATTGCTGCAAAAGGATCGATTACGAATGCAGGTATAACTTCTACCAATTTGCTGGTGGACGTGGTCGAGTTTTTTTCACAATATGTGGCGCAAGATCTGGTGAATGAAACCTCTCATCCAATTCTGAAAGTTGATGCAATTAAGTACATTTTCACTTTCAGGAATCAGCTTACAAAACAACAATTGATAGAAGCATTTCCACTTCTATCTTCACATTTTCAAGACGACAATTATGTGGTGTATACCTACGCTGCGATCACCATTGAAAAGATCCTATCTTTAAGAAACCCTTCAAGCCACCAACAGTTGCTTTTTAGCAAAACTGACATACCAGTGCCTGTATTCAATAATCTTCTTACAAATCTGTTTAGGCTCATGTTTGGGAAAGGAGAGTCACCAGAAAAGCTAGCAGAGAATGAGTTTTTGATGAAATGCGTTATGAGGATTCTTCTCACTGCGGAAGACTCACTGAGCGAGAAGGCCCCACAGCTTTTACAACAGCTCATGAAGATTGTTGACATTATTGGGAGAAACCCTTCAAATCCGAAATTTTCACACTACACATTTGAATCAATCTGTGTACTAATTCGTTACAACAACAATCAAATCATAGAGATTTTCGATCTGCTCAAGCCTTGCATGCTCTCCATATTAGCTCAAGACATCCACGAGTTTATTCCTTACGCATTTCAGATTCTTTCATACTGTTTAGAAGTTTATCCAAAATCTTCCGAGATGCCACCTGAATACGAGCAACTGATTAAGCCTCTCTGTTCTCCAGCGGTTTGGGAACTAAGGGCAAATATCCCAGCGATTGAAAGGCTCTTGGCAGCTATCATCAAATTCAAACCTTCACTATTTATATCCGCCACAAGCTTAACTCCAATCTTAGGAGTCTTCCAAAAGCTCGTGTCTTCGAAATTGAACGACCATTTGGGTTTTGACTTCTTAGAAACAATTTTACTAAGCATTGATATGTCTTGCCTGGAGCCCTTTTTGAAAGAGGTGGCGATGATATTGCTTTCACGTTTACAGACGGTTCGAACAGATAAATTTGTCAAAAGATTCATTGTGTTCTTAAGTTCCATTGCTGCTTTGCCAACATCAAGCGATCCTTGCTTGAAAAGAAATGGGCTTGATTCTTCTTTTGTCATTAAATTTATAGAGAGTGTTCAGCCTGGAGTGTTTCAACAGATTCTTATGGGTGTCATCGTCCCTACAATTGAATCATTTAATAATTTGCTTGACAAAAAAATCTTGATAGTGGGCCTCAGCAGCCTGATCACCGAAAACGCCCAAGTTATAGGTCAAGACGCCTTTAAGCTTGTGCTGTCTAAGCTGCTAAAGATAACCGCATCTGATAGCATCAGAAATTACAAAGACTTCAATGAAAATCTTGAGCTTTTGCTTGAGCTGGAAAATGATGAACTTTCGTTTGGATCCAGTTTCAATAAACTGAATACTATTCAGCAAAAGCCTTTTGACCCAATTAAGGAAATAAGCTCAAAGGAGATGATTTTGGCGTATCTTCAATCAAAACTTGCATCCTTTCCAAACATTCAAAATGTTCTTCTGAATCTTGATCAGCCAGAACAGGAACTTGCAAGAAGCCTGAGAATTGTATGAACTACATATCGCAGGTTTTGCCACAATAACTAAGATTGTTTAGTATTATACATTTCTATCGTACGTCAATCATTCGACATTTTCTCCAGAGTCCTGGTGTGTTTGATTCTGGTTTAGTTCTTCGTTGTTTTTTTGCATGTCTTCCAGCTTTTCCAATCGTTCTTTTTCGGCGATTTCCGCAGCAGTTAAGAATCGACCACCCTGACCCCTCGGTCTGCGCATTGCATGTTTGTGTCTAGATTCGTGTAAATAAGGCTTGCGTCCACGCTGAATCTTTAAATTTTCTTCGAGTTTTGCTCTCGCTATTCTTCGCTTCAAAATGCGATGGTATTGTTTAGCATTCACGTAGTAAGGTTGATCGGCCTGAGCTTGTGACGTTACGGAGGACGTACGTGCTTGGTCCGGCGGGGATGGCGTAGTGGGAAGCGGCGATTGATCTGTCGATGTCGATGTATGATATTCAGCAGTATCAAGGTATTCCCCAGTGAGCGGCTGTTGGGATGACCTATACATCAATTCTATGTGTTGAGGATTCTGTTGCTGTGATTGAGAGAACTCAGTTGACATCGTAGATGACATTGTCCTGTTGACCTCTGCTGCTTTATTATCGGACATTAGAGTTTACAAGATCGTCGGGTCGAAAAAAATACAGGCGGTCTCACCGGGTAACTTACTCCTCAATTTCAATTATCAACTGAATCGATTACTTTCCTTCATGTACGCCCCAGTTTTAAGACCAGCAGTTTTATTCTTCTTCTTTTTGAGACAACCTGTTGCAGCGGGCACACTTGTTGGTACTTGGGCTTTGTGGGAAGCAGATCGCAACCTAAATTGGGGAATCAAAGATGCCATTAATGAATGGAAGCATAGGTTCTTGGGATTCCCCACCCAAAGAAGTCTCTACTCGGATTTCTCGAAACTTGACGCACAGATGAGGAGATGATGAACCATGGCATCTGATGCTTGATATTGTTATTGTTCAATGTCGACTTTATTTATTTGAATAGTATGAGTATTCTTTGTCCTTGATATTATAATATTTACAGATAGTCAAACGCGTTTGGCCAAACGATAGAGGTCGAAAATTGCTGCGGGAGTAATGCCTTGAATTCTCCGTGCTTGTCCAATCGTTTCAGGTTTTGCTTCGTTAAGCAGAGCCCTTGCTTCTGAGGAAAGAGATGACATACTGGTGTAATCAAAGTTCATTGGAAGGACCAGATTCTCGTCACTTTTGAATGCTCTTATCTGTGCATTTTCCCTACCTAGGTAGCCTTGATAATCTCCATGAATATCGATTTTTTGTTTTATTTTGCGCGGGAGCGCTTCAAGAGATTTATTCTGTAAAACGGGAATCAAGCAGTCTAGTGATATGTTTTCATACCGAAGTAATTCAAATGCAGATTTGTAACTTGAATCTGTCCTAATTCTTAGACCAGGTACGAGTTTGGCCCACTCTTGTGATGGAAGCCTATAATCATTGAGAAACTCCAGGCTCTCTTGATAGAGCTTATTCTCTTTATTAAAATGATCCCAGCGTTGTACAGATATACAACCAAATTCATGTCCCTTAGGCGTGAGTCGCAGGTCTGCATTATCAGCACGTACACTTATTCTGAACTCTGATCTTGAGGTAAACATTCTGTACGGCTCCTCAACACCTTTTGTAATCAAGTCGTCGATAAGTACTCCAATATAGCCATCAGATCGATCCAAAATGAGTTGCGTCTTATTTTGGAATTGCAAGCCTGCGTTGATACCTGCCACAATGCCTTGAGCAGCAGCCTCCTCGTAGCCTGTCGTGCCGTTGATTTGGCCCGCTAGGTATAAGCCTGAAATTGTTTTAGTCTCCAGTGTTCTTTTCAATTCTCTTGGATCAACATAGTCGTATTCAACACCGTAACCCGGTTGGAGCATTTTCACTTCCTCGAGTCCAATGATACTTTTGAGCATGGCATCTTGAATATCGGGAGGCATCGTACATGAGATTCCATTTGGATACATCACATCTGTGTCCAATCCTTCAGGTTCTAACCACACTCTATGTCTGGGTTTATCGGAGAATCTTAATAATTTAGATTCAATAGAAGGACAATATCGAGGACCTTTGACTGTTTCCCTAATATGAACACTTTTGTCCAGATTTGACAGTATTAGTTTGTGCATGGCCGGGGTAGTGTACGTCGAATAACATAGAAGTTGATGCTCAATCTCTGGATTTTCATTGAGAAAACTCATTGGTTCTGGAGGACTATCGCCTGGCTCTTGCGCAACCTTCGAGTAATCAACAGTTTTAGCAGATATTCTCGGAGGAGTTCCGGTTTTCAATCTCCCTAAACGAAATCCTACCTCACGGAAGGTCTTACTCAAACCATAAGACGGATCTTCTCCTATTCTTCCGGCAGGCCAAGTATCTAACCCAAGGTGTATTTCTGCGCTCAAAAAGGTACCTGTTGTTATCACAACCTTTTCACAGCGCAAAATGTCTCCATCAGACAAGACCACTCCACAAATTTTTGCGCTATAGTCTATCTTACCTCCGGCTTCATTTGTGGATGGGTCAAGAATTAGGTCCTCAACTCTTGCTTGTAATATTTTAAGATTAGGATAACCCTTCAAAAATTTCTGCATCTCAGTCAAATACAATTTCCGGTCAATTTGAGCCCGATGACCCCAAACAGCCGCTCCCCGTGATCTATTCAAGATCTTGAATTGTATTCCAGACTTATCGACAATTCTAGGAGCAATGCCATCCAACGCATCAACCTCTTTAAGTAATGTACCTTTTCCGATGCCTCCCAAAGGCAGGATTACATGAAGTCACGCCGATCTTGCTTATATCAGGCGTCACTAAGGTAGTGAAAACACCTGTGCGGGCAGAGCCTGTAGCAGCTTCAACTCCTGCATGACCACCACCGACCACCACAACAGGATGTAACGGTTTGGTTTCCAATAATTTGGCAAGATCAGAAGTCAGGGAAAGATATCTAGCAGAACGCTTTCCAGCAGTAGTAATATTGTAAGATGTGAGAGAAAGCATGGACGAAATTTTCAAAATCAGTTACTAACTATATTGTTTGTAATCCTGCTGTCTATAGTTGGTGTAAAAACTTTTTCAAAAGCAAACATCTTCTCTGATCTTACACATACATTACCTTATATTTCATTCTTCGATGAGAACATTTTCGTCTTTGTTCTTACTTCTCTAATTCTTGTTCCTCGCTATCCTCTTCTTCTAGTGGGATAATCAGCGAGTTTTCACTAGAGGTTCCATCATTTTCTATTCGCAAATACAAGTGTGAATCAAACTGATTTTCATTTGCTAAGTCAGTTTCAGAGTTAACTTCCAAAGTGTGGATAGTGGTGGATATTCCCCTATTGGGACCGGGGCTCCCCAATGTGCGTCTTTCAATTTTTTCCATGTGTTCTTGTTCCTCCAGATCGCTCATTGAATCAGACGAGCCTAAGCGTTCATCCTGAAAGTTATGCTCTAGTCGCCTCCTAATCTCTTTTTTGTCCTTGAAAAGCTGTCTTTTTATTCTCTTTGAACGTTGAATTTTGTCTCTGTAGAGAAGCTTCTCAATTTCCGACGTGATTTCAAGATCAAAAATCTGCGAGCTCAAGTTCAAGATGTCATTTTCGATCGACGTGGCTCTATCTGCGAAATTAAATAGATCGTAAGACGAACCAAGCCGTGCACGATGCAGCAGAAGCTTGATATCAACATAACTGACTGTTCTACGATTCGCATGCTCAATATAGCTTTCGAGATCATTGAGCTCCTGTCTGAAAAACTCTTCACTGATATATTGGAGTTCAATCAGAGCTTCCTTAGACTGCAGCTTTTTCAAGTCGTTCTCAGTTAGCAGCCATCGTGTGAGACTTCGTATCATAGCCAGCGAGATCACTGGTTGTTTGCCAGAGCCGGGCTGTGATTCTTTTGCTCTTTTCCTAATGGTGACAAAAGAAGGAACCTTATTCTGGGAATGTACATTCAAAAGCGATAGATCTTCTGTCTCTGGTCGCTCACCGCTGAGGTTGTCATTGTCATCACTATCGTCACTACTGAATGCGTCATATTCACCTCCGATATTGAAGTTGTCGATGTCTTCTAAGACAGGCTCGTTTCCGTTAGAAGAGGCAAAGATGCCTTCGTTGGAATCAATATCAAAATCTCCCTGCTTGCGAATAATTGCTTCAGGTAGAGCCACATTTGAATTTCCGAATGAGGCCTCAAGAGATAGTCTACTTGATAATCGCCCCTTCCTTGGTGATCTATCAGGTGTACTTAAATAATCCCTTGATTGAGACAACAGTTCCCCTGATAATTCTCCAGACTCGGCCTTTCCTGTGGGTTCTGGCGCAAGTTTTGCGTACAAAATCTCCAATGCATTACTTTGTTCGGCCTCATGCTGTGTCTTTCGTTTTTTCCGCACATCCTCTTTTTCCAGCGTCAATAGTCGCCCCAGCATTTGCAAATCCTTACGAGGAGAATAGCCTTTATTCACCTTACCTTTTGAAAGCGACAAAAGCAGCCGATGCCGACGTGGAGTTGCTCCATCAGCAATCGCTTGCAGTGTTATGGGAGTCGTTGGCTTTCTGGGAGTTCGGTTGGGTGTATTGGGACGGGACGGAGTTCGAGACGGAGTTCGTAATGGTCTTTGAGTTGTTCGTCGAGGAGTTTTCACAATAGAGGCATCTTCATATTCCGTCAAGGAAGTTATGGTACTTAGCTCAACTTTTGATAGCGAGTTGACTCGAGCCGGAGTATTCAGGATCTTGGAACCTTCTGATGGTTGGACACTCGAGTGCAAACCTCTAGGTTCTTCGTGTGAAGAGCCCATTTCATTGTGTTCGCTGGGAGACATATGAGAATTGTCTACTTGAATCGCGTCCTCAAATTTGGAAGGAGACTGATTTAAGCTCATGCCACGTGAATTAGTATGATTATGCACCATCCCAAAGAAGGAGTTGAAGGTTTCCGCTCAAACCTTGGTTGAATATTGATGTTCCGACGTCTAAAGTTGAAGTCGGTAGCAGATGTTCTAAATCAACGCAAAAAACTACAAACATTCGAAGGCACCAGCCCGCATTCTAGCCACACAGAAAAAATAAAATTTGAATTTTTTAGGAATAGGCAGGCCCTTTAGTTATGTCGGAACACGGTGATGATTTGGATGACGGACTTGACTATAGTTACAACTCCTCAAGCGATGGGATAGAGACTTTGGCTTATAGTCAAAAGACCTCAAATTCAGATCCGGACGGCGAACCAGAACATGACAAGAACTCGAAAGATCACAAAGCGCACAACGCTGGAAAAAAACGTAAGCATAAAAGTGATAAGCTGGCTCAAAAGAAGAAGCAAAAGATGGAACTTGATATGGAACAAAAACGAAATCTTGCCAAGGAATTACCCGATGTGATAGCAGAAAAGCTTGCTGCTAAGATCAGACAACGCTTTCCTGATCTGTCTCCATTGGAGTTGAGTGAGTTGTACATTAGTAGATCTGCCATCAGGGATTCGCAAAGCTTTGCTTTTGAGCGAAATTTGGGTAATTACAAAAACTACATTCAGACACAATTGAAAAGAGTTCTTCAAGATAAGGGATATATTTTGGTTATAACAATATCAGCCATTCGAGCATGTGATGTATTTCGTGCTGTGAAATCTCTTTCAACTGGAGCTTTTAAACTAATCAACAAGAACAAACTCAGGGACGACCTGCAAGCATTAAAGAGGTCAAAGGCTAGAATTCTCATTGGTACCCCTGGAAGAATATCCAGAATTCTTGAGACCGAAAACACGCCGGTAACCTCTCAAATGATAGATGCAATCATCTGTGATTCCTCTTTCTTGGACTCAAAGTTGCAAAATATATGGGACTACGATGAGTCCTTCGCTTTAGTCAGAAAGGTACTATCCATGAACGAAAAATGCGAAGTCTACCTATATTGATAAATTTTTATTGTTCTTTAGTAGAATTATGAAGATAAGGATAATGATACCTGCCAATAATGAAAAGGAAACCTTCTAAAGTGAGATGCGAAGCTCTTCATTTATTCTGGTTCGAAACTGCACTTTCCCATCTCTTCACATGTTCCATGGAGTATACCTTTTGTGGATCATACGTGTTTTCCTCACCTTTGAGGTACAGGTAGTACATGATCACACCGTAAGCTGAGAAAGCAATCGCCGCGTTGACAGTGTGATTTCTTGGCGTATGGTACCAGCCACCAGTCGGTGGCCTAACCCACTTAGGTATAAATTGATGCGCCTTGAGTTAATGAGACAGCAAGAGAAAAGTACTAACCATTAGAAATTCGGAAGTATATATGTCTAGCCCCTCATTCAAATATATATATATCTGTTTTTGCATATCGTGCGTGTACAAAAAATTCCATGTACTTAATTTTTCACCGACTTTTTTTAAAGTGGATCACACCAACGTACAAACCCTTTCACTGACCCAATGAATCACAGGCCTCGTATACTCTTTGGCATACGCATCTCAACCATGAGATTTTTGAGACACGTATCCATATCACCTTTGAGCAACCTTGTGTCGCAGTCAAAACCAAAGCCCGTTCATAAGTTCTCATATGAGAAAGCCAATAATGTCCGGATGAACAGCGGCGATTTGGAGACACCTGATTTGACCACGAACTTCGGTGACTACAAGAGAATCTCGTATAAACTAAAGGTATCCGAAGACGAAGCCCAGAAAATTCCCGCCATATTAGCTTTGCATGCGAGATTGAATCTTTCACCGAATTTCAAAAAATCAACCCTTGTGAGAGCTCTCACCTCTAAAATGAAGAACAATGAGTATGTTGATAATCATCAAATGGCTCTTTTTGGATCTAGCATGCTTTCTTATTATACAACAGAGTATCTCATAACAACTTACCCTCGACTTCCCATTGGTATCTTGAAAACTGCAACTGACGCATATGTGGGCGATTATTCGCTTCATGACGTTGCGAAAAACGTTTGGGGCATTGAGGAAGATTCGGGTACGAATCTTGAAAAGTATCTATCTAAAGAACCGAAACTGTTTAGATTTGGTAAACTTAGATACGACAGGCAGGCACAAGAAGTGGAAGCGGGCATTACAAAGTATAGTATCTCATCGGAGACTTCTTTGAGTGCTGCCACCGCATATGCAAATAGTGTGAGAGCAATTGTGGCTGGTGTGTTTGCGGCAGACGGTGAGCGAGCAACCAAAGATTTTATTTACAAACATATTTTATCAAGAAATGTGGACATACCATCGATGCTGGGGTTTGAGGAGCCAGGGAAATTGTTAGCAAAGCTTCTCAAAACAAAAAATATGGAACCTCCCACCATCAGGCTCATTTCTGAAACAGGTAGACAATCGAGTTCACCAACTTTCATTGTTGGCTGCTTCAGCGGAGATAATCTTCTAGGAGAAGGACAAGGGACGTCCTTGAAAGAGGCTCGTATTCGAAGTTGCGTCAGTGCTCTCAAAGCATTCTATCTTTACAAACCACTTGAGCCCCGCGTTCCAAGTGATGAAGGTTTCAAACCGCTATTTGTCGATGAGGGAGAGTTGTTTTATTGAGTAGACCTTAATACCTCGAGGCTTTACATCTGTATATACTGAGCGTGAATAAATATGCGTCAACCATTTGGTAGTATTCTGCTTGGTCATGTTTCAAACTTGCACTAATGTAGTGATCTATCGAACTTCATTTGTATACTCTTTGACTAGCTTAAGCTTTGACTCATTGAGCTTCTTCAGAAGAAGATCATTGACAAGTTCTGCAGTCGACCGATCCAGGAGCTCTTGATCTTTCAAATTCTGAAAAACGGCATAAATCATTATAACTGATCTCCTAATTGCTGTATGTTGTGAGTGTAGAAACTTGTAAAAAATCATGTCCAATCTAAAGACAAGCTCTTGGTTCAATTCGACAGGAGAGATGTGTTTTCGAAGATTGTCTAGCAAGAGGACTTGCATTGCAACACTAATCAAGTTCCTGTTTTCAAGCGCTTCCACATACAGTTCCAAAAAAGGAATCAGATCTAAAGTTTCGGAAATAGCAAATAATAATTCATCGGGATCGACCAAGCTATCGCACTCAGAGTATAACCGAATCAATTTATGGAATACCTCCCCTATTTCAAACCAGTTGTTGTTCAAAATGCAAAATCGTAGGATCAAAAGGCATGCAGACATGTGATCGGAAGAAGGACTAGAAGAAATATAATCCAGAGCTGCCTGCTGCACAGCTTTGAGTTCATAGACTTTCTCGTGGTTTAACAAAGATGCCAACTCAAAAAGCTCTTTGTCTGTAATAGATTTTCTCAAAAGCTTCTCTAAAAGTAATTCCGATTTTGAGACATCATAGGATATCTTAGAGATTTTGTAGATTTCAAACTCAGTCCATGAGTCCATTAGTCCCAAGATGTGATTACTGTCGTTGTATATTTCAACCTTGGCCAAGCCAGTCACTTGTGAGAGGGGATCTGCCGACACCAAGGCGGAAGTTATTTCATCGGAAGCCTTAGATGGTAAAATAGGTGCCTTCATATCACCCTGTTTCCCCTCCGCACAACTGTCCTTCACGTTATCTGCTATGGTCAATTGATTTAGATCCGGAGTGTTGTCAGACATAGTTTGCAATCTATCGGTTTCCATCTTATCATCTAACGATTCAGGACCATTCGAATCTCGAACCAGTTCGTTTTGGTCCTGAAATACCTGAGATATGTCGTAATTAGGTCTCAAATCAACAGATTGATTGTTAATGATCTCAACAAATGGATTTTCTAGTTCTGACTGATTTCTGGAGTTCATTTGTTTCTTAAAATTTGGCATAATCATTGTCATGTCGGATTTCACATCGTTAGAACGCTCAAACTTATTTCCAACAACCATAGTGAGTCCGTCAGCAATGGCCTCCTCCATTTCTGCCAAGTCGAAATTCTCGTGCAGTGAAGATGATGGCGACTCAACGCTCTTCTGAAATTCGAAAGCCATTTTGTTTCTCAATTCTCTTTTCAAAACTCTGTCCTCATGTTCGTTGAAGCATTGGATAAAATCAGATTTATAGGTTTCAAAAGCCGTTTCTAAAACTGAGACTAGCTTTGTCGGTTCCATCTGAACAACTTCCCAGCTTTTGAATAATCTTCTCAAAAGCATTTTGATTTCATGTGAATACAGCTTGCCCTGACTTTGCCTCAACAAGTAATCAACCACTGAATAGCAAGTGTCCAGAAATTTTACTCTGTTCTTCACGAATTGCATCGACAGGTTGATATCATCACAGCTGGAGGCATCAATACAAAGGTCCAGAACAGCATTAAGTGCGCTGACCAATCCACTTGATTGCAATACTTCTGCCATGGCCGTCAAGTTTTCACTTGAGAGTGTGTGATTCACGCTATAGCAGCAAATCATGCGAAGTGAGTTCTCGGGTTCCAAAATGGAGCACAGTTTGTGGAACGAGTCGGGATGGTCACAATAATCAAAAAATGCGGACGGATTTATGACCGATAATCTGTTAGCAAGATAGCTGAATTTTCTCAATGAATAGGTTTCGGCCCCATTCATCAGTTTCTTGACTCCCTCAATTTGATCGCCTTTCTCGTCGGAAGAAAGAAGGTCATATATTTGGCGCTCTCTCTTTTCGTTTTCAGAGTCAAGGTCATATATTTCTGTATGCCGTCGAATTTTATCGACTGGTATATTGAGAGTGAATGTACCTGTATGGTCCTCTTTCTTTTCACAATCTTCATTTTCTTTCTCATTGTATTGAATATGGTCCCGGTTATCAGATCCAGATGAAATAACCCTACTTAGAGAGTTATTTCTCTTTTCAGAAAAGCCGTCATCAATAATATCTGAACTTCTTTTACGAGCTACCGTCTTTGCTTCACTTCCTATTTTCTTCGCGCTTGAGTGAAGTGCTTCTTTCTGTCTTGACAAGATAAGTTCTTTCATTGATGGCCGATTGTTCGCTTTTTGCATGGAACTCTGATTTGAGACTTGATGGTTTGGCTTTGGTTTAGCTTTTTCCAAAGCTCTCAAAGTGCTGCTGTCTAGTCGATTCACTATACGAGTGCATATCGAAGGGAAAATAGTATTCAAACACCAGAAAGCAGCTCTCATTGAATCTCGAACCGCTGGTGAAGGATCCCCCACGCCTTTAGCAATGATTCTTTCAACAGGATCCAGAAATCCAGCGTTGTCGAGAATAGATTTGTTATGTCTGAACTTCACTAGTAAAATATGAAGCCACGTTCCTGCGTAAGCTCTGGGTTGTGCATTTTTATCCTGGGCCGCGATCGTAATCTGGTTTACTAGTCTCTGGTTGTAGCTAGAGTTTATGAGTAGACCTATGACGCCTGCATTCGCGTTCTGTTGTGAAATTGTCTTGCGAGATGACGTGAGTTTGATTAATGACACAACAAGTGAATCCACTAGCCCGTTGTCTAGATACGAGCCAAAGCGGATGCCCAGTTCTTTGCATAACTGACATCCATGGCTTGAAAGGGTAGTGCGCAGCGAAGACACAGCTTTGCATATACAGTCTTTCTCCATTTTCAAGAATTGTGCGGTCAGCTCTTGATATTCCGTAATTGCATTGCCTCTTATGATACATCGTAACTGGACAATTGCCTGCTCTCTAAGAGTCCAGTTGAATTCGGTTTCTTTGCCTTGAAAAGGTGCTTTCAACGAGTTGAGTTTCTCTGACAGTTGCTCTTCTCCACTAAAATTAATGGGTTTTAATGAGTCTTGCATAGAATAGAGAGGTACTCCTTTCAGGAATTCTGAAATCGTTGGCTCAGTTTCTGGATCGAATATACTTTGTTCGCTTTTATCAAATACATCTCTCAAAGCTTCATTATGTGAATTCTCATTTGATGCTGTTCGTAGTTGCATGCTGGAAGCATGAGTCCTAAGTAAATGATTGCTCACTGCTATTTTTGACTTTGGTCGATCATGAGCTTTACTTTCGGAGTCAGATCTGGAGGTATTAGTTTTTTGGTTTGAAATGATTGATGTGGTAACTTTTATAGGTCCCGCGCTGACAAAAGATGCTTGATTCAGTAGCTTGGTGTACTCTGCCACCAAGCAGTCATCTATGTGGTTCAGTACTCTGATTGACTGAGACCGAGATACTCTAGATTTAACTAGTTGACTAATCAAGTCGCTTTTTGCTGTTCTATTGTTAGGGTTAACAATCTTGAACACCAAGACTAGTAATTCAAATGCAGCGTTGGAAACCTCGTGGCTTTTATCATCCAGCAACATTACCGTTTCCGGAAGAAAATTCTTGAAACTGAATCCGGGGGTGTTGTCCACAACTTCGCAGAGCGTTTTTAGCACTTCGTATCTCACTGATAAATCAAAGTGATGCAGGCCATAAGATTTCAGACTCGTTTCAAATTCATTCGGCACAGCTTGCCAGTAAGTCAACATGGCCTTCTTTGCTGTGTTTTTGAGTGATGGCTTCTCATCATTGAGGCGATCTATAAGAAAGGGCACAACCTGAAAATCCACAAGTTTTAGCACCTTTGAATCTTGAATACTCACACGTTTCACCAAATGGCAAATAGTCGAAAATGAATTTGTAGTCAGGGATGGTTTGTGATATGCCAACACTAGTGCCTCAAAATATTTTGGTACGTGAGACAAATTAACAAGATCTCTCTTTATGTGAGCTTTGAGTTCCAGTATTAGCTGTGATGCAAACTTCTCGTCGTTGGACGTTACTGCACGGAACAAAGCGTCTCCAGTAATATTCGCCATTTTGAGATATGAAGTGGGAAATCCTTGATACGAGGGAGATTCTTATTGTAAACAACACGAAAATTATTTACTTTCCATTTAGCACAGCCGCGAAACGAAGTTGTAGAGCAAGTCTTGTCATGAACATATTTTTATCGTTCCTCATAGATTGGTATAAGCATCTTGCCTGATTTGTGCTTCACGCCATTAAAGGAAAGAGCAAGTTTGCCTCCAAACTCGCTAGGCTGACTCCAGCCAATTTGATACCTTGTCAGCCTCAAACCATATATACTATGTTTTTGAACGGCAAACAACAGGCGAAGCCCTATACCCATTCTTCTGTATTTGTGACTAACATATATCCGTGAAATCCCGATAATTAAGGGTAGTTTCTGTTTTGGAACAAGTTCTCCTGTGTCATAGACCATCCATTTTCCCTCGGTTATTCGTTCAGTCGAACAAATTCCAACGGCCTTATTTCTGATCACAAACAGAAATACCTTGCCTCTATTTGGGTCAGAAGACCAGCCCCTATTATCTTTGGGGGCACTCAACACTTGGTTGACAATATCGAGGAGCTCTTCTGCAACCGAAATCTCCTTAGACGATTCAACATTGACCTCAACTATCTTTCCATCAAGTCCGGATTTCAATTGATGCTGCTCAATTGCGTTCCAAGTCAAAGTATTTGTTGGACCAAGCTCTACTCCTTCGATAGCGCGCCGATGATATTTCTCATGCAATTCGCGATCGGATCTCAAGTGCTGCACATATGACATTTGACATTCCGAACAAATCGTTTTTCGGACACTGGTGAAAAAGTGTGTTTGCTTTAGATTTCGAGGTCTTTTTCTAGTACGCGCATCTATATCCTCAGCACGAGAACATGATGAGTCTTGTGATGACATTATTCGTTTATCGTTGAGTAATCTCGTATGGTTGACAGCAGATTCGAGGGGAGGAGCAGACATATCAAATTCTGGCGGTAATCCTTATGTATTCCTTTTCATCTGATTTCTCTGCCAGCGTTTTGAGGAGCAATGACAATGCGCTGACTATCAGGAAATTATTAAAATTCCCTTCCAATAATTTTTCTCTGAGCGAAGATATTCAACGACTGCTTTTGGCTACAATGACGACGTACAGAAATCCAAATCCTAAATTTGAGCATACTCTTCCTTTATCTACAAAATGGAAACACCAGATTACTGAGTGGTTACAGGAAGATATTCCTTCTTTTGACTATGGTGGGTATGTGGTTGGAGACAATGTTCAGACAGCAACCCTCTTCTGTAAAAGTGACGGAATTCTCTGTGGAATCCCTTTTGCAACTGAGGTATTTCGTCAATGCGGACTCAGCCATGAGTGGCATGTAGATGAGGGTACATTTTTAAGGCCCTCAGAAACTGAGAGTGGGAAGATAAAAGCGTGCACAGTTAAAGGCCCTGTGAAAAATATCTTGATTGCGGAACGGCTGTCTCTCAATATCATTTGCAGGTTGAGTGGTATAGCTACTCAGTCACACCTTACTATTAAAACAGCCAGAGAAGCCGGTTATACAGGAATCATTGCTGGGACCAGGAAAACTACACCAGGGCTTAGATTGCTTGAAAAATATGCGATGCTTGTAGGAGGTGTGGATCCTCACAGGTATGATTTATCATCTATGGTGATGCTCAAAGATAATCATATTTGGGCAACAGGATCAATTAGACAGGCTGTCAAAAATGCAAAGGCAGTGGCTGGCTTTAGTACTAAAGTAGAAGTCGAAGTTCAAAACGAAAGGGAAGCAGAAGAAGCTATTGACGCAGGAGCCGACATAATCATGCTTGATAATTTCAATGGGCCTGAACTCCAAACTGTCTCTCAATCTCTGAAACAAAAGTGGTCAGGTAAGCGCGAGTTTTTGCTTGAGTGCAGCGGAGGTTTAACTTTGGAAAACATTTCTGAATTCCTGAGCAATGATATCGATATATACTCTACATCTTCCGTGCACCAAGGATGTTCAATCGTTGACTTTAGTTTGAAGCTTGATAAAACTAACTAACTTGCCTCTGGTATTAAAAATCTTTTGTTCTATTATCGGACTCTACTGTATACTTGTACTCATATCTGGGACCAATGTGATTGCAGAAGTCACTTACTTAGGTAACTGTTGGTTTTTCTCTTTTAGTTGTTGCTGCTTTGCAACAGCATAAACAATGCCTGCAACAAAACCGATAAAAATGGAGGAAATCGAGAAAAAGTTGATAGGAGCATCAAAGAAGATCAGTCCACTCAATGCGATTGGTAACTTGTTCAAAGCTCCAACCATTGAATACGTAGTTGATGATGTCACTCTGATACACCAGCCCGAACAATAGGAAATTCCAACGGAGGAAGCACCAGAGAAAATCATGGCAAAAATAACTGATTTTCTGTTAGCTTCAGGGAAGTTGACAGCCAAATTTTCGGGAGACCAGTCTTCCAAAATAAAAGATGCAATCAACAAAATAGGAATCGACAGTAAATTGTTGTAGAACATGGTGTCGAAATCTTTAAAATTCGTCAACTTGATTCTCTTCCTCATGCAAAGCACAAAAGTAGCTGATGAGAAGCAGTTGAGAAACATCCAGAAGTATCCAACACCAAAGGCCAAATTTCCAGTAGAACTATCCTTGTCCCCGTAGCATGCAACAACGGAAGAAAGAACCATCAAAATGAAAGATCCCAATGCCATGGAAGTCACTGAACCACCAAACCATAACACTTCACCATATGCAATCAAGATGATAGTCAAATTTTTGAAAATAGTGTAGACCGGGATTGAGAGGAATTGTAAAGCCTTCGAGGATGTGTAGATCATCCCCACCAAAAGAAAAGCAATTGGTGACCACTTTTTCGCCTCAATATAATTGAACTCTCTGTAAGTTATTATCCCAAGGAACTTCAGTATAGAGATCGTAATCAGACAAACAATCGATTGAACGGCTAACAAGAAGAAGTTCAAATTGAAGTCGCCAGAAACAACATATTTATTAGTGACAGTCATCAAAATAGAAGATGCGCAATAAGCAAAAATAGAGACAGGGCCAGAATTGGCCAGCTGGCTTAAAAGCGAGCCGCCCTGTGGTGGTAGTTGGATAGTGGCGACTGGAGGGTCCTCTTTTTTCTCAGACATATTAGTGAAACTTTATCACGAAAGAAAAACAAGTTATCTTGAAATGCCACGAGTTTTGAAATTTTCTGCTGGCCGCCAAGCCAGCCAACCTAGCAAAAATTTGGCGAGACCGATCGGCACTTACCTAACATGTTTGAAGTAGTAAATGTCTTTTGAAATTACCAATTGTGACATTTTATTGTGTAAAACAGTAGTTGCCGTTTCTGAAGGAGATTCTAACGACACCTCACCTCATTGATAGCTACGTTCTTAGGCTACTGAAGTCTTCTGATTTGGACTCCTAACTATATAACTAATTGTAACTAATTACTTGGTGTACGGTGTCATCATTCTCTAAAAATTTGGCGTTCTAAATCTTGGAAGCCTCTGACAAGGATTCTCATTATGGCGAACGAGGAGGAGATAAGCAAAGAAGAAAGACTTGAGCAAGCCCGGAAGAAGTTTGAGGAATTGAAGAAAAAGAAGAAAGGAAATAAAAAGAAGGGCAAGGCTGGAGACCACGAACGCGAAAGCAAAGACAAGGAAATACACGACGACAGCTCCATGGAAACAGTGGCAAATACAGCAATAGATTTAGAAACAACTGAAGCCACTACATCTATCGGTTCTGAAAAGCCTGCGACTCTTAATAATGGCATCTCAGGGACCAAATCTACTATCAAGGAACAAGGCCAAACTATAGTAGAAAACCATAAATTTGATGATAACGACGATCATTACGATAACGATCGCGAAGGCCAAGAATTTTCGAAAACCGGGATCATGAGTTCTTCTGATTTGTCTGGCATGGATACCGTTAGTGCAGTCAAAAAACAATTTATGTTGGTAGACGAAACCAAATCTCAATATGCAGAGGAAATTCACGGGACCGCCCCTTCAAAGCAGGTGACATACCTAGAAGCAAAGCTTCGCGATACGGTTGAACAGAATTCCAACCATTTGAAAGAAATTCTGGAACTAAAATCAACTCAAGCACGATTGAAGTCAAGAATTAGTTCGCTAGAAGAGAAGCTGCAATCTTCTGAGCTTCTGATTGATCGCTTGCGGCGACAACTGAGTGACAAAACTGATGGCCTATCATGTGCTGGTGTCCCCAAAAGCGGTGAAACATTCAGTAATTCCTCACCTCAAAAAGACTCCCTTACAAAATCGTCCCCTAGCTTCCAAACATTCAACAGTTTTAATAACTTGGCAAACGACTATCTTGACATAGTCGACATCCGTGAGCGTTTGGGCCAATGGAAAGGTTGGAACCTAGACATGAAATCATGGAGAAGTGTTGGAAGCGGGTCACTACTAGAACTCTAGTGTTTTGAGCTGCTATTCTTCGTTGTGAATATTCCTAGGGCTGTGTATTTACAAGTGTGCCTGTATGGTAAGTAAAGTACTTTGGTTTAGATGGCAAAAAAAAAAATCTGATTTTGCAATGCTTCGTCTCCAGCTGAGTGTAAATCCGAAACTGCTTTCCAACACTTTGCATCAAATCCGGTGGGTATCAAAAAGAGTGAAGTCGTCAAAAGTAATAGGCATTGATTTGGGAACAACCAATTCTGCGGTTGCGGTCCTAGAAGGGAACAAACCCAAGATCCTTGAAAATCAAAATGGCGACCGCACAACACCCTCCATTGTAGCTTTCACTAAAGGAGGCGATGTTCTTGTTGGTGCCCCAGCAAAACGACAAAGAATTGTCAACCATGAGAATACCTTTTATGCAACTAAGAGATTAATTGGACGCAAATATAGTGACGATGAGGTTCAAAAGGATATTCCCAGACTGCCTTACAAAATCGTTGAGCATGCCAACGGGGATGCTTGGCTGCAAACAACCATTGCGCAAGGTCTGTCATATTCACCTGCCCAGATAGGGGGTTTTATATTACGCGAGATGAAAAGGGTTGCCGAGCTACAACTATCAGAAGAGATAAAGAATGCAGTTATTACAGTTCCCGCCTATTTTAACGACTCACAACGGCAAGCAACCAAGTTTGCAGGTCAACTTGTTGGACTGAATGTCTTAAGGGTCATAAATGAGCCTACGGCAGCTTCATTAGCTTATGGTATTGGAGGTAAGGACAAGAAAAGCGGTATTGTTGCAGTTTATGACTTAGGTGGCGGGACTTTTGACATTTCGATACTTGATATCGAAGACGGTGTATTTGAAGTGCGATCTACCAATGGCGACACACATCTTGGAGGTGAAGATTTGGACAATATATTAGTTGAGTTCATTTTGAGGAAATTCCAAATGAAATCGGGTATCAATCTTCGGCAAGATAGACTTGCTGTTCAAAGAATTCGTCAAGCTGCGGAGAAGGCTAAGATTGAGCTATCCCATGTTAAGAGTACTACAATTGATTTGCCTTTCATTACCGAAACTGAAAGCATCAGTATACCTCTCACAGAACAAGAACTTGATGAGATGAGCTCGGATTTGATTGAACGGACAATACTTCCGGTCAGAAAGGCTCTCAAAGATGCAGACTTAAAAGTGCAAGATATCGATGAAGTCATTCTCGTTGGTGGGATGACACGAATGCCTAAGATAAGAAATACTGTGGAGAGTTTCTTTGGTATAAAACCAACTACTCAGGTTAATCCCGATGAGGCTGTGGCTCTTGGGGCTGCTATTCAAGGTGCTGTCCTCTCAGGAGAAGTGAAGGATGTGTTACTTTTGGACGTTACACCTTTGACTCTGGGAATCGAGACATATGGGGGATTGTTTTCACCGCTTTTGCCACGTAATTCGACAGTGCCGTGCAGAGTTACTCAAATGTATTCAACTGCTATAGATGGTCAAAGCTCGATAGATATCAATGTTTATCAAGGAGAACGGCCTTTGGTGCAGGATAACATATTAATTGGAAAGTTCAAACTGACTGATATTCCACCCTTACCAAAGGGCACACCGCAAATTGAGGTAATATTTGACATTGACGCCGATGGAATAATCAAAGTAAGTGCAAGAGATAAAGAAAGTGGGAAGAAATCCTCTATAACTGTGTTTGGAAAGGGTGACCTAACTGACGAAGAAGTTAAACGGCTGGTAGAGGAAAGTAAACAAACAACAGATCAAGATAAGGCAAAACTTAACTACTTGAAGTCGGTCAGCAATTTGGAGTTGGTAGTATTCGACACTGAGCAGGTTCTCAAGGATATCGAGAAATTTGTGGATACAAATGATGCAGCCACGCTTCAACGAAAACTTAACACCGTCAAAAAGATGATTGATGATTCGAGAAAAGGGGATTTATTTGACCAAAATCTTATCAAGGCAGCACAAGAAGAATTACAGGAGGAAGCGTTGCAAGTTATCCAGAAGGCAGCTGAAAGAAGTAAGGCACAACGAAAAGCTGATAATTGATTATCCCCTTTTAGATATTTAGTAAGTTGAGAACATATTCGTATTAAACGGTCAGAGCGCAATTTTTATTCCTAAAGTAGATATTTCCGTGCACGCGTCGTGTTACCAAAAAAAAATTCAGCAATTAACTGAAGTGGTCCTAGGAAAACACGGTTAGTTTCACGCACTAAAACCAAAGACTGAGTTAAAATCATATAAGTCACGTACGATAGGTTTTTTGCAGCGTTCTCACTCTTCAGCAGCTTCAATAATATTTGGGAACGTTGAGCAACTGACTACCTCAAACGAACCATAATAGAATATAATGTATAGCCATCCCAACTTGTCGACTTCTTCTGCCGGTTCTCACTCTAAGCGATTGTCTTCAAACAATCCTTTCAGGTCGGCTCTTCTTCAAGAAGAATCAAGAGTGGTCAGCGATGACTCAAATTACAGACGCTGGCTGGAGAAGCATGCCGAGGAAGCTGTGGATTCAGACAACGAAAATCATCCTCCAAGAAAGAATTACGCGAAGACAAAATCGCATCCTGCGAACTCAGAGTCATCAATGTAAGTATAATTCACAATTGTGGAGCATGAAAAAGTTTTCGAGGTTGGGGCATGATGCTGGTCAGAAAAGATCAGGGGCGAATCAATCTGCAAGTCAAGTAAACTTTGGGGCAGGAAAATGGTATGTATCAGATGAATATTTGGAGGAGCCGCATTCTTTTTGTGCACACGGGGTCTTGGGTGCAAAGATGGGTTCATAGAACCTGATATCTTGAAAGATATTGTGTGCTTGAGAGCCAGCGAAACCCAGCTGCAAAAAAACAGGAAATGATCACGTTGTGAGCCGAGTTACCTATTTGCATGTTAGGCACCCCATGATGTTGTACAACAGCAGATTTGTGTGACACACGAGACATAACAAGTTCTCCAATAATGCTTGACTTGCGGGCTGTGCCTCAACTTTGTTTTGCTGTCGCGACGCAATATAAAGTTTTAAATTACTAACCTTACAGACTTTATTCCAAGATGTCTAACAATCCATTCACCGAAATGTTATCTCCCTCTTCAACCGGAATTGGAAATGCTCGAAATCATTCACAAAGCAGTTTGTCAAAAACTTCTCACCAGTTGCCAGGAAAGCCACGTAAGCATGACCAATACGATCAGCACTCAGATTATTATGATGACCATGACCTACCGCCTCCTTATGATGAAGTCACAAACAAATACCAGAAAGATGAGTATCCCACAGACGAGAAATTGAAACAAAGCAGCGAATCTAGTTCAAGCGAATCTTCTCCTAATCCATTTCCTGCGTCATCTTCTGCCCCAAAGCAATACTATAAAACCAGTAGGGAACATAACGGAAAACGGTTAGATGCAGAGCAGATGACAGGGACAGTGGTCACTAATATTGCGTCAGACGGCAGAGTCAGATCGAAAAGTGCGGGTGAGTCTAGCAGACCACGCAAGTATAGTGAGCACAAATATTCTCGTGGCCACAAAGAGCGTAGATCTCATCGTCACCACCGGTCTAAAAAACAAACTGTAATGGATAAACCAAAGAACTTGGACACCATAGACAAGTTGGATGTTACTGGATTTTTTTCCGGTGGCGGTTTTCACCACGATGGTCCATTTGACGCTTGCACGCCTCATAGAAACAAAGATACGAAAGCAGCACCTGTGATGGCGTTTCCTGTTGATGGTCCGAATAACTCAATCAAAGGAATGGCTCCCAAGAATAGTAAGGATCAACAAATTGATATGGTATTCGGTTACAATGAAGAACCCATATACACATCAAAATCAAAAAGCGTTCAAACTCCAGGTAAAAGCCCATACAGCAATGGGGTCGTGGTTAAGCGAGCTTCCGCTTCAAATAGCACATTTCTTGATTTGAAGGCCAACCCAAATGTCGTTGCATTTGACTCAAATGTAAAGTCTGCTCCAATCCACGGAGATACAACTTTGGGGCTTGGTTCATCTACATTCTTGGATGGGGCTCCAGCATATGGAGTTCACGAAAAAAAGGATGGAGGTGAGCTCGGTCGAAAGAAGAGTCTTGTGGATAGACTAAGGAAAAAAGATGACGAAACCACTGGCTTACTAAGAAGAGTCAAAAGTTTGAAGGTGTCCAGACGATAGACAATGGAGGTGTCATGCAATTTTGTTTTCCCTACGCTCGTACTTGTTTTAGTTTGAAAGTTGATGGACTAATCCACACTATGAGGAGGTCCTACTTTTGTTTCCTGTTAAATTGTTATTCGTAAATGATCTCTAGCAGCTCAGGAATTTTTTTAAAGATGTTAGTACAAAAATAAAAGTGTGCAGACTGGCATTACTTATTGCAGTAAGAATTAGTTCTGTGTCCGAAAAATGAGCTGTGATCACTCGTTTTGTCCGATCGTGTTCATTCGATCTGCTGATCGGCATATCACTAATGAGGACCCCTGTACCATTAGCTGGTCAAGCCAACAGCTAAATATACTAAGGGGTATAGTTGAACGTATTACTAGCCCCAAAGATCATCCATTCAGCGTGACTTTCAATTTCACAGAATTGAGTAACTCGTGGCAAATAAGCAAGGACCGCATCTATGCAAAGATTATTGAGCTATATTACATCAGAGATACATCAACGAACGATTTGGATCTCGAAGATTCTAGCAGTGCGAATAAACAAATCCGGGTCGGATCATTACTATCTGACAAGAAATATGAAATGTTTCATCCTATTCGTGAGCTGGAGCTGCTAAAATTCAATTCCCCAGATTCGAATCTCAGTCACACAGCAGAGTTCCACTACAGACAATCCTCCATTTCGGGGCAGAACCCTTTTTTGGGTATCGGATCTCCGAGACTGGGTCCATTGGAGCCAGACAATTTAAACTCCGGTTCAAGTGATGGAAGTGATACAAACCTTGCAGTAACTTCAATTTATCTCTATCGATCGAAGTTCATACATCGCGAAACTCCAAATCAAATCAATCAATCTGACTACGATATAGAACCAGAAAACAATGGCTATGAGTATCTATTGGCGGGGACAGCCGAAAGTTTATCAAAATCATTATTGGAGCAAGAGCTTCTGGATCGCATTTAAATCACATAGATGGACGCAATCCAACGTCCTTTGAATCTGTGTGCGAATGAAACGATGGGTATAGTCATACTTTTCGTTAGAACGGCTACTCTTCTACGACCCTATCCTCGTGGGCACCAAAATTAGTGATAATATGTTCAGAATCTTAGAGATCCCTCCAATTTTGAGTTGTTTGCTAACTTAAGCTCGATAAGCGACTGGAACCATAGCAAGAGTCCCTTGCTGTGCGGGAAGATTACATAGCAACATACTATGTGTATTAAGCTATATTGACTCAGAACAATTCTGCCTGATCCGAACAGCTTGCGGAGCCTGAGATATCAAAAAAAATGTCTTTCTTGTCTCGAAACTCCACCGTTCGCTGGAACGTTCAGCTCCAGTAAGGTACTGGGGCTATAAGGATTGAGGTGAACAGGCTTGTTCCTCACGAAGGATTCATTGATCATCATCGTCATAGTCTGTCTTTTTAAGCGCAGTTTCCGGCCAGCGATCTCTCTCGGAGTGAGATGATGCTCTACTCCTTCATTGTAGCTGTTAATTTCCGTGTCCCCCTGTCGATAAGCTAGGGTTCACTTGCTCACATCTCTCAGATGTGACCCCCATCATCTCATTCAATGTTTGACTCAATCGCCTGCCCCAACTTCAACCCTCTCGATTTCAGTAGTGGGAAAATAGATATGCTTAAAATTTCCTTCCTACTCGGTGCTAAGTGAATTCACTTTCACCGTGGTTGCAAACCTGTCATATCCTCTCCTTGAAACATCAAAAAGCAAGTCTATACATTCGACAATTTGATCCTTGAGCAAGGGGTGTATAATTGCTCCTCTTTCGGCTTTTGAAGCGTTTTGACACGTTTTGACAGCGTCATAGTGGCTTCAATTTGATTGACTGTGATCAAAAGACCTTCCTTTTTTGATATATCATGAAGATTACAGCAAACTCTATTTATAATGATCCTTAAAGTTCTAATGTCGTCTTTTCTATCGGCCAATTATTCACTAATTATCGTATCTCATTAAGAAAATCAGCTATTTTGTTCAATGACACACTCATGAACATTAGAGTAAATCAGGACAGGAAATTACCCGTGTTATGAGAAAGTTATTTCTTGTCTAGTGGCTATTGAAGCGAAAATCCACTTGGTTAGAATTAATGAGGCTATTCGAGCAATTTGTCTATACTTCCAGTTCATGTATTGAAACGTAAAATCACTGGGAGACTCTTGGTTTAACCTGTTCACCAATGTGTCAGAGATGCATTCGACAATTTCTAGGCACTGTCGGACTAATGATCGTCGACGGCAAACTTGAGTCCCAACTGGAGTTACAGCTAACGACAGACTTAGTGATAGTCACCAGAAGAATGCCAATCTTTTCCTCGCTGTAAGTTCCGTCACTGTTATGGTTTTCAGTAATTGACTGCATTCAAATCAATGGCTGGATCATTTAAAAATGACGTGCTGAATGTTCCCGATACGCATTCTTCGACTTTTAAAATCAGCAAGGATTCATATTACTGGATTACGGGACTTCGAAGGGCTTTCATCACGAAGGCAGAACTAATGAACTATTTGTTTCAATGATAGCATTCAAAAATATAGCAATGATTTCACCTCCAGAAGCGATCATGAGGAGCCTTCCCTTTTCTGCCTAAACTTCCTTGTCTCCCGGTCAAAAATGTCAGAAAAAAGTGCTGACAGCCACTTTCATTTATAGTCTCAGCTACATCCTCGCGCTAATTTTGTGCTTCCTCATTGCAGGATTTTGATGATGAGGATGATCTGTGATCGCATATGTTCATCGATTTAGTTGAACCGGAGATTGCTTTCAACCCGTCACAAGGATTTGGAACTAGGTGGACAGCTGGGCTAGCTAAAACATCGCTCAGGTAAAGAAAGCTTTGATCGGGATTATCTTGCACTAGTACGTAAGATTAACCGCATGCTTCAAACATAATTCCAATTGAATTGTTTCAAGTGCTTACACATGATTAAGTAAAACGCCAGTGGCCATATTCAAGCTGTTGTTACAAGAATGACGATTGTCATTGATTGCTACTTGTTCTATTGTTCACATCTGGAAATTAAACAATGTCGCTTGCAATAAATTGAATCCATTCCTTAGAGATAATTTGGGGTGCAACCTTGAAAAGACGAGAGGAGAGACCAGCATCTAAACATCATCCTGATCAGTTTCATGAAACATTTTTATTATGTGTGTTGCACCTACCCTCCATCAGAAAAGTGTGACTAGTTGGCTTACTATGAGATTTTGGCGATAGAAGGATAAGAGCTATGTAAGCTTCTCTGAGTCGAGTCTTTCAACGAGAGAAATCTATCATTCTTTTCGCCACATCGAATTATGTTATTGATTATGTAATTTGAACACAAACATATTCATCCGAAATTGTTTCTGAGATAAAGCCTAAATAGAAACTGGGTTTTAGAAATGTCATTAAGAAAAAGTCTTTACAAACAGAGCTTGAGGAATGCCGCATTTCCGGTAAATTCTGGGGACTTGAGCATCGAAGACAGGTATTGGATTAGAGATTGGTACCATCCTCAAAAAGTCAGTAAGGAGACCAATATTTCTCACCAAAACAATATGTCTGTTCAAAGCCCTTCGGGTGTACTCACGCCTCATGAGTCAACCCCTCAACCACAACTATATCATCAGTCGTCCCAATCACAAACCCCGCAACCTTTGAAAGCCTATGGGTTCAAGATAAAAGCATGGATTGCGGTTGAAAGGGACGTCTATAAAGATTGCATTGATGAGGATTCCGATACCGTTTTGTCATGGATAGATCATCCTTATCTGTCTAGCATCCAGGCAGCCAAAGATTTCTCTTCTAATGGGACAGGTGGTTTGACTGATGCTGATATCAAGTCTGCCGTTAGCGGAACAGGAGATGGTAACAGGCTTTTCTCGAGCAGTGCGCAGCATGAGTTGCAAGATGCCAAAAATCAAGCTACTGACTCCTTCCCAAACCAAGATGAAACTTCTAAAATGAAAACGGATTAGACTTTGATGGGAGCATGTGCGATGATAAGATTTCTTGCTTAACAGAGAATTACCTATTTTCTCCGCCATGAATTAATTACATGTAATTATCCCGATTTTCTCTTCTAAGAGTTGAAAATTTAAAAACTGCTTACCGACCCCATCTAATGCTAATAGAAGCAGTTGCATTGAGATATTGAGCAACTGGACCAGATTATAAATAGTGCTGTCTATTTGATAAATGCCAACGTATGCAAAGTAAGTACGAGGTCTATCAAGATTATGATTACTCCACAAAGAGATGTTATATGAAAAAGGTTGATGTTCTATAGATATTCAGGATAAGATCGATGACATCATATATAGTCAGTACATTTCACTAGATTTGGTGACTATGATTGTCCAAGGTGTACTTTTGTTCGGGTTCTTCTGCTGATAGCTAGAAGAATTTCTGTCCTCGCCAAGTCAATTTCAAGATCCGCACGGTGTACTTTAGAACTCACTATACCGTAATGGTCCGAAGAACATGGTTTCCATTCACTCTTGGCTATTCTTCCTACTTGACTAAATCCACTTTATCCCCTTTGTTCTAGCTTTCTCCGCATCTTAAACGATCGAAATGCAAGTGGTGAAAGTAGTTTTGCAACGCAGATTGGTGTTACTAAGGGCCAATACATGATTTCAGCTATCGTGGTGTAAAGACGTACGAGTACACTCCTAAGTAATGACTTGACTAACCAAAGAAAAGCTCCAAACGGACAGCTTGATCCTAACTTGATAGCAAAGCCTTTTTTTAATTCAGCCAGTGAACATTTATTGAAATAATTAGTGCTAGTGAAGATCAGACTCAAGAAGGAAGTTTCATAGCGTAAATTGAGCTGCACAATTAGGAGGGAGCGCAATCTTTCCTCATATCCAAGACGAATAAAAATATCTGGAAAAGAAAAACATCATGTCTCGGTATATGCGTATTATTGGCTAGCGATAAGGCTCAAAGAATATATCGAACGCAAAATCAATCTCAATTCGTGTGAAATTATGGATATTGCAAAATTACAACTACTGGTGAAACCCGAAACTTTGATCTTCATAAAAAGATTTGATGCATCTGTCAGAAGAAACAACTGATCAACAACCTAGATAGGAATTGTGCCATGATGTGAATCACGTGACCAAAGATTAATCCCTAGATTGAAAAGATTTGTGTATAGAATTTAGTTTACACCCTTTTTCGTGGGAAAGCAAACGAGTTTGATCGAATTGGCCTTTGAACTCGTATTGTTGCTTGGCAACAAATGATTGGTGAGAGAGCTATCCGAGGATTGCGTTTTCTTTGTTCTTGCTTTGGCAGCACTGCTTCCCGAGCGAGGATATTCCATTGATCACATGACTCGAGTCACGAAATAGTTGCAGCGGCCAGGTAGATCAAATGTTTCCGATAGACACACTAAAACTCCCACAAAAAAAAAAATTGATTATTTCGATCTTAACCTTATTTGATTTAATCATTTCTGGTTATCTATATGCTCACTTTTTGTCCACATTGCTCAAATATGCTAGTGGTAGCGCGATCGGAGACTAGTGGTAGTAATAGTTTCACTTGCCCCACATGTCCCTATGAGTTTCCGATTGATGGCCTTCTAATATATGAGCGAAAGGAACTGCCGAGAAAACAGGTCGATGACGTTCTTGGAGGGGAAGGCGCATGGGACAATGTTGATCAAACTGTCACGCAATGTCCAGTTGAAAGCTGTGGTTTTGACAAAGCCTACTTCTTCCAGCTCCAAATCAGATCAGCCGACGAGCCTATGACAACATTTTATAAGTGTTGCAAGTGTGGACACCGCTGGAGAGAAAATTAATCTCCTAATGGTGTACCGATTTCATATGCACGCTGGCATTTACATGAAATGTATACTAAAAGCAGTGAGAATTGCTAAACTAATTTATTATCCTCTAATATAAGTGATTTTTTAAAGCTTGATCAATCCGATAAAGTTTGCTTTTTCTAATTGAAACAAGTATCTGAAGTCTCCAAAGCACTCAATGGCATATTCGACCGACCTTATTAATCCTCTAAATCTCCGAAAATCTTTTCGTCTTCTTCTCGGTTATCTCTTGGCACAAATTCCTTGCCATAATGATTATCTTCACTTTCATTATCGCTTTCGCCGCTAAATGATGTGGATTCTTCTGTTTTTGGTGCCATCAAACCATCCTTTCCATATTTGGCGTCCACTTCATCGGACCTTGTGGGCTTTTGACATAACATACTTTTCCGTGGGGTGCTTGAGACAGACGTTGACAACGATGAAGGAGGATATTGTGACAATGAGTTTTTCCGTAACGTGGTCGTATATACTGGTACTTTTGCTGTTGTCCCACTAAGTGACTGACTTAGATTAGAGTGCAAGTATGAATTTGAATTTGGTGTTGTCAGAGTCAAATTGGTAGAAGTTCCCTCCACATGTTCCTCTATTGACAAAGGAGACTTTGAGGTGTTATTTTCAATTTGATTATCCGGTGATCGAGAAATTAGCGGTTCTTTCTCTATCTCACGAAAACCATTGGTTTCTTCTGTAGGTTGCTCACGGAAACTGCTAACATTATTCAAAGATGATAGAGATTGCAGGGGAGGCGAATTAGCAGGTAGCTTTGAGTGTGGCGAGTAATGAGATTGTTGGGGTCGTTGATTAGATTGAGAATATGAGGTAGCTGGGGGGTAGACAGGAGAAGGAGTGCTTAATGATTGCGAACGAGATCTGAAACCTCCACTTTCCGAGCCGTTTTCGGTCATGCTGCAAAGAATACTTGCGGCTTCTAGCAACTGGACTTGTTGATGCTTACTAATAAGCAACTTTTTAGTCATATTCCATTCCGGTGTATGTTCCCAAAGATGTTTTGCCAGTGAGGAAATATGTTTGTATCCCTTACCACAAGCTTCACATTTTAGTTCTTCTTTCAAACGTCCAGTTTCACCTTCTGATATACGCCGCACCACAAATTCTCTACTTAGCATAGGAACTGAACTGCCTAAATGAGATTGTTGGGACTGTTGTTGGTGAAGATGACTATGAATTGGGCCTCCTGTGTGAGGTGATGAACCCAAGTTCCCCGGGCTTATCGAGTACTGACCGGTAGTGCCACTATACGATGATGATAACCTTTGTGATCCTGGTGGCATACTAGTGGAACTCTTAACTGGAATAGTGTAAGGTGCCGTAGACAGAGATGAGCGCCTGCTCGGAACATTATAATGATAGCCGTTTGCGGTGGAACTGCTTGTCGCCGTTATAGGGCGAGATGCTGTCGCAGTGTTTTGACCGGAGCTAGCTATTTGACTACTCTGATCAGATGGAGATGAGAACCTGTGTTCAAACGACATTGTGAATCCTCTGATCGCAAAAAACTGCAGATAATTGAAATTGGAATTGAAAAAGGTATCACACTAATTTCCAACTTTCAAGATTACCTTCTCAAATCGACTTCTAGCTCTTATAGAAACTTCTGACTGTCCGTAATGCAATTCAATATGGCTATTAATATTGAAGGGGCTAGTTAATGTTAATTGTGTTTAATTAAATGTATCATACAATTGTTTTCGAGTTAAGTTATCAAAAAATTTAAAAAAAATTTTATCGGGTAAAGTCAGGTGTCAGGGTGGTCCTGTGCACTTTGATTTCCCTCTAAGAAGCTTTTGATCTGACGTAAGTGTTGAGAACTCTCAAAGATGATTTATTAGTTTGGATAATTCGCTGGAATCTTTAGCTGGCGATCTTGTCTCTTTGATGATTATGAAGCCAGCGTCTCGTGTAATTTCAGCGAACAGTTATCAGTATAGGAAAAATCCAATTCCCTTCATAAACTACAACATTTTTGGAACAGGTATATTGGTCTTCATTATTGGAGTATAGGACTCAATCTTCGCGATTTGAAACAATCTAATTTGTGAAGATCCAGTGACGTTAGAACAGCCATTGTAACCATACTACGAGCCATATAAAAGTGCGCTCCCGTAGAAAATGGTTCACTTCAACGATCACGATCATAGCTCCTACACTATTAGGCTTGCACAAAAGATGTCGCACCTTACGCTGGATGCCAGCATTGATTGATTTCATTACAAGTATTTCTGACTTGCTACCTCTTTGGATTGGATGATCATGCCATTGAATAATGGAGACCGTGTCAATTATATTGGCTTCCTCCCGAGAATACTTACCATAGAATGATATATGTCTTTTTCACGCTCCGCTAGCTTTCAATTAAGAAGAGCCCAACGGACTTTTGAAAATGAGTTTTCAGCTTTTCAAACGATAGTCCTTTTCCTATGAGAACAAGCTTGCTGTTTGGAAATGCTTGCTGATTTGGTCTATCTTCACCACCATCTATAAGTTCGTACGTTTTTCGCACCGCTTGGAGTACCATAAAGCTTGTTCCACAGTAGACTAAACCTTTTGCTCTGTAAATCTCCATATTCCATGTCTCAACATCATTCTCGGCCCAAAGTATATCTTGCAGGAATCGTTCAAACTTTTCAAACCCGGCTGGGTCAACCTTCGGGAACTCCAGAGAAATCGTGTGGATTGTAGAATCATGATACAAAGCTTGATCTCTTACGAATTGTGAGACGTCTTTAGTATCATACGCGTGCAAATCCAAGATTTTATTGAGGTCGATGTCACCGTACCTTGAGCGATATACTGGTGCCAGAGCGTTAATGGACTTGGCCCTTTCTTCCAATCTATCAAGATCTTCCGTGCTCATTTTATCAATTTTGTTCAAAAGAATTACATCGGCCATTGCAATCTGCAGGTGAGCAATTGTAATACCGCCATCGGTTTGTGTTGACTCATGGGCGTGACTTCCTGTATCCGATAGCCATTTTTCAATGTTTTCAGAGTCTATCACTGTGACGACACCGTCAATGTAGACATTTGATGATAAGGCATCGTCAAGCCAGAACATTGTGGCTATGGGAGCTGGGTCGGCCAAGCCTGTTGTTTCAAGTAGAATATAATCAAAACTCTTTCGTTTGGCTATCAATCTCTCTATAGCTGCGACTCCGTTATCTTTAACGGAGCAACAAAGACATCCGTTTCCTAAATCCAACCATTCTTCATATTCTTGAGAATTGCCTTCTTTTATCGTCAATGATTTTTCAATACCCGCTGAGTCTCCAAACTCATTTAGAATTACTGCTATCCTTCTGTCACCCTTTTTCGCAATTTCTTCCAATAATGTTGATTTTCCTGAACCGAGGTATCCGGTTATTATCGTGATCGGTATCTTGGTTATTTCATCTATCTCAGTTAAAGCAGAATGCCCCCTATAACCTGTAGTTCTTCTGCTGCTGTCCTTTGAATACCTGACGGGTTCATTTTCTTTGACCACAAGTTCGGGAATTAGATCGATCTCGTGCTCATTCATTGATCACTAACTTCGTCTAAAATTTAATTTTGCTTGACTAAAAAATTAAAAACCTGAAAACAGGAATACAATTTTGATCCTACGTATCTTAGTTTGGACGTCCACAATTCACCATTTGTATGCTGAGCTCATATACATCATAAACAATAATGAAAGTTCGGTGTCTTGATCTGGTACTCTTTGCAACTTTACTTTATCATCTGATGATATCCCCCTACACTAAAGTCGAAGAGTCCTTCAATCTGCAAGCTATACATGACTTGGTTAATTATGGAATTCGTGATTTACATCACTTTGACCACAAAGAGTTTCCTGGCGTCGTGAAACGTTCATTTGTTGGGCCACTGATGGTATTTATAGCATCCAAGCCTTTGTTGACAATTATTGACATTTTTGATGCTTGGATCAGTCCAGCATCATCATTTTATCACAAGGATACGCAATTAGTACGCCAATTAACGGTGAGATTCGTGCTTGGGCTATTAAATTTGATCAGCTTTATAAAACTGCGAGAAGCGATTTCTAAGAATGCTAGATTGTCTCTGCAGGGCAAACAGATTCAACTTTGGTTCTCCATTCTTCAATTTTCCCAATTCCACTTCTTTTATTATGCATCACGTACACTACCAAACTTTGTCGCGATGCCCATGGTTAGTACAGGTATCTCATGGGTTCTGCAGGGACACACTATATCTGGCATCTCCCTTATCATAGCAACCGGTATCATTTTAAGAATTGAGATTTTAGCATTTGGCATTTTATTTTACATAATAGCGATTGCATTAAGGGAGTTGAACTTAAGAAACACCTTGCCCAAAATATTGACAACGTCAATCAGTGCATCCCTGGTGACGATGCTCGTCGATACATATTTTTGGCAAGACCCTTCTTTTCCCGAAGTTGAATCGTTTTACTTCAATGTGATAAAAGGCAAATCGGCACAATGGGGAACTGAACCTTTCTATACCTATTTCACCAAGTATATTCCTAAGCTCTTTGTTCTACCAATGGTCCCAGTCTTGGCACTTTTCGGATTGTTCGTACCATCATATCACTCAACTAAAGCTAAGATCATCATTTTTTCCTCTTGCACGTATATATTACTGATGTCGATTCAATCACACAAGGAATGGAGGTTCATCGTTTATTCTTTACCAGGGATTTTATTGTCAGCCTCTTGTTTCCTTGCCAAAATCGAACCAAGAACAAGATTGCTGAAGAGTATAATGTTTGCGGTAGTTTGTTTGGTGGTTTCGGTCTCCTACATCTTTAGCATTTTTGCTGGTTTTGTTTCAAGTTTCAACTATCCCGGTGGTTATGCACTGCAGTTGTTGAATGACAGGTTATCCACTGCCATGATCTCGTATCCAAGCAACAATCCGATCATGATACATTTGAATGTGAAGTCTCGTATGACAGGAGCTAGTTTATTTGGTGAAATCAAGTCCAATCTGCTGATTTATGACAAGACTGAAGATGAATTTAAATTGAATGACAGAAAATTTTGGCAACAATTCTCGTACGTGATATCCGATTGTCCTCTTGAATCATGTTCTGCTCGTCTTCTTGAGAGTGATACGTGGAGATTGATTGACATCGTAGAAGGGTTCCACAGCCTTGACAAGCAACGAGTGGTAGAGGATCTGAGACTATCTTTGCAAACACCTGCTGGATCCATCAGCTTCATTACTCAGATGATCAAAAGCCACAACTTACAGTTTCTCATTGATCTGTCTCGAAGATATATCACCCTATACCCAGCACTTTATGTATACCGCAACATGGATATTGACAGTTCTTCCAACTCTCTGGTCGCCAAAAGCTTATAACCTTCCGTATCTTGGACCTTCGATTGGGAAAAAAACCTTACTCCGGTATCTGAACAACATAGTGACCAGCAGAATAAAGAAAAGGAAGAATGGCAATAGCACCATGGGTGCGCTTGAACTGTGCTGTATACCCCCCAGGATACTGGAATTCATCTCGTTCCTGATGATGATCAGTAGTAGGGGATATCATCTCGATTGATGATATAGTATTGGAAGGGTCAATTGTGACCTCTTTGGAAAGTTTAAGCTTCAATAAGCTGTCCTCGGAAATCTGTGAAAGAAGTTCTTCTCATTTTCTTCAACCACTGGATTGACAACTTCTGAAATTTCTGCTCTATCCTGTTTTTCAGTGGTAGATAAAGTTTGATGTGCAGCTGTCTCAGTATCGTCGCCCATCACATTATCAAAGATTTCTCTTTTGATACCCAATAAGGTCAGTCTCTGTTATCTATTGTGATTCTTTATATTGCTCCAAGCGTTTCAAAGCTCTCCGCAAGATGACCAAATGAAGTTGACCAAATACCACATGTCTTCGATCCAAGAAATCGTCCAAATAGAATAGATGATAAATTGCAACCCTGTAATGATAGGTCCTGAGTTTGCGATAGAACGCCTTGCTACTCTGTCATGCTTCAATGTGAAATTGTCGTCAGGGAGAGACCCCTGCATCTTCCCAAATATGGAGAATCCCCCAGTCCCATCATGATATTCAAAATCAGCGCTCTGTATCATATAGCCGTCAATAATCCAATGGAATGGTGTGTTGGTAAATTGGGTTTCACATTGCTCATAAGAATTCTTCACTGTTATGGAACCACAGATTCAAATAAGCCAAGTGAAACATTTCCTAAATATTAATCATTTTGTTGAAGTTCGAACGTAATTTTATGGGTAAGTGGTGGATCATCAGGATTAACTATTGAAGTGGTGGCCAGTGACATAACAATAATAAAAATTCAAACTGTGGCACCCTGAAAGCTTGAAAATTGATCGCTTTCAAACTTATGTATACCCTAAGCAAAATGCATTAGACCACAGGAAATATGACTTTACTGTAAAATTCTGAAAGCCAAAACTTAACTGTAGAGCACTTCCACGACCATGAGCAATTTCATTACTAAACTTTCATCAATGACAGATATCAGCGTACGAAAATGACCATAATCAAGTTAGTTGTGGTTTTCGACAATTAGACCTGTCATGGTAATTACTTTTGCACAAGATATCCTCAAAAGATTCTTATTGATTCCCAACCATGCATAATTAGCAATTAGAAGGCATCTCCAACCTGTAAAACTCAATTTGTGCATACTTCTCTACCCAACGCGTCACTTCAAATTTTGACTACCGTACATAGCTCTTCAAAATAAATAATACTTATGGATACGTCACACAAAAAATTCAATCTTTCGATCTGTATGATTCTTTTTCCTCCGGTGATAAAGCTTTCCATTCTTCAGCAATCTGTTTCATGATGGTGCTGTTTTGGCTGAAATCTTTGACAACTCGTTTAGGGTAAACGGACATGAAAAAGTTCATGTACGGAGACCGAACGGTATACTTTTCTTTCCACGCCTGAAATTCTTTCGCGTACTCAGCAGCTGCCTCATTATATGTCTTGACAAATGGTGCCTTGACCTCCTCGGACGCTGTTTTCCACTCCGAAGCAAACTTCCCTAGAAGGTCCCGCGGACTGGTGTCTTTGTCCGTATTCGTTGCAAACTTGTGTTTGATGAACAATTGGTAAGCACTTTTGGGAGCCTTTGGTTTGTGCTGTAATCTGAGTTCTTTTAACTTTGTTGGCGACAGCTTTCTCATTTCTGCTCGGGAAAGTTCTTGTAAAATGGAACTGTGGACGGAGAAAAACCGTTTGAGGTTCAACATAGGATTAGACAGTTGCAAGGCAGAGTTCTTCAGGCCCTTAATCATCGCCACGTTCAGAGTTCTTTAAATGAGCGTTTAGTCTTGAAGTGAGTATAATTTGAAACAAGAGAAAAACAACAGATATAAACACCTCGCGCAATTTCTCGTTCTTCTTGTGCGCACGACACCTAATGACAGGTAACAAATCTCAATATAAAAAAAGGGGTCAACTGGGAATTGAACCCAGGACCTCCTGCTCCCAAAGCAGGAATCATACCACTAGACTATTAACCCTTTTCGAGGTGTTCTGCGCTTCCAGTTTTTTTAAGGTCAATATCTTGCAAGAAAAAAAGGAGTTTCTCCAATGCCTCAAAGGTAGTTTTGGTTGGCTCTTCTCCTTACATCCGTCAAGTTTGGTTCCCGGCTGGACTAAGGCAAAACTAAAAAATCTAAATGAAATCCATGTTTAAAAATGGCTCAACATAAATTCTGTCAGTTCATTTCCATGATCAAACTGTTGATGTTCAAACTCAATTACCTATATTTCGAATTTCGTCGGAAGTTATCTTTCCCAGGTTAATATATTACTCATATATTGAGAAGCGGTAGAGCTGTTTTTTGAAAAAGTTAATATAAGCAGTACACAAACCTAGAGGACATTAGGAAGCTTGAAAAGACTTTATGCCTCAGGAATCACGAAGGCTAAAATTTCCAAGATCGAGAAACATCCTTGGTGACATAGAGTGTACTAAGGATATTTTGCATGCTAGGTATACAATCGCCTATCATTGGAACTTGAGCATGATTGATGATTATACTATAATTTTGGATCAATGCTTCAAGTCACAGGAAGACGATTATCCGTACATTATTTAGGCTACCGAGTAAGTCTTCTTCTATTGTACAAGTATGATACGTATAATATGGATTGGAAGTAGAGAGTATGAGGATAAAAGCACATGGATTCTCGATAGCTTAAGCGCCGTAAACACCTGCTTCAGCGTAACCCATCCATACCTCTCCTTTTATTAAATTAGCATTGTGCGAGGTGTTGTGCGACTACTTTATTTACAATTCAAATAGATCAATTTTTCAAGGGGATAGCTAGTTTTACCAAACTCCGAGATCTTATCTGTGTTG